CCAGTCGTTCGTCGCCCTCTTGCGGTGCATTGCCATGGAGAGGGAGACCCGAAGCGCTGCATCCGAGTCCGGTATTAGAGAATAAGGCGCACACTCTTACTCTTTCACACTGTTCGAAGGCGGTGAATTTAAAACAAGTAGCAAGCTATCCGCCTGCGTTTTGGAAGAGAGAACGGGAACAGAGATAGAATCGAGGACGGCAGTCCAACCCCAACGGTCTTGCTCTTGACCTATTTCGAAACAAGAGACGAAGCGAGACCACCCTCCCATAATGTAAGGCGTCGCGCTTTTCCACTGAATATGTCAGAGTGAGGCGCAAAACCCAGGAGCACGCCCACCCATTGGCGGAAAGCTTGCACTCTGCCAAAGAACAGGCCCTGATCTCTGTGCTTGAGGCCCTTGCTCTTCCATTGGCGACACCGTGGCGGAGGAAGGTACTGGAGAAAAACCTCACCGAGATGCTGGCACGTCGTAGGCCGGGGCACTGCTTCGCGATGCTTCTCTTCAGAATCTCCCTGCATGTATTTTAGAGCTCTTCAGAATCTCCCTGCACCTATTGACACTCGTCAACGTCCTGAGACTATACTACAGGACACCACTCAACAAGCGCCACCGAGATGAAAACGAGACGCGTCTAGCCTTAATTATTGCCGCCGCTGGCAGGCTTGTCAGATATTTCCATGGCTGTGTCTCCCAAGCCGACCGGGGTCACCATTCTCCAACCGTTGCCAACAGTCTTCAAGTATTGAATGGCACAAGTGCGCGTCTCCTTGCGATTTTTCTCAATCTGCACAACAATTGAACATCTCCACTTCAACACCGCCACCACGTTCTCCATAGGGGCTTGCGCTTGGTCTCCACTACGAGGGTCCTGGACGTTCGGACTTTCCTCAAGGTGTTCACCTCCTGGCCCAGTGCTTTCATCATCAGAGAACGAATCTCCACCACCGCCGCCACCTCCTCTAGCCGCTAAAAGTATGAAAGTAAAGTCGGGGAGTGTGACAGTGACTATGACGCAATAGCTAGCGCGCCAGTTAACAAATAAACTCTGTTAATAGACGGAACGTCTGCGCTAGCAAGTAAGTCCCTTCTAGCCATAAGCCGACGCTGAGGAGCTTACACACAGTCAGCACAGCCGTACTCATGCACCTCAGCCATTTCCTATCTACATCAAAAAAGCTAGCGGTAGCTGTCTCCCCATCGTTTAACACCGCGGCGAAAAGCTATGCACTGACGCACCCGGTCACTTCTAGTGCTAGTGGTGGCTAGTAAGTATCTAACTCCATCACTGGAGACTTGCTCTCTTCCATAAGCATCTCCACGGCCTTCGCACCCTGGTCGAAAGGCCGCGCAGCGTTCCCCTTGCTCCCGGTGGAACTGGACGAGGAAGACGGTTCCTCATCGAGCAGCGCGCTTTCTAGCAATAGAGATCTTGCCCGAGCAATAAGTCGAGGATTCTGCGCGAGAAGGCGAAGCCCTTGCGCGCTCTCGTCAGTGTCGTCCGATTCGTCGCCACTAGATGGCGGGCTACTGAGTTTCTTCCTGTTTTTCTTCTTCTTCTTTTTAGTTTTCTTCTTTTTCTTGCTGGTATTCTTTGAGGGAAGAGGATGCCCGCCCCCATCGCTTGAACTAGAAGCAGACGAAGTCGCGTCGTGTAGTAGATCATCTTCCTGATCCTCCAGCGGAAGGAGTCTTTCCTTATTCTCAGCCCTTCTTCGGCGACGTCTGGCCCGTTTCATCTTGTCTCTCGGCGGCGGTTTGCCTTTCGTGATAGGCTTTCCCTTCCTCTTCTTGCTCATTTTGGAACCTTTTCCCATTTTGGGAGGCTGGCTGCTTCATGAAGCGCGTCAGCGTCTTGCTGCGTGAAGAAAGCGAAGGTCTCGCCGCAGAATCTGGGGCGGCTAGTAAGGTCAAGACGTATGCACCTGACGGCGACAAGTTGCCAAGGAAAACGCTGAGAGGCTGCCAAGGCAAAAGCTACGGGGGAAATCGAACTCCTTTGAAATTCGTGACGCTCCATAGCAGCAGGAATCTACTTCGCCAGAGACTTCTTCCGAACGGCGACGGAATAGTACTGGTCGAGGGAGCTAGTCTCTCCGCTCAGTTTGTATTCTGGAGACTCCCGCGAAAACGAAACCGCAGAAGCAACAACAAAGCTGGCCAACGCGTGACACAGCACGCAAAGCCACAGAAAGACGAGGCGCAGCCTACATCCTTGGCGACGATACTTGCACGATGTTGGTCACTTGCCTGAAATGGGTCACGTTGCCCCTGTTGTTGCAGTTGCTACCTTCTTCGATATAACTCTAGAGAAGAGCACGACAATGCGCAGCATTGGTTACAGCAAACGACTACAATTACCAGCACAGTTACAGTTGCAAACTTTTCGATCGCCGTCGTGTGAGCAGAGACGCTACGAAATTACTCGAAGACGAATGAGCACGAAGCAGATCCATCCGAAAACTTGACGGAGCCCCGCTCTAGTAGCCTGTCGCTCCGGGATCTGATAAAAAGACACGCAGCGCCAGGCCCTTTGGCAGAAGTCTGGATATCTAAGAACGTCCTGCGTGCGGATAAAGTTGTCTGTCGCTAATGCGTCCGCTGACAGAAACGAAAAAAGGGCCTGCCTCTATCGCGGGCTGTAGTCTTGTTTTTGCTGCATGGCGCCGCTGTTTTCTGCATGGGTCAACTCTCACAGCAAGAAGCGAAGCGATCAGTTCAAAGGCGTCCGGATTATGAAGATCTTGCTCTTAGTCATATACATTGCGTTTTAGTGTTAGTCAGAAAAAAGCCCCGCACGTCCTGGCGACGAAGGAGGCGACTGCCCCCAGTCCAACCTAACGACTAGACTGTCATAGAATTTGCAAAGTGGATCGAATAAGCAAGCAAGCACTGTAAAAGTGGGCAGAGTAGTCGCAGTCCCGTACTGTAAAGCAGCCGCGCTCTAAATTATAGCGAATTAATAGGCAGAAATGGCGAACCTGACCTCCTTGCCACTTAGCTCTCGCTTTTTCCTCGTCACACATACGCGATCGAGCACGTCCCGGCTTCCTTTGGCAACTCAGCACCTCCGACGGCTCCGCCTCGGTCAAAGACAGCCAGTCGCCCTTGCGGTACATGAAGCGGAAGAGGACGGCAGACAAAGGATATCCACCGGCTGCCTTCTCCTTGCTCGAAGATATTCTGAGGACTGTCCTGCATCAGCGAAACCCGACGCGAAGTAGCAGCATGCGACTGAGATGCAGAATGCCTGAGCGTGAACATGAAGAGAATGGGTTCCGAAAACGAAGTTTCCGCGTTGTCAACTATAGACCAATCTACGAACTAGGGTTGCCAGACTGTTGAACTTTGACTGTCCCCATCTAGTCCTCTCCCACAAAAGCACAAAGTAGCGGACTAGTGCCATACCATTGCGGATCGCTTTCAGGGTTTGCAGCTCCATTTTCGTCAAAGCCTGCGCATAGATCTTGTCCTTGATGGTCCCATAGTGGGCACCAATTGCCTCGGCCTCAGGCTCAGCAACCATCATTCTTTTTCTTCCTTACTCCAACTCCACCGAAGAGAAATATAAGCGAAATACGAGCGCGCTCGTAGTGATATTATACCTCACCGATTGCCTTACTTTTAGCCACAAAGCCTCTGGTCTTGTTTTTAGCTACAGCAACAGCTTGCCACTCCCAGTCTTGGCCTTAATTATCAACAAGGTGAAGCTTGCTACTCCACAGTCACAGGCTTGCCCTTGGATCGTTTGGCTTTGGATTATTTCAGAAAAAGCGGACAGGCGTGCAATCTTCTCAATGGCCATAGGCTCTGCTGGATCTGGATGCGCGTGGACATGTAGCCGCTAGCTCTAACTTGCTACCACACGCCTTGACGATATTAGCCTGCTACTTCACAGGCACAGACCGAGGCGCGTGAGCCTCTTCGTGGTGCATCATCATCATGCGCGTGAAGTAGTGCCTGTCTTGCTTCTTTGTGTGCTAGGTTGTTGATCAAAAGCCTACTGAACACTTATGCTGCGCTCTGTAACTGCGAAGGAACGATCTGAAGTAGACACTGACTGAGGCACACTGTCAGAAAGTCAGTTTATTTCCTGGCAGTGCCGTGCGCACTCAACTCCGTATGGTGATGTGTCCTGATGCTAGTGTCTTGGCTATGTTAGTCAGCTGCTCACGTCGCTGCATTTACTTTCTCAGGATTTTGTTCTGTGAAGCAGGAGATCAGTTAACTCGTTGAGGCGGAGGCTCTTCAAGGTTTTGCTCCTGGAGTGGGGCCTTGTTCTTTGGATCAGACACTCTCCGCGAGTTTCTTTCAATTCAAAAGAGTTCCTTTTAATTCAAAAAGTAAAATAAAGCGCTTGCCTCTTCGTCCTGTCCAAAATTGGACAGGACTAGATTCTTGGACAAGGACAGCATCAAATCTGAAGCGCTCGCCTCTTAGTCCTGTCCAAAATTGGACAGGACTAGACTCTTCACAGTAACCAGCACGGGCGTCCTCTTATCCTGCGACGCTTCCAGCGAAGCCAACTACCAAGGAAAGCACCACCAGCATCCGACGATTGAAACGTAAAGAAAAGCTTTTTAACTAGAAACCGAAGCGGATATCAAAGAGTAAGCACTTTTTTTTTAAACCAAAAAGATATAAAAGCGATCCTGTTTCTAGTCGTGGAACACACTGAGCAGGCGAGCCCAGAACGCTACCATTTCCAAGCTTTTTGCAGCCAAAACGCCTGAGGTTTTTGATTGTTGAAAGAGGGAAAAGTTTGATTTTCAATACGAAACCCCATGGGTGTACCCCGGTTTTCCAGGGGACAGCGACACCGGACAACGACACAATCGAAGCACCTACATTATTGATGGTGAATATGCTGAAGATCAAACCTGCTATTACGATCACGAGATCCGTCGTGAAAAGCACGAAGATCACAAAGATAAAACGATTACATTCCATTGTTTGCGGTTGGCGCGTACCGCAGTGGCAGTGCTGAACACTCGGGTCACATCACACGGTCACGGAGAGCCGCCACAACCGCCTACCGCCGTAGTGCGGGTAGCTTCGTTTTGTCAAGTCTCGTTTTTTCAGGGCAGGGGTATTGTTAATGATATTTGCATGATGTCTCAGCGTTTGATATGCGGCGCCTTAGCATATGCATTGATGTAGAAACTAGGAATCCCATTTTCTTGCACAGGAGACGTCACCCAAATTGTCTTCTTGTGCAGCATTGTAAAAACGACATTACTAGTGCGAGGTATCATTATGGTGAAACAAAGAAATCATTTCCATTCCTAGTATTCCATGTATTAATACTTCTATCGAGTGCGCAAGTTACTTTCGAAATACAACTGTCGAGTGCGCAATTTAGTTTCGAAATACTTCCCGGGTAAAGCTGATCAGTCTTCATATTTTTGTTGGGTACTTAAGTTGTATAATCAAAATTTATATTTGGTACAGTAGTACACATGAGTCAGAGGATGACCTTTGTGTTTGTCGGTTCTCCTCGTCCCGAAATATTAGTCGTATCATGCACATCTCATACAAATAGACCCTTGCTTCTTCGCCTCAGAAGCTCCTTCTAGCAGACAACTATTTCACCCGATCCAAACATTCCCACATGGTGATACTGGAGCCGCGAATGACAACCATGCCGATTTCGTTCCGCTCGGTGGGGGAAATGATCTCCACAGCATTGTCCAAGACAACGTTCATGAAGGTGTCGTACCTTTGTTGGTTTTTTTGTTTTCTCTGAAGATGAAGTCGTCGAAAAAGTTGGGAGAAGATCGAAAGAGTTGAGGAGTTGAGGTTTCATCCACTGATCGAGCTGATATAACTGCAACTATAATACACCCACGGATAGCATTTGAATTCATTAGAAAGAATCTTCTCTAGCAGACAAGTTAAGATGCTTAAAAAGTGCGAGTTGTACCCTCTCAAGATCCCAACCACATGTCGGTTGCCGTTCAGATGCATATCCAACCTCTTCTCCATGAATTTACGGAGATCAGCTCCACCAGTAGGCTTGGTACCAGTCGACATTTTTTTTGTCTTGTTTGGGAGAACGAATGAGTCAAAACTTGTTGTACAAGAGGGCAGGACGGCGTACTTGTAGTTAAACGAAGTAGTCGTTAAACGAGGCGTACCACGAGGCAGTCGGAAACACAAACTAAATCACAGCAGCTAGATTTACAAGTGGAAAGTAGATGTTGAAACAATAAAATTCCAACGACTGAGAGTGAAACAAGAATCGGTGTACTTATCACTTCACATGAATCCTTCAAGAGATGAATATGAAATAAATCCACGACCAGGCTGTTAAAAATATGGAGCCTCTGAGTACATCACCGGTTGCTTTTTTGTACATGATCGCCTTGGTCCAGAACATCTCTTCCAGATCGGCAGCGTTCGTTTGTTCATCTTCGGGACACAGTCTTGGATCAAGATCATTCTTCAGCTTCATGACATTGGATTGGATTCTTCATAGGTGACAACATCTTCACATTGGATTCTTCAGGTTCCTGAGTACGAGTAGATCAATCGTTGATATCGATCGTAGAGCAGGAGAACAGGAGAAGCTCTGAAATCGGAGAAAGCACCATACCGCTTCAGAGTGGATTATGCGGATAGATTCATTATCATTATTCTCGACGATGAACAAGACATTCGTTGTGAGATTGTCATGGAGGTTACCTCTTTGGCCGAGGTGGGTAGCAGGTGCGTTGCTAGGCCTTCTGATACATATTTCTTTTTAGTATACTTAGTTTCAACTGTACAAGTACAACAATAACATGCTTATGATAAAAAGTGGCCACTTTTTCGTGAATGATAGGCCAGGTGGACATGGAAAGTGAATATATCAAAGCGACTTGTTCACTGACTTAGACTTTGATGATACCTATGACAAGATCATGCTTGGTGAAAACTACAATACACGACTTGGAGATAACGTTCATTATTCGAAAAGCTTGGTCAATGATCATTTAATATTGGAAAGGGACAAAATATCCCGAGAAATGACTTGCATTATACTTGACAATGACGTACTGCAGTTACTTGCATTCATACAACTAGCTGTGAAGATGCGTTGAGACTGAGAGATATTATTCGCGTTATAAAAATGCACAAAAATGGAACTAGAAAGAAGGTTTTATTGTGAGGCATTGACTTATATCACTCTGCTGTTACCTTAGACTAGAAGGATATGCATTCTGTTACTGTAGAATGAGAGTGAATGATTGCAACCTGTACTTGCTGACTACTTATTCTACACTACACATCAAGTGATCATTCTCAAATTCAAAGGAAACAACGCCAAAGCTACTGGCCAAATTGAGGGCTGTGCGGAAAGTCCGTCAAGATTGAAGGCTTCTTCATTTCCCTATAGCACAGTTGAAGTGCTAGGTCTCGATTATGCACACGCACCTTCGCTTTCTTGGTTGTTGGCATTCTACTTGGTCCTGCTCGTTCTGATGTAGGATCAGTTGATGGGCCCTTCGCCTGCTCAGAATGTCCGCCCCCTCTTCGTGCTGCTGCACCTCCTACTACGGGATGCTGATAGAAGGGTGCTCCCGGTACAACCCGCCGTCTATGACTCGGCCCACCTCCTGTTCTTCGAGTCTGATTTCTTGATGCCTCCGCTCCAGGTGCCCGTATGGAAGCTACTACAACTCGTGGAGATCTGCTATGATCCTGCCTACGAACAGGAACCTGTTGTTTCTCCCGAACATTTTTCGACAACACGGTTCTTGCTTTATCTGCCTCTCGATGCTGTTTCGCACTAAGAAAAGCGTGGTGCCAGCTATACCTGTCCGGCAAGGGCTCCTCTCTAGAAGTAGGTTGACGAGGAGTGTTTCGCGCAGACGTAGATGAGTGTGGTGTAGCTGTTGGTGGCCTCACGACTGGTGGCGCGTTCTCCACAGCTTCTTGATCCACAACATCACCCCTCTGGTACTGTTTCCAACTAGGAAGTCTTGCAGAATGTGGCCGCTTGAACATCGGATGGTCAGGGCCGAAACGATCTGGGAAGTCTATCTTGGGTACGAACAGACTAGAATTGCCATTCTGCTCAGACGTGTTAGAGGACAGGTGGGACGATCGTCCTCGACCAGTAAAAACATTACTGGAATGGTAATCTCTACTTTTACCATGATTCTCTGCTTGTGCAGTAGAGGTAGAAGAAGGTTCTTCTTGTTGAAATTGAGCTACTTCTACAACTTCTTCCACCACGACAGCAGGTGCAGAAGCGGCGTCTCCTTGCGCAAAAGTGACCTCAGCTAAAATTGCCGGGACGTCGGATACTGGCTGAACCGCTGGATGAACTGGCTCAGCGACATGATCATCGACTAGTTGCCCATCTTCACCTCCTCTTGGTGTCATCTTGTTCCCGCTAACATGATGAACGTCTTCTACTAGGTCATCATCTCGTCTAAAGAGATCTAGTTGTTGCACTGCACTCACCTTTCTTGTTCTCGAAGAAGTCTTCTGCTCAACAAGATTGGATACGCGGTCGTCGATCCGAAATCCGGTTTTCACTTTGAGAGGTGGACAAGCCGTGTGAGGGCGCTGTCGATCTATTTGCGTCCCTTCTGGTCGAGCGAATGCACCTCGTGAAGAAGGTGCTACCGCTCTACAACTAGATGGTCCTGTTACTGCTAGTACAGGTGCTAGTGCAGTTTCTGGTTCTCCTGACTGTTGAATTGGGCTAGAGGATGTCGATTCGACGTTAGCCAAACTGGTGTCGATAGCGTTTGCCTCTTGATGGGAAATATCCGAGTTTGAAATTCTCTTTCTTGGTGTAGTACTAGCAATTTTATCTAGCTTTTCCTCGCCACAAACTGCTACTGCTACTTGTTCTACTGGAGCTATTACCTCCTGTGGTGTACGATGATCAGCATTGACAGCTGGAGGTGGAGGCGCGGGCCCGTCTTTTACAACTACCGCTTCTGCTTCTTTCCTGCTTGTCGTATCACGTACAGTAAAAGCGGTCTGTGGTCGCTGTAGCTCTGCTTTTCGCGCATGATATCGCAACACATCGGAACTCCAAGGTCGAGGGGAAGCACCTGCTTTCATCATAATTATATGGTCGTGTTCTAGAGAGACTCAATGAATAAACGAATATCGAGTGCAAAGTAAGCGGAATTATGGTCGTGCTCTAGAGTGATTCAATGAGAAGTGCATCAATATCGAGTGGAACAAAATGGATCTCTTCTATTTCGTCCTTTAGAACGTCTATTACCATCGATATCCTGTGCGCTCGCGAGATTCCTTGGCGCATTAGCTTCATCGAATCGCCTCTCAATCCGAGGATAGTTCCGTCTTGTGCCTGGCTGGGCGCCGTTGATATTAGAACTGTCCGTAATTCATCTTTCAAGTGCATCCTTGAAAAGTACTTATGGGAGAGTATTATTCCCTTAGGATAGATACTCCTCCATACGTTTCAAGGATGGATGCGTCCGACGATGTATTTAATAAGGTTCCACAGCTCGCATGGCATGGAGTGCATGGATCACATGGAGTAGCATGGAGCTAAAGGGGGAGCTTCTTGCGCCCCTTGAAGCTCTGCGCTCCATGCACTCCATGCTACTCCATGCACCATGCGCGCTAATATAATATTAGGTACGGCCTTAATGATATCCGCAACCCGCAGACTGGCGTCACAGAAGGCGTCTTCCTTCTCCCTCCCACGGGAAAGAAACGCTACCTTGCCTACGTTTCGCAAGCGATCGTAAAAGGAAGGCGGATCTTTCTGATCTTCACGGGGTGAGCTAGCAGCTTCTCTCCTGGTGTCCGCGGCCGTTGGCGATACGATATTGTCCGGTAACGAGGAGAAGAGACCTGAGTGGGAATTCGGATAACCGAAGATGCGATATGACCCGAAGATGGTGATGGATATAAAAACATTTAGAATATTTATTTAGAAGATAGAGTAAAAATTCTGTAACTGCAAGATGAAGTGTTGTAACAAGTACAAAAGATTTCTACCCAGTGGATATCCCTCCTCTCTAGCTCCTTCTCTCCTAGTAGCAGGGAAAACGACCGCCTTGCGAAATTCTTTGCCATCAACGTAATTCGATTCCCGACAGAAAGGCGTAGCTGACCGCGGTCGCTGCACTGTGCACAATGACGTGGCACACCGTGTCGTGATTTCCTCTTGGCGGACACGCCTGTGTGTCGGGGAACAATAGTTGTGACGCATCTACGTCGTTTTCTTGTCCTAGATGAACTAAGTCCGTCTTCTAGTATAGTACGTGATTCAGAAAAGGAAAGGAAGCTTCTATACCTGAATGCAGCACGGAAAAAATGAAGCTATACCGTCGAAACAACCACGGATCGTCTGGGTCGACAATCTTTGGCGGCGACGCGTTCTCCAGAAGACGATCCGGTGACATTGAACCACCCTTCGGACCTCGCCGGCTACCATGATACTCCTGCCCTTCATCCACACCAACTGCACTACCTCCTCTACTCCTCGGTCCTCCTCTCGGAGAAATGGTAACCACACCAGGAGTTGTATGCCCAGGCACCTCATATTCTGGCATTAATGGGTCTGTTACCGTAGTCCGTGTCCGCCATCTAGACCGAATACGTGGTCGCGCGATGTCTCGAACGTCAAATCGGAGGTCTAGCTTATTGTCATTGTGGTCCTGCCGAACAGCACGTCGAGCCGGTGTTGAGCTTTCCCAAGCTGCGTTGTCTCCAAGAGGTCGTGGGCACAATAATTCTGCTACAGCACATACAGGCCTCGCATGATATCTCGTTCCTGATTGTCTGGCTGCACCTACACCACGACCACCATGAAGATTATTACAGTCTACCTCGTCGTTATTCCCCTCACCTAGAACGACATTCCTTATCCTTGGAGACAAGAATGAGAAATCGCCATCTTCATCTGATGTTTTCCTGACACCGACACTGGCAGTTTGTGGTCTTCTTCGTGGAGACGCTCCTTCGATGTCCCACACACGCAGAGAGTTGTCTCCACGTTGCGGCAACTTGATCTCGGAAGCAGGTGACTTTGTTCCAGCGTGTCCAGGTCCTCGAGAAGATGCAACTGCTTCTAGTAGCGTAGTCCCAACGTGTTCATGCTGTGGTCGCGGAACAACCACTTGATGCCGTTGGGAAGCAGCTTGGGGTTGGGAATCGGAAGCATGTTGTACCAAAATAGTCGCTGAGCTTGATGCTAGGACATCATCTTGGCCATGCCTAGGGCCAGATGCTTCTAACCCCGTCATTTGCTCATTGAGAATTCTATGCTGAGGTTCAAGTTATTTGGTCACACCATAGACATAATCGCGAAAGTGCCATACCGTACGATGAAAACACCAACATTCATCATCCTACAGATGACATTCATCATCTTACAGACGAGGTTGTCGCAAGACGAGGGAAAGGAAAAAGAACATCAAAAAGTACATTTTTGGTAAAAAAAGTGTTGATTCGTACTCTTCTTGAAGTCCTTAAAAAACAAGTTCTTCAAGTTGGTTGTTGAGCTTGAGAGTATACTTCTCTTGAAACTACTAGTAATCGCTCAGTCGAACAATTGAGCCTCAACGTAAACTTGTACAACAGAACAGATACACAATTGCGTAAGTTTGTACTGACAGACTCGAAACAACAGAATTTCTTCAAGCACTCTTGATACATCACAGCCTCAAGAAACTCCTGAAGATCATAGTATTACTTTAACCGACAGACAGACGGTGATTCATTCTCGCTACTGGAGAGTCGTCCGAAAAGAAAGGTACTATTGTTCAACCTCAAATACTCCTCACAGAAAATCCAGCAGCAGCTTCCCGATGAACCGACCGGCCATGCAAGTATCCACACAGGTTGCGTGTTGCAGAATAGCGTTCTACTTCCTGTATGTTGCTATTCTTCACAACACAGGAAAGAGCTATCCTTCAAGCTACAAGTCTTCGGCCAAAAGGGGAGCGCACCAGCTTCTAGAATTCCCATCCTGCTGCTGCTGTCAGTGCTCTGGAGGACGTTATAAAAAATGGTTGCAAACGGAAAAATCAAGTACAACGAACTTTTACTTGTACACGCAAGGAGCAGGTCTAATAATCTTCACACCCAGGAGTGCAGTTCCACAGGTCGCCATCATGTTGCATTTTTAGCTTTTTGTTCCTTCAAAAAGATTAATATTATTCTATTATTTCGCAAGTGATTTTGATGAGAAGCAGTAGGATAGAATATGATAGGGTGCCCTTCTTGCCGAATCTTCACGCACGGTGTCGAGACGGGCGCCGGCGAAGCGCCCCAAGGAGAACGTCGTGCGGGCGGGAAGTAGTGGTTTATCACTTACATTTACATACAGGTAATTTTTAGTGGCGCAAGCGCAGGCAAATCTGTCCCCGAATCAATGTCATAGAATGATTTGTACATGACTTTCGACATGATCATGTAATCTTTGTACATTTGATTTGAGGTCGAATCGAGAAATGGCTGCAGGTTGTCATTAGCAGTCGGCAAGGTCATGATCACCAGCATCTGGTTGATCGACCCTTTTACGTTTTTCGTCGGCAAAGAAGTACTCTAAAACGATTTTCATTCGTACTTCTTGTTGTGGTCGAAGACACTGCTGTTGTACTTGTTTGTATTCTCAAATAGTTAATACAACCAGTCTAGTGTATGGGAATTATCCAGAAACTGATTCCCGCAAACAACGTACTTGTTCAGCCACACAGGCACAAGCTCAGATGAAAGTTCTACTACACATAATCAATCTGAAACTTAATCTTAATCCGTCTTGTCGTTGACGATTGGTATTTCTTTTTGGATCGATTATCTACACTGACACATCGATTTCGTAAGAATTACGCTGATGAAGAAGAAAGTAAGAGCGTGAAGCAATAACCTTTGTTACAAGTCTGGTTCGTTCGACCTCCATCCAGTAGGATTTTTGTCATGTGTTTTCGAGCTACTTCACGGTGCTTGAAGTATATATAAGTAGGAGAAGAAAATGCAAATCATAACCACTCAGGAACTACAATTTGAACACTTAGTATCCGCACGCTGCTTATCGTGGTACCTGCAGCGTTCAAGTTCTAGCTCTATGTTTGTTAGGTGGAGTTTCAAAAAGTACAACAAATGGATCGATTATCACATCAAATGGTTCGATACAAAACGGACGATTTTGTACAACCAATTATTTTTACATTTTTACACGAAGTCTTGGACGTCCACTTGAGTCTCCTCCTCTATGTCCACCTATTCTACGTTCACCTAACGTCCTTAACCAATCTGGTACATCACTTCTCTCTCCTCCAAGTAGCGGCCGCCTTGGCTCTGCTAAGATCTGTACGAAGTCTGTCAATAATCTCCTGTTTCTGTTTGATCACCTTTTCCTTGTGGTAAGCCTCCTTCTGCCAACCCCAGGCTTCTGCAGCCTTCGCATCATAGTTGTCACTGGTGTTGGATTTAGAAGAAGGAAGAAGCTGCTTTACATAAAAAGTCGGAGTCGCCTAGTAACTACTGATACTGTGGACCTAGTATAACTAACGTGGCATACCTGAAGTGGATTTGAATCTATTCGACAACGGCAAGGTGTTGTATTTCATCCTTGTGAATGAACTTTATCCTGCGAGTCAAATTTTGTGAATCATAACATTCACTTTCCGACTCAGAGTGCTGCGCTCTTTTTTGGTGTTTGCTAGTTCTTTCTCCATGCTCTTGTTTTCCGCCTCCAGAGCCGCCACTTTTGCGAGCAATTTCTTCAGAGATTGTTCTTCCTTAGCCTTACCCCTGCTTTTCTTCGAAGATGCTTCATCAGCTTTCTTTGTTGCCTTTTCTTCAGCTTCAGCTTTCTTTTTGGATGAAGATGTTGCAGGTGAAGATAATACTCCGTGGTCCACCTTCTGCTCTTCTGGTTTAGTTTTCTCTTTCCACACACATTTTCTCCATCGTCCAGAAGTGTTGTTCCAATCTTCTGCATTGGCTTCTCCAAGACTTTCTCCTCCACCAAGACTTTCCTCATCGACTTCTTCCATAGACAGCGCAGCTTCCCCTGGGACCAAACTCGGAGAGCTCTGCACACTACTACCTAGTCCTCCACTACCGCTGGTTGCTTCTTCTCGAGCTGTTGTGTAACACGAGGGGGAACCACTAGGAGTATTATGTTCTGTGGAACTAGATTTAAAGCTCAGCATTCAAGGGTCACTGACTCTGAACGGAAGGGACCCCCTTCAAAGCTCTCCCCTTTCCCTTCCTTTTCCCCTGTTCTCTCAAGGGGTCGCCTCTTCGATCTCAGTGACCCCAATCTCAATGGTGACCATTGAAAGTTGAGCCTTAATAGATGAACCTTCTGCTCTACTTGTTCTGACGTCCGTGTTACCTCCAGCACGTCGGAGACTCTCGATAGCGCCAAGTGAAGCACGCATTTCCAATCCAGGAGGAAGACGAATATTCTCCATGCCTGCACGTATCTTCATCGGTTCTTGTGCTGGAGATCCAGTCGTGTCGTCGCCAATTTCCCCATCTTCTTGTTCAGCTAAATTAGTAAGCTGCTTCACCCTCTCGCGCAAATACTGCAGTTCCGCTTGGTCTGCCGCTTGGAGCCGATTGATCCAATCGAAGTGCATCAATAGAGAACTACGATCATAGGTTGTACTTGGTGATGCATCTGGTGGGTGAACAGCTACTCTTTCAACATGCTTTCCTTTTCTAGTACTACCCTTCTTGGTACTGGTGGAGTTCGGAGCCTTGGCCATCGTCGAAGCTTTCGTTTCATCGTTTGCGGTTTTGTTAGCGCATGTCATATCCTGCTCTGATGTCCTTTATTAGCAATAGTAGCAGTAGTACCTACTCACACGACTCACTTCTGAGTGTAGTACATCTATATTGTTGGTGGAGCATACCAACCTAACTAGAAAAAACAAAAACCGAAAAAAGAAAAGTACATCTATATTATAATTTCTCTATCCACCAATACCAAAGCATCTACCTACAATTAGGCCTTAGCTCCCAACGAGTTTCCTCGCAACCTTGGTGGTAGTGAAGTCGTCTTACCTTCTAGTTTTGCTTCCCCTTCAGCTGAGACGTTCAGACGTGTCATATTTTCGGCAATATCGTCAACTGTAGGGCCATCCGCCTCTGCCTCCCAAGAACTAACGCCATTACAAGGAGCTCTAGCGTAATAGTGGTCGCCGACTTGATCAAAAGGGTTTTTGTTACACGCCATCTCCTGCTCTTGTCCTGCTTGTCCGTGTAATCCCGGAAGTCCTTGTGGTCCAAAATAGAAGCCATTCTGATCACAGTGTTGATCATATGTCCAATATCCTGAGGGGGCTTGCGCTTCAGCGTTGTAGTTAGGGAAATTAGAGAGGGTAAGCAGAGGGAAGGAGGCATGGAGGGAAAAGGGAAGAGAGGCAGCTGCGAGGAAAGGGATCGATCATGATGCCAAAAACAATCAAAATCAAGATTTTGTTTAGTAAGAAAAATTTGAAAGGGATCGATCATGATGCCAAAAACAATCAAAATCAAGATTTTTAGTAAGAAAAATTTTGCAAATGTTGAGCACGAACAACTTCATTTCTTAACAAAATAAGCTGCTTGTTCCTCGGTCATCTGCGTCTGGCCTTGTTGATGAGCGGGGAGGACAACAGGAGAACCCTGACATCTTCGTTGTCCAAGAACAGTGCGTGATCCTCCTTGCTCTTCATCTCCGTCCTGATCTCCTGCTACTTCCTTATTCACGAATGGTAATCGCGCTAGGCGGTTCACACGTCGGTCGTAGACGTATACGCCAGTCATCTCGTCGTCCAAAAGCGCAAAGGTTGGTCTCAAAAACAGCACTTTCGGTTTGAACTCCCTATGCAACACTGGAAAATTCTGCGCATCGTGTGGTAGTTGTGGAGGACAATAAGTAGACTGACGCTCTACTTCATGTTCTTGATGGGCAGACTCCTGTTCCACAAGTTGAAGTTGTTGTCCTAGTGCTTCTGGTGCTTGATGATCCACCACCTCCGAAGAGTTCATCTCCTGAGAAGTAGTTATAAGTTGTAGTAATTCAATCGGAATCTGCTCCTTAAACTTGTTGAAGTGATCAGATAGCTGGCTCCGCGCCTTAGTCAGCGGCACACGAGTCATTGTTCCCTTCTTATTATTAGAAGAAGAACAAACTACTTTGAAGATTCAATTTGGGTAGAAACTCGGTGATGTAGCTGCATCTGTCTATCTCATGCTAAACCAGAGCATCGGGGAACGAAACTCCACCAACACAAATTCGATTAGAACTACATCATTTTTTACAACGTTGTAGATTTAAGTACACAGATCGTTCTTATATTAGCTAGAAGAGACACTGACACATGACAGGAGTACAACAAGTACTTCTACTTCTTTCATCTTGGTTTACTAAGTACATAATGTTGGTTTCGGAGGCGTGTCTCTTACGCAGGCGGTCAATCTTCTCCAGGGTACTGATGAAGCCTGAGCGTTCTTTTGCCCTCGTCTTTTCCTTCAAGAATGTTGCTTTCAATTCCTGAAATCTACGCTCTTTCTGTTCTGCTTCTGTATCTTCACCTCCTCCAAGATGTTGTTCATCTGAGCCTCTACTACTTTTCTTGCTTTTTTTGTTCCAAGTATTTCCAGAAGTTGTACTGTTCCACCAAGTTCCAGTTGAAGAGCCAGAGGCCTGCTGTTGCAGTTGTTGCTTTGCTCCTTCTGGTGATGTGAGGAAAAGTGCACGACAGATACGTTCCACTTCATCCAATTCGTCATGCAGCAGATTGGACGGAGTGGAACCAGCAGATCCGAGGAGAGGTTTTTTTGTCCCAACAAGAGGTTCTTTCCGCGAATCACGGGTATATATATTATATCCAGAGGCTGCCGCATGGGCACCAGCTGTTTCCTCCTGTTCAGGAGGGATCCCAACGTAGTCCCAGTCGTGGCGATGCTCGTTCCATCGCCAGTTTTTTGCATCTTCTGAAGAGTACTCGTTCCACCATGATTCCCCATCATTTCCTTGTTCTGCAGATTGATGCGGCGGAGTGCCCATATAGAAGAAGTCCTCTGCGAATCTCTTCGATTTTTCGTCAATGATACGGAATGGAAGCCAATCGAAGGGGGGCATCGGACGTTGCCACATGAAGACGATATCAGGCTCAAAAGTCATATCGATCTTAGTCTTAGTAGCAGAAGTTGTTCGTAGCAGTTCTTGTTCTCCCTCTATAGGATCAGCAGAGTCATCTTGATGTTGTGTTTGACGACAAATTCCAGGCCCTTCTACGGCAACGAAGGTCTTCAACTCCTCATCTTTTGGCCAGTCACGCAACAACAAGCCAGATCGGGAAAACCTAAAAGTAGGTGGGGTTTGGAAAAATCAATGCGAATGGCTATAATGCAATGAAAAGGAACCAGGACCCAGAAAAAGAGGCCACTGAAAAAAGAGGCCAGATGAAGGACAAGGGCCATCGGAGCCCACAACGAAAATGCCAAAATCAATTACCCCCACTTTCTCGGATCTTCGCAGGTCTGTAGGTGGATTTTCTGTTCTTCCTGCCATCCGCGGATGTCGAAGTCGCCTTCCGTCTTCAAGTACTTGAACATGCTAGGGTCTTCGTAGAATTCCTTTGGTGCTGTGATTCCAATCCTCTCGGACTCCGATCCAGGAGAAGGAGAGGAGCTCGCTGTTCTAGTCGTGGTTTGTGTGTATTAGAGGACAGAAATATTCTGCATGAGCTGTAGTAGGGTCGGTGAACGCGGAACCTAACCACGACGATAAGAAAAATGGACGCAGAAACGAGGCCGACCACTAAATATCTTCGATCTTCGTCATTCTAGTAACCGAGGACGAGAACAAAATTATAGCATGTTGGAATTGGATGAAAGTTGTTCATCATAATTTGAGGATGAAGAGGATCCTGTTGTCGACCTAGTCACGTCTCGTGTGGCTGGACCCTGAGAGGACGCAGTCCTCTCAGGCTTACCAGACGTAGAGGACTTCTTCAAAAACGACCCTGGACTCTTACTTCCACTACGACCAGATAGGGCAGAGCCTTCTTCTTCTTCTGCTTCCTTTTTCGAATTCGCCGTTGTCCCCCAATACACAGCATGAGTCTCGGGAGAAACTGGGACTTGACTCTGATTCATAGCCTCCTTCATCTGCGCTTGACTAACTGCGAGTTGCAAAGCGTCTGACATCGGAAAACTACTATTGGAGAAATTAGTCTTCCACCTCTTAGGACTGGAATTATTGCGGTCTGGAGTCTTCCCAGGTCCTGGAGTGAGAGGTTGCCATGCTCCCGCTGCACCACCTCTAGTACTTCTGACACGAACGGTGCAATTATCGACCTTATGGTTGGTCGAGACTTCAGCAGGAGTCGCAGAAAATCGGACAAAGCGACTCTGGTAGGTCTCCGCAGTGGGGCGAATGCCCTTGCGCAGCTGACAGCGCACTGGCCACCACCCCTTGTCGGTCCAGCCTGTGCCTAGAAATTCGTGTGCTTCACCTGCCATTAACTGAGCTAGGTAGTCTCCGTTGACGTCGTCCGGAACTTGATGTCTTAGAAGGAGCTTTTATCTCCAGTATGGCTACTACGGATGGATCTTCTACCTATATTCTTGATATTCAAACTTACTAGATGTACTTATAAACATATGCCGACTTCTCCATATGCGACGGATCACTCGATGAACTTTTTTTTTCCTCCATCAATAATCAGAAAACCAAAAAAACCATAAGACTTCTTCATCTTTGAATCTCGAGTGCTGCGGCTGTTGCGCTTCTAGCATTTCTTCTACCGTGTCGGCAAACGCTACCTGACGTAGGAGAGTGTACCCAAAACCAGGCACGAAACCGTAGAAACGACGTGTCGAAGCGTCCAAAAGACACTCTGGCCGCGTCATAGGATGAGCCCAAGGCCAATAAACGGAAGACAAGGTCTGCGTTGCGCGAGACGCGGTATCGGATACTTGTTTGGGAAGATTAGAGTGTCGGAATGTAATTGTGAATTCAGGTAATTTCGTCGAACTCGAGTAGGATTTTTTTGGAAGTAGTTTTAAACTACTTTCGGACAAAAGAGAAGAACGTGAAAGAATGTAAGTACTAAGTAATTACTTACTTCTTATATATCCTTTTTTATCCATAATTAATCCCTTCTCCTCGTCCAGACGTTGACTCCCCTTCGGGACCCACATCATGTCCGAGCCTTCCTCCCCAGCTCTGGGTGGAAATTCGACGAAAGGAAACGTTTTAGGGTTGCTCTCCCACGTAGACTTGTCTCCCACCGGCTGTACTTCAGCCAGGCAGGTCGCACCACACACTGCTGGGTCCTCATCCCTCATGTAGGAGCGCATCCACATGTTAGTAGTATCTCCAGCACTTGTTGCAGAACCACCTTTGGATGACTTACGTAGATGAGGAAGGCGCTTGCAAGAATCTTGTACTTGATCCTTCATTGTCAGTGCTTTGGGAGTCGCTCCAGTAGGTCCCACAGCATCGACGGTCCCTTGATGTTCACCAATGTCAAATGGTGTTGCATCGGCGTTCATCTTGCTCATCTTGATGCCTTCATCAACAACATCCGCACTTGCTCCACGACCCGGAGCTGCTCCTTGTTCCACGCTTGTTTGAGGAAGAAATATTAGAGGTAGGTTTTTGGTGCTCGCGGGTTCCCCCGCTTTTTATGCCTTTCTCATCCTAAGGGAGAGAGGCATAAAAAGCGGTAAGAAAAGCACCTTTAGGTTTAGCCTACCCTTAAAAATAAAGCTTCTGTAGTACTACCAGTGGGTATGAATTCGGGTGCGTCGACACGCATTTTGGTTGATGAAATATCCTCGCCTGGTACTGGTAGCGCTGATTCCTTGGCGCCTTCACCACCTTCTGCTGCCTGCTGCAAATGCCTGGTCCACGAGGATGTCGCTGGGTTAGCGCTCTCATCTCCATCTACTTACATTCAATGTGTAAAAACATGTCGTAGTCCTAAAATTTCTAAGGAGTTTTATTTGTACTACTAGTAACTCTAAGTCAAACTATGACCATCATAGTACACTTAATTGTACGCCAGGAGCTACAAGAACTTTAAGAATGATCTGTGTTATTTTTCCATAGTCACCATAGTACCTCTTCCTTCTGCAGCCTGGTTAAAAAAACCTCCCTGCTCTCCTTGGTACGGAGACATCATCCACATGTTCGTATTCTCATCCAAATAGGGCATCATTGGCTTTGGCGGCATCATACCTCCATATTGATTCCATCCACCAAGCCACCACTGCTCGTCTATCATTGGTTGCTGTTGTTAGAACTCAAAAAATTGGTTGCCTAAATTCAAATTTTAGAGGATTCGCGTTTGCGTGTTTTCTTTTTCGAGATCTAGAGACAAACCAACGGTCGGAGAAACAAAGAGCCTTCTAAAATATGGTTCAAATCTGCTAGAAAATGAAACAGCACGCCTAGAAGTCCGGTCCCTCTATCTAAGCTTCGTCAGCCTAGGGTTTTTTTTAGCTTCTTCAGATTTGAAGTAGGGAAAGCCTTAATGTTGTTGAGACTGATCGATTTGCATCTCCTCATCCGGCTTCGAGTCTACATCATCCCCCATAGACTGATGATCTTCTGGATCTTCTCCTACCTCTTGCAGTTGTAGTTCTTCAGGCTTGTTGTCCTTCTCCTTGATGTTCTTTCCAGCACCTGTCGTGGTAACATGCTGCTTCAGAAAGCTTTTCGTGGCTTCCGTCACTACAGAAGGAGCTTCGTTCGTCAACGTTCTCCTAGTAGAACTGGAACTACTAGTAGAGGCATTTTTCCCATGATCTTTACCATCATCAACGTGACCATCCGCTTCTAGGGAAGTTCCGTTGCGACCACCTAGAACAAACTCATAGTCTAAGTCTTGGTCCTCTTGCTGAACCTGAGAAGTAGGCTTATCATCCTTAAGATCTGAAGGAGCACTTCCTGGGCTGTCTTGTTGAGAAGATGAGACAGCGCCTCCTGCTGTGGGCCCTTCGCTGTCTGCCTGTGGGGACTCGGCCGCTGGTGGAGACTCGGCCGCTGGTGGAGACTCAGCCGCTGGGGGAGACTCAGCCGATGAGCGCGACACTGCTGATTCTTCGCGGTCGTGGAGACTCCCTGCTAGTGCTGATGCTGGATTAGAAGAGGCTCTCAACGAATTATCTAACTTAGACCTACACCTACATTTACGAACTTCGAAGCACCATGTGTCATAATCTTCGCTTTATCCTTGCTTCCATTACGTCCGAACTTTGGTGACTTCTTTTGACTACCAAATTTCAAGGACTGAGCAGGAGTTGGATCTCCTGGTCCTGGTGTCGGTGCTGCCGCCACCAGTGCAAGAGCACCAGAATGCACCACAACAAAACATGGTAAGATAGTACCACGACGAGATCCTCGAGCAGGCACCGAGACCGACTTCATCTTTTTTTTGTACAACAATAGATCTTCAATCGTTTTTCTTCCTTTCTCTTGCAAATACTAACTTTTACGAATAAGAACTCGGTATAGAAAAATGTTGACCAGCACTCAAAGATGACGTTGTTAAGATAAGCGCTGCAAGAACAACTGATTCACAATACGACTCGATGAATTTACCATAGAAACTAATTAGAAGCTTCTAAACCTATTGCATTCACTACCTGATGCTACTCTCAGAGAGCTAAGAACGAGATTGAATGGAAGTTCAGACCAGCGTGCCTGTCGACACAAATACTCAAGTCTATGAAGAGCCTCTACCTGGTTGCATTATCGATGAAGCATGTGTTGGAAGAAGGGATCATCCGTATCATAGAGATAGATGAAGAACCTGAAGGAGGAAACGTTCATGAAAAACAAGAACTTGCAGAACATCATGCAGGAAAAGAGAGAGCAGAATGTCTTCTTCTCATGCAAGAAGAGAAGAATGGAACAAGAATCTTCAGCACATGGACATCATCACGGTACTGCGGCACTGACACTGTACTTCTACATGTAGAGACAACAAAATTGATACATATGGAACTGGAAGGTGGATCAGCAGAAGCTAATCATATCAGGCTGGTAGTACTGCAGGAAATGTAGTTTTTCATCGTCGAAACAAACAACAAGACATTGCAATACAGGCATCCGGCGTGTGCATAGTCTCATCTTGTGAGCCAAAAAGGGATGGAAAATTTGTCACACAGACACATCAGAATTATATCGTTTGATTGTCAGATAGCAACGCACTGTACGATGCGGAAACATCAAGGCTTCACTGAATTTCAATCAACCAAGCTGTGAAAAAATCAAGCGAGCAGTTCAAAACAAGTCCAAATTGATTAAGTACCCCTAAATATGATCATGATAACCATCCACGGTGTGCTTTATGCGCAGGAGCTGGAAGAAAACTATGACCTCTACTTATGAAATAGAAATCACACTTAGTGATTCGTGTTTATTGTTGATGACGACCTAAACCTATGCTTAATATGCGATAAATTCAGTAGCTTGGGCAAGAAAATTTCCCCAATAGAATAGAATAAATGTATCATGATATGTTTTTTTCCGAGGACACAAAGTTACTACATCCCAACCTCCGGATCAAGAAGCTCTTCCTCCATTGTTCTTCTTCCATTCAACCAAGTTTCTCATCTGCGCACGGTCTATCTTGTGCCGACAGGTGGGGTCGGTCACGTCCAAGCCGAGTCTGATCAACGTCCAATTCTCCTCTAGGAGGTGTGCGAAGGCTTGAGGGTATGAAAGCGACGAAAGATACAACCTACGGGGTAGAAGAGAACGAGGAGAGGGGACTTCATCATCTGGTGCGTGTAGTTAGTACTGTAAAACTGGGATAACTAGTTGAGGTTGAGACAACGCTGTTTGGGATAAACGACAGAGACGTATGTTAAGTGAAAATTTAAGGGAGAAGGTACTGAAAAAAGAGGAATTTGTAGTCAAGACAACTTTCCTTTATTTCAGTCAGCAACGAAAAAAATTTCAGTCAGTAACGAGACTCTCATATTTCAACACCAGTCAGTCGCTCGCTACTAGAAGAAAAATACACAATCAAGCACCTTGCGACCATAACACAACAGCTCTATTCCCCGTATCTGCCGAGCCATTGATCCCTGCACCGTTGCCCGACAGCTTTAGCTCCCGCAATGTCTCATTGCTATACAAAGCTTCCGCTATTCCGATAAGGAAATCCGGAGACAGAGAGTTGCTCTCCAAATCGAGGCATTCCAAAGTCTCATTTTCCTCCAGCATTTCCAGAAACGCTTTCTTGATCCCGCGGCTGGAAAAACGGCCTAGTTGGCATCCACGGAGCGAAAGCAGACGTAAACTGCTCCGTTCGCCCTGAACAAGCGGACCACCTCCTGCTCCTTGATCATGTTGTTCCTTCAATGCTTCCAGCAACGTAGGCAACAGCAAGGGTTCGTTTTCCGGAAATTGGATATGAGACAAATCCAATTCTAGCAAGTCAGGATCCTGCCATTTGATTCGTTGAATCTGAAAACAAACCCAATCGGCTGGAGAAGAAGTGAGAGTCAGGGTGAATGGACCTTTCCCTTGACGTTTGTTGTTTGGACTTGGAGAGGAGGTGGTAGAGGATTTCGGAGAAGGTGAAGAAGTTGCGTCGAGTGGGTGTGGGCTTCGTGGCTCCTGGTCATCCACGCTTTTGTTCGTTTTTACGTTTATTTCGGCGTCATTCTCATTCTTGTTCGAATTATCAAGGCACGACTTCTTTCTGTCAGTTTCTGTAGTACACCTACCAGTATCATCTCCTTCTTCTTCGTCTATCTCTATTCCTTCTCTGCTAGGTCTCCTATCTTCGTGATGAATATCCCTGCTGTACAACTCTGCAGCAGCACGTTGCGTGGCTTCTGCTAATGCCATTCGCAAAAATGTTTCATTCCTATGCTTATCGGAGGTTGGTGCCCTTGCAGCTGCTGCAGGTTTATTTAGGTGTACTAAATGGCCAGGTCGCAACAAGGGGTTCGGCTGAGTACTACTATCGAGTTCGAGAGATGAAGAAGCACCATTTCTACCAGTAGTGTTTGCATTGGTATAGTGTGTTGCGTAAGAGGAAGAGAGTTTTGCTGTCATCAATGGGGTTCTAGCTGTAGCTGTTGTTGACCGTGATGTTGCAGAAGAACTCGTGCTGTTGTAGTAGCTGACAGTACTAACATCTCCAACATCTACAAGCCCTCCATTTACTGTCAGTCGCGAGACACTAGCTGTGCCATTCTTCTTGTCACTGCTCCATTTTGTCCCGTGGTGTGTCCCGCGTAGTTGTATACCGTTGAGCAGTCCTCGTTCTCGTATTCTCTTATTGCGGTTGAAGTGAACTTCATCTGGGTGCATTGTTTCTTCTTCAAAACCTGGCGTTTCTCCAGTGACATTCTTAGCGTCCACTCCATCCAGAATATCATGGAGGCCACGCCAGCTGGAACAAGGTACAGGCTTATGCCTAGCAGAAATGTGATGTCGTGTCAGGTCTGCAGCTAAGAGCTCCTTCACCGAAGACACTCGTGTGCAGAACTCACGACACGCATCGGAAATCCCGCGGTCGCCGGACAAGCTGTAGATCAAAGGAGATGACGAGGACGGTGATCCATCCCTGGTGTTAAAAATAGTTCTTGTGAGGTCCTCCTCGAATTCTTGACCATTTTGTTGTTCGTCTCTCTCTTGACCATATGCTCCTGCACTACCACTTCTACCTGGAGCACCACTCGAGCTACCAGTTGTAGAACAAGTACCTGGTCTATTCCTACTGTTATAATTCTCTGTACCACTCGAGCTACTCGTTGTAGTCGTCCCTTCCCCGGATCCGGAACAGGTCGCCCCTTCCATGTCAGAACTACTCCTGCACGACGACGAGACATCGCCAAATAAAGCCGTAGCCCCGATCCTTCGTCTAGGACCTAGTTTTTCTGTTTTCCTAACCCGTCGCCACCATTCATCATGATCCGAATCACTGGAAGTTGTAAGGTCAGAATTATTATCTTCTTGCTCTGGTGAGGCGCAGCTCTCTTCAACAATCTTCGTAGTAGTCCTGTTCTTATCTTCACAACTCATCTGTTTTTGTACCGGAGATGTTGGAGAAGTGTCATGTTCATCAGCTTCAAGATTCTCAATGATGTGGAGGTGGTCGCTCATTCTAGTAGAAGGCAACATAGCGGCACTAGTTGTAGTCCTTCCCCAAACTACACTTCTGCCTCCTCCTGCTCTAGTTGTACAACTATCTGATATAATTTTAGAGGTAGGGTCTTGGCGCTCGTGGACCCCGCTTTTTCTGCCTTTCTCCCTTAGGAAAGGCATAAAAACAAAGCAGGAACAAGAAAAGCACCTTTACAACCCTACCCTTAATAATTGTTGTATCTCGAGGGCCGCTCATTTCTGACCACAATGCGGTGCTTCTGCTATCGGGCACTGTCGTACTACGATTGGAAAACGTGGTCTCTCTGGCATCGAAGCCGTGGCCTCCTCCTTTCACATCTTCCTCTCCATGGAGTTAGAACTAGGAGGAATCCATCTTCAGCAGCATCTTGGGCCTGCTTTCCCCTTGAAAAACGGTCTCAGGATGCCTGTGAAGATGCATTTATTGTAGCCTTAATGTAGTTCCTCTGCGTCCTCCGGGTCCCTATCATCATCTTCAGCAAAGGACTGACGAGTCAGTTCTTGTGATGGCAGAAGTGCTCCGTTAATATTCTTGTTCTGTTGAAGATTCTCCTCATCGTTTTCTTCATCTCCATACTCATCTCCCTCTTCATACCCATCCCCTCCTGCTTCGCCTAAGATCTTCTCCCTCACGTGTCTATGTTCGAAGGTCAGTGCTCGTCTCATGCGGTCTGCCAATCCGCACTCAGCGAGGACTGATCGGACAGCTTCGCACATGTTCCGACAACCGTGAAAGCGCGCATCTGCAGTGATACATGTGAAGTCGATCGCGTCAAGGATTGCCAAAATGTGTGCCACCCTATGGCAGTCACCACCAAACGTGCCCTCCAGCTCAGCACGCGGTCTGCCTTTTAGGAATTCTTCGAGGATATCCCTCAGATACCCAAGATACTCCAACGCAGTCGTTTCGCAGGAGAGGAGCTTGATTCTGTTAGGTGTTGATGAGCCTCGAACCAAGTGACAGCGCTTCCGCATGACCTCATCGAGGTGCAAAAGAATCTCGTCAAAAGCAGAAGCGTCCATTTTTCTTGATGCAGCTCGGTTGAGGTTGTAGATTCGAAAATTTGTATTCTTTTAGGTCAATGGAGGTCTTCTTCTATTCGATAGATCGGCGATAGATGAAGAATCTACAGTCAGCAGCGATTTCACAATGAACCACGTCGTGTCATGTCATGTCATGTTACCTCGGAGACTAGTACGTGGTCAAGTAGTTTTCAGGTCGTTCAGCCTTTTTGTAGTACCTTCTAAAAAGAAGAGCAAGAAGACCGAGTGATAGAGGACTATCAAGTATTCATCTTTCATATTTTCAACAACTACTACTTTTGGGGCCGAGCGTGTAGATACTGAAGATCTGCACAAAAACATGCGTGCTTTTTGAAACGACAAGAGCAAGACCTCCAGGTGAACACATGAGGCTGAGAGAACCTATACAAATACTTAGATGACGCGTTAGAGTTAGTAGTCCTTTTCTAATACTGCGCTGTCGATGCTCGCCCCTAGAGTTGTTTGCAGCAGGCAGACTGCTCCTCTTCTTACTTTTGCTACTGTTCTTCTTTGCGTCGCGGTATCATATAATTGCTTGATGTTAAAAATGTCGTGCGTATTTCGCAAACGAAATCAAAGGTTGATGAGATTGTGTCTTCAATAAACGTTAACGTTCGGGTTCGATACGCGTCCATGATAATCTACAATGATCTACGAAGCTATCAACGGTTCCAAACGTTTTCGCAACGCGGTGAGTTGTCCAAATGCCAGCTCTTCATCTTCACAACGGAGTTGATACAGAGGGCCACGTTGTAGGGCTAGCTTCGTGCGTTTCACAGACTCGAGGCGGAGGCGGTCGATGGGGTCGAGGGTTGTTAGAGAAAGTCGACGATGAGACAGTGATTACAGTGTTGACTAAAGACATTGTCTTTTCAAAGATACAGTGTGCGAGAGAAAAACAGGAGAAGCAGGACAAGACTTTTTGTTCCTAATTGATTTCCATCTCCTGTCTGCGTTACTCCCTCGGTGCCTCCACCTAAGTACGGTATCGCAGCTGCTGGAGGCGAAAAAACAAGATTCTTGCTCATGTCGGTGCTGAGCGTTGGAGTAGAAAAACAGGCAGCAACAGAATCAACGGAGAAACTTTTCGAGCCACCCTTCAAAAGCTGCGCTTGCTCCCCGCTGAAAAGAAAATAGTGTACCACAAAAACCAACGCGACAAGACTAAATCCACACATGAGCAAACATTGCAACCACAGAGCTTTCTCTCGTGGTTTGTGATAAGCGTTTACATCGTCTTCATCCCAGGCGCGGTTGACTTGGTCAAGATTCTGTGCATGCGTCATCTGTGCAGCTGGGGCTTTGTTAGCGGTTCTAGAAGCTTCCACTGCAGAAATCGGGCTCAGGAATCTCGCTGGCTTCACCAGCATATGCTGTGTAACTTCCGTAGCGGAAAAGGAGATGGCGACGACTTGGCTCCTGCGAGCAGTGGTTGAAGAAGATCCTAGCTTCTCTTGTTGCTGGAATGCAGATGCTCCTTGTACTACATCCCCATTGTCTACTTGCAGCACCGTCCCTGTCGCGGAAGCCGATGACATTGGTGCCGTGAAATGAGACCCATACACCGTTTCCGTTTGTTGCGTCGCAGTGCTTGGAGGTACTTTTCCAGTCTCTAAAAAAACCAAGACTCGACCTAAGATAGTCTTCGCTAAGGAGTCAACGTAAGAACTTGTACTTGAGCTTCCGGTAGTTCCACTGTAGTTAGCAGATCCTTCTGTTTTGTTCACTAGCGCCACAATACTTTTCGCCACCCCCTCCTCTGGGCCAGGTTCAGCCGGCAACCACAAGTTCGAAAAGCTTAATGCTAAGGTCCCGTTGTAGCTGAGGTAGGCCGATCCCGATGTACTATTCCTCGTGTCGTTATCTTAGCCTTAGGCAAGTAGGTTTTTGGTGTTCGTGGGTTCTCCCGTTTATTCTATCACTGTCCCCACCTAAGGGAGAGGACGAGAGCCATAACAAACGGTAACAAAAGCACCTCTAACCTACCCTTAATTATTGCTTGTTGGATCTCCTGCTGCTGATGCTGATGATGTGTAGTTGGTGGTCTGGTTCCCCACGACGCGAAAACTATCCTCTTCCACCTTTCCCTCCACTGACAAAGTATCCTGTACATCTTCGATCAAATGAGCACCAGCAGCAACAACTGCCGTGGCTTTCTCGCAAGCGTCCCAAATATGATCTAGCAGGACATCGGGAAATGCTGTCTCAACAATCTGTCTAACTGCGTCTTGTCTCGTTGTGATGTCTTGAACTTCTAGTGCTACAGGGAAGGGAGAAGCTTTGTAGATGTTGAGAGCAGAAGTAGATGTTGAGAGTGAAATGTTCACACTCGCTTTCCCTCTGATATGCATGTATGGTCCCCGCACGTAAGCATACGAAGGGTTTTCGGTGCTGGTAGATGTTGTCGTGGTTGTTGTACTCGGTACAACTCGTGTTACATCTTCCACACCAGGATCCAAATCCCCCTTCCCCCAGTCGACGACTAGGTCCTTTCCGTATGCAAGAACAGCTTTATCTTTCTGAAAAGTCCAGCACCAACTCAAGAGACTTATCAGTCGGACGTAGAAGATCCTCCACGACAGCGCACTACGCCGAGTCGTGCGACGTACTACAGGATCGCAGTCGATGTAGAGTCCCATTTCCACGTTTGAGACGCACTAGAACGATTGGGGTCGCAGTCGATGTAGAGTCCCATTGCCAGTTTGGGACGCACGCATTAGTCCCTTTTTAGCTAGCGGCTGCCTCTAGCGATTTCTCCCATGCTGTGCGCAAAAGCCCTGTGGTCCTCCTTGTTATTGCATGGCCAAATAAGCACAAAACAGCTGCGGACGCGGAGGCCACGAGAAGACAAAGACATAAAGCAACGTCATTATGACATAATTTCTCATTTCATTGTCACTCAGTCTCAGTCATCGTGTAGCTCTCCAATTCAAAGACATCGCGCATCAATGCTGTGATCATCTCAACAAGGACAGGACTTCTACTACAGATTCTTGGACGCAGAAAAAACTAGTACAGACTCTAAGCTCTCGTCTCGTGGTCCACTCCATATTTGTCCTAGTAAGTTTTCATTTGTCTGCTCGAAGACCTTCGGGTAGTACAAAAAAAGAACACGTCCTAGTTTCTCAAAATTGCGTGCGCGGTAAAAGGCACAAGAACCAGAGCTCGAGTACTACCGACTATTGTCGTAAAAATTATATGTCTTCGCTCGATCGCATCGTCATCATACAAGAAGTGAAAACATGGGGTCCACCTTCTTCCTTGCATTTCCACGCGTATTCCTCCGGACAGCACTCGAATACAAGCCCAACCGTAATTCTTTGTATTGACAAAACTGATGACGTTAGTCGCTTCAGCCTGGACCTACGACTTCCCTGATTCAGTGAAGCTCTTCTGTGTTTGCAGACAGGGGACAGTGACTTTTTCTTTATGTTGCATCAATCCCGATTATTTCCTCTTTATTGTTATTGCCATTCCATGAAGTCTATCATTGGCTAGCATGCCAGCCCCTAGACTATACGATGACACCCTGCAGCCTCAAATAATATGAAGTCACGAAGCGCAACGCTAATATACTTTGCAATGAAAATAAGCAGGACAAACTCTACTATAATATGTTGATTACAATGTTTCAGTCTTTTCTGAAACATTGTAATCTTTCCACCAACAAATTCGTCTCTGCTAACCCCAGTGCAGGATCCTCTTTTAGAAGCGTCTGCAAAGCCTCTCGCATAGCAGCCGCAGTCTTCGTATGAAACCAAAATCTGTTATCATTATCGTACTTTTCTAGTTCAGAAACTTGATAATGATAACAGATTTTCTGTTCATACTTCGCGACGAACGGATCCTTCTTATTTGGGTCAGTTCCACTTGGATCGTCACTTTTAGCCGTTTCTTCAGCTTCGGTTTTGCCAGCGTTTGGATCCACGTCTTTTGTCGGGTTGGTGATTAGACACTTTGGCGTCACACGCGAGGAAGACAATGATATGTATGAGAGGTCGTTAATAAACTGTGCTAGGGAATGAATGAATGAATGAATGTACCCACTCCAGGGGTAAAGAGATAAATTTAGCGTGTGAAAGATGTCGTGGACACAGATGACTATTAATGGAGCACACAGACTATTCATCTTCACGAAGCTGTTTCTTGGTAACAAAATCAGTGTGAGCCGCCACCTAATGGCTTGATCATCACGGAGCCAGACTGCGTATGTATCTATAATGTTGAAATGATGAACCTCCTTTCATACGACTTTTATCTTGTCTTTCCTCAGGAGAGTGCGTAGGATGTCAGAGCCGCGAGTCAAGTAGGTCGTCGCCCCAACTGCGCCCAGGGTGACGAGAGCATGCATTAGAGGCAATAGACTAGGGTGCGCCGGTTAGGCTTCAGCTTGGGGACGCAGCTGCTTTGGAGTTTCCTTGCTTTGTCCGTGTAACTAGAAGTACACAGGTGCAGCAAAATAAGGAACGAATGATCTCCTAAAGTTTCGCATGTATACAACATAGAATTAAACTCAGTTTCGCATGTAGACAACATAGAAACTCCTAGAACATCGAATTCGAAATTACTATCCAACATAACAACATCAAGAAACATAGAAACTCCTACTAGAACGTGGAATTCGAACCAACATAACAACTACATAACAACATCAAGAAACATAGAAACTCCTACTAGAACATGGAATTCGAACCAACATAACAACATCAAGAACTGCAAATTGTGAGTCACATCGCCGACCACTGCTCGTTCAGCCTGCGCCTCTTCACTCACCTTAGGCTTGATGGCTTTTGCTTGAGGCAACACCACTAAATCCGTCGACAGTTTCCTCGAGGCAGAGGACATTAGAACCACCGCTTCGCAACTTCCTTGAGAGCCATGTAATCCTTGGAGCCTTATATTTCCCCTTGAGAAAAAAGCTAAGGATGACGTTGAGGAAGAGGGAAAAAGGCTAAGGATGATGTTGAGGAAGAGGATGCTCTCTTGGTTGCCTTAAGGACATCGAAGCTTTCTTTGTTAGGATCACTTCCGAGACGCGGTCCACTTGTGATATAACATCAACAAAACGTTGTACAGGTGCAAGAGAGTCAGGATTTTGATTGAGGAGGGTCCAGGGGATCACGGGTGCTTCTTCCTGAAGGTTTTGTCGTATCCTTGTGCTAGTAGACCCAGCATTAGCCATTTTGCTCTCTAAAAAGCTCGAACTTGAAGACGTCGCCATCTCTGGAGTGTTGATAGTACTACTCGACGTCGACCCGAGGATATTTGCATTCCATGCCTTGGCTTCTTCGGCATGAGGAACCTCTCCAGTCTTGAAAAATTCAACCAAGGCATGATACACGTTAGTACCTAAGACTTCTGCAAACGTACTGTAGGAATCGTCTGCGAAATGGTTACTAGTTCGATTTAGTTTCGTCAACATGCTAATCGCTGCCTTCCGCTCAGCGGATCCTTCTGAGGGAAGGTATAGGTGGAAAAAATCGAGTTTTACTTTTGCTTCAAGCTTGAGGTCGTCGTCATCGTCGTCAGCATCCGCGCGGGTGCTACCTTCTTGAAAATGCTGCAGTTTCTTAGCACGAGCATCTTCCCTCCTCCTGCTGTTAACCTCAATAAATGAAATCGGGTCCTCTTCGGAGGTTTCCGTAGGCGCAAGCTTTTCTCCCTCGTCTGTAGAAGTACCTTCAAAATCTTCAATGTCCATGTCATCTTGTAATAATTCCGTATTAAGACTCGCTGGACCTTCTACCTTGCTTTCCTGGTTTCCAATTTCGATTTCCGCTTCCCCTTTAGTACTTGCGTCGCTAACACGTTTCAAAGACTCCAACTGAGCTCTCGACGACAAAACGTATGCCATATCTTCAATGAGATGACTCGCAACGACGTGGGTGGGCTCGTCGTATGCTTGAAAAGCGTTTTCTAGCAATAATGTGGCAAAACTCTGCTGAACGACGCGGCACATGTTGTACTCTATATCGTGGTGGAAAAAACGTTCTGGCTCAGCATCTGCTTCTGGCTGAGTCTCGTTGTAAGTCTGTAGTAGTTTCTCTTTTTCTTGCTGTTCGTTGAGGAGGATAAGGGATTCTTCTCGTCGTTGTTCATCCCCTACCAGGTCAGCGTCAATACCAGCATTTTTCCCCTGTAGCTGTGGAACGTTTTCTGCATCCCTGTTGTCCTCTTCCATCAGAAAACTACTAGTTGTACTCATCGCCTTCCCGTCTTCTGCTTTCGGTATTGTTCCCATTAAAAACCCCAACGTCAGTGAGCCACTCACTTGCAAGTAATGTCGACGTAGATACACGGCATTCGGATCGAAGGTCGTCGTTGTTGTCGAAGTAGAAGTTGTAGACGAGGTCTTAGATTAGAAGGGAATAGAAAAGGGTCTCTATTGAAGATTGGCGATAGCATCTCACTCGTGTTCCGTTTCACTTTCTCATCTAATTCCAAATCAAGAATTTCCTGACTTTGCATATAGTATCTAGACGCACGAGTAGTTCTGATCTCAGAATCGCATATTAGAGGAACAATCAACCTGAGACGCGGCTGACTGCGCTATGTTGAGCGGCGTCGATATTAATCAAATATATGTAGCGGGTAGAACTCGTCTGGGAAATCTTAGGCAGCTCGCCGAATAGATTCAATTCATCATGTATGACTATGAGTTCTTGATCTTGTCTTCTAGATTTAATGGCCTTAAGAAGACGAGGTCGAGGATGAGGTCGACGTTGAGGAGGATGTGCTCGTAGAGGACGACGTGGACGTGCTGGAACAGGTGCTGGTGCTAGACGATGTGCTGGAGCTTGTGCTAGTACTGCTCGACGTGCTTGAGCTGGTGCTGCTAGATGTCGAAGTACTGGTGCTCGAGGAGGACGACGTACTTGAGGAGGTGGACGTGGAGGAACTCGTCGAGCTTGAAGTAGATGAGCTCGTGCTCGTACTGCTAGACGTACTCGTACTGGATGACGCGGGATTAGAGCAGTCTAAAATGGGCTAACTGTAACTTCTTTAGAGCAACAGATGACATTTTTGCACTTGCTTCTGCCTCAGCCTGAGCTATCAAATAGAATAAGTATAAAAGACCGACAAATAAGCATGCGCCTGATACATTTATTAGCACTCCACGCAGGCGCGGCCATCGACCGCGGGCCCTAGGAGCCCCTGCGCGGTATAGCATTCATTGTAGACAGAGAGACGCACCCCACAACAATCAATACACCGACCGCCAAGAACACACGCGCCGCACGACATGAGGCACACCCCGCGCGAAGTCTTTGAGATTGGCGGCGCCTTCAGCATCATCATGGGCGTTGCCCATCAGCCGGCGGCCCTCCCATCCCAAACAGTGAACGAAGTGGCAACGAGCTGACACACCCTGCGCGCAGCCGCAGGCGTGTTGCTTTTTCTCTCTTTGCGCTTACTTCATAAACAAAAGCCACACGCCAGCTGCCTACGCTACTGCAGCCCTGGACAGCGAGCACCCGCAAGGCCACTGCGCCAAGCTCTCCACCGAGCGACCACGCAGACGCACCCACCATCCCCCAAAAACATAACCCAGCCAAGCCCTCGCCGCCGCCTGACGGCGCGCCGGTTTTTTCGATGTGCTTAGTTAAGCTATTGACCCACACCGAGGCGGCGCCGTTGTCGATGTCGTTGGCGTCGTCCTGTCGCGGTTGATATCCGTCGGAGAGTCCGTCGCTATTGTCTCGCTTGTCAGCCTTGGGGCTTCTCACCCTGCTCGAACTCTTTCACGCAAGAAATGCACGCAAATGGGCCGCCGAATTGTTCGAGAGTCGTCGCTTGATATCTCACCCCGCTTGTCCATCGGTATAGACTCTGCCAGAAAGACATAGCTGGCCCCAGAAAAGAAATCCTATAAAGCTTCCTCTGCGCAGCCGACTATAAACACACGCAGCGAAGTGGATGAATACGACACACAGACGAGTATCCGGTAGGTAGCAGCATACATGTAAGCGAGTTGCTCGCTGCTACCCTTTCCGCGCATGTGTTGACAAGCAGAAGAATAGCAACAATCAGCATAAGCGCGGCTGTTATTGCTACTAAAATATCCTTCACAGAAGCCAAGCCGCTGTCGGAAATTCCCATCAGCAGATCCAAGAAGAATGCTGCCGCACTGTGAACAGCCAACGAAATGCAGGCCGCACATGTAAACCATATGGCATTTCTGGCCTACTTGGATTTATCCGAATCGTCGGCACTATCTGGCATCTGCTGCACCCAATGGGCTGACCGACGGATACGCCTGAGCGTGCTCGGCGGCAATTTCTTAGCGCACTGGAAAACCGTGCGGCGGCACCATCATCCAGCGACTACACTACGCCGCTACGATTCACCCCATACAGTCTGTCAGTCCAGTGAAGTCTTCTTCGATGTCATAGTCGGTAGAACAGCCACCCCAGGAGTTCCCTGGTCGGGGCCACCTAGTCTCGACAGTGGGGTCGTGTGTCCGGTCTTCGGCGCCGTGGTGTCGGTTTGTGGTGAAGTCTCCGCGTTTCCGGTCTTCGAAGGCTGTGCGTTGGATCCTCGACCATGTGGCGCCACTGGCAGATTCCAATCTCCCCACTTTAGACCAGACCATACGTGGTCGCCCGCGTCGCTTGTAGGTGGCGACGGCCGAGGGGCTTCGTAGCCCACGTCTGGTGACCCGTAGTTTCGCAAGTCGTGGCGTCTAAGTGGGGAAATAGGTCTCCCGTCGAGCGCAGTGGATGGATAGAATGACGAAACTTGGCGACCCCCGTAAGTGGGAAAACAGTTCAGACCCTCCCGGACTTGCGTGTTGTTTGGGTTGAATGGTTTATCCTCGAGAGCTACAAAACCACCCGTGCTGATCAAACCCCAACAAGGATAGCCGACCGCGGGGTAGATGTGGCACGCGCGAGAGAAGACAGAGGGCAGCCCTCAACGAACATCGCGGGCGCGTCGCCCGCGAGAAGCATCCGCTGAAATGGTTTCTGGCGCGTCTGCTCCCAAGCCCATCCGAGGCCGGCGCGGAGGATCTCCGCACGAGCTTCAAAGTTGCGGCCACGCAAAGTTTCGCTGCTGAGAGGTGCCCACTTTTGAGACCATAGATAAATATTTAATGAAAGATCACAAAGCCGCCATAAATGAGGTGGTGGACGAGGTCGACGTACTGGATGACGTACTGGTTGACGAACTCGTACTCGATGAAGTCGAAGTTGACGTGCTACTCGAGGAGCTCGTACTGGAACTAGTCGATGAGCTTGAACTCGTTGTACTAGTTGTGATTGTGCTGGTAGATGAAGTCGATGATGTTGTAGTGGAGGTGGTCGTTGTGATTGTACTACTGGACGTAGAAGAAGATGAACTCGTCGAAGAGCTTGTGCTAGTGGAGCTGGTTGTTATCGTGCTGGACGACGAGGTTGAGGTGGAACTAGTGGACGACGTAGTTGTTGAGGTGGTGGTAGTTAAAGTAGTCGTAGTTATGGTGCTAGTTGAGGAAGTCGAGCTCGATGAAGTCGAGCTCGAGGTACTAGAGGAGCTCGTTGACGACGTTGTGGAGGTTATCGTAGTCGTCGTTATCGTCGTTGACGAGAGCACATTAGAGATGATAGCGAACTGGATCATAAAAAGCGTGACATTCTCCATGCCCAACAAATTCCATTGCAGTAACATCATTCTGTCTCTAATATGGCTTGTATAGTCCACGCCCAGTTCTACAAAAAACAAAAAACGCTCGACGAGATGAGGATAAACATCTTCATATAGCCTTAATAGTACTTGAGCTGCTGGTAGACGTAGTGCTGGTCGTGCTCGTTGACGTCGAACTACTTGACGTTGAGCTACTCGATGTCGTTGACGTTATGGTTGTTGTCGTAGACGTCGTCGTGCTTGTGGTGCTTGAGCTCGTCGACGACGATGTCGAACTAGAGGTGCTGGTGCTGCTCGACGAGGTGCTTGACGAGGTAGAACTACTGCTTGAGGTGCTGGATGACGTGGTCGTCGTGGTGTTGGAAGTAGTGCTGCTACTCGTGCTGGTCGTCGATGTCGTTACGGTAGTCGTAGTAGCAGTTGTGCTGCTGCTAGTGCTAGAGGTGGAGGACGTGCTGGAGGAGGACGTGCTGGAGGAGGAGGTGCTGGAGGAGGACGTGCTCGTTGTCGATGTCGAAGCGGTCGTAGTCGACACAGTGGTGCTTGATGTTGTTGTACTTAAAGATGATGTCGTTTCGCTGGTACTAGAGGACGTGGAACTAGAAGTAGCTGAGGTGGTCGTACTCATCGAAATAGACATACTCGAAGTGGTACTTGTCGAAGTCGAAGAAGTACTCGAAGTACTAGATGAAGTACTGCCCGTTGTGTTGGTGTCAGTGCTATTTTTGCTGACGGCAAAAAGGTCTTGGTCTTCTCTATTGCTAAGAGCAGCGAGTGCCCATGACGGAACTGAAGAACCTGGTGTAGAATCGTAAAGATCCGTCACGGATGTCATTGCATGTAGTTAATCGTTACGAGAATTCAAAAAAAGCCGTTAAGAGTCTTGAACAAAGCTGCTGACGATCTTGATGAATCTACTCGTGAGCAATACGAGTGTGGCTTCGAAATGTACCTCCTGACAGTGCCTCATCGTCCCCTGCCTCCTCTATAATTTCCGGCTGCTCAACTCGTGTTACATCTTCTACACCAGGATCAAAATCCCCCTTTCCCCAGTCGACCACTACGTCCTTTCCGTATGCAAGAACAGCTTTATCTTCCTGAAAAGTCCAGCACCAACTCAAGAGACTTATCAGTCGGACATAGATTCTCCACAACAGCGCACTACGCCGAGTGCGACGTACTAGGGGATCGCAGTCGATGTAGAGTCCCATTTCCACGTTTGGGACGCACTAGAACGATTGGGATCGCAGTCGATGTAGAGCCCCATTTCCACTAGAACGTTTGGGACGCACGCATTAGTCCCTTTTTAGCTAGCGGCTGCCTCTAGCGATTTCTCCCATGCTGTGCGCAAAAGCCCTGTGGTCCTCATTATTATTGCATGGCCAAAGCACAAAACAGCTGCGGAGGCCACGAGAAGACAAAGACATAAAGCAACGTCATAATTTCTCAGTTCATTGTCACTCAGTCTCAGTCATCGTGTAGCTCTTCCTTCTTTTTTTTTTTTCCTCCTACTACAGACTCTAAGCTCTCGTCTCGTGGTCGACTCTTTATTTGTCCTAGTAAGTTTTTATTTGTCTGCTCGAAGACCTTCGGGTAGTACAAAAAAGGACACGTAGTTTCTCAAAATTGCGTGCGCGGTAAAAGGCACAAGAGGCAGAGCTCGAGTACTACCGACTATTGTCGGAAAAATTATGAGTCTTTGCTCGATCGGATCGTCATCACAAGAAGTCAAAACATGGGGTCCACATTCTTCTTCTCGAAAAAAATCTTTTGAAGGATATGATATCTGGAGAAAAGTTCGACAATCTAACGGGTTTGTACTAAAGAATATAAACATGCGGGTAGTGGAAGAGGACTCTCTCCATCCTACCCCATATCGAATGGCCATGATCCACACAATGCTCGCCATCAATTGATGTGCTAGTAGTACCCATTGTTCGCGGTCGTGTACTAGTAGTATAGCTGCTATCTTCTTCTGATGTACTATAAATAGTAGAATATGAAGATTATGCCTTGTTGTTCTCTAGTACCCCATCAACGGCTGTCCCACCCTAATCTTCTCACCCTCCTTGCATTTCCACTCGTATTCCTCCGGACACTCGAATACAAGCACAATCGTAGACCCCATCTTAAAACCGCCAACCAAGTCGCCTTTATCCAACTTCAAGAACTTGCTCCAACCTCCCCATCGGCATGAAAATTCTTTGCTCGTAACCATATTCGATAGTTCGAAAGGCGCATGGTGATCATTGTTCGTCCTCAGAGCATTGTCAAAATCCAGCCAAATACCTCCAACGTTGTAAGCGGCTACTGCTGTCATGTGCATTGCTAAGTGTTCGGGAGAAGACTTCGTGGAATTCGAATTGGATGGGGCAGTAGAGGCACTTCTTAGGTTCATCTTGTTCCTCTTGTCGTCTGATGAAGCATCTTCAATGTGTTCCGAGGAGGTTGTACTCGTTGTAGAAGCATTCGAATCAACGTCTTCACTAGTCCTCCAACTTCCACCACCGCTGGGAGTCCAACTTCCACTCAGCACTACCCTTTCATTGCAGGTAAACAGGTCTGGAACTCGATCTGCCCATGCGGGGTTAACGGGGAAGAATTCTCCAGGATAATGCCTTCCAACGTCTACTCGGAAGTTCCCTACTGGCGAATGAAATCTATGGTAATCCCCAGGTGCTAGGTACAGGACACAGTAGACTAGTTTTACGCCATCGGTTTTCTTCGCCTCGTTCATCATCTGCGCTAGCTTTTCGTCCATTATCCTTTGTGCTTCTGCTTCTTCTTTCTGTCTAATTTGTTCCTCCTCGAATTGCTTCTCCATCCTCTGATGAAATTCTGAATTGAAAAACGACTTCTTCTTTGCATCTTCCCGTTGTTTTTTCTTCAATGCGGAATCCTCATGTTCAGTACCTCGCAAACTAGATTCAGCGACTAAGGTAGCCAAACTAGCTGACTGCGTTTTACTCCCGCCATCGCCTTGGTCTAACTCTTGTCTAGACATCAAACCGGGAACGCCTATCCTGGCGATCTTCGCCTCCTTCTCCTCTGCAGACTCTTCATCGGAAGTGTCGTGTTCTTTGCTGTGAAACTCAATTCGGCCAGCGTCGACGTCTTCTTTGGTAAAATTGTAGAGCGGTGGCCGCTGTCGAATGACTCGCTGGGTGACCTCCTTTCTCTCCGCTTCTAGGATTATTTCGTCCACTTTGTCGCGCGTCTCCTCCACCCCTAAGGAATGCATTCGGACGCCGCCATAACCTGAGGTTGTGAAAATTGTGCAGCTGGTAGTTAGATTATTCCACGTTGTTTCGGAAAGATGAAGATGAGGTCACCGTCACGTCTCCTGGTGGTGAGTTCTGGAAAGTAAGAGCGAAGAGGACTCAAGATGACCTAACAAACAACTTCTACGAGTCAAATCACAATGTAGGAACAGAAAGTACGTTCTCCCGGCTTCCCAAACCTCCTTCGGTCGATGATATTCCTATATGGATCCGTTCCCAAAAAAGCCGTTATGTCGTAATTAGCGCCCTTCACTTGCGGTATCCTGGCTTGCGTCTCCGTAATTTCGCCACATGCTACTAATCTAGCGTCTACTGGAGACACAACAGGACAATGCTCATCTACCGTGAAGACACCATCGTTTAGGCTGCGGGAGAAGAACTCCTGAAAACAGGCGTAGGAGTCTAAGGGATAACGGCATTCGTCTAAGTTTACGTCATAGATGCGCGCGAATAAGGAATAAAGCGGGACCCTCCAGCTATGCGGTAACCGCACCTCGGATTGGGATTAGAGGTTGAAAAGAGTATGAGGCTCGGTGTAATTGTCATGTCATATGATCAAGCTCAAGAAGCATTAGTAACAAAATTTTGCGTTTCTTTCTAAACTACTGCTTGATGAGTATTGCTTTTTGAACTTTGACAGTTGTAATCCATGTGCAGTTGTTCGTCCATAAAAATATTTCGCAAATCGGCTCCTTGCTGGCCCAAATAAGACGCGCATGACCCAAATGAGACTTGGGTCCTCGAGTCTGGCTGGGTTGCCCCTCATATTGACGGTATGAACGAAAATCCACTTTGCATACCAAAGCCAAAAGGTCCCAAGAGAAATCAAAAAAACCGCCCAAACACGCGTCCCTGTTGTTTAGTGGAAATAAAATGTAAAAAAAAACGTGGACACACACGGGAATGGATCCCGTGGAGCTGTTCTTGTAGTGGAGAAGGAGATCCATGCTGTTTGTAAGTGTGAAATCCTTGCTCTTTGTTGCCTCGTAGTTCAAGATTTCGTCTATTCATAATTTACTTGATCTTCCCAAACATTGATTTGTGAGACCATTTACTTGATTCCCAGGACGAAGATCCTGAAAAAACATGATCGCGAGCAGAAGCAGCTGCAAACTAATTTCATGAAGATCTCATTTGCTGGCGCTCCGAACCTAGGCTATTTTTAAATGTTGTTGCTGCTGAGTACAGAATGAACAAGTCACCTGCTGCCGCAGTAAAAATTGTAATTCACCAGGCGACCAAAATGTCCGCTCTTGAAGTTTTCATTTACGAAGCAAGTGCTCTACGAAAAAAACCTAAAACTGGGAAAGCTAAGCACAAAGGTTGAGAGAGACGACTACATAAAGATGAAAAAGGAAAGTACAGAAAACGCGTCCTTTGTAAACGTTGTATCGTTCGGAGTTGTACGAGCGGAATCTCACCGGCGGCGAATAAGGCTCAGCATGCGGTACAGGCAAAATTCTTTCGCCTGCTTTCTTTGTCACTGCAGAGGAGGTGCCTTCGGATGTCGCTAGTTCACTAGAACCTCCCTCGGATGTCGCTAGTTCGGTCGAATCTGACGTCTTTGGTTTGAGCAGTTCCTCTGGGAATGAAAGCAGATAGCGAAGGGTCCTCTTCTAATTGTAATTATTCAGATAGCGAAAGGCTGGCACTACTACTACTAGGGTCAAAACTGTTGTATATTTAAACGTAAATTTTTCTGTTCAATCCTCCCTGTGCAATATTTTTAGTGTCGATACCCACGACGTGGACATATCCTCCATAACTTAATCTTTACGTTCTTCCGCACCAGCATTACATTCCCAAATGCTTGCCTTGGCGTTATACCAGGTAATGCGCCAGGCGTCGGCTGTGTATGCGCCGGTCCCTTCTTCACGACACTAGACCGAAATGGCCACGTGGAGAAAGCACGAAAGATCGAGGATGCTATAGCTGAAGAGCGCTGCTTGTTCTGCTGGTTGACTACTTCGAGTGAATTCCGTAAAGATGAGCTAGATGAAGATGACGAGGACCCCAGTTGGAGGGATCGGCTTTGCTGACCTAGTTGTACTAGTCGCACATGATCAAAGGCCGCGGGACTCTGCATACTAGTTGTACTAGGAGAACCAAGAAGGGTCGTAGCACTTCTGCTCTCTCCATGAAAAAGTGGTATTCTACTACACGACGATGCGCTAGTACGCCAAGAAGTACTCCTTATCCCCTGACCAAGATTCGAGAAATACATTCTCCCCACTCGTTGGGCTGCAGGAGCCAACATTTTTGCGATCTTCCCACGGCTTGAAAAAACATCGTGCGAAGGTCCTAGTGCTCCGACACCAGTGGGTAGCAACGAGGATGTTGCGGCGGACCACATGGTTGATGTAGTTGAGGTTATGATGAATTTGATTATGCAGCAGCAAGGAGAAGGCCCTCACCAGAAGGTGGACTTCTGCACGACTTCGAATACTACTAGCGAGGTGTTTGATGTACAGGACGTTTTTACAACAAGACGCTCTTAAAAGAGTAGTTCATCATCTTTACGAAACCGCTACAACAAGTCAAATTTTCCACGATGTAATTGTGCAAATGCCTCCTTGTTGATTTCGTTCTGGAGCTCTTCCTCTGTTCCTGTGATGTTGATGCTCTTGTGCAGCAGGTCTCTTTTCGACGCTTTCCCTTGTCCTCCTTCCACTTGATCTTTTGCAAAAGCCAACATACGGCGACTTAAGTCTTCCGCATCTCGCGGCAAGCACATAGCATGGTGAATTAAGGCTGCTTTGAGGGAATCTTCCGTAATGCGAGGCGGTGCGATTCCAGCAGATGAGTTGTTGTTCCCTCCTTCATACGTAAGAGCTCCGAAACTGATGTTTGACAAGACCTCAAAGAGATAGTTGATCTCTTCATCGTCCTTATTCTTGGTAGCCACTGCTCGTGCATGATTCGCACCCGGCTTTCGACACGTTGATGCAGTTGCCATTTTCTTTCTTCTTAGAAGCCTTGAAGAAATCACGACGCGGATTTACCAAAGATGAAGAATGGAAGACAGAGAATTCTGTAAGACACAGCATTTTTCCAAAAATTATTAGACAAGAACTCGTTTCAATTTCTGTCACGAATAGTGGTGTGTGATTAAACAAGTGATGCGTCCGTATAATGGTTGAGGTAAAGTAATTTAGCAGGCAGTGATAATACTTAATCTACTAACTCTTGGAGGTTATTCACCATCTCACGTTGGAAGATCACCATCTCCTTCATCGGCTTTACTTTTTCATTCGCCATGTTGATCCTGTCCAGCTACTTTTTCTACCTTGTCCAGCTACTTTCGTTTCAACCTTTTTCTTTGATTGACCAGCATCACGACACAGAGGACTTCTTCTTCAAAAACAGTACACTGCAGCGGAATCGTAGGCGCGGTGTGCAACCGACAAGATAAGATAGACTAAGAGGATCGTTTTTTTTCGAAGTTGAAGTCACAAGAACATGTTGTAGATACATAGCATGAATAGGGCAACAACTACCCCAACAGTTGATGTACAATTAAAATTAAGTGTATTAAGAAAGTAGATCATAGAAAAAAAACAATGTCCGAAGAACTTCTACATCCTCGCTTTCACCAAATTCCCGCCATCTACAACCAGCGTCGTCCCTGTTACCCAAGCGCTCGCTGGTGACGACAAGTAGATACAAGCTGCCCCAACGTCACCTGGCATACCTAGTCTTGGAATCGCACTTTTCTCCGCAATCAGTTCCTTGCCAGCCATTTCTATGGTTCCTCGCATCATTCTAGAAGGAAATGCTCCTGGTGCGACGTTGTTCACGCGGATTTTTTTCGGTGCCAGATGCATGGCCATGGAAGTGGTGAGATGATTCAACCCAGCCTTTGAAGCCTGATAAGAGTAGGTTTCCATTTCGGGATTTCTTAAACCGTTGATGCTGGTGATGTTGATGACGGAAGAATAGTTCTCACCAAGTGCGGCTTCATCTGCTGCTAGTACACCTGCATCCCCAGTATCTCCACCTCCAGCCGTTCCCGTTGCAGCTGCCTCCAGCATGGGCAATAGTTTTTGCGTCATCAAGAAGACAGCCGTCAAGTTTAGATGCAACACTTTCGCGAACAGGTCTGCACGTTGGTTTTCGAACATTTCCGCATAATTCGTGCCAGCGTTATTGACTAGAACATGCACTTTACCGCCAAAATGTTCCTTGCACCAGACGAAGACGCGCTGTCTGCCAGCTTCGGTGCCTAGATCACAGTCTGCTAAGGCTGTACAACATGGTTGTGCCGCTGTTGAACTTGAACAAGAAGAAGAAGGAGATGCACTTGCACTACTTGTTCTATTAGTTCTATTAGAAGACGTAGTAGTCGTAGTTGTAGTTGTAGTTGCTGTTGCTCTCTGACTCAACTCTTTCGCATAAGCAGAGGAGTCCTTACGACTGCAGATCAGCACTTTTGCGCCATTTTCCACAAATGTAGCCGCTATCATGGCTCCGATCCCGCTACCGCCACCAGTGACGACGACGTGCTTCTTGGCGACATTGAAGAGACTGGAGACGCGCAGTGGCGAGGAGGCTCCACCAGGAGGCAAGACGTTTTCGTTAGCAACGGCCTTGGGCATTTCTTACTTTATTTCTGGGTCTTAACTATAATAGTTTTCTCTTGGTGTTCTTCTCAATCTCAGAAACGGATGAAGATTCTGATACAAATCTACTACTTAATCTACAATAGTACGCTCTGATACAACTCTACTTAATCTAAGTACAGTGGTACGCTCTGATACAACTCTACTTAATCTACAGTGGTACGCTCTGAATCTGATACAACTCTACTTAATCTACAGTGGTACGCTCTGATACAACTCTACTTAATCTACAGTGGTACGCTCTGACACAACTCTGTTGATACTACAGGGTTCTGTGATTTGGCACTCCCAGTCCCACTCAAGTCGATCTTCTTCAACGCAAAAAAAGAAATCCCAACAACTGCGAGTTACGTGCATCACCGCAACTGCAACTGGACCAGACAGAGATCTACTGACAGGCTTTGCCCAAGGTTGAGGTAGAAGGTACGACCACAAGGAGAGGCACCATCTCCAGAGGAGGTATATTTACCAATGAATGCCAGCCTTTCCTGAAACGCAGTTCTTGTTCGTTATTCTTTGCATTATCAAGCTCACCGAGGATGGTGGGTGTTTCTTGATTTCAAGTGGGGGGCTCAAGTGCTCTGGTTCAATCGGGAGGTTTGACACACTAGTGGATATAAAAATTTCAAATAAGTCTACTTTGCATGCATTGATGAAAAAGTAAACGAAAGAAAGTTGTTGACGTTGAAAAGTTCATTTTTTGTAATCATCAAATCGAAATCTTCTTAATCTGTGTAGTATGAGCTTTCCACATCACTAGTCCTAAATCATAGTCCTCATGTGAAGGTCTCTGTTCAGGTAGCCTATGCAGAAATGGTCTATCCACATGCACAGGACAATACTCATTTAGGAAACGCGCAAAAAACAAAAATTATCATTTTCACTATCATTCTATGTATAATCTATACCTTTACCTTCATTCATATGTATTAAAATCGAAAATTTTTTAAGTACTATCTTCTTGGAAATACATTTGATTTATTAAGTGCTGATATAGATTGTATCATCTCCTTCCATGATGACCGCCATAGTGCTGGTGGTGCCCACGTGGTTCCGACCTCAAACTATGCCCCCTTGTCATCTGTTGCTCAGAAGAAGTTGTACTGCTACTAAATCCTCCACTACTACTAAATCCTTCCCGTCCTCCGACTCCAAAACCTATATCTCCAAAGTCTAACCACGAAGTCGGATTCATATTCTCCAACGATGGAAGCTTTTCCCAAACCTTCTCTAAGAAGGTTGCGGCCGGTTGCTGCTGTCCTTGTTGGTTGCCGTCGTTAGACCTTACCGATGCATATTTTATTCATCAAGAAGAGCATCTTGGTAGTCGTTTTCTGTTAACAGCATCCATCTTGGTAGTCCGTCGTTTTCCGTTACAAAACCCTACCCGCAACCAAGATGCTTCCCCTCAAGAAGATATCATTATTATTATTATTATTGAAGGGGTTCGCCAGACAGGGAGATATGAGTTTGAGTAAGCCGTAATGTTGGAAAGATTTACCATCCTTGTCCGGATGCTATTTGCACCAGGGTCGATAGCGCAATAACTGAAGTACAAGAAGATGGACAGGGACGTATGGATTAGAGGATTTTTGGATTTTTTTCATTGGGGGAGTCCCTCTCCATCAGGAGATGCTGTTTTAGGGCCGCGTAGATTGGTGGTTCTATTTGCTTCTTCCTTCTATATGGAAGATTTATTTTGGTTCTATAATATAAGTAGATCAATATGGTAAATTGGTTCTATGTATAACTATGAATATGAATGTTAATATGAATCATGCTAGTATGAAGTACAAGAAGATGGATGTTATGAAGAACAAGAAGATGGACAGGGATGTATGGTTTTGTAGCGGATTTTTTTCATTACAGGGTCCAAATGGTATTGAGGTCTTTTCAGCCAGCTTGTGCCTTCGGTTAGGTTAGGTTCAAAATCCTGCACAACGAGTCCGCCCGGGACGTGACGCGACTCCGAGGATGATGGGTGTACCTTCACCAGTGCAAGATATATCCTTCCTACGCCAGCTTGTACATTCTCTAAAGAAGAGCAACCTATATATCCTTCCTACAGGAGCCATAACATGACAAGACCGTATATGGCATAGTAGTGCCATTCCTCGTTCCAAGCCTTGTTCTCGATCTGTTCCTCCAAAAGCAGAGGACGCTCCGTAGCTTGACTAGTAGGACTGCCGTTGTCTCCACCTGCAGACAGACGTGGACTTTGTGCTGCTATTTCGGCTTCTAGAGCGGATCCTTTGCGCGACATGAAGGACCTGTGAAGCGCCCTGGAGTTAGAGCAGGTTGCGCAATTTTTACCTTCGCCAGAAGATCTCACCATAATTGACTTCCACTTATTATTTCCTATTGGCAAGAAAATTCGTAGCGAAGGTGGATACAATTTTTTGATAACCCTTAATGGAGTGGGAACTGGCTGTGCTAGCAAATCTATCAAAAGGATCGTCATCCGTTGAGTCCTGATGGGGAACTGTTAGAAATTCTCTATCCTTTGGATGTGGATGTTCCCCAGGAGCAGCTTGAAGATGTTCATCGTGTATTAGATGAGGTGGTTTCACTTTCGCAAGAATTGCATTCTTCATCGTCAGACGATCCACATCCACCTTGGCGACGACCTCATTTCTATCGCACTGGTCTAAAAACCAAAAGTCAACAAGGATGGTTATGCTAGTGGAGGTGGATGCTAGTGGAGAATGCACATTATGTGGGAGCTCGCGCTCGGAGCCTTAAGTGTATTGGGGTAGTCCCAGCTTCCATTGGTGTTTCGCTCTGTCGTTCACTAAGCATCCTAGCGTCTGGTACTGTCGAGGGATCCAGACGTTGCTGTGTAGTTTCTTGTGCTCCTGCTTGTGCTTCATTACTACTATTAGAGGTACTAGGTTACGGAATTCAACATCTCTACTCAGGCTCAGCTGCATCGTCTCTGAAAATAAATATGGGGCGAGAATATATATTCCCTGTGATACTCGTACTCCCTCATACTTCTACTCAAGGACGCAGAAGTCAAAGATGATTTAGAACAAGAAGTGAAAGCCATAATACCACCAGCATTCAGCAAACCAGCTTTTTCTTCCTTCTCCTCTTCCTCCTTCTCATGCAAATACTCCTCATGTTCGGCGTCTATTTCTAGAAAGATGGGAATCACCGCCATTAGGGGATGAGTGGTGACCTCTCTCGCTCGCACATCTATGGCTTTCCCACTTGAAGAAGCCATAGTAGAGATGCGCATAGATAGAGAGTGGTTGAGGTAGAAGAACAAAAACGTCGAACAACCAGCGTGAAGAAGAAGAGTTCATAGTTTAGATATCTTTTCAAAAAACAAGATATTTATTAGAAGAGCAGAACATCTATGGCTTTCCCACTTGAAGAAGAGATCGAAATGCTCTCAGATGATATCGAGAGTGCAACTTCCACCCCTTAAAGCCATGCGCCACACTGGGAGCGTTATTAGGATCAGAATGATGTCCATGATATTGGCAATCCACGACCTGGCGATCTTAGATGGAGCAGACCCGGTGAAAGAGACTCCACTTCCAAGCTCCTCTACGTCTTGTCGGATCGCTTCGGTTAGAGGTGATAATTGATTTGAATTTCAAATGTGGCCACGTCGAATGAAAATTATGGCTGAAAGAACAAAGGTAAAGACTAAGACATTCATTGATATTATTACAGGTGGAGCCAAGCTAACTAGGAAGAAAAAGAACATTCATTGTTGATATGATTCTGAATATTAAAGTAGATAAATTCAAATTCATTCTTTTTATTGCCATAATTTAAACGCAAAAGCGAACAAGTGCTCCACAGCTGTCCCGATAGCAATACCAGTGCACTCGTTAATCTGAGCTCGAGCCATGTGGAAGGCTTCGTCATGCTTGTATTTACCCTCAAACATCCGCTCTTGCGCGAAGGTCAGGCCGTTGATGAGCGCAAACCCTACAAGGATTAAAGGTTGCAGTTAGTTCTTCACTATCTATACATAGTGGTCGTTGAGTGGATCATCCGTGAGTTTGAGTTACCCCGCCCTGCTAGGTTTGTTCTTCAATCTATCTTCGAGGGGACGAGTGATGACCCAGCACTCAGCATGACGCTAATCGGCATGAGGTCGAGGTAACTAGCGCTTGAAGAAATAAATAGAATCATAAAGGGAAGGAAAACACCAAAGTGACCAACTTGAACATTATGGGGTCGCGGACTGGAAAAAGACAGGCTGCGGTCCACCTGCAGCAGAGTAGCAAGAGCCAGGCGAAGATCATGCCGAGGAAAAGGTTGGCGAAGCCACAGAGGCGTCGTAGGTAAGCCTGAGGAATCTTGGTGTCGGACAACTGGCATTGACAGCTGAACCGCATCAAGGGGATCATCACCGGAACGTAGAGTAGGAAGACGAGTGACATTAGAGATTGAGATACAAGGAGACAGAGACTGCCAAGCGTTAGTTAAGTAACCTTTTTTAGTTTGAGCTCTAGTTAACCATTGATTTAGTTTTTTGGTCCATTCATTTTCTAGATACTGCGTCGCATCTTCCTTCTTCACGAAACAGAGACTGAGAAGCGTTAGTTCTTAACCATTGATTTACTTAGTTCTTTGGTCCATTCATTTTCTGCCAAGCGTTAGTTCTTAACCATTGATTTAGTTCTTTGGCCAACAGCGTTAGTTAACCTTTTTTAGTTTGAGCTCAGTGCTTATTTAGCAAGTGCTTTATTTTCTTTGCCTTGTCCACCTCTTTAGTTCTTTAGTTAACCATTTAGTTTTTCTCCTTGAAAAAGGTGAGGATGCGGATGCGCGGGATCAAAATGGTGAGGATGCGCGCTTAATGTTAATGATACCTTTCCTTAATGATACTATGAAAATCTCACCGCCTATGCCCGACGTTGGTCGGAAGTAGAGCCACCCATCGAGGTGTGAAGGATCTTTGGTCACCTTGGCTTTATCGTAGCCTCTTGGAGCTTGCTCACCATGATAGTCTGGTAAGGCGCCGACGACTTGGTATTGTAGCAGCTGCACTACCAGAAAAGCGGTACCGACACCGTGGATCTCGTTGCGGGTTAGAAGTACTAGTACTTACTACGTTGTACTATAGAAGCAGCGTATAATCATGAATCCTCGGGTAGAGAGAAAATGAAGATACCAACCACTGCAGCTAAGTACTCACGCAAATGTAGTTGACACATTGGCTACAACTACATATTCGATGGATTCATATCTATTTGACCAGAAGTTTTATTAGGTGACGTACTTCAACGCATAATGTACACAATTGGATGGTCTTGAACCATCCTGGTGGCTCGGTGTCGATATGGTGTTTGCCTCGATTTGGTAGGTTCGTCCACCCCCAGAAGAGCCTTTCCACTGTGAAAACTAGCAGTGCGTACAGGATCGAGATCAACACGACTACCATGGATGGCACGTAGTCCTTCTTTTTCCAGAAGACGTACTGGAATGCGTAGTAGGTGTGGATTGCCGCGAAGATATTCGCATGTGTCAGCAACAGCTTCCAGAATTCGATGGCTATGTGTTTTCTCTTCTTCGCCCAAGCCGTCTTATCCGCTGCAGTGAGCGCGCGGAAGACGTTCCCAGCCCAAGGAAGAAGACCCTGGAGTGTGCACATGAGGACAACAGTTAGAAAAGGGAGAGAGGAACAAGGGGTCGTGGTGCTGGTGGCGCTGTTCATCTAGTTTTATCCCGCCAAGAGAGTCTACTTACTTCCAAGAGACTTCTAGTCATCCAGAGCCATAACAGCTGCACTATGAAGTTCAGCAACACCACAATCGGCGCTTTCGACCAAACATTAGGGGTTGAAGAAAGTTGGCGTCTCTAGCTCGCATATCCATGGATTACCTACTTACTTGAAGAAACCATGGAGATGCGCATAGAGATGTCAACTTCCAACCCTTAACAACACTTTCTGCCTCGTCTATCGCTGACATGTCCGTCAACAACCCCGTCATCGACATGAAGCCACGCACTAGCAAGTCGTAACTTAGAAGACCTTCCGGGAATCCATCTTGAGAGAGAGTCAACATCTTGAGAGAGGGTCTCTTTTTCCCTTAGAGAGTGCCCCAAGAAGCTTTTCAAAATGGGAGATTCCCGGAAGCCGTAAGTAACATCGCAATGCCAAAAACACGGAAATGCCATAGTGCACCAAGAACCAGAGGTTACGCCGGACACCGATACGTTGATCCGATCCAGTGAGCACGAAGACGCCGAGCAGAAAGCAAAACAACAGCACGATGCCGGTTGACAATGCTTTGGCACCGCTATCAAAATCGAAGGATGGCGCTTTGCTTGAAGTAGCACTCTCCAACAGACTACTAGGAGCACGTGCTGTCCACAACAAGCTGTCTAACGACCATGGCGGAGGAGGTGGGCCACGATCTAGGTGGTCGGTTAAATGAGGATTTGATAGTCCGGCGGTGTGATGCTGGTGCTCCTGATGTTCCTGACCTGCTAATCCTCCACGACTCCTAAAATCATGTCCCTCTTGTTGTTGAAGTTGGTGACCATGCTGAACCTGTGCAGCCGCTCCTTGTGCGGCCAATCCACCTAGATAGTTCTGCATGCTCCCGCTGGCACTAAGAAAGACTTCCCGAAGGTCTGTGGGGGATGACAACGATGCACCCGCGGAGGAGGTTGAACCCGTAGCTGAGACTACCATTTTCTTGTTTTTGGATTTTAAACTCGATTCTTTCCTATTTGACCTAGTAACAGTTAGGAAAAACTCCCTGTCCTCTTGTGATGTTTTTAGCTAGCCATCATGATAGAGGAATTCTGGCACGACTATTGATGCTACCATGCTTTAGGGGGTGCTCGAGAAGATGTATTCTACAACTCATACATAGTTTCACATTTTGAGACGAAGAGAATTTGCTCTAAACTAGTCTCCCGTCTTCTCAATGGGCTACAGGGTTGGGGCAATCGGTAGCAATATACCGATACGATCCGACACCTCCACCCGATTCGCCATAGCTGGTCTCTCTCTCTCCGTATCGATTTGTAGGGAGTACTACACTTTTGCTCTTATGGTCCTCGGCAGATTCGAGACGAAACGACAGATCCTCGACAGATTCGAGACGCGAAGAGCCTGGCATTTACTTGTTCAACTATGGTCCTCGACAGATTCGAGACGCGAAGAGACTGGCATTTTTACTTGTTCAACTATGGTCCTCGACAGATTCGAGACGCGAAGAGACTGGCATTTCTACTTGTTCAGCGATGGTCAATACGATAGTATCATTTTGTTTTTTCAAGTCAACGAACAACCTCGATTGTCAAGTTCAGCATAGTGCTCATATTAGTCATACGCACAGATGATTACATGCAAGGTGGGGGGTAGTTCCTCCTACGTACAGGGCTCATCACTCAACGCTCCGCAGCAGCACGCCAGGATCCCACTCTGACCCGAGAGCCCAAATGCGCCTAGTTTTTCATTTCCAAACGTTCTAAGAGATTTGTTCCCAACGTCGCTTGTGTAGTGGGCTACCCTCCAAACGACGTTCAAGAACAACCAAGTTCGATATTATTCCGAGAATGAGCATCTAGATTCGCGCTCGGCTTTCATTGCCATTCAGTGGCATCTTTGTGTGATTCTTTGAATGTCAAATGCAAGGTGGGGGGTAGTTCCTCCTACGGTAGAGGATCTTATCTACCAGTCGCCCACGTAACCTCGACGTGTTTGTCCCAGAATTCCGCACCATTCAGGCTTTCTACACCCTGCGTCGCCGCTTCTTCTGTATCAAAGAACAAGAAGCCAATACCCTTCGAGTATCCGTCAGCATCTTTGCACAGCTTGATGCGGCGGAGACAACCAGAACGGCCAGAGGACTGAAAATCTGGTCGTTCTGTTGAGGCAGAGCTGTCCTGGTCCTCATAGAAGATGTCGTTCTCGGCACACCACTTTTTGATATCATCCTCGGCAGCTTCCAGTGGGAGGAACTTCATAAACAGCTGATGGTAATACACCTTCTGCTTCTTTCCTTTTCCTTTTCCACTGTGGTCTGCTGTTGCGTTCTTGTTTCTGACGAAAGCAACGCGGACTAGTCGATTGCGAATGAGAAGCTTCTCCTGTTGATTTAGCCTCTTCAACGCTTCTTCTGCTTCCTTTGTAGTTTCGAACTTCGCCAGTGCTTTTCCCAGGAACTTGTGGCGCTCCTTCTCGACCAAAAGTTCCACAGCGACACTCGTTTTAGCCTCTTCATCTACGTCCATAAGCGCCTTGATGTCCTTCACAGTGCAGTCAAAAGGCAACCCTTGGAAAAAGAGTTTCGTCCGATCTTCTTCCGTGTTTTCCGTCTCTGCCTGGTTCTTTTTGTCCTTGTCCGAGTCTTTTTCACTGCTGAGGCAGACTCGAAGTCTCCGACTGTTCCAAGGCGCATTGTCGAACTCTATGACAGCATTCCTAGCTGCCTCTTCACTCTTAAAAGTGATAAAGCCTAATCCTGCTTTCTGGTACAGCTTCACGCGTTCGATCTCACCTGCCGAGGAGAAAAAATTTGACACGTCGTCGCTATCTGCCTCATAGGGTAGGAAACGAACGAATAGCTCACGATTCCCCTTGCTGCTGTCGACCGAGCCGTCCTTTCCTTTTCCTTTTGCTCCCTTAGCACCTTTGCCGTCTTTTCCTTTGCCCTTTTGCTGCTCTTTAGCCTTCGCTGGATCTGTCGCATACCAGATTGTTTCACCAGTCGTCACGTCAACGAAGGAGATCTCCAAATAGCGTTTACCGAGTTGCTTGTTGTGGAAGGCGGACGTGAGAGTGGACTTCAACGTAGACTCCTCCGCACATGTGCTGTCGACTTTCTCGACATATTTGTACACCCAGGCTTCTCCCTTACATGGTGCAACGTCTTGAAGTTCCCACTTCGGAGTTGTGCCGATCCAAATATCACCATCTGCATCGAGGTTTTCTGCTATTGACTTGTTTGATGATGCACTAGAAGTACTTGTTTCTTCTTCAATGCTATTTGTCACGAGAAACTCCTTTACCTCTGCAGCGGTCGCTGTAAACGGTAATCCGAATAGCCGGAGGGCAAGATTTTCTGTTCCTCTTGATGTACTTCTACTTGTCGCAACTTCTGATGAAGAAGAGGGACTTGCTGCTGCTGCTGTGCTCTGTTCGGAGGCAGGAGATTCCGCATCTTCAACATCATTCGCAGCACCGATTTTCCGCTTTTTGGATAAAGGCTCATCGGCTTGCTCTTTCCCAGCCTGCTCTACCTCTACTTCCTTTTTGTCAACTTTATCACATCCATTATCCACATCAAGCCAACTCACTTCGATGAATCGGTCTTCCATGTGTTTCCTGTCTAAAGCTTTGACGACGTCGTCTGCTACGTCTTCTAGTGATGAAGATCCTTGTTCTCCTGTTCCTTCAGAAGAGGACAGCAACATCACGAGATCCACCCAAGCCTCTCCGCGCTTAGGTCCGTTCTTTTTTGGCTTTTTAGCACCAAGTTGAACTTTCTCCACTTCAATGCTGTAGTTGGCGAGTTTTGCATTCTCCGCATTCTTCAGATTGCTCACCACAAACTCCTTCACGGTGTCGTTATTTGCCTTAAACGGCAAACCGAAAAGGCGGAGGCGCTTCGACGTGGTCTTGGAGGTTGACATTTTTCTTTGCTGTTTTTCTTTTTACGGGTCTGGCTCTGGGTGTATCTATAATAACTTCTGTGAGATGAAAGTATGTACGTAGTACCAAAAAGGGTTCCAGTTGTACTTAATCAACGGGTCCTTGTCTGTAGAAGTTTAGTCGTCATTTATTGATACTTGAATCCAGAGTTCGCTTTCAGAGCTGTACTTCGGAAAAAACAATGATGAAGATTGTCGCTTTAGATGTCGACGACTTCGATACGCTTCGTACTAACCACCACAGGAAACACGCAAATCTAGTAGCCCAAGATCTTGACCATCACTCCTGCATAGATAGCCGTATTCTTGCCATTGCCTAGTGCAACATCATAAAAAAGATCCTGATCTTCATTCTGGATCATCATCACATGGTGTCCCATTAAGTGCTACTAGCCCAATGGTAGGACAAAACAGGTCCAGCAGTGTGTTCTCGATCTTCCTGCGTGAACCACACAGAAACATTGATCTTACATCACGACACAAGATCCTTAAAAAACCAGAGCAGAATTCAGAATTGATCTTTTTTTGAATTTGAAGATCGGAGGCAGTGAGCACTATTGGGAAGGATCTTGCTCTTGGACTAGGACTTATTGACGACCTTGTTATTCTCTGTGAGGAGCTCCTTGCTTTTGAAGAAGTAGTTGTAGAGCTCTTTCCTGAAATTAGACCAGGATTATATGGCGTCGGAGACGGAGAGGAATTATCATAATCAAGAAGGCATGTTGATTTCGACATCATAGATCGGCACCACACACACGATCGCGAATGATGGGGGTATATTAGATACGTTCATTCGCCCTACTACATCAGAGCCTGAAAAGATTGAAGAATCCAGCCTCCTAACATGGATTTTACTTCTAGTGTGGACTGGTTTCTCATAGTCAGAAATTTGTGTTTGTGACTTTGAAAGAATACCAATACGTAGGAGGGGCTTTTGGCATGATCAAGATGGTATTTAATTGTGGTGACAGGAACTCCTTATGGAAAGAAAATCGGTGCTTCTTCTTCCTCCAAAGCGTCGTCATAGATCTCATCCCACGTGAATTTGAAAAGCGGTGCCTCGTGAAACGCGTGGAGCACAAACCTGTAGTTTTCAAAGGAAAAAAATGTGGACACACGATGTCAAAAATCTAGCAACGATTAAAGACTCTGTAACATAGTCAACATCATCCGCCTATAATCAGACAATCGTCGTTACGAGATCGGATCGCGATAAAAATTGTTCAAGAACAAGGACCCTCAATAGAGAACAAAAGTCGAAATATACGGCTTCTCCGAAAGCATCAGCAGATCGATAGCACACGTCGGAACAACTGTTCCATCACGCAGTCTCTTAGGGCTCATCCTAATCCATCTCTATGGTATAACTATCTAAAGATGGTGAAAAGCCGCTCTTCTAGGAAGACTTTCTTCCTATAAGATAGGAGCTTTTACAAGATCATGACTTCTGCTCTCAAGATGGATCATTTATACTCGGAACACAAGCCTTAAGTCTCGTGTGCATGAAGCACTCACTAGTCTCGATAATCCTCTTTGTTCGCCTGGCTAAATCTTCGGTTTCCTTGAAACGACGGGGAGCGGCGCGACCTTAAGATTAAGATGTTCTTGATTGTTCTGTTGATACTGGAACAAGTACAAGCTTTGCATCGCTAACAAGACCAAGTCCATTGCATTTGCCAGACTTCTATTAACAACATGAAGATATTACCAAAATTAAAATTTGTTTCTTCGATGACCCAATCGTCGGCGCCTTTCTCAAGCTCCTTTCCAGTCACTGCTTGAGAATAGGATCCGGCAAAACGCCGTTGTAAAGTTCCCACTGTTAGGGGTTGCAAGTTGACCGATCTAGGTCGCATATCTATGCCTTATTTACCACTTGAAATGCTTACAGAGAGCAGGTCAACGTCCCTTGCAACCTGTTAATGAAGAGGTTACAACTTAATCTTGTTAATGTTATAATGTCCTACAACCAATCCATCGTTAACAAGATCATAGGTATGCTTACAGAGAGGTCAACGTCCAACCCTTAATACTGCTGGTGCTGCTGGACGCGCTAGTAATCGCTGTAATGTTGCCCCTGCGGTGGGACGCGAGAACCGCTGCAAAGCGGCCTTCATGTTTGTTCCTTAGTGATGTTTCTGGCAGGTTATCAACTCAGTACGAAATAACCTTGCTTTTCCTCGTCCTCGGAAGATAAAAATGATGCGAGTTGTAGTTCTTGCAAGACTGAGGAAGAGAGAAACAACTATAACTGATAAAATGTTGTCGTGCGTGTTACAATTATTGTTGACTCGGTTGTTTTGAACAAATGAGTTGTTTTGTTCTCGAGATGTAAGTTGGCCACTCCTAAAAAGTCCAGCGCCTGTTGGCAGCTTTGACAGTGCTTCTCCTTCTCCATTTTACCAACTTTACCTTGACTCGTCACATTGTTTGTTGTACCGAGTCATCTCTTCGTGGTATCTTCTCTTCCTCTCATCTCTCAAGGGTGTCGCAAAAAAATGAGTATGGCAAAACGCGCATGGAGTTTTTCTTTACTGAACAACATCGTCATATTGTACTAAAGGGAAAAAGCCTCACAATGAAGCAAGAGGCTCTAAAATAAACGTCACCTCCTTCTTCAGGTTCTCACAGCGTTGTGCCAATCCAAGAATTTGCTGAGCAAAAAAAACGTGCCTATCCCAGCACTCAAGTGGCCGATCTTCTCCCACCGACTCCACCTAGCGTCAGCGATTACAAAGCCTGCGATGCCCATACATATGAACAACCTCCCTTGATTCGCTATCGTTTCGGACATTTTCTGCGTATTCCGATCCATAGTCGTGAGCATTTGCAACACTAGTTCCTCTTGTTTTCGAAATGCAGACGAGATCGTTGGCTCTAAAATTAGAACCAGCTGCTGGCTCACCGAAAAATATTCATCTTGAGGTACATCTTCTAAGATGACCGTTCATTTTCCCATTGAAGAAATGTTGGAACCGAGACTGCCAAATTCCCATTGAAGAAACCACGCCAAAGTAAATGCTTCTCAAGATAGATTGCGGTAGGCCTTAATAACGCTGGAATAGCTGAATCCACTGCTGCCTCAACCCAGACCTTGATGTCATCATCCCGTATGATCCGAGATGCAGTCGACATTTCTTTCAGGCTACTGGTGGATATGATGTTGTCGAGGATGATTTATCGATGTCGCGAGAAAGATTTGTATTTGTAATTGTAATATAGAGCCTAGACTAATTAGTCTTCGTTTTGGTTCTTCGATATTGCATATTACTACTCACTTTGGTTTCATTTGTTTCTTCTCTACAAAGTGTCTTGTTCCCTCTTATTTACCTTTACAGATGACAGCTGCTCATCAAGTTCTTTCAATCATTCTGGTAGACCCACTTTTGAGTTGAACACTGCCATTGATTTGTCCTTCCTCCTCGATGATGTGGGAGAGCACGTCTAGGTCGCTGTCTTCTTGCTCATTAGGTATAGGTTCTTTGTGTAGATAAATAGCTCGACAAAGAGACAAAAAGAACATGGAGGGAAAAAGTACTGTTGGTGCTGTTGGTGTTCGCATGTACCCTTGTGAGTACCATGAGAGAAAAAAGTCAAAGTGCATCTTCGTAGCATGTTTTTGTTCAGGAAAGCTGCGTTTAAGTGACTGGAGAGCTGCGCTTGGTATAGAGATCAGTCTAGAAATATCTCATTTATGGTACAATTGCGTTAGCGAGAGTTAGCTGTAGCAATCAAATTTCATGCTTGAACGTACCTCCAAACGAGTACACTACAAGAAATGATCATTTTTAATATCCATGAGTCAACAACGCGAGATCACTCGATAAAAACGTAAAATGAAGAACTTCTACTACACAGAGACACACGCAGGTCATATTTAAAACTTGCGCCTGTCCTTGTGAAGGTTTGATGACAGACTAGCACTTTGCGCGAGCGTGAACGTATCATGCACAAAGATAAGACTTCTTTTGGACTTCTAGATTTGATCTGATCTGCAGTGTCACGAGATGTATGAAGACCTGCCACAACATAAGTCTGTCGAGTGTAGACGACCACATTGGCTAAGCCTTTGAGGCTAAGGCAATCCGTGCGTGTGCATGGAGCCCCAAGCGCCCAATGACTTCAGCACAAGGTACAACACTTCAGCACGACAGGAAGGGGCAACTAGACGCATGTACTTTTTAGATGGGGTGAAAGTAAGCCTCCTCCAGTTCTTCAGTACTTCTACATTCCACTGCGCGCGCTCCTCTCCCTCTCGTAAGAACAGTGCAATTTCATCTATTGCGTCTTCTTCTCGTAAGAACAGTACAATTTTTTCATCTATTGCGTCTTCTTCTCCACCGCACCGACACACACACCACCAACAGGACTAGTACCCGCTATCCTCCTCTGCAGAAGGAAATGAAAGCCTAGAGCTGACAAGTGCATAAGAAAAACGGCAAAAAAGCAGTATCTCATCTTCTCGATGTCAGCCGCAGCGTAAGACGTTAGCTTAGTGCCCACCACAACCAGCAGATTTTGAGGTATGCGGAAGAGATTGATCAACCTGTGGAGGTGTGGATCCCGAGTATCAAAACTACTAAAATGTTAGTGTTTGACTGTAGAGACTACTAAATAAATGTTTAGTGATTTAGTACAACAGAGGTTAAATAGTACTAGTTTAGTGATTTAGTACAACAGATACAGAGGTTAAATAGTGTACTACCTGCTCTGATGTTCATCTGGATAGTGCTGTGCTCGCACCGCTGCCCCACAAGCGTTGTACATCCCTAAGGAGACTTCGAGAGCCAAAAAGCTCCCAAACACGGGCCAGAAGTGGTACGAGTACAACGGCAACGCCATCGATCCTGCTGCTAGGGAGAAAACTAAAACGGTGATGATGCTCATGATCTGCTTCTCGTTTGGGAGGACTATTAGAGGTAGGCTTTTGGTGTTCGTTTATCCCGCTTGTTATGGCTGTCCCCCTTAGGAGAGCCATAACAAACGGTAACAAAAGCACGTTTATAGCCTACCCTTAAGACTAAGCTGTCTAAGCAGGTAGTTCTTCTACTTGTCAACATCATGATCGAAGATGGCAGCCAATCCTCCAACAACACGTTGTACAAGACGCCGCCCAGAGTCATCGCCAACATAAAGCAACTGAAGATGAGACCTGTTGGAATCAAGGTAGCGCCACCTCCATTTTTAGAGTCTGCGACTCGATTGCATCTCGGCTTTTGCCCCCCTTTTCATCATCTTGGGCTTTTCCCTTTTACCTTGTAATATTCATGAGAAGAATATTACAGGGGAACAAAAGGGGACCAAGTAGATGCCGAGAATGATGGACAGCACTCATTGTTGACCATAACTACATATATTCCTTCTTCCCCTTGCACCAGTACATTCTGCATATTGGGTACCCACATGAAGACGAAAGTGAAGACGCCACCCTCATAGAACGCCTGCGACATGCCGACGTAGAAGAGTGTAGGTCTCTGCCAGATCAGAACTAAGGTGTCACGGAAAGCGGTGTAGCTCGAAGGGAGTTCTTCTCTTTTTCTTATGCTAGAAGACCCAAAGAAATCAGGATCTTTAGTCACTGGCGATGTAGCGCTTTTTCCTCCAACTCCATAGACATCAGCAGGCGATAATACAGGTGATGGTGATCGCTGCAATGGCAATGCTAGGTCTTGTTCTCCCACTACCTGTTCTTCGCCTCCTACAGCAGCTCCTTTCGAGGACCCAAGAGTGAAGCTCCTCATAGAAGAAGATGTCGTATCCAGCGAACAACTTCTCTTGACAAACGCGGCACTTCTGCTACTACTTGCTGATCGACAAGAACTCCTACTGCCTCCAACGCCAACTGCGCCCCCACCTCCTTCTATCCTAGACATAGAGGCAGAAAAATCTTGCCTGACTCTGATATCTTCGCCGCATCTTGTGGGTGAAGGGCAGCCCCACGTGGCGCTCAGCCTAGGTCTCACACCGCGCACAGGACTAGTACAAGAACAGTCGTCTTCATTCTCGGACGTGTCTGTGGTGGACCTCTCGTCCTCGATGATCTCCTTCTGCAGTTTCTTCCGCGATGTTGGGGTCATTGTTGTACTACTGTATTCTTTTCGTAGCTTTGATCCGGAGGACGCGCCAGACGATGAGGGAACAAATGTTGCTGAGGGTAGGGTGGAGAGGAGGACTACATTTGCTTTATCTTTACCGCTTGTTGGAGAAAGCAGAGGTTCATTCGATGTGCTTGACGTGATGGGTATTCTAGGTAACTGCAGCGTCTCTATCTCGTCGACGTTTCTTCTTGCTCCTGATGCTGAACAAAGGGGAGAAGTTGTTCTTGTTTTAGTACTATCCTCCAACATTTCTTCTACGCCTGTCGTCATCTCCATGCTTGTTCTTCCACCCTCGCCTTCCTCCCACAACAACAAGATCAAAACTAAGACAAAACACGTCAAACCTATCGCCACTTGAAAGGGGCCGAGGTCTCCGTGCCTGTCTGCCGCGACCTGTGCTAGTAAGCCTCCCGCTATGGCTACGAGACCGTTGCCGGCTGAAGCGACTACGGATTAGAACGAGCCACAGTAGTGCAGACGTAAATCACTATGTGGTATTAAGTTGCGACTTCAAAAACCCCTAGGAAAAATTTTACTCAAGCGGATGCACCAATTACCTAGTTGAGCTTGGTTCCTTTTTCCTAGAATCGACCGATTTCTTTTGTAAAATGTTTCCTTTCATATTAAGAAAAAGTGCTGCTCAACCTCTGTTCGGGAAACATCATTCATTATGTTTTTTCCTTCGAACATAAGAAAAAGTGCTGCTCAACCTCTGTTCGGGAAACATCATTCACTATATGTTTTTTCCTTCGAACATAAGAAAAAGTGCTGCTCAACCACTGTTCGGGAAACCCTCGCCGCCTATGCTCAGTCACCATCCACGCCTCGAAAGCCGAGAACAGCAACGAACTGCTTATTCCGCTCAACACTCTCCCAAAGAGCAACAGTTGGTAGCTGTTCACGTGTTCTATCGCATTTATCACTAATTCCACGAGACAGAAAAACACACATGCTCGCTTTCTTCCGTACAGGTCCACGTACAAGCCTAGGTAGGTCCCGAGAATGGCAGAGGATAGAAACCCAGTCAGAAAGAGCGTGCCAGTGTCGACGCCATAGCCCTCGTAGAGAGTGTACATATTGGTGCCCTGCAACCAATCCGCGAGCATGATACTCAGGTAAACGACGAGGTAGCTCAGCTGGAAATGCCGGAAACTTGCACGCTCTACTGAGGATGACTTCGAGCTCGCCTTTCTACTACTGGGCGATGATGGCGTTGGGGTCTTGTTGTTCTCTGTTGTCGAAGAACTCGTTCCACCTGCTGCACCTTCATGTCGTTGTACTTTATCCTTCCCCCACCAGAAAGAGTATACGTTTAACGCAGTTACCAATCCTCCCAGGATAAGCAGCGTTTGAACCGCCCAAGCAGGCCAGGGGGCTACCTCTTCTACTGATGTTGCTGCTGCGGAGGTCATCTCTCTTTATTCGCGAGGAGAAGAATACTTAGTTTCGTGCGTGGATAGAAGAAGTTCTTGACCCCACTCTAATAATTCATTCTGATTTCCTACAGATGTTGTTCACATGTACGCTTCCGTTGTTCACATGTTGTAGGAAGCGTATAGTCATGGGATCTGATGTGTGCTGCGCACCGGTGTCGGAGCACTAACTACCAATGTAGAGTACAGTACAACCAGCAAGAAATCGAAATGTTAACATTGAAAAAAGACACGAATGCTTCGCGAATTTCATATGTCATGCAGATCTACATCAAGGAGGGAAAACATACACAACACGTAGGAGCACCTGCTGAAGCAGATGCCTTCCCGTAACTGTGGCCACACCCCTGGTAAGAAATTTTTGAAAATGAAATGGCAGTATATTACAAATACAATTTGCAAAGGTAAAAAGAAACTACTCTTCACTCTGTCGAAAAACAAGAGTGCTATAGATCGGCCTGATTATCTTTCTCATGTAGCTACATCTATTCATTCTTCAGTACGTAGCCAAAAACAAAAATGAAACAAATCGATTTCGATTTTGATTCCCTCGATCAAAGTCTTACAACGACCGTCAACATCTTCTATATGAAAATTCAGCACAACATCATGCCTCCACGAACAAAAACCTCTACTCCATACATTTGCAGACCCTGCTACATCCTCGACATCAACAGACATTTTCTAGAGCTGTTTGCTTTCATCTCTCACTCTCTCTCTCACATGCTTAACACTCCGAACAGCACAACAGGACCACGTCTATTAAGCCTCACGTTTTACAAGCACTAAGCCCTCTTTAGCTTAGCGACATCACGTCAGTTAAGGTTGGCACATGATAATTGTTGTTTTTTTTTGTTGATTTTTCCTCATGGCGATCAAGGCTGAGGAAAATGGACTGTCTTCCTGTAGTCGAGTGCTCTTGAACAGGGTCCCTTGATAGAAACTACCCGTCTATTCCAGCACAGACCCCTTGATAGAAACAGGAGAGGGCATTCCACCACTCGCCGAGGTTTTTTTTCCGATGATAACAACCTGCTGCCTGTTCTTGTCAACTACTCTTTCGTAGTCGTGCTTTGGCGGTGCTGCACGGGTTCCCCCACCTCCGCTATCTGACAGTTGTTGAAGATCCATCTCTTCTAGTGTGAAATGACGGAGCCTCGATGTACCACCCAACTTCGAATGTCTGCAACTATAGGAAAAGAAGAAAACGCTCGCTACCACAGCAAAAGCAGCGCCTTGGTAGAGAGCCCGAGGTGGTAATCCGCAAATGAGGTAGCAGTTGCATAGGAGGTTAGAGAAGTAGTTGGAGAGGGGGATGGCAGTTGCATCGGGGGTTAGAGGCGTTGAAGGATACAGAGCAGGAGGTAGAGATTGTCGGAGAAAAAGAAATCTTCAAATCAAAATCAAATTATAAAAAAGCGATGATATCTTCAATCTCTATGCGAAGTGGAGATGACTGGATGAGTACGAGAACAAGCGCAGCTGCCTTGATACACATACACACGATAAAACAATACAATACAACTAATCGCGCACTTTTTTTTTTTGTATCGCGAGCGAGTTCCGTGAAGAACCTGCCTACATATTTTCCGCGTAGCTACCGGCGTAGGGGGGAGCTCTTAATCTCCTTAACAAACTACGCTACTGCCCCTACGATTTACAATGGTCAAGAACTAGGAGCAAAGGCAGAGTTCAGTGCAGACTCTCCTTCATAAAAATACTCGCACAACATGGCCAAGGCATACAAGGTATCCGGAAAAGCTTCTTTCCTCCAGACGAGGCTGAAGAGTCTGATTCTTCGTGTCTCCCACTCTGTCCATCTACTTCCTCCCCACCGAGTACAACATCCCCTGTCGCTCCTGTACTGCCTTCTACCTCGGTTGGAGATCTTGTTCTTCCACTGCCTATGGTGCTGAGAGAGCTACCTTGATCCCCTGAAGAGGACGATCGTCTCCACTTTATGGCTAGTTGTGCGCCACCAAATGAGGATATGAGCACACCAAAAACCAGAATAACACAGCCCGACAAATGGATGTGCTTCAAACTGTATTAGAGGTCGTGAACCTTTCCTCTGGTCGTGTTTCTCTTTCGCCTTTCTTCTAACAGTGCAAAATTTAACAAAACCTGTTGCTAGGCATATCAATGATCAATCTCAGTCACAATGACTGATCCCTCAGATGAAGAGGCAGAGCAAACGGTAACAGGCACACGACGACCTCTAAGCTACACGACCTTTAAAGGTCCTTCAAGCTACGTACTTAACTGTAGTACGCGTACGAAACGAGTAATGCGCCGAGGATGAAAAGCAGTAGCTGTGGAACGCAAGTTTCGGATAAGCTGGCTGACGTGGTGATTTTGACGCCCCTCGGACTCCGCTGGCCACGCTGTTGCTGTTCATGTTCGTCCTCCTTTGTTAAAGAGAGCAGTCCATCACTAGCCTCAATCCAATAGTTGTCGTGGTGGAGCCGACCTACTTAACTAGAAAAAAGAAAGGGGACCGTAGTAATATCCTTGCTGATGCTGGGTGCCATGATCTTCCCTTTGATGCTTCTTAGGGTTCACTTCTAAGGGTAGGGGTTAATAGGAGAGGTTAGGTTAGGTTATGGACCCCTCACAACGAGCCCCACAGGCACCCGCTGCTCGCCTCCGAGGATGATGGGAATCAATACAATGGAGAATCAATGGAATACAATACAAAAAATAATAATTGCGTGCTTCATTACTAGCGCGCAATTGATCTCGCGCAGAATTCAGCGCAGACTGCCGCACGGCGTCATAGTGTTTCGTCACCTCTATGACATTTACTCCACACGCACCAGATAGTGATCCAATGATCTTCGACCACTAAAATTAAGATTAAGTACTTAGATTAAGTAGAGATTTCTCAGAAATGCGACAGGCATGCGGGCCATCATGGCTCCTCCAAAGAAAGGTCAAGTCTTAACTTTCTACTCCGTTCAACCCTTTCCTGATACCTCAACTCAACCGCAGCAGCTGCGACGAGGGTAAACGCTACTAAAGCCCCAAAGGAGACAAAGTCGGCTAATATCTCGAATTCTACGAACCCAGCGAATAGAGCAGCCAAGAGAGAGGAAGTGATAATGGCAAATTTCGGCACTCCGTTGGAACTGACATGGCCAAACGACTCCGGGATCAACCCATCAGCGGACATGCGGTATAAAACCTGTATTATTAACATATTCATCCGGGATCAACAACCCGTCAGCGGACATGCGGTATAAAACCTGTATTATTAACATATTCATCCGGGATCAACAACCCGTCAGCGGACATACGGATACGGTATAAAACCTGATGTATGTATATTATTATTAAGATATATTTTGGCGCACTTCCCAGTACCTCTAGTGCCCTTACTTTTTCAAAGAAAAATGACAATGATCAAAGTAATGTGAAGACCACCTTTGTGAGTTTGATGATGTTGTACCTACATCTTCCGCGAAGAAAGGAAACAAGAACCCTGAAACTAAATCTGCTAAACATCAATCTGACTTCGATGACCAACAGCTTCTCAATAAAGTAAGTACCCTAGGATTCGCCACTACACTCGCAAGCACAGTGCTTAGGGTGTTTCCGATTGCGCCCAATGATACGAGACTAGTCAACGCAGTAGGCGCAGACCGAAAGAGGAAAGCTGAAGCGAGAGGAGCCTTGGTGTCCACGTTGCCTGTTTCTAGGACTAGCGAAGCGAATACTTTGGATGAAAGTGGTAGGAGGTGATAGATCGAAGCAATCAATTGATAGCAGGCTGCTCGCTGTCATTTTCAATTGATTACAGCGAAAGAATAGATGGAAGGATACAGCAAAATTTGAAATAACTATGTTGTATCACAGTCTGCAAATCCAGGTTCTGGCATTTTTCCCTATGATCTACTATACTCGTAATTTCATCGATCCTCTATTATCTATTCCTCTCCATACCACGCTGACTGCCACATACAGCGTACACGACGCGGCAATCGTCAAGATGATGGCTCTAGGAACCATTTTCGATGGTTCTAGGGTCTCCTCTGCCAATGTTGTCACCATGTCAAATCCTAGAAAGGCAAAAAAGACCAAACTCGCACCTCTGAGGACACCTCGAGGACCATTCAGGAGGAAACTTTCGTCTTCATCTGGCGAATGAACACTGGTCGTGGTCAAGCTTCGCGGACTCGAAGCACTAGGTTGTATTCTTGAAGGCTCTGCTGGGATTACAACTACATTCTGTTGTTTTGTTGAAGATGCTGCTCCATCTTCAGCATCCAGGAGAACCGCATCACGAGGAGACCCTCCGTCAGCTGTAGTTCCAGTTCCGAAGGATAGTCCGAAGCCCACGACGACGAAAAAGACCACGATGCTCACGTTGAAGCTCTGAAGGACTCCGTTGAAGGCTGTTGGGACACCTCGGAGGTTCAAAGCACCCAGGGAGATGACTAGTAGGCAGCTTATACCGGAAAGGGAGAAAAAGTTAGAGGTAGGTTTTTGGTGCTTGCTTACCCCGCTTTTTATGCCCCCTTTCTCTCTCCCTTAGGATGAGAGAGGCATAAAAAGCGGTAAGAAAAGCACCTTAAAGGTGTACCCTTAAAAAAGGTTGGATTGTCGGATCCATCTAGGACTGCTTTTTCGAACCAGGCAGAAGGATCTCGGGATCTTCATGAATGAAGAGAGGGCTTTTGGAGGAGGAGTAGGGTGAGGACCATCCTTCCAGCAGGAAAAAAAATCAATTCACGATTTTAATACTATTTCATCGATTCCAGGGTTGGACTTTATTTACTGTTGGCATTTAAAGAAGTTCCAACTTCATAGTTCAGCTCAAAAGCGACCGCTGATGCATTCCTCGTAAATGTTATATTTACAGTCAATGTTCTCATTTTCCCGAATGGAAATTGTAAAAATTGCTGCACTTGATCTAATAAATGGAAACATACTTACTTAGAGGTAGACTAGACTTACTTCTCTTCAACATCTAGCTCTAGCTCTAGTGCATCCATGTCCGTCCCATACCTCAACAATAACACCCAAATCCAGAAGCAGCCTTTTGAAGTAGTTCGTGAAACTCCTGGAGACAGCTGCTGCCGACACTACATTCCCTAGGTCTGACTGTGCTTAGTTTTTTCTGCCTTCTACTTCTGGGACCAGACCATGATCTTCACGGCTACTTCCTAAATATAATAACTATAAATGAAAACGAAGCTCATCTTCTACTTAAAATAAGAGTGGAGCTTCGACGATGCATGGTCCACCTCTGTTACGACATTAACACAATCGGGGAGAAAAAACTACAACATCGACATTCTTACTAGTATGATCAAGGCTCCTGTCTGAAAGGCCGCCAATTCACCGAAGACAGCGTAGACGTAGGCATACGCTGAGCCGGCACCTGGCACTCGAGTGCTCATTTCTGCATAGGAGAGACCGGACCCCAGACAAGCCATAGCAGCGAGGAGAAGTTAAAGCGCGGATGTTCGCTGAATTATGCAATGCTTTGGGTCAAGACTTGACCAGTGACCTTGATGATGATGATGATGATGATGGTGATGATGATGATGATGATGTACACAGAGTCTACGGGTGTCAGTGTTACTGGCTAATTATTGTTGTCCCTGTTCCTTTTCTCGAATAGTTGCACCTTCTTCTTTTTCATTTCTCCTCATTTCTCCTTTTTCTTCTCTTTTCTCCAGCTCTTTTCATGTTATGGATTCTTAACTACGGAGAAGACTACAACCAAAAAAGAAAGTAAGGTCCCTCAATATGCGTCGCACCCATAAAGAAAGGACAAGAAAAGGCTTCGCACTCCCGTGAGCTTCGCAGCGACGCCAAGGGAAACAAATATACCAGCTCCGATGGTACACCCTAGGCCGAATCCGAACGTTAGAGGACAACAATTGGGTCTCATGATCCTAGCGTGGTTAGACGGGAGGACAACAATTCTTGGGTCTGCTAGATAGAAATTTCAGGTAATGTAAGTTTCATAAAAAATATATAATTAGGAGAATTGCCGCAGACGCGGCTAATACTGCCATTTTTATCCAGATCAAAGGTTCAAAAATAATATCTCAACACCCCACTAACCCTTCCTAGCCCGTTTTTAATTGAGGAGAAGCAAGAGCCAACGGACTACGACGAACAACACAGAACAAACAAAAACCAACAAGACAAGGCGCCAAGAGGACCTACAGCTGTTGAAGTTCTTGTAGTTCATAGAAGAAGAAGATAGTGAATTCAGCCTAAGAGAATTCTTCTTCTTTGTCAGGGAGACGAGGCCTAGGCATCTATTTTTTCATTCATGTGCCTGGTACTAGATGTACTAAAAAACCAAGGTGAAGAAGTCATGTCATGTGTACGCTTCGTGTTGCAAAAATCCTTACTGGATCTTCGGCTCAGAAGCCCGATCTTCTTCACATAGAAGCTATAATACATCTAAGTACATCTATTACAAGTGCTGCACATCTACATCATCTTGCAACAAGTGCTGCCTGTCACATAGAAGCTATACATCTACATCATCTGGCAACAAGTCTACATCTAATCTATTACAAGTGCTGCCTGTAGCCGTAACACTAAATCGAACAATGTGAGGACTTTCTGTAGCTGCCCAGGCGTGTCCTTATCAGCCACACGACCGGGAACGTTCTGTCTCCGCGTAGTGGCATGCACAAAACGTGACCACGCAGAGTCCTCACTCTTCAAGAAGGTGGACTTGGTCATCTTTCTTTCCCCTCGTTAAGAGAGCTCCTGCTAGACAAAGCAACTAATCTCGCACAAAGTTCAGTGCAGACTGCCGTAAGGGCGTCGTAGATGGTCTACACGATGGATCTCACGCAAAGAATGTAGTAGAGAAGCGGCACGGTTACGTATGTTTTGGAAAAGAGTGCCGATCTTGTTCTCTCCGACTCAAGCTCCAGACAAGAAGCTCCTCCACCACGACGTAATCGGACGAGGAGTGTGAGTGTCCTTCTGGTGTCTACAAGACCACACTATCTACTATTACCATTACAATTGCAAACTTTTCGAAGGGGTTAGGGTGGATGGTATACTCAAGAAAAGGATGGCCCGCATTTTTTCCAGGACGCTACAACCCGGCGACGGTGGGAGTACATTAACCTCCTAGACTCCACGCTACAAGTCACATACTGACATAATTGCGCCATCGATTTCACCACGATCAAAGCTAAGAGTATGCAGGAAGCTGTCTGCCTCAGACGATGCGCATTTTCACACTTTTGAGACAGCAGGAAGCTGCCTGCGTTTTTGTCTCTCTCACTTGCGCTAACTCATCATGTGGCAACGCAGTGATGTCAGATATATTCTATGTTCCAGGGCGCGGGGCGACGGTCCTCCCTCCCTAGCGGGGGGAGCCGGGCGCCCTGGACCCCTTTTTGAGGCGTCTGCCGGGGAAGGAAGGCCTCAAAAGGGGGCCAAGGGGCCACCCCCGGTCCCTTCGAGGAGCTTTGTGTCCCCTGGAGGCCTGACCCTGGAGGCCTGAGAAGTTCAAGTAGGTGGATGGAAGGCCTCCCGGGGGGAAGGGGGGGCCAAGGGGCTGCCTCCTTCTCGCTTGCATGTACCCTACAAGCTTGAGGGGTTAGGTGGTGTAAGTGCGCGGCTGGTCTTCAGGCTCCCCCCTCCGCTCCTATCCAGCTGCTGCCTGGCTGTTCCCTCGGGGCCTCCGATGGTGGTGGGAGGCTTCAAAAGGGGCCCAAGGGACCGCCTGCGCCCCCGCCCAGGTGCCTGCCTGTGCCCTCAGTGCATCCGGTAGGCTTCGCCGCCGCAGCAGTGCACCGGCAACGGAAGGCCCCCGAAGACGGCAAAAGGCGAGGGGCTGGACCCCCTGAGCCGTGCCGCCCGTACCCTCCGGGCCCTTGGTCATCGGCTTGCTTGCTCTTGCGACCGTGGCCGCCTCCGGCGGCCTTTTAACCCGGAGGCCTCCGGCCTGCGAGGGTCAGCAGAGGCCAGGAGGCCACTCCACTCAGGAACACGCTGAGAGGCCCAAGGGGAGGCCCGCGCCAAGTTTTGACGCCTTCCACCACTAGAATCCGCGAAAAATCCGCGCGGAAAAGCGCGCGGGCGCGCCACCACAGACCAGACCACAGGGGGGGGCCGTTCGGCCCTGAGTGATATAGAAGAACATGGTGCCCCCGGGATTGATTGGATCGAGATAGGAGCTGAGGATCATATTTCGTCTGCCATGGCTCCAAAATGGTGCTGCAGTAGGCTGATCGCTTTCCATGATGCTACAACTTCTCCACATATTCGCTTTCATTAGAAGTCATTCTTCAAGTCTGGATGCCAAGCCCAAGTCGGCATAAATTTTTTGAAAAATTTTCATGAAATGATCATGATAATCTATAAACCTGAAAAAATTGCCTACACCAAAAAAATAGAACCACACAATAAAAGAATCAGAAATGAAATAACCATAAGATGATCTTCAACGTACGACACGAAAGATATTAATAGTGCACGCAGGCCGCAAAAACGTCAAACAACCCGGCCGCGCCTCACCGCCAGGCGCTACCTACGCGCAGTCGGCGCCGCCTGCAGCACGCCGCGCCTGGCATGCCGCAAACGCTGCACCTGGCGGGGACTGTGGCGACCGGACATACCATAGTCGACCGCAAGGACGACCATAGCACTGCACACACAGAGCACAAAGAAATCCGGCGGGGTCGTACGCGTCGCTCGGAGCGCATCAAAACAATAACAAACAAAACAAACAAGATATTAGTGTAATTAGCTATATTGTGATGAAATAAGTGAAATGGTCAAACATTTGAGTAGAGTAGATGCCTACTGGTGTGATTGGAATTAATTTTTTGCATGTATTCACGCAAATCAAAATAACACTCGCACCACCTTAGGTGGGCGCAGAGAAGGCAAACATTGAAGGCCATTGGGAGTGTGAAGGTCCTCTTTTCTGCCAGACGTCACATAACAAACATGCAGCTTGTAACTCAGAAGAAAGAGTACGCGGCCAATCTGAAACATGCTGCAACAACGGACAACAGGCTGGTTCGCTCTTCAGCGCAGAAGCCCAAACGCTTTCCCGAAAAAGGAATGCTCATAATCATTCTTGCAGTGGCACACTGCTTACATTATGTCATAAAGCCTGTGCTTTACTTTGAAAGCGTGGCTCCTTCTGCATGCCGATATCCTCACCAGTTATTATGATTTCTTTGGCATGTCGATATCCTTGTTCTTTCTCGTTAGGAAGTTTCCCATGTCGATATCCTTGTTCATCGCTTCCAGTTCCACATGATCGCTACTACCTGTCTATGATAACTAATCAGAGAACTATGTATTGGTCAGAGAGCTATCTCCCTTGAGGGAGAGTACGGCCTTTCAACAAACCGGAACTTCCGTAGGTCAAGAATCTGTCAGAAGATAGTGAACTTCCTATAATTACAACAAAAATTATAAAGATGAATCTTCCAACACATGATGATCACCAAAAAGTTCTAAGTTGACTGCTTAATTTACCTCAACCTTGTCTCATCTATCACTATCACCTACTTTTCTGTTGATCGGACAAAGTTTTTCCACTGTAAATTTCCCATAATTGCTGGTCTTAGCTAAAACCTCCATCTGACGGCCATCACAGTAGTAGATCAAGATAATTTGTCCTATCAGCATGATAGGAAGCTTCTTCTTGGTATCTTTAAGAGAAGTGCGCAGGCCTGCACCATGTTTTTTGTTACTCTTGGTTCACCTTAACCTTGAGGTCTACGTGTACTTAATACACCTATAAGTATTTAGTATTTTACTCATCTACTGAGTCTGCTACTCTAATTCGTATCCAATCATCAACATTCCCGTACAATCATCCTGCAAGAAAAACAAGAAGAAGTTAAGTACTAGTTGTAACAATAAATTTGTATTTGTAACAAGCGATTGCCACGACACTACTATCAGTTGTTACGTCCACATCTCACATGTACTATGTCGATCTATAGTAAGTTTTTAGTCTACAACATACAACCATTGTACATTAAATGACCTATAGTACTTAGTGCTACATCCTTCTCCATCAATCTTCCCACCTGGATTCATCTCCCAAGTCTACGTGCTACATCTTCTAATACATCCTCCCCACACAATCAACTCTCCCAATCATCTCCTCGCGTACTGCATCTCCCACAATCATCTCCTGTCATGCGCGTCTCTAGCATTTTCCTCCGCCTTTCTGCGATCCGGAGGCATCAGAACATAATAACCATAATGCATCTCGTACGTCGCAGTGTCTTTCTTAGATTTTCCTTGAGTTGCCTATGATCATTTTTATACCTCCCTATAGCAGAGCAATTTATATATAAGGTTTCACAGCTCGCACGGCATGGAGTGCATGGATCACATGGAGTAGCATGGAGCTAAAGGGGGAGCTTCTTGCGCCCCTTAAAGCTCTGCGCCCCATGCACTCCATGCTACTCCATGCGCCATGCGTGCTATGAACTACTTTGCTATAGATATATGACGCAGGGCCGAACGCCCCCCCCCCTCGTCCCCCTCCTGTGGTCTGGTCTGTGGTGGCCTTTTCCGCGCGGATTTTTCGCGGATTCTAGTGGTGGAAGGCGTCAAAGCTTGGCGCCTTCCTCCCCTTGGGCATCTCAGCGTTTTCCTCAGGGGCCGCCTGGCCTCTGCAGACCCTCGCAGGCGGGAGGCCTCCGGGGTAAAAGGCCGCCGGAGGCGGCCACGGCCACGGTCGCAAGAGCGAGCAAGCCGATGACCAAGGGCCCGGAGGGTACAGGCGGCACGGCTCAGGGGGTCCCGCCCCTCGCCTTTCGCCGTCTTGGGAGGCCTTCCGCTGCCGGTGCACTGCTGCGGCGGCGAAGCCTAACGGATGCACTGAGGGCACAGGCAGGCACCTGGACGGGGGCGCAGGCGGTGCCCTGGGCCCCTTTTGAAGCCTCCCACCACCATCGGAGGCCCCTAGGAAACAGCCAGGCAGCTGGAAGGGAGCGGAGGGGGAAACCTGAAGACCAACCGCGCGCTTCCACCATCTAGCCCCACAAGTCTGTAGGGTACATGCAAACGAGAAGCCGGCAGCCCCTTGGCCCCCCCTTGAGGCCTTCCACCTACTTTCCAGGCCTCCATGGGCCACAAAGCTCCGGGAAGGGACCGGGGGGCCCCTTGGCCCGCTTTTGAGGCCTTCCTCCCCCGGCAGACGCCTCAAAAAGGGGCCCAGGGCGCCCGGCCCCCCCCCCGCTAGGGGGGGGGCGTCGCCCCGCGCCCTGGAAAATATATAGATAAACAAGATACTCATGTCAACTAGTTGCTTCTAAGACCTTGAGTCGTGCGTTTCTCTTTTCCCTTCAATTCTGATCAGAATCGAACACAAACAGGCCAACGTGAAAACCGCTAAGACGAACGGAAAGACATTGAAAAGACATCAAAAAGACATTGAAAAATGGAAGATGCAGCACAGGATGATACAGTTGTGCCACTCACGCTATGCACCGCACAACTCATGCTGATCATGCCTCATCTAGTCCTACAACTTCTACATCCAATGTCTGTTGCGTACTCAACCTATTTCACTATTGTTTGTAGCCATTGCGTGATGTACTACAACTCCACCCATTTCTATTGCTTGTAGCCATTCGTCATTGCTAATGCTATGTGCTGCAGTGGCGAAGCTCTAACTAGGAAAGAAAGACAAGAAATATATAAGGCTACGCACTGAACTTGTTTCCTGTGAAGTAAAAATTGGGTGTAAAAAGTATCCGTATCGGCTCATTTGCTCGCTGCCCTTCGGTTCAGTAGCTGGAGCTGGACGTGAAAACTACGTAAGTATTGATTCATCTATTGGATCACGTGCGACGCTGTCCTTACGAGCCACCAAAAGCTGTGTAGCTGCCATGTCTATTGTAGCCATAAAGATCGCGTCCTTCTGATACTTTTCATACATCACGTCGCGAGCGGCTTGGACCTTGGCCAGAGTCTTTTCGGCCACGACCCTCGTTGTGTGCGCATTGCCCGCCTTGGCTTTCGCCTTGGGTTTCGCTCCCTGCTCGGGATTATCTTGGTTTTTAGACCTCTCCCCAGTTCACCCCTGTGCGTGTAGGTCCCTCGGCAAGGATGTCGTGACCTCTCAGTATGATCTCGTCCCTTGTATCTATAATAAAAACATGTGCCAGTTTCTTGTACCTAGGAATGATGGATATCATGGATTAGGGGATTATGGTACAGTATAGGGTCCCATCCCTATAGACATGGAAATGCTAATCCACTAGCCGATTGAGGCCTTAATATTTACGCCGATTTTCAACCCGTCATCCGGATCTTTGTCTTTATCGCTGGGCCACGTAAATTAGAGCAGGATAGGACAGGATAGGATAGGACTGTCTACACGTTCCGGCCGCTTAAGTAGTGGACGAGAAACTGGGGGTAAGCCGCCGGCAAAATCTACAACTACTAAAGTCAGGGATGCCGACCCAAACCCAACTCATGAACAATTTCTACTGCGTCAGATCCTGGCCTACTTATGAGGCCACCCAGTAAAGTGGATGCTAGTTTTAGTATTTATAGCATTAGCAATTGGCGGAAATCTCTTAAGGAGCTTCTTTAAGGAGCTTCCTTAAGGAAATCGATTTCCTTAAAGATTTTCTATCATAAAAAGCTACTATAACTTTCCCTAAATAAGAAGCGAAGACTTTCCTTAAGGAGCTTCCTTAAGGACAAGCTGCCATAGACTCAAGCTAATAGCAGAGGCTCCTGAAGTCCTTGCTAGTGCTACGAGTTCAAAGGCACCGAGAACGCGTTAACGTGTTCGCGGCTGTTAGTTTGTAGGCTACTGCTACTCACGTACACCAGCCACATCTGCAGCAGGACACTACACGCCCACCCCTAGCGAATCGCCCCAACGAACTTCCAACCGCTACCCTTGTTATATATCACCCAGCGCCTCTCTTTTTTTTCAAAAACTTCAGGGAGGTCATTCAAATACAGAGAAAATTAAACGGCCTCCCTGAAGTTTTTGGGAAGGAGTTAGCTCGCTCCCCTTCCGCGACTACCTTCCGCACACAGCAATCGACCACAGGAGCGCGCGACCGTGTCCGGGTCGTTTGGCCTTTTCATGGACATGATGACGCCCAAGACAGAGGCCCCACCCTTCAGACATGGAGGGGCCTAAAGCATTCCCCTCCCAAGCACCGACGCGCCCTCTGGGTCCTCTACTTCTGTACACATATACGCCCAAGCTTAGCACTCTATCATGCGGACACGATGACGCCCAAGAGGCTCCGCGCTCACCCTTCAAGCATGAAGGTGCCCAGCTCTGTCCATCTCTTAGTTACCCGCCACGTTTGAAAGTTGGGAGCCAGCTTTTGCGCGTAGATGTGCCCAGGTGTGGCCTTCTCATGGGCCTCACGATGCTCATCAAGGTCGTCCTTTTAGCATGGGCATGCTCTGCCTTCGCATTCTCATGGACACGATCACACTCAAAAGGATGCAACTTCGGGGCATAGATATGCCCAAGCGTGGCCTTTTCATGGACTCACTTCATGTCGCTCAGTCAGCAGGCGCAGCCTTCCGTCTGCCCTTTGAGATGAATGCGCTCTGCCTTAGAATTTTCATGGGCATGGCCATACTCAAAACAGAGGGCATGGGAATCCAACTTCTGCGCATAGATATGCCCCGGCGTGGTTCTCCTGGACTTCATGACGCTCAACAAGTTCGGCCCCTTGACGTGGGTAAGCTCTCCCTTAAAGTCAATTCTTATGGACATGATTACACTCAAAACAAGGCTCACGCTTGAAAGGTGGACCCTGGTGAGCATCGTCATGCCTATGAGGGGGCCAGGCTTATGCATCCCGATGCTTGAAAGTTGAAGGCGCTGAGGCTATCGATGTCGGGGGGAGTGATTGGTCTGAGCCCTTGCATGTCTGAAGGGTCTTAGAATTCTCATGGGCATGAGTCACACTCAAAACAAGGCCCACGCCTGAAAGGTAGAGGACCCTGGTGAGCATCGTCATGCCTATGAGGCGGCCAGGCTTATACATTCCCGGGCTTGAAAGTTGAAGGCGCTGGGGATGTCGATGCCTGGGAGAATGAATGGCCTGAGCCCTTGCATGTCTGAGGGGTGGGCCCTGGTGAGTCGGTGCCATCTATTATCCCCATGAGAAGGCCAAGCCTTTAAAGTTTAAGGCGTTGAGGGCGTCGATGTCTGTGGGGTGATAGCTGTAAGCCCTTGCATATCTCAAGGGTGGGCCCACCTTGGAGAGCATCACCATGCCCATGAGAAGGCCAAGCCTATGCACCTCCGTAAGTGAAGGCCGACGGCGTTGGGGATGTCGATGCCTGTGAGGAATATAGCCGTGGGCACTTGCATGGCTTAAAATAGGGGCGGACCCTGGCGAGCGTCATCATGTCCACGAGAAGGCCAAGCGTGTGCACCTCCGTAGGGCAAAGCTGAAGGCTGAGGATGTCGATGTCTGTGAGAAAGATAGTCGTGAGCCCTTGCATGTCTGAAGGACTACCCTGGTGAGCGCCTTGCATCATGTGACATGAAAAGGCCCGGCTTTTTTATACATCTCCGTCCGCGCCGGAAGGTTGGGGCCCAGCTTCTGGCTCTGCGCATAGATATGCCCGAGAGTGGCCTCCTCATGGGCCTCGTCCATGATGCTCGGCAGTGTCAGCCTCTTGCCATGGGCAAGCTATGCCTTAGGATTCTCCTGGACATGATCACACTCAAAAAGGCGAAACCTCTGCGCCTACATATGTCCAAGCGTGGCCTTCTCATGGACTCCATGACGCTCAACGGGCCAGCCTTGGCGCCCATTGGCTTGCCCCTATGGAGCAAGTTCGCCAAGGCAGTAGCCATAGCGGTAACCTCCTTACTAGCCTTGGCGAGCAGTGCAGACTTGGCGACTTTTTTCCTTTGTCATTCTGTCTCTTAGTACTTAATCTGCCTAGTTGTTAACCTATGCCCAGCGCAGCGGGCCCTTGATGGGCCCGCTTTCTGGGCATGTACTTATAATAAATCACGTCCCTGGATTTCAGCGAAGTGGTTAACTATAACTTATAGACCTGAATTGCGGCCAGGTCACGGATTCGTCCAAAAACTTGCATTTTCCTAGTAGACATATTTCTAGTTTTTGAATAACAAGAGGAGCTGCAGCGCCATAATTATACTGGTACTGCCAAGCTCCTGACTCGGGATTATTTCCTTGATGTTGCTCCCCGAATACCGAGTTGCAGTGCTGCTTCTTGAGGCCTCGTGTTAGATGTTGAGACCACCTTCAACTAAGAATACACTTCTTTCACGGGGAAAGTAAGACGCCAGTCGAGATTGATGGTTTGCTATAAATGGGTGAAAAAGTAGCATCGATACTCTTCTTTTCGAGCTCCTAAATGATGCACATGATCCTCTTCCCCTTCTTGTAATGTTCTACTCACTTTTAGTCGCTCTTCGCCGTAATTCAAGTTTGAGAAGATTGCTCATGCAAGCAAAACCATAGGGAAAGCCGAAACCGCCTACATCCACTCGTGGCAGCTCGTGCGTGACGTCCCACTCAACCTCTTTAGGACTGTTCGCCATCTGCTCCGCAGCTCCAAGGAGCTTCTCCTCTCTTAAAACTTCTTCAGGCATCTTCTTCACCTTCTCCTGTGGTGCCTTTTTACCTCCAGCAATTGACCCATCATCACATGGAAACGCCTGCACCTGCTGAATGCCTCCTACGCTTACATTAGATTCAAATTAAGCACGGTAGTCGATCTTTGTTTATCTTCTTGACCTTCTTCGCACTTTGAAGAACTGATGCTGCGGCCCTGAAATGTGAACGAACCAAAAGTGAACTCAACAAGAAAAAAGAAAATAAATGAACTGAAAGTAGGTCGTCAAAAGCTCTACTCATTTTTAAGGACACTGATCACAATGCATGGCCACTATGACTATTCCTGGTAGCAATCGGACGAGCGATAATGGTAGCAGTCAAGTATCTTCATGCCCATCGGAATCAGCTATATCTTGTTCATATACATATTTATAACATATAGGAAAGCGCGCTCCCTCTCCAGGATTGGACCGGTGGGCACGCTTGGCACGCTGGGCCGCTGGGCGGCCCAAAAGTTGGTCTTCTGCGAAAGATGTCGCCCGACGTGAGATTTGGGGTCAAAAATCGCGGCGCCCTTCGGGCGCCCATTTCTAAAGCCCCCCGGCAGAGTAAGCGCATGCGCCCTGGATCCGCAGCAAGCTGCATACGAATCGGGGCCCGCCTGGGGATATCCCTCAGCAGCACTGGCCGCACATTGCAGCAGAGCACTGACGCACACTGCAGCGCTGCGCCGCACTCTACACACCCAGGCGGCACGACTGCATACAGCAGCGAAGCACCGCAAGCAGCGGGAACGTGGCCACTCCGCAGAGGACCACAGCGCCGCGCCGCCCTCGACTGCGGCCTTGTACATTGGCGGAAGCAGCGGGGCAACGTTATACGCGCCCAGCGTGCGCCCACCGTGCCCACCTTCCCACCGTCTATGTAGTATAAGTATATAATAGGTGAATAACCACTAGACCTGGCTAACGCGTGGGCAGTCGGTCGTTGGCTATGCTACACCCCTTGAAGCTCCTGGTTGGCAGATGGAGTGCGTCCGTTTTTTCCTTTAGTGCAAGGTATTGAGAGAAGACAGCCCAGCTGCAGTGTTTTGATGTAGTACTCGAGGACAAGATCGATGGCCCGGTTAGTTTCTCGGCTGTGACCTCTAAGAGGAGGCGCTTGCGTACACCTCTAAGAGAAACAACACCGCCCCCAAAAAATGCCGCGGGAGGGTCACTCGCTGGCAGCGCCTAAGAGAAAAGACACTGACAGCCAGCAAGCGCGGAAGGAAATTCCACTACAAAAAGAAAAAGAAACGACCACCCCAGCCACCCCACGAGGACTAACAAACAAAGCCAGGAGAGCGGCTGCACACGCCCGAACACACCAAGCCAAGAGACAGACGTCCGACCGAAAAACCCGAAAACGGGGCAACCGGTAGCGCAAGCGGGCGCGCCGCGGGATCTCTGGCTGTTTCTGACTGCCACGCGCCACACTCTTGGCCAACCCCACGGGGGAGCCGCGCTGCAATGGAATCCAGGCATCATTTTCCCCATTGTGGTAGCAATTTCGTAAGCAGTAGAACCGTGCAGCCCCCGGCACCCGGTTCGAGGCGTGTTGGGGAACAGGCATCGAAAGCCCAGAGCCCAGAAAGGAGGCAGCCGCACACAGATGTGGCCTTGGGCCTTATGCGTGAGGACGATCCACCAGGCAACCCACGCACCATGGCAAGCAAGGTCAGTCTACGAATGGCGTTACGCATCCAAGGGGCATCCCGTCCGGCATAGCGACCATCGACCACCCCAATAGCATAGAAAAGTTGCTAGAAACTTTTCTAGAAGGGCCACCTAGAAGCATTTTGCTAGACAAATGGTTGCAACAAAAAAGGCGGTCGTCGACATACAGTTATAGTTTTATTTATCAGTAACAGTATCTACTATTAGCTTTTTACTAGAATGGCTGTCGCCTGGCCCTTCTACGTGTTTTCTCTTAATGTCAGAGCTCGCACTCGACCAGTGTTTATCCCTCGCGCGAATCTGGGGCATTGTCTCCACCCAAAGCTGCACCGGTCTCTGAGTGCGATCCTGGAGTTCGTCGCCGGGAGTGCGATCATTAGACTGCGACTGAGTCGAAGGCATCTACCTAATCGCCTTGGTAGGCTAGGGTCGTCTGCTGGGGTCTCTGACATCGAGCCCCCACAATCCCAAAAATTCGGCGGCATGCGTCCCTGTTGTCAACTTTCCTGATGACTGTCGAGGCAAGTTCTGAAGTGCTTGCTGTCAGACTTGCCATATACTACCAGAAGAAAAAGGTACAAACAATGATCTAGTTCTAGTACATAGGATTCTCTTAAAGAAGCAATCATGTCGCAGGATATTCCACATGCGGTCTACAGTGCGCAAAAGAGTTTCCATGCACGCTTTCCCTGCTGCGGCTATCTTCATGGCGTTTCTAACTTAGATTGATAGATACTTTGAATAGAATTCTTCAGATATGTTGAGTAGAGGTAGAAGAATGGGACTCACACTCACTTCTTTTTACCTACAACATAGCACTTCCACTATTACACATATTATCAATCTATGGAATAGTGTCGTGAAGGAATTTATGAAGTAACGTGGTGCAGGAAGTCCGACTTGCCTCTATATCTCTCAGCTGGTCTTAGCAGAACAAGTAGAGGCGGGCTCCCATATTGCTCTGGTGCGTGTGAGATTCAAACGTGACTCATCTACTCATCAATCGGGAAAAGTAAAAAAGAGCACATTCTCCAGTGTAAGTGTCTGCGTCGTACGTTCGTGTTCAAAGTTTTAAGCTAAAGCATTCGAAGAAAGTGCTACAGACGCAGCTGCCACAATCCATTTTGTCATCTCTCATAGCTCGTCTCCGCCTCGTTCGTATTTCAAGTTGTTAGTTCATGCCGCGATCAATGATCTACTGTCTAAGATGAATTGATGTCCAATAGTGCTACTGCTAACCTACCCTGCTCTTGAAGTAGATGTAGATGGAGAAAAAAAAATCTCTCATGTCCTAATGCGTCGCTTCGTCTTTCCAAGCACGATTGACGGCCTCAGCCCACAGGGGGCTCATGGTCTGCTGGTCCCGATTGAGTTAGAGGCGACGCGTATTTTCGGGCTATAAATCCACTCTGCTTTCGCAGCGTGGCGGTGACTTCTTTTCTGTTCTAAATGAGGTTTCTCTATTATGGCCCTGGCTTCTTTCCTATCGGGAAACAGTTTTCTCCTCTATTGGGTGGAAACAGTACTCCTATTATTGAGGATAGTAGCCCAACAGGATGGCACTAGCCAAATAGAATGTAGTAACGGAGCCCAATCGGAGTTCCTATTGCAGGTATAGCAGCGTGACTTCTTTCCTATTCAGAAGAAGAGGAGGAACAATTGTTTTAGAATTTGGTAGTGCAGGACGCAATAATTCAAATTCGATGTAATCGAAAGACTGAGATAATCGAGAATCCCAGAGAGCAGCCTTCTCAGATACTCTGCCATTTCAGTTAGCTACTCGTCGCTTACTTTTACTCTTCGTGTACTAGAGGTGCAATGAATAGGAAGAAAGATTCCATAGTTCTGGCTAGTAGTGCGAACTACTCCAAAGACAAAAATAATTCAATAGTAGTTGTAGCTAGTAGTCCAAACTACTTAACTCTGAGTCACCATTTTCCGAGCCTCCGCGCGCGCTTGCGCGTGCGCGTCTTTTCTTTTTTCGAAACGAGAGTCGGCACTCCTACTCGCTTGGAATGTTTCGATACTTTAGACGATTTTTTTTGGCGCCTTCATTCTAGAGCATCACCCATCAATCATCATCATGGTGCTCTCCCAATTAGTTCTACTAGCCTAGAGCAATTTAATGAGGCAGATACATACGAGCTGGTTTTAGAAGCCTTATATCATTATACTTGACAGGCACCTCCCGCATTTAAGTTGTATAGAGGGCACTTTCACGAATGCAAATGCTGCAGGCGCAGATGCTACGAACCGCACACGCACCAAGATGGGGGGCCCCCCGTGGAACCCTGCGAGCGTCCTATCCACCTGAGGAGCGTGACCTGACGCGCGAGGGGGTATTAGCGAAACGCGTGACGGCGTGACGCGCTTAGGAGCGCAACACGCGTGAGATTATTGGCGAAGCGCGTGAGGGTGTGAGGCGCTTAAGAGCGTGACGCGCGTGAGAGTATTAGCGAAGACCGTAAGGTCTCCCCTGGATGTTCTTCAGGTCTTAGCTAAGGCCACCCCCAGGCCCAAATGTTCTTGGGGTTGATCTATCATAAGAAGGGCAGCCCTCCCACGGATGTGCCTGGGTTCATAAAGTCGCCCACGGGTGTTCTTGGGTTCATAGGGTCGCCCTCGGATGTTCTTGAGGTCGTAAAGCCGCCCCCGGATGTTCTTGAGATCATAAGGCCGCCCACGGATGTGCCTCAGGTCATAAGCCCCCCGCGGATGTTCCTCCGGTCATAAGGTCGCCCCCAGGCGGAAACTCCTCAGACCGTAAGGCCTCCCGCGGAGGTTCCAGTTCCTCAGATCATCAGGTCCCCCGCGGGTGTTCCTCATCCTCAGACCGTCAGGTCTCCCGATGTTCCTCAGCCCCAGGTCGTCAGGCCTCCCGCGGGTGTTCCTCGGGTCCTCAGGGCAAGCTCCCCACGGATGTTTCGCAGGTCTTAAGGCCTCCGCGAATGTTCCCCAGGTCGCCAGGCCTCCCCGCCCGGGTGATCCTCAAGCCGTCAGGCCTCCCACGGATGTCCCCCAGATCGCCAGGCCTCCCACGGATGTCCCCCAGATCGCCAAGCCTCCCACGGATGTTCCTCAGATCATAAGGCCTTCCACGGATGTCCCTCCGATTGTCAGGCGTCACGCTTAAATTAAAAAGCGGGACGCTTCCCGCTTCGTTCTGCGGTCTATAAGACACCCACCAGGTCTTACAGGGCCCCCCGGTGGATGGAGAGGCGGCGGCGTCCGCGCGCCCTCTTTCTTTCCGCGGTGGTAACATGTGAAGACCCCCGGGGGCAAAAGCTTCAAAAAGCACCGCCGGAGCCCCTTGGCGGCTCTCCGCGTGTTCCCCCGAGGCGTCCCGGCTCTTGGACCCTATCAGGGGGGGCAGCCTCCGGAGGAAGAAGGCCGCCGAAGGCAGCCACGGTCGCGAGGCCTGGCCCCTTTGGCGCTCATCCCCCTAGGGGGCTCCCCCAGTGTATGAGGAGCCCGCCCACGGGAGGTCTCTCTGTGGAGGTCTGTAGGGCACAGGCAACACGGCAAGGGGGTCCAGCCCTGCTAGTACCTTCGCCGGGTCTGTCTGTGGGGTACAGGCAACACGGCAAGGGGGTCCAGCCAAGCCACCTTCGCCAGGTCTGCAGGGTACACGCACCACAGCAAGGGGGCCCCGCCCTGCCACCTTTGCCAGGTCTGTAGGGTACATGCCGCACGACGGTAGGGGGCCTCTGCTACGACTAGGTCTGTAGGGTACAAGCAACACGGCAAGGGGGCCCGGCCTTGCCACCTTTCCCAGGTCTGTCGGGCACATGCAACACGGCAAGGGGGTCCAGCCTGCCACCTTTGCCAGGTCTGCAAGGCACGCGCAACACTCACAGCAATAGGGCCCAGCCTGCCACCTTTGCCAGGTCTCGGCAAGGGGGCCCAGCCTTGCCACCTTTGCCACCTTCGGAAGCCTTCCACCACGGCCTTCGGTGCTTCAACGGCCGCAGGGATGGGGGCCCTGTCGGGTCCAGTCAAGAAGCGGGAAGGGGTCGGAGATGGGCGCCCGGAGGCCTTCCCGCCCGGCAGTCCCTCGAGAAAAAGGGCCCGGGGCTGGACGAGGCCCCCCCCCCTCAACAAGTTAGATTGGGGGGGCCCTTCAGCCCTGAGCCCTGGAGCGCATACTATAAATATATATGAAAAACGGAACTCAGAGACCCTTTGGGGGTCGTGTCGTGTCATGATACCTCGGTGCCCGTGGTCCTATCTAACGGCACTGAAGCCGTTTCTAAAAGCAACCATAGAAACAGAAAAGGCCTCTAGATGCTTCAGGTTCTATTCACTCACTCACTTTTTCACTCTGTCACTCACCCGTTGACGAAACGCGTGACGACTTCAGGTCGCACATAGCAAGGGCCTAGATAGTTCAGGTCGTATCGATAATTAAGGAAGGCTCACTTAAAGACCCGCTTGGCGGCATGTTTTAAACCCTGCGTGGCTGTCTTTCCGAAATGGTGGCGGTGACTCGCAACCTTAGAGAAATTTCGCGTGCTTTTCCATTCCATTAAGCCCAACACTGGCTAGCATGCCCGCGCCTAGACTATCCGATTGCCATGTAGGTTACATATACTGCTAACGAAGTTCAACTGTTGAGTAGCATTTTTATCCAAAGAGTGTTTGTGTAAGCGATTGAAATTGATCCAAATTAAATACTTAATAATAATGTAAGGATTAGACGGTGTTTATTTAACAAGGAGACCAGTAGGCTTTCTTCAGTACTTCTGGAGCCAAGTTAACTAAATACTTCTGGAACGCCACACGCATCAAGCACTTCTAGACCGGAATAGCAACAGCTATGCCACTCCGCTGATAGTGTGAGAACAGGCTCAGCCTACTGCGAAGGCGATAGCGAACGACTCAGCCAACTGCGAGAACGAAACTAAGACTGGCTGCCTTTTGTTTCACTTTCACGTTAGTAATAGCCGATAGAAATATGGCGTGGCGTAATGGAGCGATGGCAATAGTGGTGGCGAACCCATTCACGGGGCACAAGAGAAAAGCTGCATGGAAAATCCACACGGGACACGCGCGCGCGCTTCTACTTATGGGCTAACACTATGCCAAGCGCAAACATAGAAAAGTGGCTTTTTAGCCAAAAAACACACATAAAGCCCAGGCATGAGTTGGGCAGTATTCGCCTCAAATGAAAAGTTTCCACTCTGAGACGAATAACGCACAAAAAACGGAAAAAGCGCGCTTTTTTGTACGTCATTCGCCTCAGTGTGAAAATTTTCCATTTTGAGACGAATATCGCCCAAGTGATCCCTGGGCTTTATGTGCGTTTTTTGGCAAAAAGGCCACTTTTCTATGTTCGCTTTTTGCATGGTGTTAGTCCACACTTCTACCCAATAGAAATATTTATAAAAAATGAATAAAAGGCGTTCTTTCTGTTCTTAAAACTTGGTCGGTCTCCAACGATCTCCAAAAATATCCCAGGCTGCCTTCTCCCTCGCCACCGCTAATTTAGAGGCTGCGGCCTTGCATCCTTCAGGCCATCCCGAACCCGTTTCCTACTGGAAAACAGGGCAGGGACGGTAGTGAAGGGCGCTATGAGGTAACCCTTAACTAGTCTTTTTGGGTGCTCGGATAACTGCTCATACCATAAGATCGGCATGTCTTGGCCCTTCTCATTTCGGACCTGATTCTGTTTCTGCCAGTACTTGTGCCACCAGTGCTGTTCTAACCGTTTAGACCCTACAAAAACCAAAACTATCACAAATACCTACGCTGATAACCATAACTGGAATTACATACTATAAAAGTTTACTCTTCCTGGACGAGGTGGGGGAGACTACTGTGGTTAGGTTAAGTCGCACGAGGTGAAGGTAGCATCTTGCCTGTGGCTACGGTTTGTAATCTGATGAGCCTGAACGACTCTGAGATAACTGTAACTCCTAACATGTTTTCTCCTGTAATACGAAAAAAGACTCCCTTGCTGAACCAAGCGCAAAGAAGATCGCTCACGCCTTTACTAGATCAACCAACTCAATCAGTCAACTGCGCACGGCCGTCTAACGGGCGACGGCGCTAGAGAACGAAAGAACCCAACAGACCCCGGACCAGTTCATCTGGACTGTGCTAGCACGCCAGCGCCCCCGCTGACCTAGCTAACCCAAGAAAGCAAAGAAAGGCCACCCATAGCAAAAGGCCAAGAGCTAGTCACCCAACGTAGTCAACTACAAAACCTCCAAGCACAGTCTCCCTATGGACTCTGCCCGCATTCCTTACGCTGTGCCGGGCTATTGAAGGCCGCGCCCTCAAAACTCAGCCGAGGAAGGGAACCGCGCTCCGCCCGGGCTGATCGCTGGACAATGGCACGCGGGCACCTGTTGGCCAGCCTATCCATCCTCGCTCGAAGTCTCACACGCTGAGGCCCACGCCAGGAACCTCTGTGGCGTGCATGCTGGGCCGGCCCTCGCCGCACTTCTCAACCGCCGGCGAAGCCCGAAATCCATCGCGCCGCTCTCCCGAGGCAGAGTCACTGGAAGACACAAAGCTCCTGCAGTACAATATTGCAATTAGTGGGGGAGGGGCCGCGTTGGGCTAGCCCACCCGCGAGCCGGGTACCCACCGTGGGCTGATGCGATCATCTCCTCACAACTTCGGGGCCATCAGAGTGAACTTGGTTGCAGCTAGCAGGATAGGCTGCCTCTGCTGGTCCTGGAGCCGGGGATCTCCTCTCTTTTGTTCTTTTCTGTTTCCTTAGCATTTCCGGCTTTCTTTTACCTGTATGCCTTCCCCGTCATCTTCAAACTACACCCCAGTTGGCTGCCCCCCTGCTCGTCGAGGCAACCGAGCGCCCCGAGCGGGTTGCCTGACGGCTCACCCACAGCCGCGCCCCTCCCATTGCCTGTCTGGTGCTGACTGCTTTGGCAGCGCTGATCCCCAAGTCTGGACCTGGGGGAATCTTAGTTGCCTCCTCTGCCTTGCCTGGCTTCAGCTCCTTCTTCTTCTTGGGCCACGCTGGTGGCGTGCTGGGGGGGCCCAACGCGGCGGCCAAAACACGGCCAGCGTGCCTCTTGGGGTCTTTCACCACCAGCCCCCCAAGTCTTCCATGGCGTGCGCAGCGCTGTCTGGAACCAGTGGGCATGCCCCGACTAAGCCGTCTACGAGCTGGCAGCACAGGCTCCCACCGGAGTGGGCCCTCTTCCTCATCAAGACGCCGCCACCTGTGGCTCTGCGTATTGCCAAACTTGCTGACCAGCTCGCGCACCTCGGGGGCAAGCCTCTCGCCCTGGCTTCCGGGCGGAGCGCCTCGCCAGGGGGGAAGCTCTCGCCAGACCAGACAGAGAAGACAGCCCGCTCCCCTACCGGGGTCACGCCTGCGAGCGGAGGCCTGCCTAGCCTGCCTGCTCTGTAGGTCCTTCAGAGGGTGGCGGCGCCAAATGCAGGCAGGCTGTTTGGCCCCGCGGCTCCTTTCCGCCTCTCTCGGTCAATGCGGCAGAGGAATGCGCTGCGGCGCCTCGTAAGGCGCGGCAAATCGGTGGGCGGCATCCTCTCCGGGGTGACGTCCCCTCAGGTGCCTGCTAGCGCGTTGAGCTTCTTGCCTCGGTGACTCGGCGCACAGTGTAGCACTACCCCCAAGGGCTGCCTTGCTGCTGGGAGGTCACTCACAGCATGCCTAACCCTCGCGATCGTCCTGCTCGTGTTGGTGTTGTTCTTCAGTGCCATCTTCAGCACGCTGCCGCAGTCTGATATCACTAGAAGACTTCGCACTCCCTCGCACATGAGGCGAGGAGAGGTCTGCCATGGCCGCGTAAGGAAAGGGTGTAGATTGAGATGTACTCTAAGTTAGTCCAAGATGATTTCACGGCCAGTACAGGAAGTAGGGGTCGCGAGAGAGTGCGTAAGGAAAGAACAAACAAGTTTACAAGAAGAAGTAGAATTGTCATAACTCGAAGTGTCTCATCGCGGCTAACCTCATCGTAGACCTTATTCCATACTTCATGACTTGCCTTGCGCGCCGGATCCTCATCTTCCAGACTAGGCCATTTCACACGCCCCACACTCACGCCTGCAAAAAAGGGAACCTTCTCGGCCGCGCCCCCTTGGAGGTTAGAGGAATTAACGACGCCTAATTCATCGATCCCCTAATGCATATCGAGGTCCCACCCTGCTCAAGCGTATGTCTCAATAGAGTGTCTCCATTGTAATGTATTGGGGTCGTGCATACGGTTCTTGAGGGATGATCCCTGTTTACGGTTCTTGAGGGATGATAGAGTGGAAGATGGATCAGGGGGACAAGCTGTGGGAAGACCCTCACTACATTAAGGGAACAAGCCTTATGAACTTGCTGAGGCGGGTCGACTTCTCTTTTTTGTGTCCCATCTGGATCTGGCCACGAAATTTCTTTTGGCAGTGGCAGTCTCTGCATCTGCACGTAAAGAATTCTGCGCTCTTGTTCCCAAAACCAATGGTAAATCTCAAGCGCTCCATCTTAGAACAATAGACTGTATTAGTATTTTTCAATGGGGTTAGGAACTAGAAATAGATTGTGAAGAATTTGTTAATAGGCGTCTATAATCTTATACAATACAGAGGATATCTACTTCGAATCATGTGCTTCAAGAACGAGAATCCAGCCCCTCTAGTTCCTTAGCACCCTTTAGTTTAGTCCTGTCCCGGGGTAGTACCTTTCTTTGCTTTTCCCGATCTTGCCGCGTATCCTTATGTAATGTGTATAAAATGGGTCGTGCCATCTACCTAGAGATACGAGTCGGATAAAAGCATTTTCAAGTAAGGTATCCTCACATCCGGTATTTTTTCATACAGGCAAGATACTATGAAGAAAGACTACCAAGAACACCCTATAGATACTTATTCTTGAAGTTGTAGATGGTGTCATAAAAATCGTGCAGCCTCACGATGTAGTCTCCGACGGGAAGGTTAGACAAAGCATGACCTTCGAAGTCCTTCTCCTTGCAAACAATACCTTGGAAAAAGTAAGTTTCTATTTGTTTCAGGTGCATCCTTCATCCTCATCATCATCGTCGCGTCTCAAGAAGTAGTCCTCCTAAAACTATCGGATCCTTGCAGAGTATATTCATTCATTCACTCACTCGCCCATTCGAACCAAGTGAGTAACATTTTTTTTGCCTAGGCCTACAGTTCCCGCCTACCGGGTAGGGAAGCGCCTGAAGCACGACGGCCAGCCGCCGAGGAGAACTACTCAAACTACTTAATCAGATATATGCGCTTTTTGTGCCAAAAGATGAGTTAGAGCTCAGGTTCACTGAATGAATTGCCTTAATCCAATGGTCTTGTTTTTCTTCCTCCCATTTCGGGATCTTCATTTTTTCCACTTTACTCTTCGGCAAGAATTTTCCCACATCTCTTTCGCGACTTAGAAAATTAAAATGATATGGAGCACTCACGACTTCTCACCTGATGAAATTCATTCTACATCCTCTGGCTACCAGGGCGGAAGGAAGTTGAAGTATAACAGTCACCAGGTGGGTACATATCAGCCAGGTAAGAGTCAGCACGTCGTGTGAGTATCCCTGATAGTACTGCTCCTAGTTCTAGTAGCCGTAGATTTTTTTTTTTTGTAGAAGAGAGAAGCTCTGATAGTGAACATACTTTATACTTCAAATCCAAACTGTTTCAAAGACTGTCTGGGTAATAGGCGAAAGAAAAGTTGTGCCAGCACTCCTTGGAGGGAGGTCTATCAGATAGTACTACTTGAGGGTGTTGTAAAAAAGGGACGACCACATGCTGTTTTTCGGCCGAATGATCCCGGTTCTACAACTTGAGAGAAAGCCATCGGCTGGCACAGATGACGAAATTCATCTTTATTGTACTACTCGGGCAATACGTTCTAAGCCTTTAATCATTGTATTGAGACTCCTTCCAACTCGGGCAAGACGTTCTAAGCCCATAATCGTTGCATTGTGAGGCCCCTTCATAAACATTTTTTATTCGGTGTATTAGAGCTGTCGCACTCGCATGATCATCCCTCCGGCTCTTGCAACTGCTACTACGAAGCTGCCGCCAGGGATATTGACGGAGGATACTACTAAAAAACCAGGGACGTTGACCGATACTACTAAAAATCCAAGCCCATATTCTGCGGCGAAGTGAAATATCCAAGCAAATACATAAATAAAATAAGCGAGAAACTGAAACACGAGCAGCGTAGTGATCCAGTGAGCTACTCGCCCATTTTCACTTTTCGAGTATTGGTTGAGGGATAAAACATTTCACTTTTACAGGTCTTCTTCACTTGAGAATGCTACAAAAAAATGAATTGTTTCAACCTTTAATGCAAGAACTTAGCTACTATGGTAGCACCAGGCGCATCTTTACTATGGTAGGAGCCTTAATACTGGTGTATTTTTGGATCTCGATGGCAGTGCGTATGAGCTCATACGCTTCTCCTCTCACAAAAGACTTTTTCACATTTTAGAGGGGTGCTGCGGTGCTGTCCAATGTAGTATATACAAGATGACGCACTAGTACATTCCTCAGAAACTACTGCCCTACCCCTTAGTTATTCAAAAAATGACTAGAGAGAGCCAGACCCCAACAGATAGAAAATGAAGACTAACCAAGCAAGATCCTGTTTGCAAATGATTCAAGTTGCATAATCATGGAGGTGGAGCTTCGCACACTCGAGAGCCAAATAAGTCTATGTCTACGCCAACCTACTTACTACTGCCGATAAGAGGCTACGCAACAAGAGTCCTCTATAGCTGGTCTCTACTAACCTAAAGTAGTGAGCCTCTAAAACTGGTCTCTTACTAACGGTATAGCTGGTCTCTTACTAACCTAGGTACTAACAAAAGAAGTCTCTAACGGAACAAAGGAGCAGCGTATTCCTTAACATTTCGTGCGCGCTGCATCCATTTCGGTAGCCGCTGCCTCGATTTTCTTCTTGTCTTTGAAGAAATTGTCGACGAGTCCCTTGATTAGAGCTGCCGCCCATGGGCATCCTTGGCAGATTCCTTGACAAGTCCTTGGTTTAACCATTCATTGGTTTTACAAATGACAAGTCCTTGGTTTAACGAAAACAAATGCAATCCAGGTTTTCAAATAGGAAAACAAAAACAGCGAAGGATGATGGTGATCGTGAGCATGCTTTAGCGGTAGCCGTAACTGGAGCCTTTGAAGTGCCTTACTGGCTTTCAAGCCCTTCTCTTTCACCTCTGCAGGTACCTCATAGTTGTCCTTACCCAAGGTTCCAAGCTCACGGAGCGCACCGTCTGCACCAGGTGTAACCTCGTACTCCGTGATCAAAGTCGTTGCTTCGTCCGTCTCTTAGAGCAGTCAGGAGAAGGAGGAGGAGCTGTAGGCATAAACATAAGTCTCAAGAAAGCACACACATACGACTATGGAGACTAGGCACATAATTGCGGTGAAGAAAAGCGCTATAAATCACATAAAAATATTTGGAGAGTCAGGCAACTCAAACGACAACAGTTCCAAAAAGAAAAAAATGCACATTTCAAGTAGCTACTTAATCATAGATCATACTTTCATCCCAGAGGAGAGAACGCGTTGATGGCCGCACACAATTTACTAAAGACGCCGAGAGAACAAGAGGTAGCATTTCTAACTTAGACCATTTTGTTATCCTCTAGCCATAAACCATGTTCTGATCCTCCAGTGCGCCTCCCTCGACCAGTGCTGCTGGCACTCTACTCCGCAATTCCTGGAGGATCTTGCTAAATTAGGGCGCCCGTGTCTCCCTTCAACGCCATATATCTACATGCCCAGAAAGCGGGCCCTTGAGGGCCCGCTGCGCTGGGCAAAGGTTACCAACTAGACAGATAACCAAGACACAGAAAGACAAACGAAAAAAGTCACCAAGTCCGCTCGCCAAGGCTGGAAAGTCTGGCAAGTTGGCTCCCACTGCGGCTAGGCTAGTAAGCTGGCTACTGCTGTGACTAGCTAGCTCTGAAGCATTGGCCAACTTGCTTACCGGGAAGCCAATGGGCGCCAAGGTCGACCCCAGCGAGCTCAAAAGCTGTGGCCAGCTGGCTTGGGCGCCATCCATGGCGAGTTAGCTCAGAAGCCATGGCCAGCTAGCTAGGAAGCCATGGCCTGCCCGCTTGGAAGCAGTGACGAGCTTGCCCCGAAGTCGTGGCCAGCTAGCCTGGAAGCCAAAGCGAGCCAGCTTAGAGAGAAGCCAAGGCCAGCTAGCTTGGAAGCCACGGCGAGCTAGCTCAGAAGCCATGGCTGGCAGCTTGGAAGCCATAGCGAGTTAGCTTAGGAGGCACGACCAGCTAGCTTGGAAGCCCTGGCCTTCAACGGCGTGGCAAGCTAGCTTGGACGCCATGGCGAGCGAGCTCAGGCGCCTTTGCCAGCTAGCTTAACAGCCGTGGCCAGCCAGCTTGGAAGCCATGGCCATGGCTAGCGCTGAAGCCATGGCCAGCTAGCTTAAACAGCTAGCGCAGAAGCGTTGGGCAGCTAGCTCCGAAGCCTTGGCCAACTAAGCTTGAAGCCTTGGGCAGCTAGCTCTGAAGCCTTGGCGGCCAACTTGCTAGCTTACATACTGGGTAGCCAAGCGATGAACGTGAGCGCCCTGGCTGACTAGCTCCGACGCCATTCCTGCCAGCTTGCTAGCCCCGAAGCCTTGGCCAGGTAGCTCCGAAGCCTTGGCCAGATAGCTTAGAAGCTATGGCCAGCCAGCTTGGATTGGGAGGGAGCTCCAACGCCCTGGCCATGTAGCTTGGAAGCCATGGCCAGCCAGCTCAGAAGCTACGGGCAGCGAGCTTAGAAGCCTGAGCCAGGTAGCTCAGAAGCCTCGGCCAGCTCGCTCAGAGTGAGGCCCTGCTTGGCCAGCTAGCTGAGAAGCCCTGGGCAGCTCCCTAGCCTAGAGGCCACGGGCTGGCTAACTGCTTCCGCCAACATAGCTGTCGCAGCTTCTGCGCTAGCCGCTTCCATAGGGAAGGGCCTAAAGTAGCCGCTTCTATTAAGAGAAGGGCCCTTGAGGGAGCTCCCTCAGGGTGGCACACCTTGGCTTTAAGGCGCTTCCTTCAGGAGTTGGCTCCCTTCGGGAGCTTCTTTAAGGGCCCACTCTTAATGGGATTGATCGTAGAACTTGCGTCATTGTATATGTAAATGCCCAGAAAGCGGGCCCATCAAGGGCCCGCTGCGCTGGGCATGCCATAGGTTAACAACTAGACAGAGTGACAACTAAGATACAGAAAGACAAACGAAAAAAGTCGCCAAGCCTGCTCGCGGCCAAGGCTAGAAAGGCTGGGAGGCTGGCTCCCACTGTGGCGAGGTTACTCAGTGAGGAGGCTACCGCTATGGCCACTGCCTTGACCAACTTGCTTGCTAGGAAGCCAATGGACGCCAACCCAGGGCCAGCCTGTTGAGCATCATGAAGCCCATGCGAAGGCCACGCTTGGACATATGCACGCAGAGAAGCTGGGCCCTTTTGAGTGTGATCATGTCCAGAAGAATTCTAAGGCAGAGCATACCCATGACAAAGAGCCGACACCGGCGACCACCATGAGGCCCATGAGAAGGCCACGCCTGGGCATATCTATGCGCAGAAGTTGGGCCCCAAACTTCACTCAAACACAGAGGCGCACTAGCTGCGGCCCTCATGGGCTTGATGACATGACGCTCACCAGGGTCCACCCTTCAGACACGCAAGTGCTCACGCCTATCATTCTCATAGACATCGGCATCCTCAACGCTTTCAGCTTTCATCTGCGGAGATGTATACGCGTGGACACGGCGACGCCCTCCAGGGTCGGCCCACGTTTCAGACATGCAAGTGCTCGCGACTATCCTCCTCACAGGCATCGATATCCCCAACGCCTTCAGCGTTCACCACCGGAGGTCTACATTAAGCTTGGCCTCCTCATGGACAACCATGGCGATGCTTGCCAGGGTCACCCCTGCCCTGAGATATGCAAGGGCTTACCTACGGCTATCATTTTCACAAGCATCGACGCCCCCAGGTCAAGTCAACGCCTTCAACTTCCAAGCGCGGAGATGTATACTATAAGCAAGCTGAGCCCGCTCAGCCACGGACGTGAATGATGACGCGCACCAGGGTCCACCCTTCAGACGCGCAAGGGCTCAGAGCTATCAATCTCCCAGACATCGACATCCCCAACGCCTTCAACTTTCAAGCGCCGAGGAGTAGAGCCTTGGCCTCCTTCAAGACATGACGACGCCCGCCAGGGTCCACCCTTCAAGCGTGGGCCCTTTGAGTGTGATCATGTCCATGAGAATGCTACTAAGGAGAAGACCCAAGGGACGTCGATGCCAGTGGAGAGAATAAGGGTTGGCCCCTGCAGCATACCTGAACGGTGGAGCCTCTTGGGCGTCATCGTGTCCATTAGAAGGCCAAGCCTGAACACGCCCGCGCGCTCCTGTGGTCGATTGGTGTGCGCGGAAGGTAGTCGCTCGCGGGAGAGGAAAAAGCCAACGCTTTTCCAAAAGCTTCAGGGGGTCGCGCGGTTTTTTCTGTACTTGAATGACCTCCCTGAAGTTTTTGAAAAGAAGAGACGCCGGGCGATACGGGTAGCGGTTGCAAGCGCGTTGGGGCGATGCGCTAGGGGTGGGCGCGTAGTGTGTTGGGGGGGATCGCGCTGGGGGCTGGCAATTTGTGCGACAAAGTAGACAACTGGCAAAAAACTCCAGAAAATCCCTGGACTGTCGGGCAGAACGAACGCGAGAACTTTACTTCCCTGCGAGTCCTTGGAAATCCCTTACGGAAGGGTCTATTATTAGCCAAAGGCTGTAACAGCTTTCCCTTAAGGAGCTTCCTAAAGGAAGGCTTTCCCTCTTAAGGAGAGGGATGCTCACTTTTTGTAATAAGAATTCTTCAAGGGAAGCAGTTTCCTTAAGGGAGGCCCTTAAAGGAGTCGGTTAAGGATTTCAGAAAAAATCGCTAGCCCTATAAATACTAGTATCAATATGCACAACAGATGCAAATGGCCTCCAGCAACTTTATCATGCCTGCACCGACTAAAACGGAAAAGTATGGATTTTCATGGCAAGTGCGCTGCTGTAGCAAGAGGATTTGCTGTTTTAGCAAGAGCCTGCGCTGTAACAAGATTGATATCGTGCTGTAGCAAGAGGATATCCAGTAGCCATAATCACATCTTTCTTGCGCGGCCTGTTCCTTTTTCAGCACGTTTTCCGGCTTTGGAGGTGGCGGCGTTAGCTTTGCGCGCTCTGTTGGCTTTTCAAGCCCTGCTGCTGCTGGTGGCTGTGCTGGCTCTGCTGGTAGCTCTGCTGGTAGCTCTGCTGGTAGCTGTGCTGGTAGCTGTGCCGGTAGCTGTGCTGGTAGCTGTGCTGGCTCTGCTGGTAGCTGTGCTGGGGCCGGCTCTGCTGGTAGCTGTGCTGGCTCTGCTGGTCCTACTGGTGCCTGTGGCTGTGGTGGCTCTACTTTCGGCCCTTCATCGCCCTCCCCTTCCTTTCTTTGCGCCTCCTCCTCCTCCTCTTTCTTTTTTTGCGCCTCCTCCTCCTCTTTTTCCAGTGTTTCTATTTTATCACCAAAAATCTGGATTGTTTCTTCGGCCTGCTTTATTGTCTCCTCTACATCTCCCCTGAACCTAGCAACTTTCTCCAATCTTAGAAGGCTCCCACGACTGATGGGGCTGACGGTGTTGGTAGTGATTAAAATAGTGGTATTAGTTGTAGTGGTTTATCCAATGATGCGGCACCATAGGCGAAATGCTTTGCAGCTGTTGTTCCTCGTTTTTATATTGATGACGATGACGGGGGCGGCGGTGATGATGCTGGTGAGTGCAGCTACGCTAGAGATGGTTGCTGTTCAACAAGTGAGGTGACTGGTCGCCACAATAGAAGAGGGGGCGATCTATAATCTAATCGATAAACTATGAAGGGAGGAACAACTAGAACTACGGGGGAGAGCCATCGTCGATCTTGACTGATTGGCGTCCCGAGTAGTACATCATCACCCCATCAGTGCGTCTCAAGTGGTCATATCGAATCACCGGCAAGGCGATGCACTTTCTGCGACGGTCATGGGCCCATCTACACCGACTCGATAAGCTGTGCTACTGAAGTAAGCAAGAAGCGAGCGCGGTGCATGCCGGGAGCAAAGCGGCTATAATGTAGAAGATTATCATGCCGAATGCCATCACCCACACCGAAAAAGAGCCGCCGGGCGATACTGCTTCGCCACATGAGACTGGGCGGCAGCTCAGGAGTAGTTTTTTGGCCAAAGCTCGAAGCGCAAGTAAAAGGCTGGCTGGCATGCCTGCGTTGCCTCGTAGTCCGGGCCTTGTTTGGGTTGCAGCTCAAAGGCAAAACCCTCACCAAGAAAGGAAAGAAGCGCGGCCCCCCTTCTTCGGGCCAGCCGTAGTCCGAAGGCGGCGCAAAAGGGAGGCGCTAAGCTGCAGCCAACGCAGCAGGCCACGGGTTCCTCAGCATAATGCAATCCAAAAAGAACCCAGCGCGCAGCCCATACAGAGCCCAGCTTTTGGCCACGACTGTGGGAACCGCGGCAGCAGCACGCCCCAAACCCACGCAAAGCGTGGACTCCCTGAGCCCGAACCCAAGCCAAGCCCACGCCTGGGCGGGCTGGACTATTCCGCGCAGCCCGTGCTTCCGTTCCCCTTGCTTCATCCCAGCGAGCCAGGCCACGCAGATAAGCTAGCAAGGCGCCAGGCTTTGGCTCAGGTTTTGCGTGGCTTACCGCTCGAGGCCAGTCCTCCGATACAATCAAAAGCCGAGCCCTACGCGATGGCCATGGTGGGCCAAGACTGGGCCACAAAGTGAAACAAACCCGCAAAATTTTTTGGCGGCAGGCCATAGATAGAAGCCCAGGCTTCGCGCCCACTCGCCTGGTGTGGTCTGGCCCCTTTTTCTGCATAATCCAACCAAACAAAACCCAGGCGCCAGCCCTTACTCCCAGCACGGCTTGACACCCACGCGAAGCGTCACTCAGCCTCAAGCTGTCAGTCACCCAAGCCTTGCCCGGTCTGGGGTCTTCTCTCTCTCTCTGCGTGATAGATAGCCGCAAGGGAAGTGGCTGAATGACCAAACACAGGGATCAATCCATCCCACACAGAGGGAGCCAGGCGCGGCTGGGCGGGGAGGATTAGTTTGGGCCGCAGAAAATTTCTGGCCTGGGTTGCTCTAGTCTACCTCATTCAACTCAAGCAGGGCACCGCCTGGCCGCCGTTCGCAGTCAAAGGCCAGCCCCCCCGCATGATTGATCCACGCACCACCGGGGACGCGGATGGGCTTGCAGTTGCGGAGGAGTTTGGACCACCACACGAAACCAGAAACCCACGCCAGGCCATGCCTATTGCGGGCTTGGCGGCTACTCCTTGGAATATCACCAAGCCAGCGCAAAGCCTGGGCGGCGATTCACGCTTACGCCGGCCGGGCCTCATTTGTGTCAGCTATCACCCGAAACCCAACCAAAAGCGGCGGGGGCTTTTGCCCATGGCATAGGCCAAGCCAAATTGAAACCCTCCCGCGCCATGCGATTGCAAAAACAGAGAGACCCGCGCGCCAGTCCTTCCCCCCGCAGATACCCAGCCAGGCCGCGCCTACTGTGGATTCTGTACCTACACACAGCGCGAAACCCACGCAGAGCGCGGGAGCTGGCTCAGGCCTGGGGTCCTTGGCTCATTGTCCTTGTCGCCTCCTAGTCCTGGAGGTGCTCCGCTTGGCGACTTTTGCAACTTGCTCCCCCGTGGTTTTATCTTCTGTCTCTCAGTTTTGTTTCCTGTGATTCCCCGCACCCCTCCAGCCCACCGCATCAGCCTGCAGGTTAGGTTTGCGCTGGTGGATTCTGGAGGGGAGCGGGGGCTTGAAGGGTGCCCGAGGCTCTTCGCTCGCGATTAGGGGAGGGCTTTCCTAAAAGGAGCGCAGGAGGCGGCGAGTGTTCTGCGGATTCGCGTCATGCCCGGAAAGGCTGAATATTGCCCAGGTTTTTGCAGTCCTTGCTTGAATTTTCTCCAGTGAAGTCATATACTAACTACTTAGTGACCCTCTTACATCTGGTAGCTACTTGCCTACTTTCCCTTTTCGAGTATGTGTCTCTATCCATCCAAGTCTATGCATATCCATGAGTCTGAGTCTAGACCTACTATAATGTCTATCTAACTATGTACTATAAGGCTCTGAATCTTCTGAGTCGGTCTATCGCTTTCTTTCATCTCGCATGAGTACAATTGAACACGGGGGGGCGCAGCTCACCAGTCGGCGTATCATTCATCCAGTCTTCACAGTATCCATCAATAGCTGAATCTAAAGAAATCTCACGCTACAACCATGCATAATTCCAATTCGCAGACGTATTTCACGTTTTTTTTGACGGATTCTTAGGGCTTCCTCCTGGGGGGTCATGGATTCCACTCCATGAAGTCCTCTAAGACTGGCTGACAAACCAGGGCTAATTGTGGAAGCAGGCTTTTCTCTTTAGGAATTATTCTTGATAGCCGATAATCACCCCTCCAAGTTCTCAGCCGCTATTTATCGCTATCCTTGATAGAAGCGACACCCTCCAAGTTCTTCCCGTTAAGATTCCAGTGATGACGATGATGATTGTACCTATTCTAGAGGTGTTAGGCTGTTTCTACTTTCTACTTCCAGTGAAAAAACTGATATACATAGCCTTAAGTTTCCAGAAAGGTGGATGAAGCGCTTGTCTTGTCCTTGGTCTCTAGCATTTGCTCCACGTCTTCCAAAAAAGCCTTGACAACTCCTTCAGCATCTGAGGTAGTAGATCAATCATGTTCATGAACTTCGATGGATAACTCTTCTGTAGCTAAACACTTCAGACGAGACACCTTTTTTCATCGTGGTACAGGGTGTTCATCTGTAGTAAAATGATGTGTTGTACTGCCACAAATTATACCTTCTCTAGTAAAATGTAAAGGTCAAGAATACCTTTGTTGTCTTCACGTTTTTTAAGAAGCTCCTTAATGCCAAGCGCCTCAAAGCCAGACCGAAAGTTAGAAAATCTTCGACGGTCTCTACGATCCAATAAACAGTGGTGCTGAGTCTGCTCTGCCTTGATATAGTACTCAACGGCCCCTACCCTACAGGGTGTGATCCCTCTTGTTCTTTTCATAATGAGTTAGTGCATGATCAGAGTTCATACGAGTACATCTACAGCAACAGAGTTCAACATTGAACAACAGAGTTCAACCGCAAACATTGAAATTGCTTAATCAATAGAGTTCAACGTTGAATAGGACTTATCATGCCTTAAAAATGAGTCCCCTCAGTACCGAAAATGTGTCGTAGGTGTCGATGGAAACCTTCAAGATATCTAATTGCAGTCCGCTTTGTAGTGCGTTGGCCGTTAGAAGTAATCTAGGTCTTATTGCTAATACATGCATCGATTATGCTGGTTGATATTGGTTCATATGAAAGCGCCCTCCACCAATGTTGAAGCATGAACTTCAATTTTTCCGCTTATTTTCAAACAATCAAATTCATTTCGTATCCCCAATTACGACCTACTACATGTCGTGGTTAGCTCCACAAGCAAGGTCTTCTTTTACTTTTTCGCACCCTGGTATTTAATAGCCAAGAATAGAACAAGGTGGGTCAAAAGCTGAGCAGATGCTGGCGGCGCTCGATGTGCAGGATCCACAACCCGACCTAACCTTTTCACACCATGGGCCATAATTTCAAGGCTTCTTGTTCGTTTTTAAACTGCTCTGCTGCTGCCTTGACTTAGAAATTACATAAATTGTCGGTCTAATATCTCGCGTATCTATCACCTAAGAGGACTTTCCTAGCGGTCCTACTAAAACTATAGATAATCATCATGAAGGCCTTCAAAATCAAAGTGCGAGACCCGTCTTGAAGACTTGTCAATCATCATCCTCTCCTTCAGATACATAGAAAGAACCGTGACCTTAATTCGCTTCCTTTGCCTCGGCGATTGTCTGGGGATTCATGTCCTGCACATTTAAGCGTTTATTATTTCGATCGGCCAACAAATCAGCCAGTTTTTCGCCAGCTTTGACCCTTTCTTAGACGCGACCGCGAGTAGTATCATCAACATTGCATCTCAAATGGTCATCACTAGCCGTCGACGGTGATGACGATGAGTAACCTAGACAACGATTAGGCTAGCCATCGATTAGGCTAACTATATATGCGCCAGGGCTGCGCGGCGCCCTCCCCTGTGGTCTGGCCTGTGGTGGCGCGCCCGCACTTTTCCGCGCTGATTTTCGCGGGCTCTAGTGGTGGAAGGCGTCAAATTTGGCGCGGGCCTCCCCCTGCGCCTCTCAGCGGGTTCCTCCGGGACCTCCTGGCGTCTGCTGACCCTCGCAGGCGGGAGGCCTCCAGGGTGAAAGGCCCCCGAGGGCGGCCACGGTCGCAAGAGCAAGCAAGCCGATGACCAAGGGCCCGGAGGGTACAAGCTGCACGGCCCAGGGAGCGCAGGCTGCACGCCTTCGGAGGCCGGAGGCCTTCCAAAACCGGCGCACTACTGCGGCGGCGAAGCATATCAGAGGCACTTAGGGCACGGGCAGGCACCTGGACGGGGGCGCAGGCGGTCCCATGGGCCCCTTTTGAAGCCTCCCACCTACATCGGAGGCCTGTCGGCAACAGCCAGGCAGCTGGAAGGGAGCGGAGAAGGGAGGCCACTTGGCCCCCTTTGGAGGCCTTCCACCCCCCGCAGACGCCTTCAAAAGGGGTCCAGGGCGGCACGGTACCCCCCCCGCCCTACGCTAGTGGGGGTACCGTCGCCCCGCGCCCTGGATCATATATATGCTATAAATTGGACAACATCACATGATAGGCGACTCGAGAAGTGGCGACCAGAATAGTAACTTGGACAACATCACATGATACATAGGCGACTCGATAATGAAGTGGCGACCACAATAGTCCACAACGAACAATAATGTTGATGCAAAGAGATTGAGATGACTGGGACAAAACTAGACGAAGTGATCTTATCAATCCTTAACCTTGTTTTTTGACGAAAGCGCGCACAAAATTATCCGCCTCCATTTTCTGCTGTGCTACGCTTTTCCCGAGCATTAGAGCGTATAAATATTAAGTACATACAAGACTAAGTATGTTCTTACGCAAGAATGCGCATCATTGACGTATTACGAAACAACAATGTTCTTCAAGCAATTTTTATCAAGAAACAAGTTCCAGTGGGATTAACTGGAACTTGTTTCTTAATAATTCCTTCAACAAGAACTACGCTACAACCTCGTCAAAAAAATCTGATTAAATTATAGGTGGAGGGCCCTCGCAGTAGGCTGCTCCGGTCACCTCTTCAAATGTCACGAAACAACGTCCACGACACGCTCAGCCTCGTAAAAAAAGTTTCAGAACACTGACCCAGGTTTTTTCGAGCAGGTTTTTTTGCAAATCCGCGAGCCACACGCTAAATCGAGCCACACGCCCCTTGCTGCCCATATGGATCAGCGGCACAAACTGCATCGATTCGGACGCAGCGAAGGTCCCCTCTTCTAATTTTAGACTATTCGTAGTAGAAGACGGGACCTTCGCTACGTCCCTGTAGTTGCCAACTTTCCTGATTACGTGAAAAACAGAATAAATTACTCAGCGAGTTGTAATTACTCAAAAAAAAAGGGAGATACTGAACGTCCCTGCAGTTGCCAACTTTCCTGATTACTAAAGAATATGAGAATATGTATATAAAGAACATGAGCTATGCATAAAAAGGAACTCACTCACTCGATGGTGACCATGATATTATCGCAGTTTGTACTTAGCCGATGCAACAAACTGGTATTAAACATGAGATTATTTAACCGTCGAAGTTCAAGCTCAGGGTATCCCCGTCTCTCGCCCCAGACCTCGGTCTAGATTTTTTTTTTTTGCGTTAGGACTACACTATATGCCACCACCCTTTCAATCAATTAGCCAACCTATATAAGATCATCCAAGTTACATACTGGGGGCGCATAAGGCCGCACAATCGGCCACAAGTCTACATCTATCGGAGAAGCCGCGCACTCGACTCCTGTAGAAAACCTAAGGCGCAACCCGACGCAGCGGGGCCCCATTAGCAAGTCAACACACCTGCAGCACTGAGGGATGATGCTGAACTTGAAGAAAACTGATAAACGGTTAGATATAATTTGATTGTAATAGTAATTATAATTAAGTCGTCATTGGCGAATCAAATAGTGTTGTTAACGTGGCGCCTTAAACCAGGTTTCCAATCTTTCATGCCCAGCTCGCGAGCTGCCATGACGTCCATACCCTTCACCAACGACAAGGCTTGACCTTTGGCCTTGGCGGTAGGATCTGGATCTGTGGGGTCTGCAGTGTTAGAGCTACCACGTCGACGCACCCTTGAGCCCATCCCTGAGCCCTTTCCCCCCTTGAAAAAGAAGCCAACAAGGACGGATGGTGCTAGATGTAAGTAGTCCAGCACCATCCTTGTTGGCTTCTTTTTCAAGGGGGGAAAGGGCTGAGGGATTCGTCAGCGATGCGTCAGCGGTAGCCTTAATTTTACTTGTTGTATACAATGTGTACGGCTCCAACGAGACAAGAGGTTCGGCGTTCGAAGAAATCTTGACGTTTTCGTCTTCCTGGAGCGGCACTGGCAACAACTTATGGATATCGACGCCTGTGTTCCAAAAATCAACATCATTACCGTTTTCAGAGGATGTAGAGGGTGGTGGTCGCTCATTCCATCTGTAGTCGCTAATGCCCCAACGCTTTAAGACTGCACGCCAAGAGGCAGCACGCGGCTCTTTCCCTTTGTAATTGTCGGCGGGAGAGATGTACTCCTTGTAGAAGTAGAATTAGAGCTACCGCGTGAGCGTCATCCCTGGGTGCATCCTGCTCGGTCCGTTTTTCAAGTAGAAAAAGGAGCAAGGATGATGACACTAAGGAAGATATGCTGCAGGTGCAGCGGTAGCCTTAATAGAAGCCTCGGCATTTCCGAATCCATGACAAGCCTTCCTCTTTCAGATCGCTGGATTAGATCATGCTTTTAATAGATACAAAGTGTACATGATGGTTTTCAACTTTCTTGCTCTTGTATCTATAGGACAACTTCAAGATCAAAGATCGATGATTGGTACAAGTTGTAACCTAGGGTAGGACCGAAGATTCGCACATCAGCCAGGACCAGGTTGGAAATAAGTATACAACTACTGTGAAGTTAAAGGTGGTGATAGGATAGGATAGGATAGGTTGCCTTTCTATCTCCTTCACACGAGGTGTAGAGAGACCGCATCATAATGATACCTCTTCACGAAATCACGCAGCTTCCTTACGGAAGCCTGGAGAGGCAACGCTTTGGCTCCGTCACCATCTTCGTAGTGGATGAGGTAGTCTGCTAAGTCACCAGAGTGAGTAGCCTTAGAAAGAAACTCACTTTTACTACTTTTAGTGTGCTAAATCACCAAAGTGAGTAGCCTTAGAAAGAAACTCACTTTTACTACTTTTATGAGTTTACTACTTTTAGTGTGCTAAATCACCAGAGTGAGTAGCCTTGGAAAGAAATTCAAATCCTATGATGAGCACGTAGTCTGCTAAATCACCAGAGTGTGTTAAGTTAGAAAGGATTTCACACTTACTACTTTTAGTCCGCTAGATCACCGTATGAGTGGGTAGGCTTAGAACTGAAGAAACGACTCTCCTTATATATGACAAAACGAAATTCTCTCTCATCATGTATCTTCAGCAGAAGGGCTTAGCGTTGCCTGGTTTGAAAAGAACGAGGCCTTAAGCTGATTTGGATCATTAGCGAAACGTCCTTCCACCCCTTGCTTCGCAATTGTCTCCCGAACCTTTTTGCAGAGGCTCTCCTCATAGATTAGACGGCGGTTATTCCGAACAGATTTAGGGTAAAAAAGGGTTAGTTACTCAGAACATATGGGTGAGAGGCTATAGTTAAGTACTCAGAACATATTATGGGTGGGAGGCTACACAGATAGGGTAAAAAAAGGATTACGAATGGGTGTGTGAAAGGCTAACTAACGAGGACATTTTTATCAAATGGTAACCGTAGTACCTAAGCACCTTTATCTTTGGTGAAAGATTGCGATCTTATATTTTTCCAGTGAAGGAAGCGCCAGCTATACCTTTGAAGGATAGGATAGGATCTTGCTGGAGCAGCACATTGTTTCTACAGGCGCAGCCGCTACTATCCATTTTGGTTGTAGATGAACGCCTAACTACATTGCACGAAGAAGGGATAAACCTAACTTAGAGAAAGAGGAAAAACGAGCCGGCAGCTGTTATATTTAGTGCTCTAAGCGTCGCTGGACCTAAGCCTTCGCCTTTTTTCAAAGACAAAAGCCAATCAAGATTAAAATATGGACCACTTCTACAGGTATAAATATGGATCGTCAAACTAGAGGTTTAAATATGGATCACTTCTACGGAAGTGATTACTTCTACTTGTGACCATTTACATGTTTTTTTGTCAGTAAAGACTACAGAAGTCATAAGCACTTCAAAGCAGGAAGGGCGCTGTTGGACTTTTTTGAGATCTGTTCCAGTTTGCCCAAGGCGAACTCGAAGCCGTATTATTAGACGTCGGTGCTCGTTTTTTGGCTCACCTGCTACTTACACAATCGTAAGGGCCTACCAGTAGCACGACTCTGAGTGTAGATGAAGATGCCACCTCCACCTCTTACTCGTAGTTATTCTCTCAAATAGGTGCCTACCAATACCACTCTACCGCGACACGAAGATGCCACGACTCTACTGAGTGATGCATAGAAGCCGCACCAGCACCCTATTTAGTGATGAATAGATCCAGCACCAGCACTCTATCGAGTGATGAGGAAACCAGTACTATCTACCTACTCCCGAGCGATGAAAGAAGATCATGTTGTCGTTGACCAAAACCAAATGTTTGGATAAGTAAACCTATCAATCATGAAGTCCTCTCACTCCTGACTTCCTCGTCTTAACTTTCTGTTACCTCATGCCCCTTCACGTAAACCCAGGCAGTTTCTTCGCGCTTGGAATGTACGCCGTGTACGTGTCTCGTCTTACCTTGCAATTCAGGATCGTTTCGCATGTCGATACGCAACTGCTCCACGAGGTAGTTTAGAAGAGGGAGGACGGGGCATTCGTAATGATGGCTTTGAGATGAGAGGCTACTCAGAATCTTAGACAGAATTACGCCTCAATCTGGTTCCAATTTTGTGTTTTGTTATCGGACTTCTACTTTTTCGCTTTGCTTCTCTTCGCTCAGTTCCTCACTTAAAAGACGATAAGAACAGCTTTCCAAAGTATGCATCAGAAGATCTGCGTGCCGGAAGGGGCCATGATATTAACAAAAACATCAAGCAGTAGACGATGGAGTCTGACAAAAAAAAAAAAGTCTGTTACTTTGGAAGATTACGTTATGAGCGACTACGTTTTACCTTTCCGACTGTTACGTTAATGAGTAGTCCATTGAATTTGAAACGTAAAACGTTAGTCCTAGTAATGCGTTAGTCCAGTAGATACTAGGACTAACGTTTTGCCTTTCAAGGGAGAAGAATGTCCTACCAATGAAGCCCAAGTCGATCTTAGAATGTTCTCTTATAAGCCTCCAGTCTTCTTCTACTCAGTTCAAATAATCCGCCTTAGAAGAAGGTCCTCGTTCCAGTATGATCGTGGTGCATGTGAAATCTGTATATATATTAGTTACACGCACCCTTAGGCCATAAGTATCCCACCCCGCCGGGGCTACCATGTGAATTCTGGTACCCTTCAAACTGTTTCAGCAATTCGGGAGCTTCTTTCTGCAATGCTGCGGCGCTCTCCTTCAGTGCTTTTTTCACATATAGCCGTATCGCTCTGGCGTTAGAAGAAGAAGAAGAAGAAGAAGAAACTGCAGCCGATCGTGATTATTAAGAAAGCCGCACCGGCACCCAAATAATTGGGTAGTGCAATGAGCAGTGTCTTTGAAACAAGACGTAGATCTTAAACACAAAATCAGCAATGGTACATTTTTGATAGAAATTTGCTAGTCTATGATAGAAATTTCAAATTAATCCATATCCAAAGCATTGTAGCGTAATGTCACTGATTACCGCTAGGACGAAGATAGCACGCATCAATGACCAGACCAGCAGCTTGCCATCAGAAGACACCGCGCTGATCGACTCCTGGAAGGTCTTGGCCGCGCCTAACGCAACTTCTTCGTCTTCCGTCAGATCAGTGGCCTATTGTTGAGACTAAAGGATTTGTATTTCTGTTTCATATTCATCTTCATAAAAAGGAAGTGACGCTGTCGAGGTTCATTGAAGGTAGCACTACCCTGCCGAATGTTCCAGGGGTGGAGGCTCCCCGTAAGAGTCAGCGAACGCCCCCCGCGGATCGTCACGCGTCACGCCTCTAGCGTGACGCGTATGAACCTCGGGGGGATTGGGTGTTTTTTCGCCATGCGTGCTCTAGCGTGACGCGTAGGAATCTCGGGGGGATTGGGTGCTTTTTGACGATGTGCGCTCTAGCGTGACGCGTGGGAATCTCATCGGGGTCAGATGTCTTTCCCGCGTGCGTTCTTTAGTGTGACGCATGGGAATCCAATGCAGACCGGGCGCCCCTTTGCCAGTGTGTAAGCGTGACGCTGGCCGAAGTTCTCCCTTGAGGGTCCTCAGCCTCATGATCGGAAAGACTTCGGCTGAGTGTCCTCTATTCAGATTGAGGGCTCTCCTTTGAAGGTCCTCATGATCGGAAGGGCTTCATCTGCGAGCCCTCTCAGAGCAGAGCGAGGGCTCTCCCTTGAGGGTCCTCATGATCGGAAAGGCATCAGCTGAGTGCCCTCTATTCAGTTTCAGACTGAGGGCTCTCCCTTGAAGGTCCTCATGATCGGAAGGACTTCATCTGCGAGCCCTCTCAGAGTGAGGGCTCTCCCTTGAGGGTCCTCATGATCGGAAAGACTTCAGCTGAGTGTCCTCGATTCAAATTGAGGGCTCTCCCTTGAACTGAAGGTCCTCATGATCGGAAGAGCTTCATCGGCGAGCCCTCTCAGAGGGAGGGCGCTCCCTTGAAGGTCCTCTCTCATGCTCGGAAGAGCTTCATCTGAGGGCCCTCACAGAGTGAGGGTTCTCCCTTGAAGGTCCTCGCTCATGATCGGAAGAGCTTCATCGGGGGGCCCTCTCAGATTCGACTGAGGGTGGGCTCTCCCTTGGGCGTCATCTGAGTGTCTCCTATTCAGAGTGAGGGTTGGTTCTCCCTTGAAGGTCCTCTCTCATGATCGGAAGTGCTTCATTTGAGGACCCTTTCAGAGTGAGGGTTCTCCCTTGAGGGTCCTCATGATCGGAAAAGCTTCAGCTGGGTGCTCTCTATTCAGATTGAGGGCTCTCCCTTGAAGGTCCTCATGATCGGAAGGACTTCAGCTGAGTGCCCTCTATTCAGATTGAGGGCTCTCCCTTGAAGGTCCTCACGATCGGAAGGACTTCGGCTGAGTGTCCTCTATTCAGATTGAGGGCTCTCCCTTGAAGGTCCTCACGATCGGAAGGACTTCATCGGCGAGCCCTCTCAGAGTGAGGGTTCTCCCTTGGGGGTCCTCTCTCATGATCGGAAAGACTTCAGCTGAGGGCCCGAAGGTCCTCATGATCTGAAGGTGGGGCCTTCATCTGCAGGCCCTTTCTTGAGCGTCACGCGAAGAGCGTGACGCCTTGTCTCTAGTAAGTCTGTAGGGTACATGCAACAAAAGCGTCACGCTTTTCGCGTGACGCGTCACGCTTTTCGCGTGACGCTCGAACCAAGATGGGGCAAGCTCTCAGTAGTATACCAGAGGGGGGAAGGCGTGACGTCTTATGTAGGACCGCGGGGGGCGTTCGCTGACCCTTACGGAGGCTCCCCCCCTGTGGATGGAGCGGGGGTGGCGTCCGCGCACCCTTTTTTCCGCGGTGGAGACAAGCAAAGACCCCCAGGGGCGAAAGCCTCAAAAGGCGGAGCCGGAGGCTCCTGGCGGCTCTCCACGTGTACCCCACAGGCGTCCCGACTCTTGGACCCTATCAGGCGGACGGCCTCCGGGGGAAGAGTGCCGCCTTGCCACAGTCGCGAGGCCTGGCCCCTTTGGCCCTCATGCCCACAATTGGTGGCAGCGTCCGCCACCATCAAACGCCCGGGGGGTTCAGGACTAGAGCCGCAGAGGAGTGGGGGCCAGGCATGCCCGCCTGGGTTCCGCCGGATACATGCAGCACGGCGAAAGGGGTCAAGCCTTGCCACCTGCTGCCCTCGGAGGCCTTCCACCCCCCAAGAAACTCTCCCAGTGCGGGACCCGCGCACTGGAGGTCTGTAGGGGACACGCAATAAGCCGCAACAAGCCAAAGGGGGCCGCGCCTTGCCACCTTTGCCCCCTTCGGAAGCCTTGCGCCCCCGGCCTTCGATGCTTCCACGGCCCCCCGGGTGGGGGCTCGGTGGGGTCCAGGCAAGAAGCGGGAAGGGGTCAGAGGTCGGCGCTTGGGCCCCTTCCCACCCAGCAGTCCTTCGGGGAAAAGGGTCCGGGGCGGGAGGCCCCCCTCAAAAATTTAGATCGGGGGGGGCCTTGGCCCCTGGCCCCTGGAACATATATAAACACGCTCGATCAAGTCATCAAGCAGATAGACAAGCAGCATATTACCGTAGTTTTCCTGCTACAAGTAACAAAAACAGTATGCACCACGGTAACAACAAATGAGAGCACTAGTTGACAATCAGTACTGCAAAAAATAAAAACTTGGTTACTAGTACCTGTTTTGAAAGTCCTAAGAAGTAGTCCAAGTCAACAGTCGCCTTCTCTGTTTGTGCTTGTCTTGCTTCCGGCTCGTGCATGTACCCCTTCCAAAAGGAGATGGCGCAAAGCATTAGAGCTATTGGACAGAGAAAGGCTCTAGAAAACCTAAGTGGCGCAGGAATTGCTCAGAGAGACTCGCAGATTGATTGATTGATTGGCTGACTGATTGATTGACTGACTGATGCGCCTCTTGTTGAGGTGTGGGCGGGTATGGGGGTAGAAAAAATCCCAAAAGTTGTCTGTTGAGGTACAGGGGTAGAAGAAGTCCCAATAAAGTTGCCCCCTTAAGTTGAGATCCTCTTGCGGTCTGAAGTCCATTTCGTTACCGTCAAGGAGCCATTTGTCCAACGACTGAGTCGAACTCCAATCACCTTCGGAGACATCTGCTTTTAGAGAGGGAGAGGGACAAGAACCACTCCTATGGATGAACAAGCACATTAAGGATGCTAGTCCTATGATTGAACAAGAAAATGGATGAGCAAGAACATTAACGATGCTACTCTACTAGTCGTGCTGGATGCCAAGGTTAGGCGTCGGCAACTGCGCATGTGGACAATCAATTCTAGAAAGTAGTGCCATAATTCAGTCCCCACTGTATGTGCGAATAGCATCAGGCAAAAGTTCGTTTCTTTCCTTCCGGTTGTATCAGCATTCTGACCCCTCGACGATGTAATCATGCCACTCTGGGACCTTCCAATGCCAGATTAGAGGAGCAAAGAAGGAGCTATAGTTTTTATCACGACGATGACGTAGTTACATACGACGTAGAGAGGTTATTTGTTGCAAGAAGTACTTACAAAAGCATATGAGAGGTTTTTTGCTTTAATAGTCCTTACTGGAGTGACAGGGTCTCTGCAGGGAAGACTAGATGGAGAACTGGAGGAAGTAGACTGTGTGGAAGAGCAAGAGACGTCGAAGTTTATAGAGAAAATATGTCGCAAAACCGTAACTGCTTCTAGAATGCCGCATGTCAACTCTACTCTGCCCCCGCGACAAGCCACGACAAATTAGATTCTCAAAAGTCCATTGATGTTCTCTTTCTCTTCTCTTCAAAAATTGAAAATGACTGGCTCGGGAGCTGCGAGGATCTGGCAACTACTAATAAGAAGGCTGATGAATTGTTTAGCTTGTAGGTGCTGTCATTAGTTAGTCACTAGTTTATCTCTTGAGTTGAAGTCAAAAGACTTCCTTTCTTTTCTCTCATCCTAAGAGTGTTTTGGAGAGGAGAAGAAGGCCGACCAGAAGAGAACTGGTCACTAGCTATCTGTAATTACTCTCTGTTGTATTTGTTGAGTTAGTTTTCAACTTATTGAATAATATGTATAAAGGCGCATCTCTACCCTCGGGAGCGAGGATGTGGCAACTACTAATCTGTTCTCATAATGGCGAAGCGCCCTTCCGTTCTTTTTGTTCTTGTTCTCCTGGAAGCGTGTGCGCCCACGGGAAAGAAAAGTGCGCCTCTGCGTGAAGCAGCATTGTATTAGATGTCATCTGCTTTATCATCATATTTCATTGATTACTTAGGACCAAGAATCTAATAGATGACGAGAAGCTGCTCTACGACTGCTACAGCAGATTTTGGACTATAGGATAGGACAGGATACTGCTACAGCAGATTTTGGACTATAGGATAGGATAGCATAGGATAGCATAGGAGTGGGCCCACCTAAAAGCAGCAAAAGCTGGACTTCTTCACGTGTGAAGGTTCTGCATTAGGTTTTTTTGTACCAATGCAGTACGTGGTAGACAAGAATGAGTAGTATTCCATCTCAACTCTTATCCTTGTTTATTACAAGGGAATGATTCCATGGAATGTTGGAACAGCGGGTAAGTTCTTCTATACACGGAATAATAGGCTTTGAAGCAGAAAGAACAATGCGTAGACTGTGACAGTCTATAATGTGGGTGGAGCCAACCTAACTAGGAAAAGTCGAAAGATATGATGAATGTAGATGAAAGATTTAAACTAGTGTTGATATTATTGGAATGGCCATGCTAAGTAGGATCCATCTATTCATCTAGGCGCCGGCGCGTGTGACAGTCTATAAGCTGCTGGAGGAGTTTTTGTACTAGATTATCAGCTTCTTGTTTAGGTATTATGTTTGATTGTGAAAGAACCCTTGGACGAGCAAAAAACACTATAACAAAACGACTATCCTTCATAAATCTCGGAACTTTGTGCAACGCTTCTAGATCCGCTTCCCCATCCTGGAAAAAGTTGGCTTTTCCACTAGGCAAAATTCTATCCAAATCGCCCTGGAATATTAGAATTGTTGAGGCGAGAAAGATGAGATAGAGCATTTAGTGGATCCAATATTGAGACGACAAAGATGAGATAGAGCATTTAGGGGACCCGACGGTACTAGACAGTGATAAATATTGGACCTAATATCGCGAGAAAGATGAGATCATTAGAACAACTAGAGAAAAGCCGCATGTTGACCTAGCAGAGAAAGGATAGGATAGGATTTGCCTCGCCTCGGAGTCGGAGAGATGAGCGTTCACGACTTTTAAGCAACCTGTGGTTCTCCTTCATAAGGAAAATTGGGCATCGTCAGACATCTTCCAGACCCCAACCCCCGTATCCATTGCCTCGAGGTATGCTTTTTCAGATGCCCAAGGGTCGAGCTTCGAAACATTAGATCGGTCATACTGAAATTTGGAACTTCTTCACCCACGTAGTCTGAATGATAAGACTAGGAAAGAAAAAATTCAGGAGTATGAAAAGGTCAAAAACGTCTCAAGCTTCAGAGGTTACATTAGCTTATGGACCCTTCACATCGAGCTACAACGGCACCTGCTCGCGACGAATATGAAAGACTACACCTGAGATGACCACATTGCATGATTAACCTATTGAGCAAGAGAGAACTCAGCCACTCATTCATTCGAACCATGTAGCAGCTACAAGTACCTGCCTGGCTCCCTTGTGCCCCGAATAGAGACGCGGCAGTTATGATATGGTAGGATGTCCAGATCAGTATTCCGAGTGCGGCAGTTACATAAGTACCAGATCTTTACATAACTTTATAGGATACTATTTTATCACTAACTAAAGACAGACAGAAGAAGAAGATACCAAGATTGCGACCACTAGATTCCCAGCCTATCTAGCGTAAGGAACTTAGGATATTACTAATACTAACTAACTTTAGGATAATCTACATCCTAACATAAAAATATGAGGATCTCCCTTCGCCTTCGCCTCCTCCGCGTTTGACCAGACTTGTGACAAGTGATCCATACGCTCCTTGTGGTTGCTCAGGAAGCCTTTACGCGTTGCCTCAACGAGACTAACAATTAGAGCTTACCTGAATTCAGTTTACCTGAATTCATCTTAAATAAAGGTGAGAGAGTTGTCCGTCGTCTTAAAAGCCATTTTTGCTGTGTTTTCCCCTTGAAAACGTGTAAAAGATGCGTCCTTAGAGCGTCCTCCTTAGATGAATTACAGCAAGCCTTAAAACAAACTGCGTTTTCACAGTTGCCGTCTGCGTCTGTACCCATTTCATGACGTTTCGAGCCTGTGCATACCTGGAATAGGAACAAGTCAAATCGATGTTGAAAAAGAGTGAAAAAATAATAATTCTACGCTTCTATGTTGATTCTTGGATAGAAGTGGAATCAATTACACTGGTCCCTATAATAGGGACAAGTGGCATGTTAATTATGAAAAAGAGACTGAGCCTCCTCTACTATAAGTAGTGTGAGTATAATGACGTTTAGAGCAGCTTGACACATTACGGTAGGTACCTTTGCAAAATAGGTTTTAGCTATCTTTAGTCAGTACCTTTGGTGCAAACAATAGGTCTTAGCGTTTAGTTTTAGAAGTTAGTACCTGCTCTGCAATTATAAATCTATAGCCTTACTTCATAGCGCGACAAGGTCGGTTGCAAAACAACATATAGGTGACTCTAATACCTTTGCAGAATTTGTTTCACCTTGTCGGCCTCGGTTCTAGCTTCCAAGCACGTCTTACGAATTCGCTCTGGGATATTAGACTCTAACTACAACTCATTCAGTAGAACTGACTCGTTTCATTTCGAGAAACTTAATTAACTACCCTACCTGGTGTATGAAAAATAAAGGTCATCATCAATGCGTCGCCACCTCCGTGTCATGATCAATAGCGTAATCATCTTCTAAGTGCGTACTCTTGCCAGAAGTCTTGGCCTTTACCTCTGACGAGTAGAAACAACCTATTTCAAAGCTATGCGCTACTTCATCTTTGCGCGTACTCTATCAATCAGCCAACTGTATGTGGCCGTCTAACGAGCGGCGGCGCTGGAGAACGGAGGAACTAAAACAGACCCAGGGCCAACTCTGGACAGTCAGTCAAGTGGTCGCTTTAGAATCTGTGCTGGCTTTTTTTTCAATGAAAAACATGAAATGTTGATGGGCCATATTGGTAGATTTCCACTCGTTTTTCGCGTCGGGTGCTTCTTTATCGGCCTGGTCCTTCCATTTGGTCAACGAACCATTGGGCGACTCGTCCAATATCTCGTTAAGCTTTATTTCTGCATCTTTGTTTAGAAAAGTAGATGAGCACGTAGTTCTAGCTAAGATCAGCATGAAAATTATCTTCGAAGTAATAAAATGGGTGGAACCAAGCTAACTAGGAAAAGAAAAAAGGAAGGTTCGATCATAACTTTTTCTTGTTTTCCAAGTGATTCTTCCCCTGCTTTTTTGTGCCCTCTTTCGCCAGCTGCTCCAATCTTGATCGCAATTCGATGCATTCATTTTTAAACGCTTCACCTGTAGATTGTATTTTTGCTCTGTATATCGGATGAAGGACGAGAGGGCGAGTGAGAAATTGAGGGGGTGATTGAGTGCGAGACTGAGTGAGCAATTGGGTAAGAAAGTGAGTGACGAGTGGCTCTTGAGTGTTAACATAATCTTTGAAAGAATGTGCGTAAAAAGCCTAAGCTTCTCTAGTGTTGTCACCTTCGTGAGAAAGGTCTTGAACAATTTACAAGAGATCACTATCGGGAGAAGGACAAACACAATGCAACGCAATGAATCTCGCCCAAAGACCTGCGCAGACTTCCATAGGGGCGTCTTAGAGGTTCGGCACGATGTTCCCATAAGTAATTATCTTTTGAAACGAGTATTGGATGAGTGAGCCACGAACACAACTAGAATCTTCTTACGATAAATAGTAACTTACTACTACTACGTAGTACTACTGTGGAAAAAGCCATTCTACATCACAGCGAAACAATTTAACAAATGTAGAGTGAGACGCGCAAACTACCGCTCTTCCGCAGCTCCGCAAGTTTCTGTTCCTTCTTTTTCATATTCTCTCGCTCTTCTAGTAGTTTTCGCGTCGCTTCTGCATCCTCTTTGTCCTGTGCCTCCTTTAGTTTTCTAGCTATATCCTCATCCTCCTCTTTACGCGTGATCCTTTCTCCTAGGACTCACATTAGAAGAACATCAGAATGAAGCTGCAAGAACCTAGTACAACTTATGAAGAATAGATACTTTTAATCTAGAGGACGACTGTCAAACAGTATCGATGTTGAAACAACGAAAAATCACGCTTACTTCATCTCTAAGAGAAGTAGTACTCAACGACCTATTTTAACATCTTCAGGTTTATGCTCATCCACGAGACATAATCCACGACGACTCTGATCATAGTCTGATGTCAACGTCAACACTACACCATTTTCACTATCTTAATATCTACTCTGTTTTCAATTTGATGAATTTGATGAATCAACATGGTCGCGGACATTATAATGTCACCATTCTATCCCGTCTTTGAGCTTGACAAAAATTGACATGGACACATAACTCTATCCCATCTTTGAGCTTCTGGAGTATGGTGCTCACATGACCATACAGTCTGCAAACGTCACGAGCGGCATCTAAGGTCAACTTCATCTGCCTAAGAACCTCCGTAGCTCCTACAAATTAGAGGATAAAACGAAGGACGAGAACTTAGGATAGAACAGCAAGAAAGGATGAGCTTCCATCTAGTGCAACAAAACGTCGACAGTCGAATGTAGTGGTCTCAAGCAATAAGAGGCCCATGATGGAAGCGAAGGGGAAGAGGCAGTCACGACTGAGTATCAGAATCTTCTCAAATAACTCATGCCGCTTCAGGAGTTGTATTGAGAAGTATTACTATGGGTACTATCAGTTTTAGTACTACAACCACCTTGCCATCTGGTGACAAAAATTCGAAAGCCTTAAGAAATAAATGCTTCCTTTTCTTCTCGGAGAAACCGTTCTTCTGGCATGTCTTGGATTTTCACCTGCAAAGGAGAAGATGAGTCAATCACGACCTTTGGTCCATCTCCCTGGTTAAGTTAGGATAGGTTAGGTTAGAGATCTTTCAACGAGGAAAGTACTTGCTACATCGCAGCTTTCTTACAGATTTCTTCTTATCCTGTTCTTTCTACGGACAAAGGTTAGGTTAGGCACCTTTCACATATGGTCCATGTCCATGTTTATGCATCATAAGGATCAGCAGAAGCACAAATGAAAACAACAGAATTATATAAATAAGTACATCTTTTTCATCTACTTTGAAGCAAGGATCTTAATATATAAGATGTACTTATGTTGTAATGAAGGTGCTCCAATGTAGTCCTTAAGAGAAAAAAAACAACACAAGTATCGATATGAGTCAGTACATCTTTGTCATCTTTGGATCTCTGCTTTCGCTGAATTTGTAGAATCCTTTGTGTCATCGCCGCATCTGGCAATAAAAACCGTAGCGCATTGAAAGCACGTAGAGCACCGCGGAAGTGGGCACGGGAATTAAAGGGCGGACGAGCTCAATGGTCGTCACTCGTGAGAAATAATATGTTACTGATTAAACTGAATGGTCGTCACTGATTAAACAGTCGTGAAAATCAATAGTCGTCACTGATTCTGAACGTCGGAACGGAAAAGGCCCCATGGACAAGTGGGCACGAAAATTATACTTTTGAAGATCATTCTACTTACTTAGTAAGATGCGTCTACCCATGCATTCATTCACTCACTCATTCATTCTGTGCTCGCAAAGAGGTTTCTTTTTTGGTACCTGGGTCTACGATTTTCCGCACTAGGTCTGCGTTGGCTCCACAGTGTGGGCCTTGTTAAATCGAAGCTTTATCAACTCAACAGAAAGAATGAATCTCTTTAGGACGGAGCTTATTTAGTGAAATGAATCTACTACTTAGGATGAGCCTGTCACTGATTCTGAACGTCTGAACGAAAAAGGCCCTATGCATGTTGATCTAAAAAGGGCGACTCTAGTAGGCTTAGTTTCTTTCCTCGCATGCTGACTTAGCCTCTTCCACATGCTGACTTAGGCTCTTCCCCTTGTTGCCTCTCTCATAGTCGAGAGGCCCCCCTTCGACGATATCAGTGACCACAATGTCTGTGATGACCCCAATCAATCTCTGTGTGAGTAAGTCTCATGACCACCATCTATGACGTGATACCACCCCATGACGTGATCTGAACAGCCTTAAGTGAGATACTATACTCTTTCCACACTTCTAAGCCTTTGGGCTTCATCTGCGCCTCCAAAGACCTGAACGTCGCGGACAACGCCGTGAAGGCGTCGAAGTTTAGAAGATTATACATAGGAGCAACGGGGGATGAAGTTTCTCCGATATCCCCGACAGCAGTTTGAAGTCTTCTATTACGCAGCATATGAATGTAGTACAAGTACAATGGAGGTGCTATCAATACTAATATGCTACAAATAAGCCTTGAAGCAAAGAGAACAGTGCTGGAAGAAGTGAAGATCTTCTAACAATAAAGTACCTGATCCGCATGCAGCCATCATGTACTATCAGAAAAAAAAGGGGGGAAGGGTATATGCTACAAATAAATATTAACGGTAGTAGTTCGAGTTAGGCATATTCATGTACTACAGCTACAAGGGTGCTAGGCATACTAGTGGACTTGCTAGTAGCCATAAGTGTATCTTCGTCAGTGTCTCCAGCGTCGTTTCCTTGTTCTTTGCCGCATTGGTTTGTTTCTCTATGAGGCTGCAAATTAGAAAAGAATGTCGTAGTATCCTTAGTAATCTTAGTAGTGTTAGAGTCACAAGAATTTGTGGTGGTAGTACTAGTAGCTAACCCAACACTCATGGGGTGCATTCATCCATTCTTGACGAAGCACGTGACAACCTAAGCTGCGTGATTCCGTCATAACAATGGCAAATTGCGCATAGATTGATAGAAATGTAAATACTTTGATTGGAGGGGTCAACCTAGGATATTTATGATGGAAAGTTTACCGGTTTTTTTTCTTTGTGTGCTTTAAGCATTGATAGAAATGTAAATTAATACAGTCAACACATCGATTGGCCGTAAGAGAATGCCTCCCATGTACTCGTCGGTGCCGGCCATCGCTGAAGAGTGATAACATGAAACTGAGTGAAGATAAGATGAAGAGAAGTGCATCCTCTTCAAGCAGAGGACGTGATCATGTGTGATCATGATCACAGTGGAAACATCTTCCAGAGGACATGACGGCCTGGCATGAGTCTCACCTCCTAATCGCGTAACGGAGACCACGAAAGAATTAAAATTTAGGACTTTTAGTTCCACATCAATAGAAAGTGTAGTACCACCAGGATCCATTTCACTTGTTTCTTTGGGTGCAAGCTTTCCTGGAATTGGAGAGTCTGTCCTCAATTTCACGTAGGAAGAAAAGACGGTACGCAGGGTGATTAGAGCTACCGCATTGGCCTCCTTGCGAGCATCCTTAGCGCCTTTTCCAGCTAGAAAAAGAGCTGATCATCAAAATGATGGTGAGGATGCTTTAACGGTTGGAACCTTAAGCTAAGAAAATTGCGCGTGATTACTGTCTTCTTCTTATTCGATGGAAGATAGACGCGAATCCCTTTGCCCGCTTTATTCTTAGAGGAAGAGGCCCAAACCAGAGCCGTGCTCTTATCCCTTGTGACACATTGTCATCATGCGGATCGATAGCTAGTGTTTTGCTGTACTGCTGTACTAGAGTGAGATCATTCGTCTGTGTCTAAGTTTATATCTATAAATATGTTTTAGGGCTGCACGGCGCCCCCCCCCTGTAGTCTGGTCTGTGGAAGCGCTCGCGCGCTCATTTCCGCGCTGGTTTTAGCGGATTCTAGTGGTGGAAGGCGTCAAAACTGGGCGCGGGCGTCCCCTTGCGCCTCTCTGCATGTCCTCAGCGGCCTCCTGGCCTCTGCTGACCCTCGCAGGCTGGAGCTCTCCGTCCGGGGTAAAAGGCCGCCGAAGGCGGTCACGATTTCAAGAGCACGCAAGCCGGCGCCCAAGGGTCCGGAGGGTACAAGCCGCACGGCTCAGGGGGTCCAGCCCCTCGCCTTCTGCCGCTTACAGAGGCCTTCCGCGTCCGCCGTGTGTAGGGCACAGGCAGGCAGCTGGAAGGGAGCGGAGTCGGTCCCTTTGGCCCCTTTTGAAGCCTTCCACCTTCATCGGAGGTCTGTAGGGTACAGGCAGGCAGCTGGAAGGGAGCGGAGGCGGCCCCTTTGGCCCCTTTTGAAGCCTTCCACCCCCGACAGACGGCTCCCGAAAGGGTACGGGGCTACCGGTGCCCCCCCTACGCTAGGAGGGGTGGGAGTGGGCGGGTACCGTAGCCCTGTGCCCTGGATCATATAGAACTCAGGAAGGTCCTCTTGTTCTGAAGAACAAGAGGATCATGTTGTCTTATTGGAGAAATCTTCTAAACCAAAAGACATCCTTTGGAAAATCCTCATGTTCATCCTTGAGAGCTTCTACTTTTACTCCTATTTCAATTTCTTTTCCTACTTCTACTTCTCTTGGAATACTTCATGTTCTAATTTGTTGAGCGTAACATTGATCGCCAGGCAGCACGCGTAGCCTCTGACACGGACTGCTTGTGCTTTACATTTTCCGCTTTCATCTTTCTCAAGACACTCCCGAAGAACATCGATTACCACAAAGCCTGTTTCGTGAGTGTCGGAAGTGCATGGACCATCTGCATCTGCAGCATCTGTTTGAAAACTATCGTATTAGAAGATGGATGTTGGGTTAGTTGTGCTCTCACTTTAGGTGTTGTCATTGTCTTGCTCTTGTAGTAAAATCTAAATCGAGAGTATTTAGCTGCATCTTCAACAAGATACACGCTGAGGTTCTTCAGCTGCACCTGCTACTAATGGAGCAGCTGAAGAACCTCAGGCGCAGCTTTCAGAAAACAAGCTCACACCTTGTGAGGGCCCAGCGCTCTCTTTTTTCTGCTGCAGCACTGCGTGAGAACCTTCTCATGTGTGTGCTCATTCCCTAAAGGTGTTGCTGGATGAAGAGAAAACAGATTCGGCACCTAATCAAAAAATGTAAGGTCAATTATAGATGGCAATAGTAATGAGATGGGGTGAGGGAGATCAAAGGAATAAAGATTCTCCAGCTGCACCTGCATCTTCAACGAGATGCATGCTACTAATTAACCCTTTCATGGAGTACAGGCTCACAAGGCAAACGGTGAGTGGGGTAGGCTTAGGGCCTAGGGGTCTGATTGCAGTGATTCGCAGTGCGAAGTCAGTAATTTGTGTCACTTGAAGTTAGGAGCTTATGGGTTGGGGTTCTGCAGCAAATAATAGTAATACTGCCAAGAAAGAAAAACTTGTCTCCCAGCTCCTAGTGCTCTAACAAAGAGTGTTCTTCTAACAGAGGAACCCACTAGTACAGACACGTCGACGAACATTACAGATGCTACACTGTACCACAACTCCACAATTAGTGACAGACATCTATGTGTTTTTTGACTTAGAGGTATGGTTGAATTTTTTTTCCATGTCCGCGCGTTACCGGAATTGTTTTTGGTCGCGGGCTTTCTTGCGAGGAGAGCTGTTTCCCCAGCTCCACTGCGTCTCCTGCATTCATGGGCAAGAGAATACTGTTCTAACCTTAGAAGATGAGCGACCAGTATCTGTATCAGAGTCAAATTGATGGACCGTTTCTACCGATCAGAATCACGAACTCCTCCTTCTTACTTTATGAAGAAGTTGAGTAAGTAATCAGAATCAACTTACTTGAGCAATCAAAATCAAGTGTGAGCACCTGCTTTAGATGAGTAATCGTTACAGCAACGAGCAGCGAGGGCTTTATCATAGACAGACGATGACATCAGCACCGAGGGAACTCAGACAATCTAGAGCGATATATGTACCAGGGAGAGGGTCCCACCTGTGGATGGAGCTGTGGTGGCGTCGGCGCGCCCTTTTTTCCGCGGTGGTGGCGTGAAAGAAAGAACTCCCGTGGGCGAAGCAAGGCCGCAAAAGGAGAAGCTGCCGGAGTCGCCTTGCGGCTCTGCGCGTGTACCCCACAGGCGTCCCGACTCGTGGACCCTGTCAGGAAGACGGGCTCCGGGAACAGAAGGCCGCCTCAGCGGCCACGGTCGCGAGGCCTGGCCCCTTTGGCCATCGTCCCCCTCATTCATTGGTGGCAGCGTCAGCCGCCACCAAAAATCCAGGAGGTGGAAGACCAAAGGCGAGGAGGAGCAGGGGCAAGGCGCGCCCGCCTGGGTTCTGTCGGATAGATACATGCAGCACGGCGAAAGGGGTCAAGCCTTGCCACCTGCTGCCCTTAGAGGCCTTCCACCACCCAAGAAACCCCCCCAGTGAGGAGCCCGCACGCAGGAGGCCTGTCGGGTACATGCAACAAGGCCAGGGGGCCAAGCCTTGCCACCTTTGCCGCCTTCAGAAGCCTTCCACCCCCGGCCGTCGGTGCTTGAACGGCCCCAGGAGTTTGGGTTCTGTAGGGTACAAGCCAGAACCCGCGAGGGCGCGAAGGCGGGCGCTTGGAGGCCTTCCCGCCTGGCAGTCCCTCGAGAAAAAGGGTCCGAGGCTGGAGGCACCCCATCAAAAATTGAGATCAGGGAGGGGGGCTTCAGCCCGGGGCCCTGGAACTGGAACATATATAAGCACATACCCAGAAAGCGGGCCGATCAAGGGCCCGCTGCACTGGGCATAGGTTACATACTTAGCAACTAGACAGATAAGACTACGGCGCAAGCCCCTAAGCCACCAAGCACTAGCAACACGCAGCTGGTTCGGGATGGACTATCTTGGGCGCCCCTCATGGCTAAAAAAGCGGGCCGGCAGTCGCTGTCTTGTGGCTAAGGTAGCAAGCTGGCTGTGGCTAAGCTAGCGAGCTGGAGTGGCCATGGCAAAGCTAGCATGCTAGACATGGCGGAGCTGGCAAGCTGGCCAAGATTATAAGCTAAGCGGCTGGCTGTGGCTGCCGGGCTAAGCTAGCAGGGCGGTCGTGGCCAAGCTAGACAGCGAGCTGGCCTGGCTACGGCTACGAAAGCAGCTGCTGCGCCAGGTCTCGCAAAAGAAGCAGCTACCAAGCTAGCCATGGCTAAGCAGCTAGGAGCAAGCTAGCGATGGCCAAGCGGCTAGCAAGCTAGCTATCATGGCGAAGCGGCTAGCTTGCTAGCTGGATAAGGCCGAGCAGCTGCCTCGTAAGCTCGCTAGCTATGGCGGAGCACGAGCAGCTAGCAAGCTAGCCATACCTAAGCAGCCAGCAAGCTAGCCATGGCTAAGCAGCTAGCCAGATTGCTAGGGCCAAGCAGCTACCTTGCCTACTAGCTATGGCTAAGCAGCTAGCAGCCTAGCTACGGCTACCCTAGCCAGGTAGTTACGGGTAAGGCGTAAGCACACAAGCTACCTAAGGCGAAGGAGCAGCTAGCAGGCTGGCCATGGCTAAGCTAGCAAGCCAAGGCCCTTGCGAGGTGGCGGCGGCCCTTATTATGGGTGCGGCTAGTATTAGCCTAAGCTTATAACAGCTGTGCCTTTAGGAGCCTCCTTCAGGAGAGTTCTTGCCTTAGGGGAGGTTATAGTAACTTTTTGTAATAGAAATTCTTTAAGAGGATCAATTTCCTAAAGGAAGGCACTTAGGGAAGACCCTTAAGGATTTGAGAAAAGTCGTTTACCCTAAAATAGATACTAATACATGCCCAGAAAGCGGGCCCATGAAGGGCCCGCTACACTGGGCATAGGTACGCGACGGACTAGACAGATAGGACTAGTCTACGGCGCAAGCTGGCTACGAGTAAGCCAGGAAGCTGGCTATAGCTAAGCAGCTGCCGAGCTAGGTCTCCTCAAGCAGCTACCAAGCTCGCTATGGCGAAGCAGCTAATATCAGGCTAGCTATGGCCAAGCCGGTAGCAAGCTAGCTATGGCCAAGCAAGGAAGTAGCTAGCTGGCTAAGCAGAGCTGGGCAGCTACCTAATAAACCCGCTAGCTATGGCGCAGCAGCTAGCAAGCTACCTGCGGCTAACCTAAGGAGCCAGCAAGCAAGCCAGCCATGGCTAAGCGTCTAGCGCGCTAGCTATGGCTAAGCAGCTAGCAAGCTAGCTATAATGGCTAACCAGCTAGCGCCCTAGCTATGGCGAAACAGCTAGCTTGCTATCTAGCCATGGCTAAGCAGCTAGCAGGCTAGCTATGGCTAAGCACCTAGCGGGCTAGCTACGGCTAAACTAGCCAGCTAGCCCCAGGCAAGGCGCAAGCCAGCAAGCTCGCTAGCGAGGGGCAAGCAGCTAGCTAGCTGGCCATTGCTGAGCCAGCAAGCTAAGGGCTGAGGCCCTTAAGGAAGGGCCTACTATCAGCCCAATTCTATATATAATAGCTAGGCCTTAAGGGAGCTCCTTAAGGAGCATTTTTGTTCCTTAAGGAAAAGCTATAATATTTTTGCATAATAGAAATTCCTTAAGGGTTTCCATTTCTTTAGGGAAGGCTTCTTAAGCAAGGCTCTGAAGGAAATGAGGCCGATTGTTAGTACTCTAAATACTAATATGCACGAAGCAGCATAATTTTCGAGTTCAGGTGTGGCTGGGACTTTCCCCTCCTTGAGTTCGTTGGGTGTGATGTCTCCAAGCTCCACCGGTTCAGGTTTGATGACGGATTCTGGGTTATGAAGTTGTAGGATATGATACAAAATTTGAGTGGTACTTATAATTCTGAACTACCAGCTATGAAGTCGTGAGTACATCTGTCTTCAGATAACATCATGGCATAAGGGTATATTTTCATGAGAGGCATGGCATAAGTCTTGGGTAATCATGCCTGTGCGACTCCTGTCTGTGGACACTGGAAACGTGTACTAGAGATGAGAGAGCATAGGATAGGAGTCGGCGCGTCTAAAGTCAATGCATGACTTGAAGAACGACTACAAACGGGACAATCAATGATGTAAATACTATACACAGTACCTGCGTCTGACTCTGATGCTGACGGTTCCTCCTGCAATTTCTCACGCTCCGTGCGCACAGCCTCAAGCAGATATGAAGAGAGTCTCTCTCTAACTCTTGCTCTTCTATGATTCCCCAAAAAATCTACGAGAATTCCATGATCGAAAATTGACAGTCAGACCCTAAGCCCCTGTTGTAGTTGTACTTAGGTATATTGAAACAAGCTCCTCTCAGAAAACCTTGTACTTAGAAGAAATACATTCTGAAGAGACCCTGATGTGCCCGCGTGGATGATTGAGAGGACCGTGTAAATCATTGATATTGAGAGACTGACCCCTAAACTACAGGATGGGATAGCACCATTGGATCCAGCTAGAAAAGGCAGGCGGACGAACAGGGCCGCTGAAGAGCCGTAAACAAAGATATACCACTACTCTTGTGTGAAAATTCGCTAAGCATGTTTGTGATTGGGCCATAGCGTAGGTTGCCAAATAGTCTTGAGGACGTCCTGGCGAATGCCTTCAGCGTTGGTTCGAAAATTCTCAACCACTTTAGGCCACACGTATGATATGAAAGAGGCAGGTGGGAAAAAAATACCCTGCTAGGCGGTCTTTAGACACGCTTGATACTAGAAGTAGACGGACCTTAGACAATAACTGAGTTTCTTGCAAACATGAGAGGGCACTCAGGTCCCTATTCATGAGATAGAGTCGCCTGACGAGGAGGCTGAGAATATTAATCAAGAGGGCCGCGCACTTCTTTTTCGCTTTCAAAGAGACCAAAAACAAGGAAAAGTCAAATCCTACTGTTAAAGTAATAGTAGAGTTCTAGATCATGCTGAGTGAAGAGGGACGGGATGCACCTAGAATTCTACAGCCCTCTAGTAGGGTCTAGATGCTGAGTGAGACTGTGTTATAGAGGTTCTTTGCTGTATCATCTTCCAAATAAAGTGCAATGAATCCTTTCATAATCTTTGCGCGCATTAGAGGGGAGCACTCAGCTTATCCAAAGCACCATGCGACCTTCCTCTCTGCCAACGTACAAGAAGTACTCATTACACTATCCTACTCACATTTTTACTTATGTGCTGTGAGAGTGAGACATATATCTGGTAGTGCGGTCTTGCCGCCTAGTGTTACCAAGAGGTGCAGACGGGTTTACTAGGCATGTCCACCTCAGATAATCAAAGACCCTGAAGCTCGAGCACACCAGTCAGCTCGTCAAACAAAATGGCCATGGTCAACGTCAATTGCCCAGATCAGTATTCCGAAACTGTCAAATAGAATTGCCACAACTCCTTCCTCTACAATAGATACTTACACGGTAATATGATGTTGTGAGTACTGAATACGGACCACTATGGGAATTATATCCGAGGATAAGAACCATGCGAGATCAAGATGTGCATGGATACGGAAGATTCCTTCACCATAAGAGAAGCCTTGTCGTTTCTGTGATCGTTTCTAGCTGCCCAATAACGACGAATCTTCGCAAAAATTGTCGACCGACCAATTGCAGATGATATTTCTTAGAAAGTAAGGCGTAATTTCAATAGTCTGCAGTAAAAAAACCGGAGATCGAAATAAGTTGCATCAGCGATAAGTGTTAGTAATAAAAATAAGCATTAGTAATTAGTATTAGTATTAGAAGTATTAGTGTTTTTAGTATTATAGGTATAATTAGTTGATACGCCGCTGAGGCAGCCGGCGCTACTGCCATTTCTTCCTAGAGGAAGAACTCAAGATAAAAATTTGATAGATTGCATTACGCTGGATGAAGGAACGAGTAACCGAAGACGTCGAGAGACTGGATCTCTCACTTTTTGTTCGTTGTACGACACAACTACAGGGATATACAACACATAGACTTCCATGAAGTAGATTAGTACACGTTCTTAGCTGTTGTACGACGAATAGCATCATAATCATATGGAGATGATTACCTATATTAAGTAAAAACAGTAACATCATAAATATGGAGATGATTTTTACCTATAAGTAACAGTAAGTAGTACGTAGATAGGAGGTAGGACGAGGCCGTAACATAGATTCCCATTTGTTTTTTCTTTTGTTCCGGAACTGCTACTGCGTCTTTCTGTGGAGGATAATCTCGGTTGGAGAGAGCTGCGCAGAGATATCCCAACACAGACTCGTCAGGTGGCAAAACTTTTAATTAGAAAGATTTCGCTGAAAAGCTAGCGCTAGGTGAGGACGTTGTACTCTCAGTGCTCTTGGTAAGATTAAGAACTGCAATTTTTGACAGAATGAACTAGACAAGTACTCTCACTCTCGGTCAGAACTACAATTAGCAGAATGAATGAACTAAAAGGAAAGGTCGGTGAGGACGTACTCGTCTAGACAGTCGATACGTGTGAGGTGAAAGGATAGGTGAGGACGTACTTCTAGCCTAGACCTAGTAGGTCTAGGCAGTACTAGATACGTATCGTAAGCCAAAGGTCCTGGGCCCAGATCATCTTGCATGCCTTGTTCAGCCTTGGGTCTTCCTTCTTGTAATTGTGTCACGGTGTCTTGATAAAACGAATCCCCACTTCCGGCCTTAGAAGGGTAAGTACTTACGTTGTAGGGGCATTGATAGAGGGGTTCTTATGAAGGGGAAGTACTTACATTGTAGTAGGGTCCTTCCGTAGAAAGGGATAGGGTTTCAAGGGCACGTAGGGGGCGATAGGGATTGATGGGGAACGCTTCTCAACGGTTGTGCCCATCCCATTCTGACTCACATCTCAGCCAGCTCAGCCAATGCTATTTTCTTAGTCATAATAGAAGTCGCCTCGGTGCGCGTTCCACAGCGCTCGCTTAGTTTTTTGCTCATCGCTTCCCCTGCGCCCTTCAGGATTAAGCTTTCAGGAAACATAGAGCCCCTTATGAGCTCATCGCCATCAACAACGAGGGTCCTTAGAGTTTTCGGGCTTAGTCGCATCCGCCGTGAAGAAACCCATACATAAAACTTCCAACTTACATCAACACAGCGCAATACAATATAGTAAAAGTACGTGATACAAGGCGAGTACACGGACAAGGCAACACAATGCCGCGCAACAGACACTGCACTTCTACGTGGAAATCTCGCAGCACAAAAGTACTAAGTCGGTGAAGGCTCTATTCCTGACCTTAAGGCTTTTGTCGGCTTTCCAAACAAAACGTCCAGATTGGCCGCTTCTTCAGGGGCCAAAGCGCTACCCTCCCCCCCGCCTTGGGGTACTGCTACGGTGGTGGTCCTTGCCTGACGAGGGAAATTAAGTGAGTTATTCACTGCCGCGTTGTCTGAAGAAACGTAGTACCTAATCAACACAGTAGCAGAGAGTAATATTACGAAGGAATTTGGAAAGTTTAATAAAGTAAAAGTTTTTAGTTTTACGTCACTCGTGGTCAATAGTACTCACGTCTTCCTGCTATGCAACTTTTTCAAAAAACTACTACAAACAAATTTTACTAGTATCTATAATGGAGGTGTTGTAGTTCTTGGACGATAGCGGATATAATAAGTCCTTCTATGAGTCGTTCTATGAATTGCGTGGTGGCACCTGGCTAGGAAAAAACAAACACTATGAATGAGTCCCAGAAAGAAAAAGATAATTATTCATCCCAGAGGGCCCAATCAGCAACAGGCAACAGCATGATAACCCCGTACTTGTTCGGTAGATGTAGTAGTGCTAGAAAAGTGTTATTAAGTGGATGTAGTAGTGTTATTAAGTAGATGTAGTAGCGCTATTAAGTAGAAGTACCTCCTCAAAATCTTCCAGCTTCACTCTTTTCATGATCGTAGTAACTTGACTCATTTCATCCTTATCGTTGTCGAACTTCCTGATTTGCGCCTGAAGCACGTGAATTGCTTGACTCGGGTAAAAAGGCAACACAAATTAGAAGAGTGTCTGACACTGTGAACATAAAGGAAAACAAGGATGATGACGACTAGCGGATGTTTTCGTTTCAGATGTTTCCTCTTTCGAGAATTGAAGTACTCAGTTTATCTACATGCTTACTCGCTTAAGAGTAAGGCCCTGTAAACTGCATACTAGTCTAAAGAAATAAAACAGCGAGGAGCATGAAGGCCGTGCGCCTTTTTTCATTTTTTTTTTTAGCTAAGTTAAATCATCCTGAGCAAAAACGTGACTCCTAAGTTAAATCATCTTGAGCGATGTGAGCGGCAACCGCTAAGGCTTTGGCTGCCGATAAGAATCCCTGCGCATCCAAGTCTCCTCCACCCTGCTCAGTCGGTAACCACATTCGGAGTTCTCTACTTAGAAGAGTGAGTTCTCTATTTGTCAGCAGTCAATCACAACGGCAACCACTAAGAAAAGCAAAACGAGGCTAGAACACTAGGATAGGATGGATAAAGTCGGCACAGCTGCACGACACTCTACAAACAAAGTAGATAGGTACATGGTACATGGTACTTATTTTTGCGTTGAAGACTCTATTATAGAGATAACGACGGACACTCTACTCTCGAACTCGAAGAAGAAGATATTATACATAGATAAGAGCCTTAATCTACGCTTTCCGGTTTGTTCCGGCCTAAACTGCTTACAGACCTCATCGTCGCATTCCATAGCGTTCCAAGTAGCAGCATCGAACAAAGCCACTGCCTGAAATGTCGGCTTCTTCGAAACTTCCGAGAATTGGAGCAGAGGCCTGGTAGGAGCTCTTAAGCTCCTCTGAGAAATCTGAGAAAAGTTCTCTCCGACCGACGAACTCTTAAAAAATTTAAGTGAAAAGGTCTCGGTTTACTATCATAAGCACATCAAGACTGAGTCTTCTCTGTTTACTATCTCTTAACAAGCAGATCAAGCTTCGACTTATGAAACACGTCTTCAAAGTCAACAATCTTCATTTTCTCTCTAACTACAACTCTTAACTGAAGATCTCTGAAAAATTCATGTCCTCCGTTCCTCCAGCAACCAGCGCAGCCGCCGCATCGTACACCTTGTCCACCTCAGCATCCTTTTCAAAAACAAAGCCAGAATCAGAATCTGCCGGAAGTTTAGCAAATCTCTCCTTGAGTTAGAACTCTACCAAGTGAATAGCATCATCCTCATTGTTGAGAGTCATAAACAAATAGCATCTCTCTCCTTGTTGAGAGTACGCCTAGTACGCAGTTCTTCTTTTTCGAGTAGAAAAAGAGCCAAGGATGATCACAATATCCTTGGGTACGTAGTTCTTCTTTTTCGAGTCGAAAACGAGCCAAGGATGATCACAATATCCTTGGGTACGTAGTTCTTCTTTTTCGAGTAGATCCTTAATTGAGATTGGCAACTTCCTCCGTTGTAGCTAGATTGACAAGCTTGGTTTGTAGATCGTGAGGCTTAGCATCCTTGCCAATCAGAATCCCCACACCGTGTAGAGGTACTCGGACGCTATGGATGTTGTTTTTTCTCCCACTACTGTACTACTAGGCTTCCTGTACTACTAGGCTCGCTCCCCTGTACTCCTACTCTTCCTCATTTAGGTTATACGACCTCTTTATAATATAAGGGGAATTCTACTAGGCTTCCTCATTTAGTTTTAGTCTATCCCTCTTTATAACATAAGGGGAGTTCTAAAAGAGGGGAGAAACAACAACACCCATCCACCCATCCAGTGGTAGAAAAAACATCCATAAACGCCAACGTCAGCTGCTGCGGCACCAAGAGCAGCCTGCAAAACGCCCTCGAAAAGAGCAGCTCGCAGGAAAGACCACACGACCTTCAGCGCCATTCTTTCCACCTTCCATCGCGCATCGCGTAGAAGGAGAACTACGTTAGAGCTTTATTAATCTATTATTAAGCTATACTTTTTCATCTTTTGAAGGTGTGATAAAATAGAAAGTTAGAGATACACTTTCACGTTCGCGGATCTCTATCGACCAGATGAGATAGTGAAGGTAGGAGACAACATAGAAGATATGTCTCCTCAGATCGTAGAGTAGAAGGCCTATCTCTATTGTACTATTAACAGATGAGATAGCAGATTATATGAGATAACTAACATGTCTCCTCAGATCGCGCCGTTGTGTGACGAGTTGTGTGACTACTTGTCTTCTTGGTTGAAATGTTGTACCAAGTGGCAATATTTCATCTTAAGCATTGCTACTACTTGCTTAGTTCCTTAAGTAACTTAAGGAACTTAGTTTCTTAAGCATATGCCCTAGCTTAGCTCAAGCTCTTAAGCACCGTAATAGATTGTTACGACCTGCTGCTTGCTTAGCTCAACTTTCTTACTCTTAAGTACAACTCTCTAGGTGGTAGTGCTAACTTTCTTAAGTACCTTAGTAGATCAAGCTCTTAAGTACAACTCTCTAGGCAGTGCTAACTTTCTTAAGTACCTTAATAGATTCTTAGGTAGTTATTTCTTAAGTACCCTCTCCACTTTGAGCTTCTCCAGCTCGGTAAGCTTCTCGTTCAGCTCCGATGACTCTTCGTTTGCTTTCACGCCGGTTTCATTCTCAGCCTCAGCTGTTTTGATATTCCCCTTCAGAGTTGTAATTAGAGTTCTTTCAGCAGCTGGCAGCGTACTAGTAAGTCTGTATTTTGAAATACTTCCTTGCAGCACCTCCCCCACTTGTAGGAACAGCTATTAAAGGTAGAAGCAAGCAAGAACATATGCGTTTAAACATCATAAGAAAGCACCTTCATTCACTGTTGATCAAAAACAGCACGATTCTGTTAAGTAGTTAGGTTAGGCTAGGTGTTCGTCCAACAGGTTCACTGTTACCAGAGCCGTAACTTGGCCTCCTCTGTGGCCTTTGCTATCATTTTGGTCAATTGGTCCAGTTGTTCTTGACTGAACGGCTGCCGCTGTCTCTTTCCGATTATTGCAGTCCTTAGAAAATATGATTATCATTATAGGAGGCAGTCCTCTAATAGGGTTTAAAAGATTATTGCAGTCCTTAGAAGACATGGTTATCATTATAGGAGGCAGTGCTCTCCTTATGAACAAGGGTAAGTACTTACATTGTAGTAGGGTCCTTCCGTAGAAAGGGATAGGGTACAGCTATACAGTACATACTAGGAGGCAGGGTAGCTATGGAGTCCGCAAATAGGGTTTAGGGAAGCTATGGAGTCCGCAAATAGGGTTTAGGGTAGCTATGGAGTCCGCAAATAGGGTTTAGGGTAGCTATGGAGTCCTATTTAATAGGGTTTAGGGTAGCTATGGGGGACGATAACCATGAGGGTTAGTTTCCTCGAATAGGACAGGGTCCTCTAATAGGGTGGGCAGAGGATAGTCAGGAAAAGGGAAGAATAGCACAGAAAAAGCCAAAGAGGAGAGATGAAAGGAAGATCATTCATCTGAAGTTGATTCATGTAAAGATAATTGATGTGAAGATGATTGCTCACATCACCCTGAAATAGGCCTCTAATCGAAGCAAAGAATTTTTCCACACTCACTCCACGGTTTGGTTTGGGTTGCCTCTCACTATTTGAAGGGGAAGCCTTTGAGGGGACGAAAGGGCGGCCACTCAGTCACGGATAGTGGAAAACTAGCGTTATTGGAAAAGCAGCCGGATAGTGGAAAGCTAGCAAGTTTCCTCAGTAGCCCCCAAGTCTCCTTCCCTAATGGACTCGTGTTCCTATACTTAGAGGTAGGTTTTTGGTGCTCGCTTACCCCGCTTTTTATGCCTTTCTCCTCCTAAGGGAGAAAGGCACAAAAAGCGGTAACAAGAACACCTACTTTAACCTACTCTTACTATACCACTCCGACTTCTTCAGTTCTTCCCTAATGGACTCGTGTTCCTATACCACTCCGACTTCTTCAAGTCCTCCACCGTTTTTACTCGCAAGTCCTGCTCTTTCTTTTCGTATTCTTCGACTTCTTTTGTCGGGTACTGCTGTTAGAGAGTGAGAATAAAGCATAAGCTCAAATAAAAAGAAGCATAGAAATTACTATTGATTAGGACTATTAAAACAAAGAAGCTGTTGAGAAAAATAAGCTCAAATAAAAAGGGAACAACCATTAGTTGTTTGTTAGCAGTTACAATGAAATAAGGGAATGAATAGGGAACGTGCAGCGCTTGAAGAGCAGAAGTAAGAACGCTAGATTTAAGTAGAGAGAGAGAGAATACTTAGCTCACATGTTCAAAAAACGCATGACGTGTTTTCACCGGCCCGGATAAAAAGAAAGTGAAGATAGCCAGTGAACAAGTGCTACAATTATAGTAGTAAATGGGTTATCATTATCAATCGGGATAAGAAGCAGGTTATTAGTGGCTGGAAGCTTGTAAGCCAGTACGACAAGAATCAAGCCTTTTCTTGGTATCAAATATGATGAAAACAGATCAAGGTCAACCCTACGTGATGTAGGTTCTCCGTGATGTGTCCATCAAAATCTAGAATCTTAGATTTTTCTGAAAATTAAAGCAAGAGTTCCTCAATCCTAGGGATAATAAGTCTTAAGATATTGTTGCATGGGTGGATAAGCCTAAGATATTTTTTGTGGTGGAGCCGACCTAACTAGAAAAAAGACAGACCTAACTAGAAAAAAGCCTAAGATATTGATTTTTCATAAGAATCAGGATACTCGCGTTGGAATTTTTTCAGCTCTGCCGTGTTGTGGATGACGTCATTCGACCAGCGATTGAGTTCCTGGAACAGCTCGCTTGACTCGGTCATATATAAATCGTAGAAATCGCCACTGCTGTTAGAGACGAGAGAGGCCACAGCCTAAGCCCTAAGCCAGACTAAGGCCACAGCCTGAGCAACCTATAGCCTGACTACAGCGCATCCGCATCATCATCATCATCATCATCCTCATAACGTCTCCAGTAATCATCCGGAACTACCGGATAGATACACAAGAGTGCTGAATCAATACCATAGCCATAACGAGAATCCTCAGCGCTTTAGGCAAAAGCTCCCAGTTTGCAGCTTTCTCCTTTTCGCTGATTTCCGTTGCTTCCTCCTCCTTTGCCGCTCCTCCACCCTTCTCTTCCTCCTCTTCGTAGCAAGTTTTAGAATGATGTGGTAAGGATTACAACCTGCATGAAAAAATGCAGCCTAGTATTCCTAGGAATTCGGAAGATTTACTAAATCAATGTGAAGAATGATGTGTATGATCATAAGTCAATTGAATTCAGACTAGCGCTTTCTCCTTCTTGTACTGGTGTAATCTTCTAAACCACATTGATTATTAATAGGACAAGTAGTAGAAAAGACGAATTGAAGGATGGTCAATCTTGAGAACGAGAAAGCAAGCGAGAAGGATGTGGAGACATTGCATTAAATTAATCAATGGTATGTGCAGAGTGGAGAGGAAGGGAGAAAAGGGCCGAGAACCCGGGCCAAAACCTGGAAAGCATATCCCTTCTATCTAGTTAAACTAACAGTAACCAACAAATAAGCCGGCGTGGTGTAATCTTATAAATATATAAAGTACCGCCCTTCTTGTGCTGTAATCTTATAAATATATAAAGTACCAGCCATAGTCATATCCTCACTCTCTTCTGGAATCTCGATTTTTTGCGTTTCCCATGATGACGTAAGGAGTCCGCTCACCATCAGAGCCGTGAGCTCACCGGATTTAGAAAGGATTATTTTGGATTTTCTTTTTTGATCATGTGAAGCTTCCGACGACAACTACACGTAAGTAGAAGAAGAGCGAACGTTGCCAGTTAGCAGTAGACGTTTACACTACATGGAGTCTGACATTGGCTAGCATACCAACACCTAGACTATACGATGACACCTTGAAACTTCAGAAATTGGAAGTAACTAGGCGCAACGCTACACAGTACTTCTACACATACTTCCACAAGCAGAGATCCGGTTAGTTATCATCATCATATTGGTGCGACATATCCTAGTCCTACTAGCTTAATAGCCTGCCTGCGTGCCGCAGGACGAAACAGTTACCATTGTCTTCAATTATAGTTGTCTCACCGTCAACCCTAGACAAGTAATTACGAAATAAAATTGCAGAGCAGATGATCAACTACATGGGTTACGAAGTCAAATCGTGAAATCGCATTGCACGGAACAGAGGCACGAACAAGTATGCCTTCCACAGCAGATGGAAGAAATATGAGCTTTCTATGAGCCCTAATCGCCGACGTAGGTGAAGCGTCGCTGTTTCGCAGGCTTCTGAGGACCTCGTCCGCCCTTCTCTTATACATACTCGCCAACCCTATTTGCAGTTGCAAAATCCTTCAGATTAGAGCACGAGAGGCGACTTTCCTCTGATGTGACTATTATGGATTAAATATCTAAAAAACTTTTAGATTTTGATTCTATCCAAGAAAGGATGTCCCCATGATCCAGACAATGGAATTTACAGTCTTCTTCCACTTTCTCAGTCCAAGAATCTTCTTCCTTAAGTCGTCGGACATCTTGATGCGGTCTTTATAATTCGAAAACTTGTCTTGAAAGTTTTTCAGGGCTTCTGTATCCAAACTTTTGCGTTTCGGATGCGGTATCTTCATTTTAGAGGACGGAGCAGCTCAAATATCAATTATAATGAAACTGCTTTTTCGATAAACTGAAATAAACAAGTAACTGATGAAGGTGCAGGAGTCTATCCGCTGCAAAAAGCTACTCGAGTTCACTGCTTCCCTGAAGACATCTCTTCAGAATCCCAAGAACTTCCCGTTCTCTGAGGACATTTCTTCGTCCCTAAAGAGTATCCTATTCTTAGATGAAGGAAAATCCGAATTCTGAAACCCCTCATTTCTTCAGAATCGGAAGAAGGAAACACGTGTCATGTCTTCGCCCTAACACGTCATGTAGCTAAACTACCTAACGAGCCGTATGAAACAGTGATAGAACAAGTTCTTGTGGGACTAGAATACTGTAACTTCTATATTGATTATAACTATAAGTCTAACTTATAACAAGTACCGCATTTTTGCTATTGCCGCGCGTTGTTCAGCTAGTAAAAGAATCTAATAGAAGAAGAGAACGACTATTAGAAATGAATTGCATCATCAAGCCATAATCACTGGTGCTGACTTTGCAGCCTCCTCCTTCTGCATTAGAGTCAGCTTCCACCCGTCTACTCGGTCCCCTCATCTCGCCAGTAGGGAGGTACCAAGATGCTGAGAGAGATGGATAAAAGCTGAGCTCATAACTCTGGACCGCCACCAACATCTTGACGTTGAGGATCTGCAGCAACATCTTGAGGACGTTGAGGATCTCTCTCTTCTCCATCACGTCTCTCATCCTCTTGTTCCTCATCGTCATCCTCTTCCTCTGTAAAGTTAGCGCTACCGCGCTCGCATCCCCGAGAACCTCCGTGGTCCCTTTTTCTCCTTGAAAAATGGGCCAAGGATGATGTTGAGGATGGTCCAGCGGTAGCCTTAGTGAAGATGTCCTCCTCCGTGTACGAGTCGCTCTCGTATTTCTCGCCTACCAACTCCTGCTGCTCAGCATTTTTGTCCCCGCCCGCCTCCTCAGCATCCCCGCTTGCCTCGTCTTCCTCGCTTTGCATTTCGTCGTCGTCCTCGGAAAAGTCATATTGTTAGAGAAGTCATATTGCTGTGAATGGAATAGAATGTAAGGATTTTTGAGATCACTACTCTATTAATCCACAAACGCTACTGCAGCCTTGGTAATGAGTGGTGGTGGTTCTCCCTGACTCATTTGTCGTTGCTCCTACTTGGTTCAGAAAGAGGCTACTAGGGACTATCAGTTTTCCTAAACTTAGGGCTTAGCTGCTCGTTCACGGTGATGCTATATTACGTAGTTTTTCTTAGTCCTATCTACTTCATGCTAAAGTCTAGTAGAATTTTTCTAAGTACAGTCGTATCTACTTGTTCGCGGTGATCACGATACTATACTGTTTTTCTATGTAGTACAGTCGCATCTAATTCATGGCGTTGGTCGCCTATCTACGACTACGATCTTCATGGTGATTTTCTACATGTAGAACCAGAACCAGCATCATAAGGCAACTCGTCGTCATAGTCCTCGAAGAACTCATCCACCATCGAGGAAGGAGCTTTTTCTCCCCTCTAACTAGTAAATCTAGAATATACTGTTGGGCACTTTCGACGAAAGTTTTCAAGTTAGTACTCAAAGAAAAAGGTTCTCAATAAAAAGTCTTAGTACTCAAAGAGAATGGAAGATTTGGTACAACTAGAGTAGTAAAGATGGGAGAAAAAACTCGTCTTCCTCCATAGCTTCGTCTTCCTCATTGTCGTCCTCGTCTTCATGTACATATTAGAGCGCAAAAGATTTCATTTCTCGCAAACCCCAGAGGGCTACTGATTTATCCATCATCTATTTAGTATTTGCCGCGTTACTTCTTACTTGTTTTTGCCACTAGAAACCATTCAATTCTGTACACTCAACATTTGACGTTTTGCCTTAAACATCGTCGTCCTCGTATTCATCTTCAAAATCGTCGTCCTCGTCTTCAGATGTCGCAGAAGCATCGTCCCCGGTTGATCCCTCCACGACAGGTGGCGGAGGCGTCGTTGCTCCTTGCGCAGGCTCTTCCACCGGCTCTTCCACCGGCTCTTCCGCAACCTCTCGTCTCAAAGGGTCCTCCACATCCTCATCTCTCGGAGGGTCCTCCACGACCACAGGTGGCATCGCATTAGGGGACTCGAATCGACAGTCAACCGAATCTTTAATCTTAGGATGAATATGATCCAGGATGAATATGATCCATGATCCAGGACCTTATTTTGAGAAATAGGATGAATATGATTAATATGATCTCGGACCTTATTGTGAGAAAGTGTAGTGATCATGCCATGGGGCTTGTTTAGGATATGCTTCAGGTCAACTCTCAACGATCCTTAACCACAGGTCCATCTCCTGCCATCAGCTGTCCAGAGCTGCCGAGTGCCCTTTGGTTCAGATCGAACCCTTCGGAGGCAGAGTACAGCATCACGTCAACAGCAGCCTGCCTGTTTAGCTGAGATTAGAAGGATCATTGTAGAAACTACTACTACTTATGTTATTTTTATTAATTTCTCTGCTGCTCATCTTCTGCTACTATATATAAATTTCTTCGTCTTCTGTTCAAGATCCTAGTACTCTTAGTCATGTGTACGTCCGTGATGTCATCATTCTTGACGACCGCGGGGTTTTTTTTTTGCGTTAGGACTATATGCCACCGCCCTTTCAATCAATTAATTAACATGTTCAACTAACATCATCCAAATTACATACTGGGGGCGCATAAGACCGTACATACTGGGGGCGCGGGAACGGATTCTGAGATTATTACTGGTTTCCCCAGACAGTAGCAGACTTTTTTAACGAACCAATTAGCTATAAAGAGGGCCTTAACCGACAGACACAACATGTTCTTCGACAAAGGAAGACACAGCCGTTGACATCCTCTCCTCCTGGTCATCAATGTAGTGGCCACCTGCATCAAGATCTTCAAAGTTATGGTGACTCTCGTCTAGTAGCTGTACACGACTTGGCTCTAATATACCGAGATCCCCATCTATCCGCGGTCGAAGCCTTCTGACACGCAAGCTTTTCTCGTGGTCTGCTGTTTCATCCTTTAGCTCTTTTTCTAAGAGCACTGACGAGGATGAAGGTCCACCTGCACCAATGAGTGGCCCCTCATCACTGAGACGCTGTTGATGTTGATCTGCCCTGTTCTGCTCTCCTTCTTTTATCTCGGCACGCCGCTCTGGCATATAGGTACTAGAAGTTGTTGTAGTACTGTCCCCTCCCAGCAAAAGCGACGAAGGAATGCAAACGTCGCCCGAAGGCACCTGGCGAAAATTAGAGGATCAAAATCTAAGACACCAACACCTAGGTGCTCTTTCTTTCGTTCTTGTGCTTGTCTTTCTTGGAGCTGCATAATTTCCGAATGATGACAGCCTATTTTCGACAGGGATTACGAATACAACCAGTTGAGAAGCCTCTGTCTACTTAATACCAGATAGATGGTTAAAATCGTACGCGATCATATCGGATAAGGAACTAAAACCAGGATAGAAAGTTGGAGATGGAGTAAATGGTGACGAGCTAATAAAACCAAAATGGTACTAAGGCATACTGTTGGTTCCGTTGGAGCCCTAACAACTACACAGGGAGTTAGTACTTTCAGATTTATATATATAAGAGAATCCGAATATCTAGTAAAGTGCAGATCTCGCATAGAACGTACAGAAAAAACTTAGAATCGCTCAGAACTACACAGGAACAAAGTAATAAAATGAAATCCATTCATTCATTCATTCATTCGAACCACGTAGCAATTACAAGTAACTGCCTGGTTCCGTTGTACTAAGATAGATAGATAGATAGATAGATAGATGTACCCACTCACGGGGTATATATAGATAGATAGATGTACCCACTCACGAGGTATCATCTATAAGATGTTCTTCAATTTTTAGGGACTACGTCTCCATAATAAATGGCATCCAGGTAGCATGAAGATCTGGATCACTGCTCCATTGCAGACATACCAGTCCCATCCCAAAAAGAGTGAAACCTAGACTGAAGGTCGGCAATCAGTGGTCACTGATTCTGAAGACACAGGAGCCCCTACGATCTTCCTAATAATTACGAGTTGTTCTCCAGAGTACAGATCATTGATATAAGTATCTATAATGTAATTGATTGATTGATGTGCCTGGCAAGAGGTCGACGTTGAAGAGTTTACTATTGTTTCCCTGTCAGTGACGACTCTCATCAGTGACCAACGAAGTCTGAACCGTAACTAGAGCACTCACGGGAAGCACGCCTTTCAGCAATAGGGAACCCAACCCTTCCCAACTGAGTCCCTCTTCACAGGAGAGAAGTTAGAAGACGAGTACATTTTCTTGTAGCATGGCATTGAATTCGTCTTTCATCGATTGGGTTCATGTACTCCCGAGAATAACCTCGTGCTAGGTAGGACTAGGTACAACATGCTTCGGTAGGACTAGGTACAACATGCTCCGGTAGAGAGAAAAACTATACATGCTTCTTCCCCCTTTACTGGGATCATGTCCTAGACGTGGATAGGAGTCCTCTCAAGATCATGTTGGAAGTCCTTTTCCTTGTGTCAACACCTGTGGTTCTTCTCGTCTTTAGAAGAGAATCATAATCTTCACTACAGGTGGACTCCGTAGTTCTAGAGTCAGACTCCCTATTTTTCTTGTTGTCACCACCCACTACAAGAACATCAACATATTTTTGTTGTCACTACAAGAACATCAAGATCAGCAACAACATCTTCTTCATAACAACTCCGTATAATTTTTCTCCCTCTAACAGTGCGCGCCAGAGACAGGAGCCTGCTTCTCGATCTTGATGTTGGCTTTGAAGAGGTATCCGCATCCTCCCTACCTTCAGTGGAATCTTCCTCCACTTCAAAAAATCCCGATGCTGCTATAACCAAATCCGAAGAATGAAGAGGACAAGGTGGATTATAGTAAGTACTTAATAGTTCAGGAGTTTGAGTTCGTCGAGGACAAGGTGGATTATGGTAAGTACTTAATAGTTCAGGAGTTTGAGTTTCCATTACAAAAATTTTTGCATCTGCAAATTATTTCTACGCTGAGTCATATAGAAACTATAGGCTGATCATACCTTCAAAACATCAACAAGTGGCACTGAAGTAGACCACGCACTCTGTTGTCAGATTATAGAACAATCCTCTCTTCTTCAACAAATGTTGAAAAGCTGAAGGATCACAACATGAAATAGAAGAAACTTAAAAACCTGCCTTAGACAGGTCTTTCCTTATGACGACGGCGTATCCGAGTCCCTTTATGCCGACTTTTTCGGTGTCCCGTCTGATTTTCTTCCTTAACTTAGTCGAGCTATGGGTTGCTCACAAATTCATCTCAAAAAAGTCGTCGTCTTTAGTGTGGGTTTTCTTCTCTTACAGTGAAGAAAAAGGAGAGAGAGAGACAAAGAGAGAGAGAGACAAAGAGAGAGAGAGAGAGAGGAAGAATCAGGTTTACAGTAACCGGCCTTAACCACTACGCTCGACTCTTCTTGTATTCATGCTTTCTCCTTGTCTACCACCACTCGTTCCGCTGGAACTTCTTCTCATCCTTTTTTCTCCCTTGACGTAGATCACCCCTCCTCCCTCGTTCTCCAAAGTTCCTCCCTTGTTCTCCGAGGTTGATCCCTTGTTCTCCGAGGTTGATCCCTTGTTCGCCGAGGTTGATCCTCCCTTGCCCGCTGGAGGTGGTCCTACCTCACCCGAATGGCCATCGTCATCCGGAGCTAGCTTCTTCCCATGCTTGCTGCGCATTTTGCCTTTATTGTTGTCTCAGGAGTTTAGGAGTTTTTTTTTTTCTCCTAGACGAAGTCTCCTCTAGCCATCTACGGAGTCGAAGAAGTACAAGAACTTCTCCTAGACGAAGTCTCCTCTAGCCTTCTACGGATTCGAAGAAGTACAAGAACTTCTCCTAGACGAAGTCTCCTCTAGCCTTCTACGGGTTCTTGCAGCTGTCTCAGAGCATCAAGAGGACCTTCTGCAGACGAGAAACATAATTAGAGGACCTACTGAAAGAACATCACCAGAGAAACATTATGATGATGGTGATGATGAAATATGCAGAACGATAGACGGGTATGCAGAGAATGAATGAATGTGCCTAGCAATAGGCCTAGCATCAGAGCAGGACCAACTATGCATTCCCATCTGTAGGAGAAATTCTACAAAAACATCAGAGAATCGCAGTCACGTCAACATCGAGATCGACATCATCTGCCTCTCCACTGAAAACGAAATACTTTTAGATTCACTTCGGAGCATGCGATAACTACCGTCTCTCTCTCTCTTACAAGATCGCTTCCTTCTAACTTGGATATTACAAGAAAGCAGAGTAACTACTCTCTCTCTCGTGTCTGTCTCGGCTCCCTCTTTCATCTCAAATAGAAGGTAAAGTGCAGCACTACTGATTTTAGTTGAACTGATTTGATCGCGCAGCAATAAATGCTTTGATCCCTTGTGAGTGTGAAGATGCTGCAGTCCGTTCCTCTACGCAAGCGACATCCGCCAAAAAATGAATCAATGAATCAATGAATCAGTGAGCTGCATGAACAACGAATTAATATCTCTGTATGAAATCTCAAGTTCAACATGCTGTTTGTAGTTCATGTGTAATAATAACCAGCCTTAGAAATATCAAATCCACAAGTGATACTACAAGCTCATTTCGGAACGAAGAAAAAATCGAAAATGTTGAAAGTAGTGCTCGTCTAGTGCTCGCTTTCCAGTTAACTACAACAAAGGGCCTCTTTATCGTTGGTTCATCATTCTTGCCTTCAATATTTTATCATTATCTTGCATAGTTGTAACATTGACTTTGTGCATCGTTCTCTCTTCAAAATAACATCGGATACAAAAAGGGTTGTCCCCTCGTTTGGCCTACAACGACTGTATAATTCATGCTAGTCATACTACCGCAGAAGTTTGTTCCCCTCGGACGGAGTAGTTTAATGAAGATCTTCTAAAAAAAACACTCTAACAGCAAGTCACTCAACTGTCAAAAATATTTGAATATGATTACATTCATCCCATCTAGGTTATTATTGAATACGATTACATTCCTAGGAGAAGATCTACTTACAGTGCTGACTTTGCAGCAGCAGCAGCCGATTTTGACAGCCTTTGAAGCAACTCTTAGGAGGACTTCTCTTAGGCACTGATAACTACTTCTGTTGGATAGTACGTGAGCGATCTCAACGCGGAAGAAGTGCTCTCAACACGGAAGAGGTCATCTCAACACGGAAGAAGTGCTCTCAACACGGAAGGAGTGATCTCAACACGGAAGAAATGATCGCAACGCGGAAGGAGTGATCTCAACACGGAAGAAGTGCTCTCAACACGGAAGAGGTCATCTCAACACGGAAGAAGTGATCGCAACACGGAAGAGGTGATCTCAACACGGAAGAAATGATCGCAACGCGGAAGGAGTGATCTCAACACGGAAGAAGTGCTCTCAACACGGAAGAGGTCATCTCAACACGGAAGAAGTGATCGCAACACGGAAGAGGTGATCTCAACACGGAAGAAATGATCGCAACGCGGAAGGAGTGATCTCAACACGGAAGAAGTGCTCTCAACACGGAAGAGGTCATCTCAACACGGAAGAAGTGATCGCAACACGGAAGAGGTGATCTCAACACGGAAGAAATGATCGCAACGCGGAAGGAGTGATCTCAACACGGAAGAAGTGCTCTCAACACGGAAGAGGTCATCTCAACACGGAAGAAGTGATCGCAACACGGAAGAGGTGATCTCAACACGGAAGAAATGATCGCAACGCGGAAGGAGTGATCTCAACACGGAAGAAGTGCTCTCAACACGGAAGAGGTCATCTCAACACGGAAGAAGTGATCGCAACACGGAAGAGGTGATCTCAACACGGAAGAAATGATCGCAACGCGGAAGGAGTGATCTCAACACGGAAGAAGTGCTCTCAACACGGAAGAGGTCATCTCAACACGGAAGAAGTGATCGCAACACGGAAGAGGTGATCTCAACACGGAAGAAATGATCGCAACGCGGAAGGAGTGATCTCAACACGGAAGAAGTGCTCTCAACACGGAAGAGGTCATCTCAACACGGAAGAAGTGATCGCAACACGGAAGAGGTGATCTCAACACGGAAGAAATGATCGCAACGCGGAAGGAGTGATCTCAACACGGAAGAAGTGCTCTCAACACGGAAGAGGTCATCTCAACACGGAAGAAGTGATCGCAACACGGAAGAGGTGATCTCAACACGGAAGAAATGATCGCAACGCGGAAGGAGTGATCTCAACACGGAAGAAGTGCTCTCAACACGGAAGAGGTCATCTCAACACGGAAGAAGTGATCGCAACACGGAAGAGGTGATCTCAACACGGAAGAAATGATCGCAACGCGGAAGGAGTGATCTCAACACGGAAGAAGTGCTCTCAACACGGAAGAGGTCATCTCAACACGGAAGAAGTGATCGCAACACGGAAGAGGTGATCTCAACACGGAAGAAATGATCGCAACGCGGAAGGAGTGATCTCAACACGGAAGAAGTGCTCTCAACACGGAAGAGGTCATCTCAACACGGAAGAAGTGATCGCAACACGGAAGAGGTGATCTCAACACGGAAGAAATGATCGCAACGCGGAAGGAGTGATCTCAACACGGAAGAAGTGCTCTCAACACGGAAGAGGTCATCTCAACACGGAAGAAGTGATCGCAACGCGGAAGAACACGGAAGGTGATAGTGATAGTTTGCGTGGTACTGTGAGATAGTGATGTGAGATAGTCATAGTTTCAGAAACGTCGATCTAGCAAAAAGACTTTGGAGAATTTCGATTTGTTCAAAGCGCCCACGTTCTTTTTTAGGTATCCATATTTATTATAGCAAGTTTTCATTTTTCACATCACCTCCTTCAAACAAATACCAACAAACAGAATTAATTATACGTCGTGTAAGTGGTGGTGGTCAAAAACAGATACAGAAAACTTACCTTGGTTGAACAACAATAATAAGATATTGAAATTGATAATTAGGTGCAAAGAATCTTTGTGGTCGTATTGATACACTTCTAAGTTTTGCTTTTCTTGCTACTGCTAGATGCGATGAATTTTGTTGGTACGATATGAAGCCTTATTACTTAAGGCACCTCTCGATCTCGCCTCGATCTCACAGCGAATGAATTTCAGCGTTTTCTCTCCCAAGTAGTAGATGCAGACCATACTTAATCCTGGCATGGACATATTTATATTATAGTATACACTTTCAAGGTCTATGAATATTTGTGGCGGAGCAGACCTAACTAGAAAAAACAAAAACCATAGAAAAAGAACAGGTCTGTCTCTGTTAAAAATATTGTTTTTGTTAAATGGGAGAGAAAACATCATCCATACCTCCTATTCCCATTCCCTCCACTTCCTTTACGAATTTGGCATGCTCAAGAGCCCTTACTCTTTTTCTTGCCTCGGGGTCGGGGCTTGGGCACTACGGCGTTCGTGGCCGCTCCGGCGTTCCTGGCCGCTACGGCGTTCCTGACCGCTACGGCGTTACCATTAGAGAGGCCCTTGTTCTCCTATTATTATTGTTACTATTTATTATTATTGTTGGAAGAAATATCATTTACTATTATCTGTTGGATTCTTACGAAATAGCATTGTAGGCTTACTCATCTCCCTCTTCAAGTACATCCTATCCGTATGAAAAGAGTAGGAAGACAGAGTGGAAATAAGGAAGCGCTAATTGTCTCGTCATAACTTTGAAATTCGTCAAGCTGATGAAGTTGCCGCTCTTGTGGTTTTGATACATCCCAAATTAGAACCAGCAAAGAGACGACTCACTTTTGAATTTGAGAGGCTCTGATTTGAGAGGGGGCTGAGGAAGATTGATAATTGGAGAACTCACAACTTTTGGCATTGAAGAGATCACAAGAGGCATTACAGATCCAGATGATGATGGGATTATAAGACGATGGCCAAGGCCAAGACCAACTCGTGGCGCGTACTAGAGAGGGATTATATATAAGACGAGTTTTTAACGAATTGCTTTATTAGAAGGTTCTCAAAACATCTATGATAGTGATTCTTTCTTTGATCATAAAAACCATCTCATCATGTTGCAGTTAGTTAATAATATGAACTGATTAGTAGCTTGATCGACTCGTGTGACTGACAAGAGGTCGAAAGATGATGCAAAATATGGTCATGAAACGAGGAGAGAAGGAGATGTCGCTGGGCCCACTAATGCAATACGCAGGCACGACCCTGCCAGCCATTATTAGTTACCATAGTTCTGAGTAGGGTACTTCGCAGGGCCCCTTTATTTTTGTGCTCGCGAAGTTAGGTCTTTTACACTATTCGATAAACCAAAATATATATATAACAGAGCAATTTATAAGGTTTCACAGCTCGCATGGCATGGAGTGCATGGACCACATGGAGTCGCATGGAGCTAAGGGGGGAGCTTCATAAAAGGGAAGAAACTGTCCGCCGTAGTCCCTGTTTTTAAGTTCAAGAAGATAAGCCAAAATAAAAAGGAGCAGGTAACCTACCACTTCGAGCAAGCGAGGCACTGAAAGGAGAATAGCGCTGTAACCCTGTTAATTCAGTTAGCTACTCGCCTATTTTCACTTTTCGTATATAGGTTTTGTCTTAACAAGGAGTGACTCCTTTCGGCAGAGTTCAGTTTTAAGCTACTAGTCTAGGTTTTGTCTTAACAAGGCGCCTTTTTCCCCTGCGGCGCGTCTCCGCTGCGGAAGGACTGGTAGCCCTCCTTACTGCGCGACTCTCCTCCCTGCGTGTTACATACGAAATTCGGGACGGAAGGGCCGACCAAGATTAGAGTGTATTTTCTTACAACGTTCTGAGCGATTGGGAGGTAGCATTGGAACGGAAGCGCCGCCGAAGTGACGGACAGCGAAGAGGGGGCGAAAGGGGCGCCAAGTTGACCACCTGAAGGCGGATCACCAAGCGCCAAACGCGGGGAGAGGGAGGGCCCGCCAAAGACATCAACAACCCGACCGAAAAGCAGCACCGCGTCCCCAGTAATGCCGCCACGAAGGTAACCCCGAGCCAACGCAGAGTGAGCACTTCATCCCAACGCGGCAAGCACGCCCGCGCAGGGCGAAGCCTTAATCCCATTTAGAGTCTGCTAGCCTGTATCGTGGTCCACCCCTCATCTCGACCCCCTTCCCCTTGTATTTCATGAGAATACAAGGCCAAAGGAGACCAAGATGCCGAGAAAGATGGAAAAAAGCTGACCATAACCGATCGGCTTATCCATACAAGAGGTCTTGAATATCTACACCCGTAATGCCATCAGCCTATCGACACACGCGTCACCACCGAGATAGCCAACGTCGTGTACATTTCCCCCCGTCGTCACAGTACCGTCACAAGGCCAAACGCCTTCTGCCTCTGCCTGTTTGTTGTGCAGGTGGTTCCACCGTGTCCACGGCAAATTAAAGCTGAGCTAGCAACTAACTCAGAGTCTTCGAAGACAGGCACTGCTGTGCTAATGTTGTGTAGTGGGGACGTTATCATGGGATGACGGGGTCTACTTTTCCTTGAAGGCGTCCATAATTGAAGGAAAGGAGCCGCAAATGAGTGGTGGAAGAGCTATCATGGGGGCGCATCAATCTCTTACAGCTGCATCCCTACACACACTAAAGCAATAAGCCCGGCAAGGTGGGCGGGTCAAGCGTTTCGTTATCAACTTAGACAAGGCCTACAAGGCTCCGATAAACATCGGGTTACTGCCCTTAATATGTCGAGCCACGCTCCCCGTCTCCTTCCACAGCTGCACTCGGTAATGTCTCTTCTCTTTGTCGTTAAAATTCAAGCTTAGATGATTGAATGCGAAGAAGGTCCATACTAATTTCAATGCCCAACATAAAGCCTACTAGCAGCCCACAAACCACACCAGCGGACAGTAGACGCGCAGAGAGAGAAGGAGAACAAGAAAAAGGGGGCCGCCTGGTTGACTGGCTGACCGCCTGCCCGGTGCTTTACCTGGCTGGCTGAGTGGCTGGCCGGCGTTCCTGGCGCGTGGTTGGTCTCATGCCGCCTGCTTATTCCTTCCTGGGGGCCCTGACTGCTACTTGTCTGCCGCTGACCGCTTCAGCCCCTCACACTTTCTACCCTGGGAGCGCGCTCTTCTCCTCTTCTCCTCCGCTTTTGGGGTAGGCGGTGCTCAGACAAAAGTCACGCAAGCTAGCACAACGGGCATCGAAATGAACCGAGGGCGGGGGCGGCCGAGGCTCTTTATGCCTCTTTAGGCACAAAGCACCTCGCTGGGCTTAGGACTCAAGGCACTGCGTAAAAAGGTATTTACGTAAATGGCCTCTACTGGGTTACATCATTCATTAATATCTTCGTGCGAGAAACCTGGCCCATAACCCCCCACTCGTACTGTTTTACTTTGAAGAGGCCTAAGTCTTAGACAATAAGATAACGAAATCCATAATCCTCCAAATTGAATGTCCCACGCGATTCTCCCACGGTCTGCCATGCGCATCACCGTTTCCATGCAAGCCTTTCCCACTGCTAGCTTCTTTCACATTAGAAGACGAGAAAGCCACGCCAATGACACCTGTAGAAGGGCAGCACCCTTCACTCGAAGCCACCCGGCCTCATGGGCACGCCTGGGCGCCTCACTCTAGTTCCCTCAGCCTCAGCGGAACGTCAGAGCCACACGCCGACGCCACGCAAAGCGCGGACCCAATCGAAGCGAGAGCCGAAAGCCGCCGAGGGCCGTCAACATACTGCCCCCCGAGAGACCACCGAACCCCCTCCGAGAAACTGGCGGAGGGGTTCTCCCACGCGCCGCCCCTGCTGCTCACCTCAAGCTGCTAGCAGCCTGAGCCTGTGCCAGCCTGCCCCCGATGACAGCGAGGACGCTGGACGCCAACGGGCCACTGCGCATAAGTTCGGAAACAACCCAGCCCCCCGTGCCCCCTGTGTCACACCTACGGCGAACGACCTGGAGCGAAGCGGGCGAACAACGCGGACCGCGTGGCGCCATTGTGACAGCTGGACACCTCTCCCCAGGTAGATGGGCCTCCAGGCAAGTCCACATGCCCCAACCAGGGGCCGCCCGAGCACTAGCCCCAAGCCCTCTGGACCGACGCTCCCCACGGATCCCCGCCACAAACACCCCCCAAGGAGATGGTCGGGCAACAACCGCCCCCACGGCCCCTCAGCCTGCCTGCGGCGACGCTCCCCACGGCACTTCCGACAGGGGGGCACACCCGAGCCCCACCGGGGTGGCCGACCAGGGCGAACGCGCAGCCCCAATCGGGGGGCCGCGTCGCTTTTTGCCGTCTCGCGGCTTCCCTTTTGGTTTGCTCCCTTTGAGCTGCGCCAGACCCTTTGATGAAGCGAGTCGAGACGCCAGCGCACGCAGATCCACCCCCGCGACCCCGCTGGGCGCTTTTCGCGCTCATTTACCCCTGTCAGCCTTTGCCGGCAGGAGGACCGTAGCAACCCCGCACCAAACCGGGGGGCTACGATACTGCGACCGCACGCGCGCCGCGGTATGCATAAGAGGGAAAAGAGCTAGCTTCCAACTGATTGACCAGGCGCCGCTTACTTTCCAGGTGACGGCGCCACTTACTTTCCAGGCCTCAACTGGCAGCGCCTAAAAGTGAGAGAAGACCCCGGCCGAGCATCTTTGACGGCCATGGCCCTGCCCAATATTGTGAGCGGGGTGGAAGAGACTGGAGTAAGACAAAGGCCAGAGCCTAAGCCTATGTATCTAGCTAAAGCTAAAACGAAGTAAGTTGTAAGGATGCCGCCTCGCATGGAATGGAGTGCATGGATCGCATGGAGCTAAAGGGGGCGCTTCTTGCGTCCCTTAGAGATCTGCACTCTATGCACTCCATGCGCCATGCGTGCTATACTGAGTACAACACTGGGAAAGTAGTCAAGCCTGCGACGCATTCGTGTTCCAATCGTTCAAGCATGGCATGCGCGGCCTATGTATTTACATCCGTATCCTACAGCAGCCCCAGGTGAGTTATTACTTCGCTGGCAGCGTCACCAAGTGTCGCCCTCCATGGAGCAACATATTAGGTTAGGGGGCAGGTAAAGTCGCGCACTACTTACTTCGGCCGGGTGTCCTATGTAATGCTGCGCCCAGATAATTCAATGTAGGAACAAAGAGCCACCTCCACCTTGAACATAACATAGTTTCTCCGAACCTGTCAGGCCTCCATGCCTCATTTTTAGCCATGACCCAAGGAGCGCTCCAAAAAGCTTGTTCCCCTCGTTTAGCCTGCTCGATTAGAAGGTGCCACATCCTAGAGTGTAGACGAGCTTGCCACAAATTTGAAAAGTGCTATCATCTATGTAGCCCTGATGGCGCTGCACCTCTAGTCCTTGCGCTGCGATTCCCCTTTTCATTCGCTCACCCACGCAACTGCTCGAGAAATTCTTTTTTTATCCTAGTATCTATACACGTGCAAGCGCTCAAGTACCTAGCGAAGACCCGCATACGGGCACCGCCTTTTTTGTTGTCTAAACTACGCGCGAAGCCACCCTCCGCGGGGGACAACACCAGTATCAAAAGTGACGAAGAGGCCACTTCGTTGAGGCCTAGTGCATGATAGGAATGGGCGTGCGCATTGCAAGGTGGAGGAATGCGCCAAAGATGCCTCTCAAAAGAACTTTTGACACTAATTATAGCGCACCCTTAACTCCTCTACATCTTCGCCTCGCTCGTTGATGTGCGCGTATTCCAATTCCGCGGCATCCCTGGACACTTGGTTTCGCGCTCACAGTCATTCATCTAAGCTTTCCTGACGCGTAACAGTAGTAGACTGACCCTGACGTAGTAGTCAGCCCAATCGTGGGGCACAGACGGCTTCACCCATTGCCCGAGCGCCATACCCACATAACGAAAGAGTCCAAGAAGGAAACGAACAGAGACAAGAAGCGTCGCAATGAAAGTCTAGAGGCACTCCAACACCAAACCAATGACACAGACTGAGCAGGGCCTAGAACTGCTGCCAGCGGTCTGTGGGGCAGATGAATTGCTGCCAGTCTTCCACTACTCTCTAGGCGGAGAAGATGAATTCCTGTGCTGAGCCATAATTGGAAAACCCCCTCGTCGTAGTTCCACGCATTTTCATGTCCTTTCTTCCCGTATATGAAAGGAGAATAGGGTAGAATTGTCAACAACATGGGATAGCCCTTTTAGAGGTCCTTGGACAAGCTAGAAGGGGACACGCCATGTACTCGCGCTGCCTCTGACCCCGATCGATGTTTGTATCGCGGCTACAAAAGTATACACACACTGAAACAGCGTCTAAAGCGACGACGCAGTGTCTCGCGGATGGTATCTGTGGGAAGTCTATCAGTCAAATGCGAGCTGAAGAGAAAAAAGCCGCCGTCACATAAACCAGTCCGGCGCATTCGGCAGCTTTTCAATACGCTTCCCCAAGTTCCGCGCGCTTTCCTTCAGCTCGCTCCGGTCTTCAAGGTATGGCCACTTGACTTCGCGCATTGCCTTAGAAGTAGGGACAGCGCCCCAACCAGGTCTAAAGACGTCTAGCGACTATCTATGTATCTATGTCGAGTATCCACCTAAGAAAGCACCACCTCCGCAAACTATGTATCTACACAAACAAGGAGGAAGAAAGAAGCCACCACCAACGCCAAGGCAGCCTTGCAGCCCTTCCGCCCGCTGTGCATCCCGATCGCCTGTCCTAAAATCGCTTCACGCCTTCCCCCTCTCCCCATGGGCGCGACCCCCTGCCCCGCGCGCCCCTGGCGGACCTGGGCAAGCCCGCGACGGTATGCCCTGTCCCTGTCCTGTCCCTGGCGCCCCTTCCCCTTATAAGTTGTCCCTGCCCGTTCGCTCGGTAGCGTAGCGTCGGCGCTAGGCTACCTAGCGAAAGATCAGGCGGAGGCCGCCCCGCCGTCTTCCATTCTAAAAGCGTGCTAAATTTTGCAGCAGAAAAAAGAACAACAGCCCCCCGCGAATGCCCGCCACGGCATGCCATTCAGAAAGCGGGGCCCGCGCCCTGGGTCCCAGGACCCTCGTCCGCCGAGCCCCAGAGCACTACCACCCCAAGCACCTACACACCACCACCCGCAACAAAGCAAACCCAAGCACACGTCTGCGACAGCTCAGGCATCCCGAACAAGCTCAGCCAGCCGGAGGCCTGTCTAAAACCCCCAAACACCCGAAGGCCCCAGCGCCATGCCATCCGTGCACGCCGCTTACTCCCTACACCGCACCCCATGCCATAGACGGCTCTCAGCCGCGGGGCGGCTATCAGAGGAGCAGGCACCCAGTCCGCCACGGATCAGCAGACAGCCCGCGCAGGGCGCGCGAGCTGGCACGGGACCAGGCCCGCGGCCTCCTCCACTCCGGGCGCCACTCCTCCCGAGATTGGACGCCAAGCCGAGGCCGCTGCCCCAGAGCCCGACGCCGCGGGGTCAGCTTTGTGGCCTTGCATGTGGTCACGCAAGTGCTAAGCCGATGCTAAACCGAGACGCGGGGTCTTAGGCGCTTTCACGTTGGATTTTGGCACCCCTGATTTAGCACCTTTTTTCTGTGTGCACGGCAACACGCTTCACCACAAAACTTAGAACCCCCGATAGCGCGTCATTTAGCATGTTAATTAGCCCAAAAGCTAGCGCGTTACTTAGCATACCAATTGGGCATGCTACTTAGCACAAAACTTAGCGCATTATTTAGCAGCCAAATTCAGCATGCTTTTGAGCATGGAATTTCGCACCAAACTTAGCGCCCAAATTTAGCACAAGTTTAGCAAAAGTTTAGCAAAAGTTTAGCAAAGGTTCGTTTAGCACCCAAAGGAGGACCACGGCCCTGCGTGGCGCAGGAAAAAGCGCCCCAGCAAGCACACTAAGATGGCCGCACCGACCGCGCCCCCAGGGACCCGGCAAGCCAACACGACACAAAGAGAGCCCAGCCGCCTCCGGCTCGAGCCGTAGAGAAGATGGCAGCAGAAAGAGACAATGCCCAAGGCGCTGCCCCCCCACTGGACGGTAGCCCCCCGTGGTGCTGAAGAAGCCAAAAAAAGCGACAAAGGCCAAAAATGTAGCACCTTTTTCGCACACCCGCCGGCGGGGCTATCCTCCACCTGAGAAAGAGACGCTGCTCGCGGCCACTCCTCCCCCCCTTCCATGCTTTGCAGTCGTGTCCCCCTCCGCCTCCCCTGCCTCAGTTCTGGGCGGCCCGCGCTGGACCAGCTAGGCTACATACACCCCCACACGCGGCGGGCCTCAGCAGCGACAGCGCGGCACCCATGCGCGCGCAGCCTCGCCCCTGCATGTGCTTTCATCTGCTCTAACCGAGGGCGCACAGCAAAGCCCCCTATATTTCAGCGCCCATAGCCAGTTACTTTCTTGCAAAAAGCTGTCAACAGCAAGGCCCCGCACCCCCACACACTGTGGGCCACCCCGTCACCCTTACCAAGGCAACCAAGGGGCGGCGCCGATGCCCATCCGCGCAAACATGTCAGCGCCACCCGGTCCGCCCCGCTGTGCACGGAGCCAGCATTCGGCGCGAAGGCCTGCGTCAGAAAAAGACCTCCAGACGCCGGCATCTAAAGAAAAAAGACGCAGGTCCCTTGCGGTGTGATTTTGCACCCCTTTTCTGCTCTTTTGAGCCGGAGCCACTAATCCCACGAGGACCGAAACGGGCAGCCCATCTAGTGAAGGCCGCGGAATCTCTTGCGCAAGTCCTTTTTGCTTGCCCGAAAGTTCATGGTCACCCCGTGACCCGGATTGCCTGGGGCTTCCGCGTGGGCTTTTTCGAGCCCCAGCAAAGCGACCCGGGGCTCTCAAGGCTGGGGCCCCTCTAGATGTGCTAGGAGGGTCCCTTCAAAGCGTCCACCGGGGACGGTGCCCCTTTCTCAGATCCACTAATCAGCCCCCAGAGTGGCGACACCGGTCACAAAAGGCCTGCACCTTCTTCGACTACACTGGCCCAAACAATAAGCAGCACAAGGTGGTGCAACGGCGACAGCCCTGGCCTGACTTTTTGGCCTTGGTCTATTGCTCTCCAGCGCCATGGCCTTGGCCAGGTTCTTCGACGTATGCGAGACAGGGCGGCCCAGCTTGACAAACCTGACAGAGAGCACAGGGGAGGGATGGGCCATCCCTGCACTACTAACCAACTAGTGGCACTGCCCAGCTATGTGTAGTGTTTGAAGGGATAAGCCTAGTGATAGAAGTGAAAACTCACCAGCTGTCTTACTTTAGTACTTTAGTACTACTACCCAACTATGTATTATCTAAGAAGCCCACCAGCTACATCTACCAAGCCCAACACGCTAACCCCGTATCTTGGTGACAGGAAGAAGCGCGGACCCCAAAATGGTCCACCAAGGTGATGATCTGTGTCGCAAAGGTTTGTACTCAAATCCCCCACGCTGTCGGTCATGATCTCCATTTAAAGTGTCTGAGCTAAGATACTAGCCTATCTTCCTCCGGAGGGAGTGGTCGGCGATCTATGGTATCGAAGAGATGAACTACTAGGGCGGTGGCCTGCCTTCCTTCGGGGTCGAGGGATCGACGCCGGCAGAGACTGAGGTGATAGGATAGGGCGGGAGCGGATACGGCAGGAACTGGCCCACAAGATCCTCCATAGGATATGGTGGGACCTCGGCCAGTTTCCTCCGAGATAAAAAAAGGGTAAGTGGTCACCTTAAGAACCCCAGCGTCGCCCTTCGGCGAATCGTCCAAGCTCAGCCCCAATCTCCGTAGCTCGCCTTCCAAGATTTTCCGCTCCACCGTCCAAAATTAGACTACAATATACAAACACGACGTTGCCAGCTACCTTAGGAGGGCTCAAGAGATACGCAATCCCCAAGATCGTAGGTCACTAAACAGAGAACCATGAAACATAGGTATCCATATTTTTAATGGCAACTACCTTAGAATCAATGATGAGATGATCAGCCATCCAGCTCCTGTCTCAGTGTCGCCACTTCTTTTACGCCTACAGCGGAAAAAGACACAACAAACAAAAGAGAAGAATAGGCACTCTAAAAAACTAGCATTTTTACCCAAAGAGCGCAAAAGACTGAATTCACATAAGAAGTAATACTCACCGTGTAGGCTGTCATCTAGATAGCTCTTTACCAGTCAACGATTGGGCCTTCTACTTCAAAGGGGAGGCCAATCAAGATGGCGCCCTCCGCACCAGAGCCCTGGCTGCGACTGCGGCAAAAGAGCTTTCTTTGTAATACTAGCGGACAGGAAGCCTGTAAAAGAAAAAAATACTTCCTGACTTTTTTGCGCAGCGAACTGGGAGTACATTTATGTCACGTATGTGCCCCCGATATCGTCTCTCCTGACGACCATACGGCTTCAGTTTGCAGATTATCACGCCAGAGCCGATAGCACATATCAGGATGCGCACTTCTAGTCAAGAAGCCTTAACACAACTGGTTGTAGATATCGGTTGCTATCTGATATATCTTTGCTATGTGCTCGGAGTATTCTACTCTTTTCCTGGCGACGTCCCTACTCGAACTTCTTGCAGTGTCAAAAGCAAGCCTTGCCTCCTCGTTAGAAACTCGGCGCACCTTGTCATCTATCTTCAGTATAAAGGTGACGATGGTGATGGCGGTGAATGACGATGATGATGCACCCAGCAAGGGGCAAGCGCTTTCTTTTCTATTTACTTAGTAGAGCGCAAGAGGCAAAACGAAAAAGCACCAGTGTTCTTCAATGTGTGCTGGGGGTGTAAAGGCTAGAAGCAGCGAGAGATGTGGCCAAAGCGTTGTTTACCAACATTTAAGAAGCCAGCTTCTATCTGTTGCCTGCGCGGCCTGAAAGCGCAAGGACTGCAAACTAGAGGACACCAAGGCGGGCCCACCTGCTGCTCTACGAGTAGTGCTGCTAGCAGTATCATTACTCGCTCCTCCTACATCTTGCATGTCACAGCAAAAAACGCGCTGTGTGAATGAATGTAGATGCGCCCTCCAATTGTCATTGCAGCATGTAGAAGCAAGGCCTGAGGCTGCGTCTACTTATCTGTCTGTCCGTCGGAAATAACTGCCGCACATGTTTGGACGTATGCGGGGAAATCCCTCGCCCCGCTGAGTCCAAAAATGGAGAGAGCCCGTGCGCATTCTTTTGAGGAATTTCAAAAGCCTTTGCCCCGGGTCAGACAAGGCAAAGACCGTGAACGAGGTCGGGAGAAGTCGGAGAAATTTTGAAGAGTGTTCGGCAGTAAGAAAGTGCCCGGCGAAAGCATATATGACCCAGGGCTCAAGGCTACGGCGCCCCCCCTAACTCAGGGGAGGGGCACCGGTAGCCCCAGACACCTCCAGAAGGCGCCTGCCGGGGGTGGAAGGCCTCAAAAGGGGGCAAAGGAGCCTCCCCCGCTCCCTTCCAGCTGCCTGGCTGTCCCCTACGAAGCTCCGACGCAGGTGCAAGGCTTCAGCGGACCGCCTGCGCCCCCTTCCAGGCGCCTGCCTCCCTGTGCCCCAGGTGCCGCGCCGTGCCTCCTATTCATATGCTTCGCCGCCGCAGCAGTGCGCCAGAGGCGGAAAGCCTCCGAAGGCGGCAAAAGGCGAGGGGCTGGACCCCCTGAGCCATGCAGCCTGTACCCGCCGGGCCATTGGTCATCAGCTTGCTTGCTCTTGAGAACCTGGCCGCCTTCGGCGGCCTCTCACCCCGGAAGCCTCCCACCTGCGAGCGACAGCAGAAGCCAAGAGGCCACCAAAAACACGCAGACAGAGAGGCGCAACCAAGGGGACGCCCGTGCCCAGTGTTGACGCCTTCCACCACTAGGATCCGCGAAAATCAGCGCGGAAAAGCGCGCGCGCGCGCCACCACAGACCAGACCACAGGGGGGGACCGGTCAGCCCGAGAGCCTATATGCTTCGACGTGAAGCAGTTGCGCCTACCGCTATTCCCTCTAGACATGCATCCGAAAAGCTAAAATCTCTAAGCAAGCAAAGGACTGGAAAGATAGAATAACACAAAGAACGGCACTGAAGTGGGGGGCTGTGTCTATATGATTCAAGGCCAGACGGCGCAACCCCCTCCCCCCCTTTGATCTGGTCTGTGGTGGCGCGCGCGCGCGCTTTTCCGCGCGAATTTTTCGCAGATTCTAGTGGCGGAAGGCGTGAAAACTTGGCGCGGGCCTCCCCTTGGGCCTCTCAGCGTGTTCCTAAGTGGCCTCCTGGCCTCTGCTGACCCTCGCAGGCCGGAGGCCTCCGGGGCAAAAGGCCGCCGAAGGCGGCCACAGTCGCAAGAGCAAGCAAGCCGATGACCAAGGCCCCCCCCGGAGGGTACAGGCAGCACAGCACAGGGGGCCCAGCCCCTCATCTTCTGCCACCTTCAGAGGCCTTCCGCTGCCGGCGCACTGCTGCGGCGGCGAAGCCTAACGGATGCACGTAGAGCACTGGCAAGCACTTGGACGGGGCGCAGGCCGGCGGTCCCTTGGGCCCCTTTTGAAGCCTCCCACCATCATCAGAGCCAGAGGCCCCTAAAGAACAGCCAAGCAGCCGAAAAAGAGCGGAGGAGGGAGGCCTCGGGGCCCCTTTTTGAGGCCTTCCACCCCCCGCACACGCCCTAAGTAAAAAGGGACCCAGGGCGGGGCGGGTAAGGTGGGCCGAACGCCGTAGAGCTGTCCACATTAGTCCCACCGCGTAACCCCCCTAATATAAAAGGCGATCTCCTTGCTCTTCTTTGACGCGTGACGCGTCACGCATGACACGTGACGCGGCACACGCGGGCCACGGATCGATCAGGGGCCCGCGGATCGATCGGTGACCCGTGGATTGGTCAAGGATCCGCGGGTCGTGGATTGCTCAGCGATCGGACCCGTGGATTGATCAGCGACCCGTGGGCCGATCGGTGAGCCGTGGATTGGTACGTGATCCGCGGGCCGTGGATTGATCAGCGATCGGGCCCGTGGATTGCTCAGCGATCCGCGGACTGATCGGTGATCCGTGGATTGGTCAGTGATCAGCGGATTGATCAGTGACCCGCGGACTCATTGACCAAAGGCCCACGGATCGACCAAGGATCCGCGGACTGATCAGTGATCCGCGGACTGATCAAAGAACCACGAATCGACCCGGGGCCCGTGGACTGATCAGTGGCCCGCAGACTGGTCACATCAGTGGCCCGCAGACTGATCATCGGCCCGCAGAGTGATCAGTGGCCCGCGGATTGATCAGTGGCCCGCGGATTGATCAGCGACCCACGCACAGACCGACCAAGGATCCACAGATCGACCAAGGGCCCGCGGATGGATCAAGGATCCGCGTATCGATCAAATGTCCACGGATCAGACAAGGATCCACGGATCGACCAAGGATTCCTAGATCGTTCCTGGAAGGATCCACGGAGCGGCCAAGGATCCGCAAACCGATCAAGGGGGCGTGGATTGAAAAAGGGCCCGCAGATCGATCAAAGGCCCACGGATCGACCAAGAGCTCGCGGATCGATCAAAGACCCACGGACCGCACCACGCGCCAGCCGGCCGCCACGTGACACGCGAAGCACATAGCCCAGGCTAGTTGCGTGGTGCGTCGCGATTGAGATTGAGCGCAGACGCCTCGCCCCCTCCCGAAGCTCTCGGTGCCACGCGGTGGGCGTCACGCGTCGCGAACAGCTCTACGGGGTTCCGTAAGTCCCTTCATGGGGGGGCACCGTCGCCCCGCGCCCTGGAACATATTTATACACAACAAGGAAGGAGGCCCCCGCGGAACGCTGCGTGCGAGCGTCCTACCCACCTGAGGAGCGTGACGCGCGAAAGAATACGAGCGCGACGCGTGACGGCGTGACACGCGAAAGGGTATTAGCGTGGCGCGTGACGGCGTGACGCGCTTCGGAGCGTGACGCGCGTGGGAGTCTTAGCGAAGCGCGGGAGGGTGTGGCGCCCTTTCATTCTTAGGAGCCGAGCGCGACTCGCGTAAGATTATTCGCGAGGCGCGTGAGGTTGTGACGGCGGGGCGCGGGGCGCGTGGCGTGGGAGGGGTGTGTCAAAGAGTGCGCGACTTAGAACGTGGCGCGCCGCCGCGGCCGACGTGTCTGTGGCGGCGTCACGCGTGGGGGCGTGGCGTGGGTGCGTGTGGCGTCGTCCAGTGTGACGGCGTGACTTAAGACGGCGCGGCGCGTGACAGCGTGACGTGTGACGGTGGGAGGGTCTGGCGGTGCGTTGTCTGTGTCGTGGTGGGTGAGGTGCCTGCAGGGGTGTTGCGAGCATGTGCCTCGCATCCCATGGATGGGCCGCCAGGCATTGCCTTGCAGGTGGCTTGTTTTGTTGCCGTGGTTGGGTCGTTGTCTCATCCCCGCGCCGCCGCCATTCTCTGGCGCCTTCGTCTCGTGGTCGTGTCTTTGTCGTCAGGTCTCCCGCAAGTGCTCCGCAGGTCATCAGGCCGCCCGCAGATGTTCCAGCTCCTCCGATCGTCAGGTCTCCCCCGGATGCTCCTCAGATCGTCAGGTCTCCCCCGGATGTTCCTCCGATCGTTAAGTCTCCCAGGAATGCTCCTCAGATTCGTTGATCGCCAAGCCTCCCCCGGATGTTCCTCAGGTCGTCAGGGCTCCCACGGGCACGGATGGCCCTCCGGTCGTCAAGCTTCCCTCGAATGTTCCCCCAGATTGTCAGCCTGACAGTCAGGCCTCCCACGGAGGCTCATCCGATCGCCAGGTCTCCCCCCGGTGTCCCTCCGATCGTCAAGCGCCCCCCGGATGTTCCTCCGATCAGGTCACCAGCGTCCCGCGGATGTCCCTCAGGACATCAGGCCGCCCGCGGGTGTTCCTCCGATCGTCAGGCGTCACCCGGATCATGGCGCTCAAGTCGTCAGGCCTCCCGCGGATGTTCCTGAGGTCATCAAGCCTCCCGCGGCTGTTCTTCCTCATATCGCCAAGCCCCCCACAGATGTGCCCCAGACCGTCAAGCCTCCCGCGGATGTTCCTCAGGTCATCGCGCCTCTCGCGGATGTTCCTCAGATCGTCAGGTCTCCCACAGAAACGGACTCCCCTCAGATCGTCAGGCCTCCAAGGGATGTCCCGACCGTCAGGCGCGCGGCGTCACACTCAAAAGCGTGACACGTCACGCATGGGAGCAAGCACGCGCCTGGCTTCCCCCTTTCTTATAGCAGGGGGGGAAGAGGGGAAAGCTCAAGTCTGCGGTCTATAAGACGCTCGCCAGGTCTTACGGGAGGCCCCCCCGTGGATGCAGCGGCGGCGGCGTCCACGCGCCCTTTCTTCCGCTCTGGTGACATGTAAAGACCCCCGGGGGCGAAAGCCTGAAAAGGCGACGCCGGAGTCCTCTGGCGTCTTTTCGCGTGTACCCCACGGGCATCCCGACTCTTGGACCCTATCAGAGTGACAGCATCCGGGGGAAGAAAGCCGCCGAAGGCAGCGGCAGTCGCGAGGCCTGGCCCCTTTGGCGCTCCTCGCCCCACTTGGCGGCAGCGTCAGCCACCACCAAACACCCAGAGGACCAAAGGCGAAGAAGAGGAGGGGCAAGGCGTGCCCGCCTGGGTTCTGTCGCTTACATCCAGCGCGGCGGATGGAATCAAGCCCCCTGCCGCCTGCGGACCTCAGAGGCCCCCCACCTCCCAAGGGGCTCCCCCAGTGAGGAGCCCGCACCCAAAAGGCCTGCAGCGTACACGCAACACAGCAAGGGGGTCCAACCTTGCCACCTTTGTCGGGTCTGTGGGGTACACGCAATACAGCAAGGGGGCCCAGCCCTGCCACCTTCGGAAGCCTTCAGCCCCCCGCCCTCGGCGCTTCAACAGCCTCAGGGATGGGAGCTCTGTAAGGTGCAAGCAAGAAGCAGGAAGGGGTCGGGGCTGGGCGCTTGGGGGCCTTCCCGCCCGGCAGTCCCTCGGGCAAAAGGGTCCGGGGCTGGAGGCCCCCCGTAAGGGTCAGCGAACGCCCCCCGCGGTCCTACATAAGACGTCACGCCTCCCCCCCCGGTATACTACTGAGAGCCTGCCCCATCTTGGTTCGAGCGTCACGCGAAAAGAGTGACGCTTTTGCTGCATGTACCCTACAGACTTACTAGAGACAAGGCGCCACGCTTTTCGCGTGACGCTCAAGAAAGGGCCTGCAGATGAAGGCCCCACCTTCAGATCAGGAGGACCCTCAGGCCCTCAGCTGAAGTCTTTCCGATCATGAGGATCCTCAAGGGAGAACCCTCACTCTGCAAGGGCCCTCAGATGAAGCTCCTCCGATCATGAGAGAGGACCGTCAAGGGAGGACCCTCACTCTGAGAGGGCTCCCAGATGAAGTCCCTCCGATCATGAGGACCCTCAAGGGAGGGCCCTCAATCTGAATACAGGACACCGGGCCGAAGCCTTTCCGATCATGAGGACCCTCAAGGGAGAACCCTCACTCTGAGAGGGCCCTCAGATGTTGAAGCCCCTCCGATCATGAGAGAGGACCCTCAAGCTCAAGGGAGAACCCTCACTCTGAGAGGGCTCCCAGGTGAAGTCCTTCCGATCGTGAGGACCTTCAAGGGAGAGCCCTCAATCTGAATAGAGGACACCCAGCTGAAGCCTTTCCGATCATGCGGACCCTCAAGGGAGAGCCCTCACTCTGAGAGAGCCCTCAGATGAAGCTTTTCCGATCATGAGAGAGGACCCTCAAGGCAGAGCCCTCACTCTGAGAGGGCTCGCAGATGAAGTCCTTCCGATCATGAGGACCCTCGAGGGAGAGCCCTCAACCTGACTAGAGGACACCCAGCGGAAGTCTTTCCGATCATGAGGACCCTCGAGGGAGAACCCTCACTCTGAAAGGGCCCTCGGATGAAGCTCTTCCGATCATGAGGGAGGACCTCCAAAGGAGAGCCCTCACTCTGAATAGAGGGCACTCAGATGACCCTCAAGGGAGAGCCCAGCCTCACTCTGAGAGGGCCCTCAGATGAAGCTCCTCCGATCATGAGCGAGGACCTTCAAGGGAGAGCCCTCACTCTGAGAGGGCCCTCCGATGAAGCTCCTCCGAGCACGAGAGAGGACCTTCAAGGGAGAACCCTCACTCTGAGAGGGCACTCAGATGAAGTCTCTTCGATCATGAGATGAGAGAGGACCCTCAAGGGGGGGCCCCCACTCTGAATAGAGGGCACCGAGGTGAAGTCCTTCCGATCATGAGGACCCGCAAGGGAGAGCCCTCCATCTGAATAGAGGGCACCCAGCTGAAGTCTTTCCGATCATGAGGACCCTCAAGGGAGAACCCTCACGCTGAGAGGGCTCTCAGATTCCCACGCGTCACGCTAGCGCGCACATCGTCAAAAAGCACCTAGGCCCCATGTGATTCCTATGCGTCACGCTAGAGCACGCATGGCGAAAAAACACCCAATCACCCCGAGACTCATACGCGTCACCCTAGAGGCGTGACACGTGACGATCCGCGGGGGGCGTTCGCTGAATCTTACGGAGGCCCCCCCTCGAAAAATTAGATCGAGAGAGCCCTTCATCCCGGAGCCCGGGAGCGTATATCTATCTATATATCTCGAACGAAGACACACACCGGGGGCGCGTCGACGAAGCTGCAGGCGCACACCACCCGAGAGGCCTTGGGTCTAGTCGGCACAATTGGCGCCAGATGTCACCCGCAAGCCGCGTAAGGCCGGCACGGATTACTGGCCGATCTAAGCAGGGGAGGCAGGGCGCATGGCTCGCCGCGGCCTCGAGTAGGTTCCCGGTAAACTCAGGCGGCCCCCTCTGCTCGCCGTTGTTCAATGAAGCCAGGCCACCTTCACAAAGACGCGGCCCGGGCCACTTTGTGGTCGGGTCCAGCTCCAGCTGGGACGCCTGTGATGTGTGTACTGTAGGCCTCTAATTTTTCTGAAGGCTGCCCCCCCATGGTGGTGCGTGCGTGTCGCTCGCTAACTGAGATGAGGGTAGCCTTTCAAAAGTGCCTCCCCTCTTGCAGTCATTTCTAGCTCGGTTACTTCGAGCTTACGAGTAAAGGCCTATGATTTCCGTGAAAAACATTTGCATCACTCTCGCCTCTATGTAACTATCTACGCTTTCCGCGTCTCTGTGCTTTCTATCTATACTTTGTATGATCTATGCTTCTATCTATGCTTTGTATGATCTATGCTTTCTTGTATGCATTACTTCTATACAGGGAAGCATCTCTATGATCTCTACTAGAAATCAGGAGCAGCTGCTCGCTAGAAGCAAGACAGCTACTATATTTCTAGCATTTCTTTCCATGAAGGAGAGCCGTACTAGCAGCGGCGATTATCAGCTCCTTGCCTTTGCCCTTGCCCTTGTAATTCCACAATTTAGAGGAAAAAAGCCATAAGACCCTTTTAACTACAGTTTTTGTTGTCCTCTAGTACGCAGATGCGCTTGTCACGTCATGGATGCTCTTCTCAAGCTCTTCGTATCTCTCTATGAGGCCTTTCATTAGCTATTCTACCAAGCAGTGACGAATTCAAGAGCTCCGCAAGAGCAGTCAACTGAGCTGCCAAGGCGAATTCTTTGCATCATCATCAGTGCGTCTCAGATGGTCGCTCTCAATCATCAGCGAGATGAAGCAGCTCCTGACTTACAATAACATGTAACAACCCTTCGAGAAGAAGAGCAGCGAAAAAAGTAGAGCCAACTTTCCTTCCAAGATCCTGGCACTAGGGATAAGAGTTCAGGCTCCTCAAAAGCCAACGAAGATTATATATAATAAGATCAGTTAACGCGGCTAGGTACAACGTTTCATAGTGTTTATAAGTACATCCCACTACAGGGGGCTACACTCTCGTAAATTTAGCCAGCACGCTGTCTGCCTCTTCCTCTGCTTCAGCTTTGTCAATCACCACCATCCTATCAGCATCTTGCTTCATTCCCCACACGAGCCTCAAACGGATAAGCGCGTCCCCCGCTTCTATTAGAAGAACACACATCCGGCCCATGACTCTAAAATCCATGATAGTAGCAGTGGGTGAAAACCCACGCACGGGGCACCTCACACGTTCTTATTCCTTCCCTCTCCCCCCACCCCGAAAAGCAACGGGGGAGAGGGAAGGAATAAGAACGGCCAACTTCTATTAAAAGAAGACACATCCCCCCCGAGTTCTAGTAGAAGATATGTCACGTCATGGCGCCTCGTTTATACCATTCCGCATCTACATGTGAGGAAAATTCAGTGAAGTAGCTAGTAGCGAAGGAAATACTAACTTGACCAAAAAAAAAAATGGGGGGTCACTGTTCAAGCCTGTGTACCTCTGAAGGAGATACGAACCTTCTTAACCTTCTTAAACCTTAGACACTCGAAAAAAATAGAGACTATACTTGTTCACCTAAGATACCAATTAGATCGTTCACAACCTTCCGAGACAGAGGATCCTTCATATCCTTCATTACCTTCGATACTAAAAATGCTTCATAATTTTCCGAAGGCCTCACTCTCGTTGAGATCGCATTCTACGGCGGGGTCTGCCGCTTTTGCGTCCGCTAGTTCCCGACTTTGTGCTACAGCGTTCTGGATAATTTTCAGCGCCTCGTACGATTTCGACACCGTGTTGCATATTAGAGGAATATGTTCTGTTTCTGTTGTTTCCTAAAACTGACAGTTTCAACACAACAAGAACAGAGTCTGCTTCTTCTGATCAAACAAGAACAAAAGTTTTTCTTCTGATAAGAGAATGAAGATAAAAAAAAAACAATTGTTGAGCATAAGCCTCCAGAGTAAAAGAAACACATTCTCTATGACAAATGAGTGAACGAGCAGCAGTCTCTTTGTTTATATCATGAGGACGAGCAGGGATGCACTTTTCCATTCCATGAAGTATAAAACTAGCTAGCATATTGCCAGCCACTAAACGGTGCACCCAGCAAGGTTTTCCCTGTCTTTACAACACGAGCACCCGTCTTCTCTATGACCTACAATTTGTGTACAACGTGAACGCGAAGGCCTCTCCTCTATTTGAAGTCGTTTTTGGCCCACGTGAGCGCGAGCGTGAAGACGTTTTTAGTTAGGATCGTACTTTTTCCTTTTTTCCTCTTCATTATCAAATCGTCTACCTCTCCTTAGATGAGATCATAGCTTTTCGTCATCAAGGCAAACAAAGTGCTACGTGTTAAAACGTCTCTCACACCCCTGTGTCGTGCGGGTACTAGTTCTTCTTGATTGGAGACAAAGGCCACGAGGATTGCTAGTACTGCTACTCGTGGATCTTTATCTACTTTAGTCCCCCAATCCTAGCCAGCCTGTGATTAAAGTAAATTCAAATCCTCATCTTCTCTCGTCATCCCAGAACACACAGGCAGCCACAAGTAGCAATCATTCAACCTTATATTTTATTCATTTCCCAAAGCACCTAAGTCTTATGGCTCGAAACATTTCGAGCTGTCCCCAAGAGGCAACTCTTGGACAAGGGCAGCAGACAGGGATACAACTCCCTGCTAACTGACCTTCACAAAGGAGGTCCTTATCACCACCTAAGTACAACAGTAAGATCTTAATACTTTATAACATCAGGACCCGCAATTACTTCATAAGTGTGGTCTTCAATTACTTTGCAAAAAGGGGGCAGCTCTAGGAAGCTTCGGGAAAGGGCACCATCTGCAGAAGCAGTCCACTCGACGAGTAGGAAAGGCGACCCCGCTGTCCCTTAATCTTTAACAATAAACTGAGATAGTTGATTATATATATCATGGCATTTGTCCCAAGGGGCGGCGGAGTCACGCAACGTCCTCCACATTGTGTTGGGATACTTCTCTTTTAGTAGATCCAACTTGCGCAGTCTTGTCGGATCATCAGCGGGATTGCGGTGGGTGGATATCCAGGCGTAGTAGGCTTGGAGATCACGATCTTGGGCCTGTTGCAGTATTTTCGTGACGACAGCCTGGGTGATGTTGTTCTTGGCTGATCCTTTTACGAGATTGTAAACATCGCCAAGGTTGTCGATGTGATGAGTCACGTCTCTGTGCTGCAACTTGATTCCAAAGTGGTTGCGCAGGCAATCGACTGCGATCATCTCCCACAGCGCAGTCTCCGGTTGAAGTTGAGCGACCCAGCGCGGGATGGACAGAGTGTGCATTTGTATCCCTTCATCATCAACGACAGCTCCAACCGTAACTCTCAAGGCGGAGATGTCAACGCGCTCTGTTGACGTCTTTGGGCAGAGGGCCGCGCCCCATCGCAATGGCGCGGCATCAGAATAGACGCGAACTCTTTTTGCGTTGCATCGTTCCGGCTTGATGTCTAACTCCTTCAAGGTGCGCAACAACGTGCGGCAGCAAATTCACACGCTCTTCAACGATTTCCGAGCTGCTCGCTTTTTGATGTTCGTACTGAAAAACGGATGGTCGCGCCAAGGGTCAAGGGCCCGAACAACTCCGGCTATGGTTCGGGAAAGAGAAGCACAGTAGCGAACCAAGCCACGCATTCTCAACAGAACGGCACGCTTCGCGGCGAAGTTTTCTAGCGTGCCAATGAGCTCGCTGATCTCCTCGCAGCATCTTGTTCCTTTTTCTTTTGGGATGGAAGCCAAAAATGGCGACGAGTCTACCGGCCGAAGGTATGACACACCTAGAACTGTCCATGATGCTTGTACAAGATGGGGCTCTTGTTTATGTTCGCTCTGGGCCCATCCTCCCAGCGCGAAATAAAGGCCGAGGAGGGCTTCACTTGAGGCCAGTGCACCTTTGCGCTCGAGGAGCTGAACGCCATCAATGTACATAGGTGCTATTAAGTTTAATAGCACCACCAAAGCTAGCATATGACATTCAGATATCCCGACGCAGTCGTAAACGGACCCCAAGGATCCGAAGAGCGCCACTATGGACTTGTAGACCTTCCAATCTCTTTTACCAGTGGTAGCAACTCGCGGCACTGGAACCGCTACGACGTTTCTCTCTGGGCAATCCACGCAGCACTGATGATAATAGCCGGATAGGTCTCCTGTGGACATCGCAGGCCTGAAGGAGAAGTCTGGCTGAACATCTTCTTCATCATCTTCAACCTGCGAGTTTTGCGATTGCTTGGCCTCGCTCCTGATGGTTTCTAGATGTACTAGAAACTGTTTTTCTTGGAATACATCAGCTACAACATCTCTACGCACTTGCCAGAAGGGGACAGAGAAGGTGGCCCGATCTTTCATCAAAAGAGAAACGCGCTCCATCGTATGCCTCGAACCTAACAAACGCATCCGTTCCTGTGCCGCCATCTCTCGACTTTGCATACGAAAATCGACGCACATCCTCGTCTTGTTCTTTTGTTCCACGGGAAAAGCGACAACCGGCGGATACGGCAAGTCACCGGCGATCTCCGACCAGTGTCCAACAGCAACATGTGTTTGCGCCTGTCTCCAAATTTCCGCGACCTGTCTCTCTGAGGCCCAGGCCTCTTTGGGAAGCTGCTGCTTTTTCACTGCCGGAGCGGGCTGGCGGAGATCGTTTTCTGGAAGAACTTGCTCCCAGAGTCCACATCTGGGTATGGCTCCTGACGTAGTCACGCCAGTGCGCAACTTTGCGGCGCATTGCATCACCAATTTCTTGCGCTCTTCGTCAAAATTTCCCTCAACTCCTATAGAGAGCTCTACACACTTTTCAAAGAGCGCGATCTGCTTACCATCACTTCTGTACTTTGCGCTCATCCAGGGTGGCATCGCCTGGAGGAGCGCCTCATTCTCCTGTTGGGTGGCTGCATGGATGGACAGGAGACGCGACGCAGCCAACCTGTTGAACGCTATGATTTCATCGCTTGACGTATTCTTTTTATGAGTGACGATTTGTTTGATAAAGTTTGGGACTAACTCTCTACGCCCGAAGGCTAGACGCTCACAGTCACGATCACACTCACGACTCACGAGTTCTTCCGTCATCTTCCCTGCTGGTATTCGATTAGTGCCTGTAAATTTTTGGTGTAGATGTTAATCGTTTGAGGGGGAAGCAATGGCGATCTACGAGGTTATAAAGGTACATAATTGCTTTCCCGAACTGTTGTCTATTACGATCTTTCTTAGATCGATAGTTTTGATTAGAATCAGACGAGTTTAAGATTTTAATTCTAATCAAATCGGCGAAGATCGGCGCTTTAGCCAACGTAAATCGAACTCGAACGGTAATCGCAGCAAACTGTGCCCGCTATGTTATGTTTTGGGTTTTGTGTGAAGATGCACTGACTGTTTTACAAATGGCCAGCACTAGCACGTAATGCTACCGCATTCGCCTCTGTTGAAGGTTCTTGAGATTCAGTGTTTTAATGAGTAGCGCAGTAGCTGGCCTTCAAATGAGGCTTAAACGAGATAGGAAAGTAACGCGAGACTAGTCTTACTTAAGTAGTGTAGAACGGTTTCTAGTTACAGAAACAAATAGATTTATATCATGGTATAAAAATAACGACCAAAGCAAGTTAAACTATTATGCTGAGAAATTTATTTAGCGCCGGCTTGCGTTGACGTCATTCATTACAATGGTCTTCACAGCATTCGTAAATGTTTGAAAGATAAATAAATCTAGAAGCCAGAGGCGTGTCAAGCTTTGACGCTATCACTCTGAAGCTATGGCTTTTGTTCACTCAACTTCAAGCACTGATCGGGCGAGAGTCCAAGCTTTCTGAGATCGTTTACGAACGTGATACGCTCGAGCGTGCCATGGTGGGCAAACTTGCACTCCTTACGAGTGCAAGTGCCTTTTAGCCAATCATGGCATAAAAGCGGCTCTCTTTGTGTGTTGGTGCGCTTGGCGCCCGGGCCTTGATCCGGACCACCGGGGGGGGGACGCTTCAGCGTTGCTTGACTTTGAAGCCGACCGATGGCACTTTGCTGGGCTTGGATCTTGGCCTCGAATTTAGCCACCACCGAACCCAAGCGCTCTTCAAACTTCATCTCCAAGTGTTTCTTTGCCTTTGTAATATCCAGCTGCTTGACCATGGCGCTCTTGACTGTGACGGTGAGGGCGACACGACAACGATGAACATATGGATTCGCCACACCGTCCGGCGCTGTGGCCATAGAACTCAACGCTTTGCCGGCCTCGTCCCAGAAAATCTCGAAGGCGCCGGCTTTTCCGATTCCGGTGTCTTCGTCGTTGGTTAGGGCTCCATAGGCCATCTTGGAAATTTGTCCGGAAAGTTGCTTTACTTGGTCGTCGTTCAAGATGCCCAAGGCGCGCACGACAGCCAAATACGTATAGGGCGTCGTCTCGTTCTTTGCTTTGCTGACGCTGGCGCGCAGGATCTCGCCCTCAAGCAAACGTCTGTACTTCTGCGCCACGCCGAAGCTCGGTTTGAATTCTTCATCGACGTCTGCGAGCGCGAGACTATGCGCATCCCGCTGTTGATTGTTGGGGATGGCGATGCCGGCGTCGCCTAACATCCCCATGAACTGGCGCAGCAAGGCGTTGGCCATCTTGAGTTTTTGGTTTGTTACGAAGTGAAAAAGTTTACGAGGAAACGAGAATCCACCGAGGAATTCGATCGTTTGAGAGCCCTGCTTTTTCGTGTTTACATAATTAACATTACTTAGGACGCGTAGCGTCCTTTTGCATTACATCACGAATCACGACGGATTTAGTTAGATCAGCATCAAAGTCCATTTTTGGCTTTTTGGGAGAGGGGATGGTGGGTGGGGTCAGTTTTTGATATTTTTATTCTTTTTCTCTCCAGAACTCTCGTCAAAGAAATTTTAAATTCGCTCTGGATCTCTCTTGAACTCTCATCTTCTTCTACTAATCGCCAGCGAGGACAAGTAGGGACCGGAACTGGCGCCACGCAGAGAAGATCGAAGTGACCTTGAGATTGCAATTTTGGCTGATAAGAGAAGTCACACTTGTGAAGGATGCAAATATAGATTGACTGATCCTGATTTCGATTTAGCCCTTACTTTTTCTTCTTGACATTTTTACTATTTTCTGAAGATAGTGAAATAACTTCACAGGAGACTAGAGGCCACTCCAGCGCCTCTGTCTCCTTTGCGTTGATTTCGAATCTGTTCTCATATCTGTTCATTGTAGTATCGTTTTGCCATCTTCCCAGTTTCAGGGCGGTAGAACGAGGTAAGCCGCCGCATCGCGCGACTTGGGCGCCACCAATGCGGAACCCGTGTAAGCCCCAGCGCCTTCTGGTTTTGTTGATCTTCGGGCTTTCGATTCCTGCGAGATCAAGGGCGTGATTGAAGATCTTGCGGTGTGTCGACGCTGGGGCGCTTGCGAATGATTGGAAAATTTTGTCCGAACAGCAGTGAACTACACATAATTTGCGATCGATCTTTATCGCTTTCGAGAACTCGCAGCTGCACCTAAAATTTGCGTGGAAGCCTCGACTTCCAGTATCGGTTTTGCTTCCGGTGAGGAAAAAGAGCGCGGTCTCCGAATTAACAGTTGAAGACGCGTTCTTCTTGGTCGAGATCTTGCGCTTTTTGGTTGTGATCTCGGGAGCGTTGACCTCTCTGGTGAGATCTTTCAACTCATCTGGTCGCGAGAGAAGAAACCACGGACAGACAGCAAAATCGAGGTAGTCCTTAATGTCAAAGACCTTGCCGGCGAGAGTGAGGGAGCCAGTGATCTTGTCCATGTCTTTCCAAAACTTGATCAGCGCTGGTTCCTCTTGACTTGGATTCGATTGCTGTTGCAAGATCTTGAAGCACTTTAAGAGTTCCGCCTTCAATTCTGGACCCCATGCAGACCCTCCACCTTTTGCAGCTTTCAAGTTCGCTAAATATATGTGTGCGCTGTTGGAGAAGCTGCTGCACTTACGAAATATAGCAGCAACCACGTTAAGTTTTTCTTTATCTAGAGGCGCATCGGGGTCCCATCCTAACTTCTCGCAGATCGGATGGAAGTATTTGGCCAGCACAAAATTCTGAGACGTCTTGGATCTCGGCTTGTGCTGAAGGTTGTTGAACTCTGCTATTAAGTGGTCCTTCGCTTCGCCATGGCATCCGATAACGTGCGCAGCGCTGATTCGAAACTGACTTTATCGGAACTAGAACCCAGCTTCACTTTCTCCTTTTTGATTTCCCTGCTAAAAGATCTAGCAGAAGCTGAAGCAGAACTAGACGAAGAGATGGACGCGGCGGTCTTCTCCTTGGCAACGAGTGCAGATCTTGTTTTCGAACTCGGAGCCGTATTTGTTGCCAGGGCTGCCCTCGAGATCGCGTTGCGGTTTGCGGTAAGGATCTCGATATCATCGTCCTCCATCTTTCGGGTGGGGGGGTGGGCGAAAAATCACAATCACAATCACAATCACAATCACACTAACATCACTTAACATCACGCCGCATACCCTTACCCTAACTATTCGAGGAACAGTTGATAATTTGAATTCTCATTAGTCCCCCAATCCTAGCCAGCCTGTGATTAAAGTAAATTCAAATCCTCGTCTTCTCTCGTCATCCCAGAACACACAGGCAGCCACAAGTAGCAATCATGCAACCTTATATTTCATTCATTTCCCAAAGCACCTAAGTCTTATGGCTCGAAACGTTTCGAGCTGTCCCCAAGAGGCAACTCTTGGACAAGGGCAGCAGACAGGGATGCAGCTCCCTGCTAACTGACCTTCACAAAGGAGGTCCTTATCACCACCTAAGTACAACAGTAAGTCTTACTACTTTATAACATCAGGACCCGCAATTACTTCCACTAGCCTCCAACAGGGAAACGAAGACCCTGCAACGGGGACGGAGTGTGATCTAGTGTTATGATCTTAGCTGGGGGTGGTGCACATGCTAACGTGCTCTATGCGAAAAATCACAATCACAATCACAATCACACTAACATCACGTCGCATGCCCTTACCTTAACTATTCGAGGAACAGTTGATAATTTGAATTCTCATAGAATAAACAGCTCAAAAAATGCAACTTCAACCCAAATCAATGCTACAAATTGCGAAGTTGTACAATTTTTTCGCCTTAACTCCGCCAAATTCCTTCCAGCTTTACCCGGCTTTATCCGTTCCATGAAATGATGACGATAATGAGGATAAGGATGACGACGATGGAGTGCCAAAGGACATCCACCAACCGCCCAGCAACTACCTTCCGATAGTGCTGACGATAGTGTACGCTAACAAAATTTTTTTCTAAGGAAAAGACAATGAAGCATCAAATTGCCATGGAGTGGGTGTTCAAATAAACTTGGTTTGCAGCTTCTATCAACATACCTACGTATATGATAATATGTGAGATCCAGATCCTGTGTCGAGTAAAAACAACTACTTACAAATGAGCGCTATTTACAGTGTCAGTGAGTCTTCAAGAAATAAACGTTCCTGCTTCTATTACGAATGAAGACACCCACTCCAGGGGCGGTATAGAGGAACACTGCCCTACTACTTCCGTTTGCAGGCCATAAAGTTGTTGGCGTATAACTTCAGGATCGCTATTGCGTTCAAAACGTCCTGCTCTTCGTTTTTGAACTTGACCACGTTATTGAACACCTCGTCGTTTGCTTCCAAAATTGTCTGTATAAGTAGGAGTCTTGTTTATCAGGGGTCTGCTTAATTGATGCCGCTGATGGTGATGCTGATGATAATGATGGCTGTGCCTATGTATACTAGAGGTGGTTGTTGTCAATTTCAGTGAGAAACTAGGAGTTTCAACATTTAACGGAGTTGTAGCACTTCTATACTTTAGTAGATAACGCGTTGGAGCTGATGCTGAATTCTTCTGCCGGACGACATGGAAATGGTTTTGATCTTTCAACTTTGAGTTTTGATTTTGATTTTAAATTTTGACTTTTGGTTTTGAGTTTCCGTTTTGATTTTGAATTTTGCGCTTTGCATTTGAGTTTTGTGCCTTGCTTTTGAATTTTGAAAATAAACACACGCGCCGACAACACTGCAAAAACGCGCAGCGCTTTGCTGTGCTCATGAGTTGCGAAAGCTAGAGCATTAATTCTGAAAGTTAGGCCATGAATTCTGAAAGCCTGCCAGAACATGAATCAATTTTGCAAGTTTGTTTGGGCATGAATTGCGAAAGTAAGGACATGAATTTTGCAAGTTTAGTTAGGCAAGGCGCGACCTTTGGAAGTAACACGCATAAGGCATGAATTTTGAAAGTTAGGCCATGACCTTTGACGGCTAGGATATGAATTCTGAGAGCAAAGCCATGGAGAGAATTTTGAAAGTGGTCCGCTGCTTATGAACGCAGACGCCGTGCGGCTTGAGAAACTGGCTCGCTTTGTCTGTGAATCCTTAAAATGTAGCCCCGACCGGCTTCATTTGAAACATGTAAAACGCACGAGAACCCATGCACGCTGTTCCTGTTCAATCATGTGGCTGGTCTCAGTGGCTCGCCTTCTTGCTCTTGTTCTTCTGTTGTCCTGATCTCGATCAAGGTCACCCGGCTGGCCTTCGTGCTTTTTATTATTTTCATGAGCATGAGACCCATAGAAATGGAACAGCATAAGAATGAGGAAGATCATGGCCTTCACATTCGTGAACTTTAGAACTTCAAGAATTTCGGGAACTTCTGACCCTATCAGAAAGCTAAGGCGTGACCCTTGCAAGCTAGGGCCTGAACTTTGAAAGTTAAGGCATGAGTTTGGAAATTCAGGACATGAACCGTGAAAGCCCAGGCAAGACCCATGATAGAAAATGCATTGTGAAGGCGAGGCAATTAACTCCGAAAGTTTAGGTATAAATTTTGACAGTTAGCATAAGGCATGAACTGTAAAGCCCAGGGCATGAGTTGCGAAAGTGAGGACATGACTCTTGAAAGCTAAGCTGCGAATTTTGAAAGTTAGGACGTGGGCCTTGAAAGTAACTTACGGAGTGGCTGAATTTTGAAAGCTAACCAAGGCGCCCGCGCACTTTGGCGCCCCGCTATCATCTTCCCCCAGTCCTGTGCCCACGCAGTTGAGCGCGAGCCTTGGAAGTTACCTAGAAGGCCCGCTCTGGCGCCGCGCTCTCCTCTCACCCCAGCCCTGGGCCCACGCTGCCCGATGGTGCGAGGCGGCAGCCTGATGCCGTCGCGTCGCTTGCTTGCGTGCGGTCACGTCACTTGCTTGCAGCGCCGCGCCCCCTGGGCAACGCCCTACACCTCTGAGCCCCCGCGGACCGGCGTGGTCTCTGAATGCCTGAAACCCCAGCGAACGAAGCCCCACGGCATGGCATGTGCCTGCACATGCCTTCCGCTTGAAGATAGGCCCGCAGGGGCTTCCAGCCCTACCTGGCGCCCGCATATCCTCCGGAGGCAAACGGCGCGCACTCATAAGGCCCGCCGCCCCGCTGCAGCGCGCCCGATGACGCCCCGCCAGGGCTGACACTTCGCAGGCTTCTCCTCAATCGTAGCGCCTGTCCATGCATGTCCGTCCGTGTGTTTTGTCTAGCAAGTGTTTCTGGGTCCCATCGTATCCTTCCCCTGGGGAACCACACCAGGGCGCCAGTTCTAAAGGCATGGCTTTGCGCTGTTTTCTAATGAAAGTCCGCACTTTTTACCTCAGGAGGCCTTGTTCGAACGAGAAAGATTCGGCACCTCTCTTGACTTACACATCAAGAAATAGAAGGCTAAGTCTAAGTACCTCAGGCTTTGTGCGATCGAAGGTTGGACTCTTCTCTTTCCATGGGATTTCTTCACCCGGCCGCGGGATCATCTCAAGCTGGTCACTAGTCTTAAAAGGTCACTACCTAGTCATGGGTCACCGACTCTGAACGGGAAGGGCCCCACACCTCTCCACTTGTTTTTCCAGTATTTACAGAGAACTAAATGAGACAGTAGACAACTAGATGAGACAATAGAGATCGTTTTTCCCTGTTCTTTCACGGGGGCTTTCTTCGGTTTCAGTGCTGACCAACTTCCATGACGGACCAATGAAAGCTGAGCCTTAATAATCGTCTGCAGGATCGAGTCGAGCTTTTGTCTCTGTTAGAAGTGCTAGTACAAGAGGCGAAACAATTCTTGTGGTGGAACCCTAACCAAGGATATTTGGATAGGTTAGGTTATCTTATGGACCCTTCACATCGAGCACCGCCGGCACCTACTCGGCCCCGAGGATGATGGGCGACCTGAGTGAAGCCGACAAGCACCCAGGCGGGTGACCTGAGTAAAGTCGCTGCTTGATATTTTTGGGTCATAAACGTGCTTGCCCCAGTCTCTTTTCTGTTTATCGCAAAACCGCTTCGCAAGCCTTAGAGCAGTCTCCGAGAACAATGCGCTACGCCTCTCGCGTGTATAGTCTTCTCTAGGATGAAGTGAGTAGTCCTAAGAAAATAGACGTTCTGACATAGAAAATAAGGCTAACCCTATGTATTGTTCTACTTTTCAGTACTATTTACGGGACCGCGTCTACTTTCCAGTGTTCTGAACCTATGAGCCCTCGTGTGCTTATGCATCCACGACGCCTTTCACATTTCTCTTATTTACTTTTTTCAAGTAGGTCTTGTACTCCCAATACTACTACGACTAATTTTGAGTGTTCTTAACGCATGGAGCTTCGCCCTTTTGTCTGCCTCTACCTTCTGCCGATCTGCCTCTTTCGCATCCGCTGCTTCCTTCAGCTTCTTCTGCTCATCCTCGTATTTTCTGACCTGTTTTGTTAGAGCTTCAAGCGATTCTCATTCACTTGTTCCCCCCATTTCTTCAGACTCCAGAGGCGACCCCAAGAAGGAAGCCACGAGAAATGATTCGTAGAAATGAAATATATTCAGCCTTAATTCTATCACATTTTCCATCCTCTCTATGATTTGCTCACGCTCCAGCTCTGCGATACACTGCGAAACGCTAAGAATTAGAAGAAGCTTGGTCATCAATACACGAGAGGTGCAGGAATTCCTTGAGAAGTTGTGTAGTTATATCATCACCCGTCTTCGTGGGTGGTCATATTCTACCACTGGAGAGACAAGATAGCTTCTAAACATTCATAGCTTCTAAACCGCGTGTTCCAGAAGTGTAACGAGTTCTTGTTCTTAACTGATCATTACTCCGTAGTACCAAGAACGGAAATTAACTCCTTCTGGTACTAGTAGTTCTAAGAACTCCGTTCATGAACTAGAGTCTAGTAAATGAAAATCTTCTATATGAAAACTCTCAAATTGATAAGCAGTGATAAGCACCTCTGATGGTGCGCATCTGATGATGCGCGTCTCGTACTTATCATATTGTCCTGATTAGACCCATCAAAAACTACCCCGTCCCCGCTACCGCTTTAGAGATGATCAACTACTAAACTACTAAACACTTCTTGAAGCAAGTGTAGTCGAAAGTTGATGCTGTCCATAGCCACCGCACAGGTGTTTGCGCACAAATCTAAATCACTGCAAGGCAAAGTTGAGACAGGTATGGAGGAAAGTGAGCGTGACCAAACTGAAACTAGTCAGATCTAGTTCAATCATGTGATTGTAAGAATAATCATAGTGAGACTGGTGATAGTGAGACTAGTGCTCCGATCTAATTATTATATATTTAGCATATGAGGAGGGCGCTCATGCTAGGCGACTCCGGACAGGCACTACTCGAGGAGCTCGCTGAGATTCCAACGAAGTATCGGCCTCCCGAGTTCTACGGCCAATCTCTTCACAGATTGCTCCTATCTTCTTTTAGTCATAACTCTCTCTGCTTACACGTTTGTTCGGCGAAGCTTTTGGTGCTTTTGATATTGGCTTTGAGTTGAGGGGAAATTTCTTCCCACGCTAGGCCCATCTCCTTAGCAAACGTTTTCGGTTGGGCTGCGTTACCTAGGTAGATGAGAAGGTAGAGAAGTAGATGAGACAATAGAGACAATTTAGAGAAGGTAGAGAAGTAGAAGAGACAATAGAGAAAGGAATAGAGTAAGTACGTGCATCAACCTTGTAAGTTCTCGCTTAGGAAGATTACTAAGTACATGCACAGTTGTATCTACTATCTAAGATCAAATTATTTAAACAATAGGATTCAAAACTACGTGTATCTTGTTGCTGCTTGGAAAACATGGCTCCAGCTTCAATCGCGTTCAATGTGGCATGTGAGTACGCTACGAGCCCACCGTAGCTGTCCCACGCGTTCGTGCTAGTCTCCAGCAACTTATGATCGTAGAGGGCCCTCGCCTCCTCTCGAAACAATTTCGCGGCTCCTTTCAATGCCTCTGCCTCATACATTAGAAAGTGGCGTCATGTCATGGCGCCTCTTTTGTAGCTATTGATGTGTACCTGTCAGGCCACCCAGTGCTGTAGCAACTCTGTTCTTGAAGAAAGAGTAGAAGAGGCACATCGTCGAGGTGCTGAATCGTAAGTACATTAGAAAAAGAAACTCCCAAAATTTTTGCTCCTCCTGTGCTCTCTCAGAGACTCCGTAGTTGTTATGCATAACTCTTCTAGGTTAGCAGCCCCCGGATCTGTAGCGCATTTTTCCTCCAATTTCTTGGCTGTCATTTTCAGCTCCTTGTTGAGCTTTGCTCCGTATTAGAAAAATTACGTGACTCAGATCACTTGTAATAATGCTGGTATTGGTAACTCTTGTAGTATTGAATACTATTCAGATCAGTTGCAGTATGCAGCTCAATAATAGTACATGCCCAGAAAGCGGGCCCATCATTCAAGGGCCCGCTGCGCTGAGCATAGGCTAACAACTAGACGGAATGCTCACTAAGATACAGAAAGACAAACGAAAGCAGCCTCCTAGCCTGCTCGCGGCAAAGGCTAGAAAAGCCGAGAAGCTGGCCCCCACTGTGGCGAGGCTGGTAAGGAGGCTACTGCCTTGGCCAACTTGCTTACTAGGGAGCCAATGGGCGCCAAGGCTGGCCCGTTGAGCGTCAAGAAGTCCATGAGAAGGCCACGCCTGGACATATGCACGCACAAAAGCTGGGCCCTTTTGAGTGTGATCATGTCCAGGAGAATTCTAAGGCACAGCATACCCATGGCAAAAGGCCGACACTGCGGCCCATCATGAGGCCCATGAGAAGGCCGCGCTTGGGCATATCTATGCGCAGAAGTTGGGCGCCAACCTTCAAACACGGAGACGCATTCGCCTGGCCTTCTCATGGACGTGATGACGCTCACCAAGGTCCAGCCCACCCTTCAGGCACGCAAATGCCCACGGCTATCACCCTCACAGGCGTCGACATCTTCAACGCTTTCAGATTTCCCGTGTTTTGCGGAGATGCATAGACGTGGCCTTTTCATGGACATGGTGACGCTCTCCAGGGTCGGCCCACCCTTCAGCGATGCAAGCCCTCGCAAGTATCTTCCTCAGAGACATCGACACCCTCGACGCCTTCAGCCTTCATGAGCAGAGACGCATAGGCCTGGCCTTCTCATGGGCGTGATGATGCTCGCCAGGGTCCACCCTTGAGATAAGCAAGGGCGCACGGCTATCATTTTCACAGCCATCGACATCCTCAGCGCCTTCTTTCAACTTTCACGCATAGAGGTGCATAAGCTTGGCCCCCTCATGGACGTGATGACGCTCACCAGGGTCCACCCTTCAGACAAGCAAGGGCGCAGAGCTAACCTTCTCCGAAGCATCGACATCCCCAACGCCTTCAGCTTTCAAGCGCGGAGCTGTAAAGCCGTCGCCTACTTATGGACATGATGACGCCCACCAGGGTCCACCCTTCAAGCGTGAGCATTTTGAGTGTCGTCATGTCTATGAGAATTCTAAGGAGAAGACCCGGGGGGCGTCGATGCCTGGAGGGAGGATAGGCCCGGGCCCCTCCATATCTGAAGGCCGGAGCCTCTTGGGCGTCATCGTGTCCATGAGAAGGGCAATCTTGGACACGCCCGCGCGCTCCTGTGGTCGATTGGTGTGCGCGGAAGGTAGTCGTGGAAGAGGAAAAAGCTAACTTTTTCCCAAGAACTTCAGCGGGGTCGCTTAGCTTCTTCCGCATTTGAATGACCTCCCTGAAGTTTTTGAAAAAAAAAGGCGCTGGGCGATAAGGGTAGCGGCTGGGAGTTTGTTGAGGCGATTCGCTAGGGGTGGGCGCGTAGTGTGTTGGGGGGGATCACGGTGGGGGCTGGCAATTTGGGCGACAAAGTAGACCACCGGCAAAAAACTCCAGGAAATCAAAGGACTGTCGGGCAGAACACGCGGGAGAGCTTTACTCGCTTGCGAGTCCTTGGGAATCCCATAAGGGAGGGTCTATTATTAGCCAGAGGCCATAGCAGCTTTTTCTTAAGGAGCTTCCTTACGGAAGGTTTTTTCTCTTAAGGAAAGTTAGAGTAACTTTTTGTAATAAAAATTCTTCCAGGCGAGCAGTTTCCTTAAGGGAGGCACTTAAAGGAGTCCCTTAAGGATTTCAGAAAAAATCGCTAACCCTATAAATACTAATACTCAGACAAGACTTGTGTACTGGAGGAGGTCTTCACTTGTTTCCTGGAGGAGGCGATTGTACTAGTATACGAGTCTTCACTTGTGTACTAGAGGAGGCAATTGCACAAGTATACGAGTCTTCACTTGTGTACAAGAAGAGGAAATTGCACTAGTATACGAGTCTTCACTTGTGTTCCATCAGTACATTTTTACATTTCCCAAGAATAGCACTATGCAGTAGCAAGACGAAACAGATTCAGTATCTACTTCTGCTGCTTCTACTCCTGTCGCTACAACGCTGCTCTTGCACTTCTGCTACTGTTGCTATGGTGTGTTATGAAGGGCCTCGGTTTTTCACTGATCAAGGACACGGCATAGCCTAGTACCTCTACTTCTGTTGTTACCATGTTTTAGCCATAAACGGGGTCTTGACCTCCTATCTTGCATTGCATTTTCGCCGTATCCACTTGCGCTTTCGCGTGTGTCGTAAATGCTTCCGAGGTAAGCGGCCACTTCCTCAGCGCATTTGGTTGGAATTAGAGAACCGATACGAAGAACCTGAAGCTCTTCATTCTCTTCCGAAACTACTAAAACTCGAGAAGAACTACTAAAGCTTTCGAACTACTGTCGGGAATGAAGAGCAAACTAGTAATAAAAAAGCTGTGAAGCTGCAGAGAAGTCAGTGCTTCAATCTGAACTACAGTGTACACCTATCACAACCGATGTATTTAGTACTAAAAATAAGGCGTCATGGAAGAAAAGGAGGAACTACTAAACCTAGCTATACTCCTTTAGGAACCCAAGAGAAACTACTTCCAGCCGAGTCTTCTATTAGAAGCAAAGGCGCTTACTGGGGACCCAATAAGAACCTCTACTGGTCTAGTACTCTCAGAAGGGGAAAAGTAGTACAGTCAGTTTCTTGCTGGTTATTCATCGGGGAGTATGCCTTATTATCATTGCAATTCAAAGACAGTCCGAACAAAAATAGTACTATGCATCCATTCTTAAATCACCTCGCTCACCCGTTGCTGAGCATCGCGTTCGAATCCGACCACGACTTCCGATAGCATGCTCTGGATCGTCTCGACCATGGGTATTCTTAGAGATTCCGTAGAAACAAAGCACTTGATATCTACTCTAGTCAATTGCTCATAGTTGATAATTGACTAATTGACTCCGCGGTCTAGAGAAGAAGCATTTTTGCTACAATAATTAACCTTGATTATTATCTTGACTTCTTAAATAGCCTGAGATATAAATAAAAATGCTACAGTTAATAGTCCAGGTATGGTGGCAGCGACTATTAGTTCCATTGGATGGAGGAACTACCCTCGGATAAATGTGGGAGTAACTTCTATTACAGGCTGAGGTAAAACAATGATTTTTCGGAAAAGTAGCTGAGTAGTCAGGTTCTTACTGCCAGTAAATGGCATGTGACAGCTTCGCGTTGCGGCCATTACTCGACTATCTAAGAATCCATATTGCATAGAAGCTCTAGCCGAGTAGCGTCTAGGATAAGATAGGAATTGGCTCACCTATAGAGACGGGAGCCCTCACGTGACTGAAACACAGTACTAGTTCTATGCAGGAGCCATAATTGTACGCCCAATTGTGCTAGTGGTCCGCGCGCATCCGTCTTACAAACCCTTTCGGGAACGACTTCCGAGAACGCCGAGTTCATGTTGAACAGGCCAAAGCCTCCCCACTCTTGGTTACGCATTAGATAAGACTGATTGATTGATTGATTGATGTGGATAGGAATTAGCGCACCTTCGTTTACGACTATAAAACTGCGCCTATTCATGAGGCCAAGGGGCTATGTGCATTCATTCACTCATGTGCCCCACCCTGGCAGCCTTTTCTCTTTTTTTGTTTCCTATGTCGACGACTTCCCGCACTACGAGCATTTAGTTACCCTACGGGCAGCCTGAAGCACGACGGCCAGGCACTACGCCCCTGCGAGGGAGGGTGGTTCAATAGCGACCCGATCTTTCTACAACAGAATGCTGTAACAAGCACAGCATCGCGCAGCATAAGAAAGTTAGAATAAAACAGATAAAGTACGCGCCATGTCTGCTCGTGCTCTCTAGAAATAAATAATGACGTTATCACCGAGACAGCGCACAACAGAAATGACTGGGCAAGCAAGGTAGCATGTACGCGCCGCCACTGCTTTGACTGGACGGACTAACTCGAAAATGAGGGAAGAATGAGGCGGCGAGTATTTTTCTCTAATATGCAACAGACAAGAAGAATACACAAGAATCTGTATATTGCGTATTGGGATAAACCTAGGATAAACAGCAATCTACACATATATAACATGGGAACCGTCACCGTAACTGTTTCACGCACTTTGTTGTCAAATCTTGCTTCATGACGTTCTCCTTGTCGCTCAAACCCGACCAGAGCACTTTTTCCGATAAGTCCATATTTCTACGGATGTAGACAATGTCAGACATCGACCTGATGTTAAGGTTGATTGATTGACTGACGTGCCTAGTCTAAAGGTGTAACAGCTCACAGCCTGTTCACGTCTAGAGGTGTTACAACTTGTTCATGTGATACAACTACGACGATGATGATGGTGATAATGATGATGGTGACGATGATAATGCTGACGCATGCAGAACAATAGACGGAAACGGAGCGATAAGAATAAACAAGGCGCCCCAACACAAGATAACTCGCCGCGTTAACTAGGAGCAGACTACGCTGGAAAACGCTGCGCAATCATACAACTCTAATACCATAAAGAAGCCAGAAGGAGCACCGTCGGAGCATACTGCTGCGACCTAATCGAAAGGAGAAGACCGAGACGGAAGTGCGCACGGATAAAATGACTCAGAGTAATCTACTTGCTGAAAGATCGGCGCGACACCCGTGGCACAAAGGGCACAGGGAAACGACAAACACAGAGACAGAGGGCGACAGATTTACAAGACAGACGGCGCGGGAGCACAAACCGAGTCGGCGCCACGTCAGAAGGTTAGCTTTATTGCGCGGAAAGGCAGGGCGCTTCTAAGGCCCAAACTTAATGAAGCGAACGTCCCAAACCAATGAGAAAAATAGCAGGCACCCAACGGCGTAGCTCTAGCGACTAGCCTGATCATGGCAGTGCGCCTAGTGTTTCCTATTAATTTTCATGGTTTGCTTCGAGGGGGAGTTATAATTAGGAGCGGCATGATGCTTAAAAATAGACCCCAGGCATCGCCATACTTTGCGAGCTAATTCATGCGCGCTGCGCTGTGTTTATCCATGGTTCTACTTGTTTGCACAACGAACAAGCAAGGAAGCCAAACACGCCGAACAAACAACGAAAAGAGCCAGAATTTTCGGAAACAAAGAGAATGGCGCGAGCTCGTTGCGTCATGTATAAGCGAAGAACCTGAGGCGAGGGGGGGCAAAAAGAAGAGACGCCATGGATGAACTTGGATCGGAAGCAGGTCAGCCTGTTGCCGTGTCAGTGCGTTGCCAGTCACGTCCGGCCTTTCTTAGTCGCTGATAATTACCCAACCAGACCACCCCAAGGCTTCAGCTTTTGCATGGCTCAACCCTCAACAGATCGCCAGCAAACAGCCCCACCAAATTGAGGCAGTGTGGACTTCTCTCACATGCGGCAACCTGGGCCGGGACTAGCATAATCAGCACGGCAACCAATGCACTACGGAGTTAAGTTAACAAACAAAAAGAAAAAGACCAGAACACGAAGCAAATACTCTCAGCAGACTACACTAGCTGTGGCGCAAATTCTGCGAACGTCCTTCGCATCTTTTGCGACTTCGAACCCTTTCACAAGTTCCGCTCTAAACCGACTGCAGAAAGATAGACGAAGACACGATCTAGGGAACCTTTCTCGGGAAAACAAAGAAAAAACACAGTGAACAGGCAAAACCGCGCACGATTTTCACAACTCGAGGCGGCGCTGATTCCTGCCGTCGCGTTCCTCTCTATCGTCGGGGCCGCTCGGTTTCGGGATAGGAATAAACACCCCCCAAAATGGTGCAGGAAGTTTATTCCTATCGCGTTACGCTCTAAAATTCTGCATGTAATCACCATCGGACGGCGGTTTCCTCTCATGGTGCATGATGAAAGAAAGCTCCATGTCCGTTCCCTTTCTTCGGTAGGGCTCTATGGCTGTTTTAGTAGGTCTGTCAGTTTCGCCCCTTTTCAGGATGCTTGTCAAGCCATGGGGAAGATGGATCTATTCGATAAACTGAAGTAAGCAAGTAACAGACGAGAATAACCGAGACACTGAAGGAAGAGTTGCCTGCGATGCTATTTAAGTTGAACGGAGTTTGTATGAAGAATCAAATACCCCGACACAGGACGACCCGGCTCGATATTTCCATCGAAGTATGTAATCGTTGGGAGCTCATGGCGCCAATTTTCGAGCATTCGCATTAGCGTATCATTAGAAGGGCAATTTTTAGTATGCTCCTGAAAGAATAAGCGTGTCTGTAGACCTTAGAATATTAAGCAATATAGTGAGATCACAAAGATAAGAAATTCCTGAAAGAATAAAAAGGACACGAATAGAGCAACAAACTTCTGTTGAGTATCCTTATAACCCCTATGACCATAAGGGTACTGGGTACTGTCCTCAGAACTTTTTCTATGTATCAGGGCAAGCTGCTCCTGAAAAAAAGATCTAGCTCCCTGCGACTTTACACGAGGTAAATTTAAGATCTATGCCATGATACCTACTAAAAAGCAGATATTCTAGCATCGGGTTACTAACTAGAGAAACAAATATTACATCGCAAATTCCTAGTCATTACTACTATTTCAGAAGAAGGGACCTACTACTCTAGCAGGCCGCAACAAAAACAATGCTTTAGGATGGCCTCTCTATGGTAGAAAGACCAGAAGAAGGGACTACGACTAGCATGGGGGCTGAGGGAAAACTAAGCGTTTGTTTTAGACCGGATAGGATAGGAGTTTGCCCGCCGTCCACAGTTAAGTTTTACCTGCATTCTCCGGCGAATATGTGTAGCCTCAGAGGGACTACCAATCAGTAATCATCTTCAACTACAATCTTTAGACCCTATGCGCATGTTGGCCTTAATATCATACTGCCCTTTGAGCGTGAGAACATCTGCAAGGCACTTCTGCATCGGCAGTTGGATGGGCAGAAAATACCGAAGGTCATCCCTCTCGCCTCGTTCATCTTTCAACTTTTTGCGAACGCTCTAACTTAGAGAGCAAGAAGAGAGAAGAGGGAAGAAGGAAAGGGAAAAGGGAAAAGGGAAAAGGGAATAGGGAAAAGGGAAGAGGGAAGAGGGAAGAGGGAAGAGGGAAGAGGAAAGAGGAAAGAGGAAAGAGGAAAGAAGGAAGAGGGAAGAGAGAAGAGAGAAGAGGGAAGAGGGAAGGGAGACGAAGCTGATTGATATTGCTTCGCTGAGAGGTGCGAAGAAGCTGATTCTTCGCTGAGAGGTGCGAAGAAGCTGATTGATTGAGACTACAACTTTCAGTATCATATTTATTAGTTCATCAACATCATTTTCTAGTCACTGTCGTCCAAGTGACAACTTCAGAAGCTGATGTTTGGTAATTGAAACTGTTCCGATGCCATAAGGAACAGAAGCCATCAGTGCACATCGCCAGTTCCTTGAATTCTTTATCGGACAGCAAAAACGGAGATTAGAGAAATGCACTTCTAGATATAGACTAGAGCGGGACTTAATCATGAGGGTTGGAAGAGGGAGTCAGGACATTTACTATAGACTACAATAGAGTGCTGGATTTGAATTTTTTCACAGACGCGCGCGTCCCTGACCACGTCGCACCCGTGTCACGCAAAATATTCCGTGTATTCATATGCACAGATACCCAACAAGTAGTAGTGCTTTTGAGCCGAGGAAGGTATATGTTTATATATCGATACACAGCCAAAAAGTAAGTAATCGGTTCCCAATACTTGAACTAGAGGACTAGGGGGTAGGCTGTTCTTGATAAGTACCGAGTGATTCATGATTCATGCATAACGTAGTCCCTGCTTTGTCGCATCAGACCCTGCAGCCGTGTAGAGCTCCTTGCCCCTGTCCTCACCTTTGGGACAAAACGGCGGTGAAGGTGAAGTCTTCGTGATCAGACAACTTAGAAAAGAAATGAAAAACAACTCTCGTCAAGAACACGAAGAAGGCTGAGGACCATGGGAAGGGATCCACCTAACAAAACTGGCGGACGAGCACAGCCAATGAGACTAGTACTCTACCTTTGCTATAGCTAAGCCCCTTCACTTTCAAGAATGCGAAGTCCAAATTTGACGGGCACAAAATCCAAGCACGAAGTCCAATTTTTTGATCGTGCTCCCCAGCACTAGTGGACTACCACAGTCCTCTTTTCTTCATGAACTTACAGACGACTTAATGAACTGTGTGTCATGTGTGCGTCTCTGTTATGCTCCTTCATGATCACCGTAATTTTTTTTTTTTTTGCGTTAGGACTATATGCTGCCACCCTTTCAATCAATTATTTACCCCCATATCTATAAGGTCATCCAAAATACATACTGGGTGCGCATAAGACCGCACAATCGGCCACAAATCTACATCTGAATGGCATGAACTACGTACTAGTATCAACATATATGCAGCAACATCACGACTATATTACAGTTATATCAAGAGACTGATTTTTAAGAGAGGCAGACGAGTTGTCGAGTGAACCGTAATTTTAGGTACTTCCCTGGTGAGTCGCTTTCTGAATTCATCTCCAAGTTCGTGTAGAATGCTGGTGAAGGGGTGGAGGGTAATGTGCATGTGCAAAAAAGGAGAGAAGCCAATCCAATACTTATCTAGTCAAAGTAAAACGCTAGGACCCTGAGCCAGGAGATTAAGTAGATCTCCTTAGTTGCTGTAGTAGACCCGCTTATAGTTGTAAAGTGTTAAGTTCTTTACCTTCTTATTGACCTCTCTTCGTATTAAGAAATAATCTTCGTATTAGCGTATAATTAAGACCCTTATCAAGGTATTAAGACCCTTCGTGCATGTGAAGGTCATGAGAATTTTCAAAAAAAATGTGATGAGGTGTACTTTTCTATTTTGAAGATATTGTGTTTTTTCTCACCGAGGACTAATTGAATTAAAGGAAGACAAGTGAAGTGAAAAAAAATTGAATACGTCTGTGTTTGATGCAGCTTTCTGCGGTTTTGACTGCCATATCGCGCACATTTGCAAGAGTGTCGCGCAGCAGAGACCATACCATTGCAGTTACCGCAAGCGCGTATCGGATTAGAGTCGGCCCTTAAATTCATCGATCTCAGTCCCCTCGATGTATGAATGTACCCATTCCAGGGGTGTAAAACCCCTTTATTACAACATCTGGACCCCTTTACTACAGCCCTTGTATCCCTTCATGTCGATCGCGGTTCCCTCAAGAACATCTGGGCCCCTTTATTATAACCCTCCCTGTATTCCTCCACAACATCTGGACCCCATTCTTTTTCTTACCCTTGTAAGTATCCCTACTAACTTCATAGGGATAATACAAGGCAAGCAGGCACCAAGATCATGCTGAGGCGAAGATGTATAAAAGCCGTAATCGGAGATGTGCGAACGTCGAAAATTTGAGGCGGTCACGGAATAAATCCTCGCTCTCTTGCTTAGTCTTATGCCAGTTGATTGCTTGCGTTTCAGCATCTTAGAGGTTGCAAGGTGCCTATGAGGATGAGGACCCTCAATCTACTAGATGAGAATCATGGCCCCCCTATTTATTATAGTGGTGGAGCCAGCCTAACTAGGGAAAAAACAAAACAAAAAGAAGTAGAAAAGGAAGTACTTATGACCCCCCTATATCCATCGGTGAAGCACACCTAACCAGGAAACAAAAATACGAAAGAATCAAGTAATCCAATTATTTAAAAAAGAACTACAGAAGTGGCCACGTTTATATTAGGATCCGTTTATTTTAGGCGCCGCGAGTTCGTCCATCTGCCCTGTATCTAGTAGAAATAGAAGTTCCTCGCATCTCTATGGCCTTCCCCCCCTTCATCTAAAAGTAGCAGTATGTGTGTAGATAGAGCACTACCACGCGCTAGGTAAGCGAGTGAGTTAGTGAGTGAGGGGGTGAATAAGTGATCTGCTCAGAGATAAAGAGAGGCTTCAAGTTTCAATCAACCATAATCCTCGGTCCGCTCGGTGTCGAGTTTTATTGCCGCTTTACCAGACTCCAGTGGTATGCCCTGTTCAAAATGTTGGTGGCGATGATGGCGAGACAACACTTGCGTTCATGTGATGATTAGCTACGAAAGTGGTGTAAATTAGTTACACAAAACATCATGAAGCTGCCTAAGATTTCTTTACTACGAGGAAAAAACTATCCGGCTGTTTCTACTTAGGACCAAGTAGTACCATCAATGCGGAAAAGTAGGCATCATTGTCCAGATCTTGACGCTTGGCGCCGCGCCACATCACCTTCGAGAAGGAATGAATGGCACACAAACTATACGCGTTCAACGGCTCGTCTTCCAAAGCGGAGACGATTAGAAGGATAACATAGGATAGGAATTTGTTTATTCGACGTGAGTACTCGAGAAACTGAAACATTAAGAAAGTAACTGATCAGAATAACCGAAATACTGAACAAAGAAGAGTAGCCCTCTAAAGCAGCCCCTTGCCATATTTCAGTTAGTAGCTGCGCTGTTTTCAGTTTTCGAGTAGATAAAGCGAGGATAAAGTACGGGTATTACAATTAATACGGTAGATGCGAGTAGTCTAATCGTCCGCAGTAGGTACAGAATAGCGTATGCGTAGTAGAGAACAAGTATAAGAGAGAGTAGGAGTTTATTCAGATTAGGATAAAGTAAGCGTAGGTGAGAGATCGGATAGGATAGGATATGATAGAGTAGGGGCACGAAAAGGATGCGATAGATAAGCAGTGGCACAACAGCAACAAGACCCGCGTCTGCTGCTGGAAATGCAAAAAGTGGAAGTTGGAATTTGAAGAAAGCAGCACCACCCTACTGCAGAGATCTAAACGGGTGGACATGATGAGGAATCACGAAAAAAGGTGCAAAAAGGTGATGAAGTAGAAAGTGGTGGAGATGCAGCCCCTAATTAAAAGATCTTACACCCCGCGAGTGGGTACATCTATCTATCTATCTAAGATAAAGTAGGGGTACGAAAAGGATGGGATAGAGAAAATAAAGGGGGGGGAATCAGAGTTGTAGGACTATAGAACCCTCCAGTGCATGTTTGCCCTTTTCTCGGCCGGAAAAGAAAACCAAACACCAAGGCCAAGTCATGGAGCTATTCGTCTGAACTCAAACACAATTGTAAGCAATCAATCTATAATAGAAGGGAAAAAGTTGTCCGTCGTAGTCTAATCTAATGAACTAATCCTTGAGCAACTTGATGGTAGTAGTGCCAATGGTAGTGCACTCAGTCAGGGGGTATATTTATAGAAGATCTAATCACCAGTAGTTTAATATTTGCTCGTCTTAGACTCAATTCTCTATCCTGAGCTGCTTCCTCTTCGGTTCTTACACTGATGCCGTCTACAATCTTTGTCAGCGTATCCGTATAACTCTGCATGCATTTCGACGCTTCCTTAGACTAGTACATGATGTGGCGGTAGTGATGCCTACTTTATTGATGATTATGTACAGTCTTGCATGCATAATAAATATCATTAAGTACAGTTTGAAGCTTTCTTAAAAATTGCTCTCTTGAGGACAGTTCTCCTCATTTTGAAGAGTCTCTTCTACACTAACTCCATGTGTAATGGTAATGACTCCGCCATGCTGTCACGACTACTATCACTACTATTGGAAATATAGCAATAGCAAAGTTTGAACACATTAATCAAGAAATGTTTGGAGAACATGAAATTAGTTAGTGAAATTATCTGAAATAATCAAGAAACTGCAGAGAAATTATTTGGAGAACATAATTTGGTGCAGATGTGGTCGATCTTGTTCTCGAGGCAGGTTCCGCTCTTGTGCCCTCTCTGCGATCTTTCTCAGGATTCTAAACCGATCCCTCTCAACATCTTTCGCCTTCGCGTCCTTCGCGTCTTCACTGCTGTACAACTTATTCACAGGCTGCTTAGAAGAAGGGGCTCTTAAGTGGAGGTGAACTGTAGTAACCCTTTACTTGAAGTGTTAGAGAGTGAGGAGTGGAACACATGGATGGATTCCCTCTATATTGTTATTACCCTGTACTTGAAGTGTTAGAGAGTGAGGAGTGGAACACATGGATGGATTCCCTCTTTATTCGGGATAACCGGAGAAATTTCTTTCCCCTATCAGAAGTTTATGTTCACATCTAGAGAACAAGTGTAGTTCTTCTCTTGACCAAGTCTGTTATGAGTTCTAGCACAAGAACATGAACACTTTTACCTCTCTAGATTCATAGAAATTCCAGCACACAGAAGATGAACTAACTAAATTCTTTTCATACCTTGCTCTTTAGCAGGTGGCTCCTTCTTTGCGGCAGAGACGAAGGCAAAAAACCTCTGGAAGGATGCATCCATTCCCTTATGCGATGCCTTCAATGTGTCTCCTTCCACGGCAACGAAGATTTAGAAAAGGAGCTGGATGAATGGAACCAATTACAAAAATTACGAGCCTCTAGGAGCATTACAAGTACAAGTTTTTCTGAATTGCGTTCCTCTGCCTTAATACTTGTTCATCTGCTGTAAGGCGAAGACAGCTAAAATCCTCTTCTGGCTGTACCTGAGAGGTGGGAATAAACGTCTAAGTCATGACAACTCAATTGTTGCACTCGCCAGTAGAGTTGTCGTGTAGTTCAACTACCAACATGAAACTGATGCCATTCTTCAAATGTAGTTGTAGTTGCAGACTTACAGATGTGAAGCAACAATCAACTACAAGAGAGTACTAAAAGACAGATGAGTACTCTCTCAATTTTTCTTCGAGTTTTTTCGCGACTGCCTCTGCCTGATGACACGTGTTCCTATTAGAGCTCACTATTTGCGCATCGATAGCAATGGCGTAGTCCTAGTTCTGTCCAGTTTGATGTCCTATTTGTGCGACGTATCATTGCCTCACTTCATCTCAACAGACTGAAGGAATAGGAGAACCTAGTTTTATCTCAACAGGAGGAGTAGGAGAACCTAGTTTTATCTCAACAGGAGGAATAGGAGGACCCGGTGAACTTAACTTTTGCCCGTTTCAATTCATCCTGACCAAAGCGTGGCTCGTCGCTCACCAGACCAGCGTCTTCGATTAGAAAAAAAAAAGTTTTATGCCTTGGGGGAGCAATGTACAATACAATACAATACAATTAATCTCGCTTTTTTTTGTATCGTGAGCGAGTTCCGATAAGTCAAAACCTACCTGCGTATTTTGCAAGCGAGTTCCGATAAGTCAAAACCTGCCTACATATTTTCTCGCACAAAGTTCAGTGCAGACTGCCTGTATGGGGAACCAAAGCATAAGCATTCCCTTGTAATCATGCTCCCCCCCATACAGCGGATACGCTTCAAGGATGCTTCCGAAGAAGATCAGACACAATACAATACGTCACGCAGTTAAAGGAACTACAACCAGTTAAAGGTTAATTGTTGATCTCGACAAGTATTAACTTCAAAGAGAAATAACTTGTCACGTCATGGAGCCTCCTTTGTAGCTGTGCATGTCTACCTGTGAGGTCATCCAGTAAATGAGTACCTCCTATTGGAGCGCAAATCCTACAGGCTAGTAGGTACTTACTAGCTAGTAGTAGAAGTAGTACAGCCTTAATCCTACGGTCCAGGCCTCGAGTTCTTTTATTGCTTGCGCGACCTTCCGTGACTCGCCCCTGTGCACCGCAGTACACGTTTCATGGCCGTACTTCCTCGTGCCCGGTTTTTCACCCCCTTAGAGCTTTCATCCCCTCGTGCCCAAGTTTTTCTGAATTGCGTTAGTAGCCACGGAATTTCAGAAGAGTTCCTCATCTAATAAATTAAAATGTGACGAGAGAAAGAACAAAGGCTCATTATAGTCTCAATAAGAATTATGAGAGAGAAAGAGTCACTTGCTGGATAGGATAAAATCGGATAGTATAAGGATAGACCATAGGATAGGATACATACTAGGGTGCCCTTGCTGTGTCCTCACACAAGGTGTTTCCTACAGGGCCTTAATCTGTCCCACGGTGGTCCTCAAGCTTGGTTTTTGCTTCGTTGCAGGACTGTTGCAATGACGCAATATCCGCTAGCTTCTTCTCCTTCAAGGCTTTCTACTTTAGAAGTGGAACAACAAATACGAGAAACGCGACAATATGAGAATGATTGTAGGTCAAGTATGTTGTGTCAAACTGTGGGTCAGGTATCAAAGTGAGTAGATTGTATGTAATGTTGGATCAAAGTGAGCAAAATCTGCTAGGTGCGTATGTCAAGTATGTTAAATCAAACACGACGATACGATAATGTTGTAGAGCCCTAACGACAATATGCGTAGGGCTCTACAACATTATCGCATCGTCGACGATATTCTATCTTGAGATCAACAAGAGCGTAGTGCTGACACATCTCGGGATCAACAATATAGTGCTGACAATCTGAAGGAAGGTTGGTGAATTGTTTAGATTGTCGGCGCTTTCATTAGTTAGTCATTAATTTATTTCTTGAGTTGAAGTCCAAGACTTCCTTTCCTTTCTCTCATCCTAAGCGTCTTTTGGAAAGGAGAAGAGACACGATAATGTTGTAGAGCTCTAACTATCCTCTTGTTCTGAAATCAATAGGATCCTGCGACACATCTACAGCACACTAGGACGCATCTTCTTGAGACAGCTAGATAGGCCTTGCCTGGAGCAGCGACTTTCATCTATCATTAATATTCTATTCGCGCGCAACCCTATCGCCGCACACGTGTCGCGCTCGCGGCGCTCTTGCCGTCTGTCACTAAGGACGTCGAGGTAAGGGCGCTAGGGACCTTCCTGGCGGTCCGGTGGTTGTATTGTCTAAGTATCGCCGTTGTGTCTCAGAAGGTCACTCTCTACCTTTGACGGCTCCTTGTCTAAAGATTTCTTTCCTATAAACACAAAGCCTTAGTATTCTGTCGCGCTCCTTTCCTTCCTTCTCCAGCTCCTCTTTCCTCCTCTGAGCCTCGTCACCCTCTTGCTTTTCGAGCTGGTCCATTTCTTTTCTTAGCACCATAAAATTCACTTGTTGGATACAACGAGCTTAGGAAAGGGGGGAGTATGCTTCTAACGTTGTCATTCACCGCTTGTATACCTATCCTGGAGGTTCGCTCGACAGTCCTTCTACTGCTGTAGAAGTTTCCCGTGTTCGTTGTAACTACTTCTGACGTAGAAAAAAACAACGCAGATGCAATTTTTGAGAAACAAACTATTTATCAGGGACGAATGTGAAGTTCTACCCCGTTTTTAACCTAGAGTCGTCTTAGGAGCTCTACCTCGAGTGTAAAAGCGAGATGAATAAAAGTACTGCCTTGTCTTTAGCCTGATGATGATGATGATGATGATGATGATGATGATGATGATGATGATGATGATGATGATGATGATGATGATGATGATGATTGTACCTATTCTAGAGGTGTTTGTGTATGGCATTTGTTAGCCTTTGCATAGTCAAAAACCTAATTCACACATTTGAGCGTGAAAAAACCTATTTCACAGATAAAACTTCTACCTAGCGAGATGATTGAATTTGAATAAAAGCTATTGATCAATTGATCATCATAATTTTCGTCGCTTTATTTTCTGCTCTATATCAGCTTTTTGAGATTTCACGATCGCGATCTGCGCATTCACGTCGCCTAGCATTTTCTCTACCTCCTTGTTTTAGATGAACCTACGATGAAATATAGTAGGAACCACTATAGTATACCTGCTCTTCTAGCACAACAAGTGGGTTAGTTACAAGATGAGATGATCGTCCTCAAACCATAAAACCAAAAAAACAACATGTTGACGATATAGCGTGTTTTCTTTTTGTTATATCTTGCTTTCATTTGTGGCCATCGTCATGCACTTCAAGTCTGAAGCAAATCTAACAAAGAGCAACGGAGACCACCTCATGACAATGAAACGCGTCACCTTCTGACAATCAAGCTAGCATGTTAATGTCTTTAGTTTGATTTTTTTGTTGCTTCCAGGGAACAACTCTTATGATCGTTTTTTTTTTGGCCTTAATTCAACCACTCGCACATCGTTTTTGCGATGGTGAGGCAAGCCTTTACCTCGGTAATAACCTGCGTTCCGGAAGAGATAAAAGCGTCCCTCTCCTGCGTCAAGTAAGACATTTTCTCCGAGTTTATCGATATTAGATGAGAATAAGTTCAACAAAAAAAAGGACCCGACTGAAAGCAATACTAGAGTGGGGAGTGTGGTCTTTATTTCTGGAAGAGTGGGAGCGGGATGCATGCGTACGCCACTGGTGTTGCCAACTTTCCTGATGTGCGTAGAGACAGAGTCTGGAAGTGCTTCTGGGCAACCGTGGTAGGAATTTCCAAAAATGCCTACTCATCTGCTCGTGGTAGAGCAATCAAAAAATTCAAAAAAAGATCTTCGACTGAAAGGAATAATAAATAGTAGAATACTCGAAGAGTGGGGCGGATGTGTCTTTTAAAGTTCCATCTGTCACTCAGCAATTGGAGAGGAAACAGCGCTCCAATCGCTGAGTGATATCTGCTGCTGAAGATGAAAAAGACCCCCCCTGATGAAAAGTCGATGAAGAACTACAACTCCCCTGAAATATTATACAGGACTCTCCTTCAGCTATCTGTCTCCTAACGTTTCCAGGCCACTCTGTTGCCCGTGGGCAGTTGCTCCGCCTCTGCCGTCAGCGCCGTCTGCTGCGCCACCAGCATTAGAGGGCAGAGGAGCAAGTTCTCATTGAGGAATGGTCCTAATCGTTCGACATTTAGAAACGATCATTTTAGGATCCTAATCGTTTCGACAACATCAACACTTGTAAACTAGTTCTACCAAGAAGTAGACTAGTTAGTTCTACCAAGAAGTAGACTAGTTAGTTCTACCAAGAAGTAGACTAGTTAGTACAAAAGCATCCTGCATGGTTCGCTGAACTATCGACCTGTTTACCCAAAGTAAAAGTGTAGAAAGTTGAGTTTCCACCAATGAACCCTTCTTACTTACTCAACTCCACAATACAAATTTAAAGAACTCTTAGCCTTAACAGGATTGGCAACATTGGACTTTGTAGTCTGTTCTGCCATGTATTTAGTCTTAGTAAACCGCTCAGCATTCCACATTCGCAAACTAGCGCGGAGAAACGCTCTCGCTGCCCCATAGCCTATCCAGGCATCCTTTGTGTGCTTCTTTGCCCGCGTCCCCAAGTCATCCAAGGGAACCTTCATCTTGCACATTAGAGGCGTATAGGATAGGATAGGATAGGATAGGATAGGATAGGATAGGATAGGATAGGATAGGATAGGATAGGATAGGATAGGATAGGATAGGTTGCCTTTCCATCTCCTTCACGCGAGGCGTACTATCAGTCATAGTCATCAGTCATAGTCATAGTCATAGTCATAGTCATTGAGGCGGAGGCATCATTTCATGTCTGGACAATTAGTCCTCACTGAGCGGCAGTTATTCCCTACATCAAGCGTCAAGCTCAAAGTCTTGATCAAGTCAGGATGTCATGTCGTGCACCGACGACGTCACAAGGGTGGTTATTCATCTGCTTGGACGCCGGCCATGCCGGTCTCCTGAATTCTATTTCTACTGGTGCATATTCTCTGCGATAAGAAAGAGCTGGCACCCCAGGAAAACAGCTCAGCCTACCAGAGTAGGAACTTATTTTACCGGAGAAGTATAAGGCCATTCTCCACGAGATTGATAGTTCCTAGAGTACATCAGTTCTTGTCTACCTAGTAGTAGTAGTTTACCCATTATGGGGGTCGTTAAGTCCAACAAGTGGAGGGCCTCGGGATTGTTCAAGTGTTGCTTGTTCAGCAGGGGACAAAAAAATATTCTTCAAGTATTTAAAAAGGTGCGTGCAACGACCAGGTCGTGTCCTCCGCATTCTACTGCGATCATTCCTTTCTGCATTTATAAATGCAGGAAATTAGTACGGCACTTCATCAAACATCATCAAGGACACTTATCCGTAATTTCTCGAGCAGTTCTAGCGCATCTTCAACCTGCTTTAGGTCCTCTTCCAATTGCGCTACCGGTGTTGCAAGCGTATGCGCAAACTTGTTGATTCCTTCGTTCACTCCTTGAAGCACCTGAGCGACGGTCTTGCAGCCAGAATTAGGAGCAAGGTCAGTTCCCGCGTAGAACCCAAACTCTGGGCAGATTGTTTCCCCTTCAGCATTGCCGGCATTCTTAAGCGCGTTCTCGAGTGCGTCCTTTACGAAGTTCTCCTGTTGCTTTCCCACATACCGCGAAAAGGCTTTCGCCTGCACCACCCATCGGCCTTGCGCCACCTTCTCCGTACTCTCCGCGATAATGTGCAGCGGCTTAACACTCAGCGTCGTCCTTAGAAGCAGACGCTCTTGGAATTCGCCTGTCTAGCTAGATATCGAAAAACTGAAATAACCGAATGTCCCAGAGAGTAATCTTCTCAGATAATCGACTGTTTCAGATAGCTACTCGGTTATTGTGTGTTTTCGAATACTTGGGTGCGACCTTTGAGGACAGCCGGCCGCTCTTGTAACATAGTCTGTAGCGACATTGGTGCGCAATAGCTGTTACTTCGGCTAGGTTCGAACAGGCCAGGTAAAAATAGGGTAGGTGTTATAATCCTGCGGAATCTACTAGGGTAGGTGTTATAATGCTGCTGATGCTAACCTAATTATCTACAGGATGCCCCATGAGGTTGAGGGACGAAATATGATAGATGATTGAAATGCCGCAGACGCGGCAGCCGCTACTGCCATTTTTTCCGAAATGAAGAACTCGAGATCAAATACATGAGGGAGGAGTAACCTTGGATGCATGAGGGACGACACGAAAGCCATAATCTGAAACCTTTCCTGACCGACTGAACGGCTTCAATTATCGTCGCGGCGTTTGTGACTTCGCCAAGATTCTCCGAAGCCTGTGGCTCCTCCACCAGTGTTCTGCGTACTCGTGGATTAGACATAGATCCAAACTAACTACGTTTTATAGATTTCTTGCATGTCAGCCCTATAGTAAATTTTGCGCGTGTCAGTCTCTACTAAAAAGCGCGATACATATATCAATATATGCACCAGGGAGAGAGGCCCCCGTAAGACCTGGCGAGCGTCCTATGCTATAGACCGCAGTCCTAAACCTTCCCCCCCACTTCTATAAGGGCAAGGGGGGCGCACATCCATGCTTGCCCCCATGCGTAACGCGTCACGCTTTTGAGCGTGACGCGGCACGCTTTTCTTTGAGCGTGACGCCGCGCGCCTGACAGTCGGGCCATCCGTGGAAGACCTGACGATCCGAGGAACATCCGCGGGAGGCCTGCCGATCTTTCTGAGAAACATCCGTCGCGGGAGGCCTGACGATCTGAGGAAGATCCGTGGGACGCTGATGACCTGAGGAACACCCGGGGGAGGCCAGATGATCTGAGGAACCTCCAGCGGAGGCCTGATTATCTGAGAATCATCCGCGGTAGGCCTGACGACCTGGGAAACATCCGTAAGAAGCCTGATGATCTGAGGGCCATCCGTGGTAGCCCTGACGATTTGAAGAACATCCGACACCGGGAGAAAAGCCTGACGATCGGCGGAACATTCCTGGGAAGCCTGGCGACCTGCGGAACATCCGTCGGCGGCCTGATGATCCGAGGAACATCCGCGGGAGACCTGACGATCTGAGGGACATCCGTGAGAGGCCTCTGACGATCGGAGGAACGAACATCCGGGGGAGGCCTGCTGATCTGGGGGCCATCCGTGGGCGGGGGCGACCTGATGACAAAGACCTGACACGACCACGAAGGCGCCAGACAATGGCGGCGGCGTGGGTATGAGATAGAGACCCGACCACGACAGCAAAACAAGCCACCCACGAAGGCAATGCCCAGCAGCCCATCCATGAGGTGCGAGGCACATGCTCGCAACACCCTCGCAGACACCTCACACACCAAACAGACAACACACCGCCACACCCTCCCACCGCCACACGCCGCGCCGTCCTAAGTCACGCCCCCACGTGTGACATTGCAACACGCCGCGGCGGCGCGCAGCGTCCTAAGTCGCGCACTATTTGACACGCCCCAGCGTCCGACGCCCCACGCCACGCGCCCCTCCGTCACAACCTCACGCGCCTCACGAGTAATCCTACGCGGCTTACGCCCCTAAGCGCGTCACACCCTCACGCGCTTCGCCAAGGCTCTCACGCGCGTCACGCTCCTAAGCGCGTCCCGCCGTCACGCGTCACGCTCAGACTCCCTCGCGCGTCACGCTCCTAAGCGCGTCACGCCGTCACGCGTCACGCTGGTGCCCCCTCTCGCGTCACGCTCCTCAGGTGGATAGGACGCTCGCAGGGTTCCACGGGGGGCCCCCCCTGTGAGTGGAGCGGCGGCCGCGTCGGCGCGCTCTTTTTTCCGCAGCGGTGACGTGTAAGGATTCCCGGGGGGCGAAAGCCTCAAAAGGCGGGCCGACTCTCCCTTGGACCCAATTAGGGGGACGGCCTTCAAGAGCAGAAAGCCGCCGAACGCGTCCTCGGTCGCGAGGCCTGGCCGCTTTGGCCCTCATCCTCCAAATTGGTAGCACGGCGAAAGGGGTCAAGCCTTGTTCCCTGCTGCCCTCGGAGGCCCTCCACCCCCCAAGAAACTCCCCCAGCCAGCAGCCCGCACCCGGGAGGTCTGTAGAGTACACGCAACACGGCAAGGGGGTCAAGCCTTGCCACCTTTGCCGCCTTCGGAAGCCTTCCACCCCCGGCCGCCGGTGCTTGAGCGGCCTCAGGGGCTTGGGCTCTGCCGGGCACATGCCAGAAGCCATGAGGGCTCGAACGTGGGCGCTTCGAGCCCTTCCCGCCCGGCAGTCTCTCGTGCAAAAGGGTCCGGGGCTGAAGGCCCCCCCTCAAAAATTTAGATCGGGGGGGCCTTCAGACCTGAGCTTCGGAGCATATATGAGGCGAAGGAAGCCCTTGTTGCCCTAGCTGGAAAAAGTAGAATAAGAAACGGAAAAAAATTCGAAAAAAATTCTAATCAGAACAGGTCTACAGAAAAAACACTAGTGAAGCCCCTCTGAATTTCTACAGCAAAGGTTCCTGATGATCAATACGGAACACAGATGTTCGTAAGTTCCTGACCGATGCGGAAGACAGTTCCTGATCAGTACATATTTGTTTCCTCCGAAGTATCAACATCAGTGCACCTCAAACCATCCCTCTCGATCATCAGCGAGATGTAACCGTTCCTGGAGCGGTCCTCCTGTTCAAGACGGTTGATTAAGATTAAGACTAAGTAGAGACTTCTGTCAAATGTCATAACTTTTTCTTTCAACTTCGCTGTCGCGTCAATCCATTCCGGTCCGAAAAAGGAGGGCATTGCAGCCATCAACCCAGAGTAGGGAACGTCTCCCTTATCCTTGCCGAATAAAGCTTTTGCGAATTAGATTTCTACATGGATTGAAGATTAGGGAGAGAAGGATTACTCTCACTTTTAGGTGGATTGAAGATTAAGAAGAAAAGGACTGTTCTCACTTTTAGGTGACGGATTTATAAGAAGAAAAGGATTGCTCTCATTTTCAGGTGACGGATTTAAGACGAAAAGGATTGCTCTCACCTTTAGGTGACGGATTTAAGAAGAAAAGGATTACTCTCATTTTTAGGTGACGGATTTAAGAAGAAAAGGATTACTCTCATTTTTAGGTGCTGGATATCTAAGGATTATCTTCATGTGGATCACTGATTCCAGAGGACATAAAGTTCTTTGGCTTCAACCGGATCCACTTTCTCGCTATTAGAGCTCAGGCCAATTCATATCAGAGTCCAAGGAGGAACCTGAGATAATCTTGTCAACCTTAGCAACTCAAAGAAACTACCACTCAATCAAGAATGAGGTAAATACTTACTCTAATATAGTGAGCTAAATACTCACGCTTTCCCTATATTCCATGCGGCGAAGGAATACAAGAGAAAAGGGCACCAAAATGCCGCGAAAGATGGATAAAAGCGCGCCATAATTCTAGACTGCCCTTCGTCCATTAGAGGTAGCGCGCCGTATCTTCCTTGAGATCCATAGGTCCTTGGACACTTCTTTTTCCCCTTGAAAAAGAGGCCATCAGGGATCCAAGTCCCTTTAAAAGAGGATGGATTCTCCATGCTTGAGTTCCAGTACAGCTCTAATGGCTGTGCTTGAAGTCAGCTTCTATTAGAGCTCGCTTCGCTTCTGCCTTAATCTGGAACTCCCCCCTCGTCCTGCTGCCGATAGTAATCTATTATTTGCTATTACGCTTTTGGCAGCCATTCTCCACCTTTCCCGTGCCGTGAGCTTGCTCTTGCTTCCACGCACAAGACCTCCTTCAGTCGTCGAACCCCTCTCTAGCTCTAACAATGTTCATTAGAGCTGAGTCCATCACGGGTGGTGCCTCTCTCAAAGTAGTTTTTCATCTTCGTCCCTTGTTTTTGAGAAATCGCCAATACATTAACATCTTCCCTTGCAGTATGATACGACTCTTCTTGTAAGATCTCTCCTTGTCTATGAGGACGACGTTGCCTCCTAGTGATCCTCTAGAAAGAAAAGACAATCCCTAAGAGATAAGCCCGGTAGAAAGAAGAGACGCATCCCAGACAAAGAAGCGATGCACCATATTGAAAGAAGATATAGAAAGAAGCGATGGTGCACCTCGTTATTGAAAGAAGAGATAAACCCTGACCCTAAGTAGGAAGAAGAGATAAATTAGCGGTGGTGTCGCTCCCTATAGAAAAGATGGATTAGAAAGGATGGAGGATTGGAGTAACGGTAGTAGTGAGTAGCTAGATTTGTAAACATGAATACAGTGGTTGTATCCTTAAGACGCGTCATCTCCAGCGACCTCGTCTGCGACGTTATCGGGAGATGTCATGTTCAGAGATTGTTCCATGAACGCCGTTGCTCCGCTTGAAGGCCGTTGGTCCATGACGCCAGATGCTCCTCCTCCTCCTCCTCGTGGACTTGTCGATCCTGTGTTGGTCTCCAAAAGGGTCCTAGCGGCAGCATCATCCCACACCTTCAGGCTGTCTAGTTCTTTCTTTCCATCTATCATTAGAAGAAAATTTTCATCTAGAACAAAGGCTACTTCGATGTAGTACCCGAATTTACTCTACTAAGTATGTTTTCCTTCTGTTTGTACTACATAAGTCCTAGGAGCGTAGTAAGCCCTTGTAGAAATTCTTCATCCTCGTCCTACTTGCACAAAAATAACGTGTCTCCTGGTTCTAGTTAGTCCCTAGTTGCAGTGAAATGTTGAGTAGATCGTCTACTCAACTTTAGACTATGTTAGGAACAACCATTAGTGCTTTGTAGTTCTTTTTTCAGATATATGAGTGATCCTGTAAAGGAATGCGGCAATGAAAACTGTGTTACCACCCAGATTGAGTGCCACTAGTAGAAGACTAATATCCTGAATAATGTCTCCCATTCACATTACATTCAGTCATGTGTAATATACTGGCGTTTGAGACGAGTACCTCCTCTAATTATTATTATTATTATCGTGAATGCATAGATTCCTACTCTCTCTAACAGTTAAAGCAAGAAATATTAAACCAACAACAATGTTTGTCAGATAACCAACGACAATGTTCTTCAGATCGATGCCTTAACTCCGTGAGATCCTTCCCGAGGTCTTTCCTGTAGTTGCGACGAGGTTGCAATTGGCTATGGATCCTTCACATCATCGAGGGAGCTCGTCCTCAAAGAGGAGCAAAAACAAGAACAATATCGAAGAACATCCAGTTAAACATCAAACGTGACAACTGAGTGCTTGCCTCCCTCTCTTGCTAGTACCTACGTTGTAGGACCTTACAAAAAAAAATAGAAATACTTCTGAATCATTTTTTCATCGAAGTAGGTTTGCAGTGGTTCCGGCGTGAGGCCCATGGTGCGCTCGTACGCAAATGGGTGTTAGAAGATAAGAAAATGGAGGCTCCTTAAGTCTTCTTGTCGGGGGTAGTAAGGCCTTTCCATCTTCTTGCACCTGCTCACTAGGAGAGCAAGCCTGCTCGTGATAATGAATGCAAATGTCTCGCTCAGCACATCATTAATAATAAATAATGCTGAGCGAGACATTTGCATGCTTCGTTCTATAAACTGCATGCAAATGTCAATGTCTCGCTGAATGCTAGTAAGTTGCAAGTGCAACCTCAGGAAGAATGCTAGTTGCAACTGCAAGTGCAACCTGCCGCTGAATGCGCGCTAGTTGCAGTCTCCTCAACCTCAGTCTCCTGAACCTGAATAAGCGGACCAACCTCAGTCTCCTGAACCTGAATAAGCTCAACACATGTCATAAACCAAGTGTCTTGCTGAATGCGCACTGGTCTCGACCACTTTGATCCCATCCAGAGCTCCGGTTTCAGCGATAATTTTGTTGAAGGCTGAATCAGATGCGTCAGGTAAAGGCATGGGATTCCAGTTCTGCAGTTCCACCTCGTGGTCTATCTCTGCTCGGATTAGCGGTCTCCGTAATTCATCTCCTAAAGGAGATCAATTCTCCCCAAATGGTCACACTCCTGTGTTAATTCATCTGGTCTTCCAGCTGCGTCCTTGAAAAGTATGGCAGAGCATCGCCCTGGAATGCTCTGCCCTACGCTTCAGGGATGCAGTCAAAGATGCATTAGCTACAGCCTTAATCGGATATCTTTGCAAGCATCCGAATCGCAATCGACCCCGTTCCACACAGATTCTACGAAAGGATGTGAGCTTAGAACTCTTTTTTGCAGACTCGTCTGTAGTACTAGATCTCTAGGATTATACCTTTTTACAGTGTACAGTTTTTGATATTCTTGTGATGCTTCAAATTTTCCTACTTTTTTCGCCTATGTCTAATGATGATGTAATCGATGAAAGGGAGCCTCGAGATCACAGACTCAGCAGTCGGCAGGATCATACGTCTTCAGGATGATACAGAAAACATGTGTACGTCAAAGGGATGATACGTCTTCTTACTTCTTCGTAGTAGTGGCTCTACTTACATCAGCGTAGCTCTACTTACAGCGTACGTCACACTTTTAAGTCTTAGTCGTGCACTTCAGTACTTTTATGTAAGCAAAGTGCTCAACTACAGAAGGAATAAAGGAGACAGTGACAGGGACAGTGACATGAAGGAGACAGTGAAATGAAAAGTGCTGCTGTGAATATTACACCCTCCAAGTTCCTGGTCCCTCATAAGACTAATCTTCCTTGGTTGTCTGCTTTTGGGCCATCGAATGAACCCCAATAACCATCCGGCTCCTGCTTTGCTGGGCTCTCCTGCCAGTGGTTAGAAGATTCCAACGTCTCTTGACGTTGAAGACTCCAACGCCTCTTTGAAGAAAATTGTGACGACCACGACACGCTCTAAGTTCCTGGTCGTCCCCCCTCAGCAAGAGGAAGTAGAATAAGGTTACATATTTACAACTACGAGGATGAACAAGAAATGTATACTATAATTGTTTGCTGGAAGAGCAGCTACACGCTAGAGGTAAAAGCTAACCGGTTTGTGTTAATTGTTTTATTCGAAAAACTGAAATAAGCAAGTAACTGATCAAAATAAGCGAGATACTGATGAGAAGGAAGAGTAGCCTTTATTTTAAGCTACCTCCCTTATTTCAGTCAGTAACTCGGTTATTTTGAGTTTTCGAATAATCTATTCTCAAGATTCCTGTTCCCCCACCCCTCCATCGAGATGTTCCCCCGAACTTGACTTCTCTAGAACAACAGATAAAATAACCAAGATTGCAACCTTAAACTTCTCGACCAAATTTTTTACCACTTCGTCAGCAGCCGCTTCTTCAAGGGGCTCAAAAATCGTTGCGTCGTTCGCTGCGTCACCCCCCGATAAGCCAGCATGGTACACCTTCCCTTTCACTAGTGGCAACGCAACAAAACGGTCAGCAATGCTCGCGGAAATCACATTCTGCAGCAAAGCATCGAAAAATTTTAGAAAAGGAGACAGACCTGCTACACCCTTTCGGGAATATTCATCTATGCAGAGAATATTCTGAACGAGAGCAAAATAAGGACGATAGATGCCAAGAAGAGATCAATGATGTTGCAAGAGAGATGGAGAAAAAACTTCCATTCGTGATGTCATATGTGTGTCCCTGTCGCAGTTCAACGTCACTACCTAAGATTTTTTTTTTGCGTTAGGACTATATGCCACCGCCCTTTCAAACAATTAATTAACTCGTTCAACTAATGTCATACAAATATTAATAAGAGACATTAATTACTACATAGAGCTGCTACTTGGCGTTCTTGACAAAAAACGTCCGTTCATAAGAGAATATAGCGCAATATCGTCCACGCAAATGCCTTCATGGCGCGGATAGTGGCATACCAATCCGCTGCTAATTCTCCCAGTAGAGAAAACAGCTCCCCAGCTTCTTTCTGCTCCAAAGCCATCTGGTCATTGTCTCCCTGGATTTAGAGCTTTTTTTTCAAGTATGTGGATTTAGAAGTGCTCCCAAAAAATCGTCTTTGATAACTGATGGATTCCAAGAAGAGGAGTGAGGGAGGAAAAAAAAAAAAGAGCCAAGTAGAAAAAGAGTTCTTGACGCTGCTTCAAGGGTGGCCGCGGCCTTAATGCATTGTAGCTTTGTCCTCATCCGATGCTTCCTCTGGGATCTTGATAGCAGCCTCAGGCCCAATCGACGTAGGAAAGACTTTCAATTCGTCCATCTCCTTTTGGTCGTCGAGAAAATTAGAGAAAAGACGACGTGCGGGCTCGGAGCGAGTTCGGAAAGAGAAAACATCGTCTAAAAAACTTCTCCTTCCAACACTCTTCTTCGATTTTCAGGGTTATGAATTTGAAGCAAGTAGTACGTACCACGTCTACCCTCCATCACCTTTTGCTGGATGTTTGCAGAGTACAGTATTAAGAAGGGAATATTCTAATTCTAACGGATACAACATCAGTCCTCGTCCTCCTGACTGCCAAATATATAACCGTCAGTCTGGTAAAACTAAAAGAAGTCGCGGAATAGTTTTCCGCCTTAACACAAGCGCGCAAATGCCTTTCCTCTGCACGTTTTTGGGCTTCCTCCATGATCTTCTTTCTTCGTGCGCGAATCGCAGCAATCTGCTCCGCGGTTGGCTCTGCTTAGAGTACATGCAAAATCGATCATGTAAATCAAAGCACACGCAACAGCATGCAACACCATTCAGCTATTGGCTGACTGATTAGCTGACTGATTGACTGATTGACTGATTGACTGATTGACTGACTGACTGATTGACTGACTGACTGATTGACTGATTGACTGATTGACTGATTTACAGTGCCTTAGGTTTCTTCCGACTTCCCGGGATCCGCGTATACAGGAGCATCTGGCGCAGCCCAATCCGGAGGTATGAACAAAAAAGGGCTCATCTGGCTTGCTGATCTCTATGGATGTGATCGTTTGTTCCCTTGATTTGTTTGTTCCCTTGATTTGTTTGCTGTTTGTTCCCTTGATTTGTTTGTGTAAGCAACTTAAGATCGATTAATTTAAGGGGTTTGGTTTCCACCTTTGACATTGTCGACTTCTTGGGGAGCCACGACAGATCAGAAGATCAGAGGTTGCTTCTTGAGGGACGACAGGAGCCCACGCTTAGTAGTAGTAGTAATAGTAGTGTGCTGCCCAGCCTTGGGGTATAAAAGGGATCATAGTTAGCAGTTGTTCCTTTCTTCCTACTAGCCATAAAAAGTACCTTCTGAAAAGCACTATCCTTACCCAGGTACTCCGTGTGTTTGGCGGTGCCGCTCAAATCCGTGAAAAATTTATGTGTTGCGCCGTCCAGCGAAAGCCTTAGAACAAGAAAGAGGGAGACGTGGTAACATCATGTGTTGAGGGAGCAACTTGAACTTACTTCTAGATAGCATATCACAACTTAGACTTATACTATAGTACAACTAGTTAGCAAAACCATATAACTTAGACTTAGAGAAGTACTACTACTTAAATGTAGAAGAAGAAGTGACGCGCAGAGGCGTTGTTCTTCATCTTCAAGATTGTACTTTTACGTCAAAGACTTTGACGTCATAACGAGAAAATTTTTTTCAACTCCCGGTAATGGTGTCCGTTGTCGAGCACCACGAAGGGCTTGGACTTCGCTATGTGCCCTTTCGTGTCGTAAAGACCCAAGTTCCACATCACTCTTCCAATACCGTTTCTCTGCTGCTTAGACGAACTAGATTTTTTTCAAGAGGCTGAATAAGATGACATAGACTTTTTTTGACCTAGTACCTAGTAGAAAAAGTCATGAGAGCCAACATGAAGATAGTACACCTACAACTGCTGCTCACGAGGACCAGGAATATTCATTATATTAGAGGTTACCACATAATTGCATTCTTCAGATCATCCCTGGAAAAAAAAGTCAAGGATGGTAGTGAAGAATGCAATGTCGTGGTAACCCTTAACATTACTGCAAATTTTGTGCGGCAAGATCGCATCCATAACATTGAGTACTTCTCCCTTGCCATCTCCTGCTGGATTAGACGAAAACCACGAAGGATGCAGATCCATGGAGATGATGCAGATCCATGGCGGAAATCAAAATCAATTTAACGATATTATAATGCAGTAGTTGCTCAAGAACATGCACATACTGCAAAGTTGAAGTTGATTTTTTCGGGGCGATCCAATATAAGCAATGGCACCACAGACGGAAGGCCACCTCCATGATTTTGCGAAGAGGCGAAAAATTGTTGTGAGTCACTACGGCCACCCTTAACTGTTTCAAGAAGCGAAGCACTTTCTTCCAACGGGTAGTCCACGACAGGCGGTAAGGCAAGAAAAGTTTAGACCTTGACCTTCGCGCTCTTCCCTGAACTATGTTCGTTGCCCTCCCTCCGTCTTCTAAGACTGTGGAGGCACTCATCTTTGACGCAAAAGAGTGTCTTCAAAATCAAATCTACTACGCCTCTAGCTCTACTTAAGTACTATATTGGGTCCCTTTTTGAAACAAAACTCTGTGTCTTCACAGATAGGACACCTCTAGCTCTGCCTATCTTTAAATACTAGCACGACTAGATGTTCAAGAATCAAAAACTTGCAGAAGATGAAGAAGCCTCTTAAAAACTAGAATCCTCATCCAGATCGTCAAAATCGTCCTCGCCGTCGAGAAAATCGTAGTGCTCGTAGTTGTAGTGGTCGTAGATGTGGTCGTAGCTGTAGTGGTCGTAGCTGTAGGGGTCGTAGTTGTAGGGGTCGTAGTTGTAGTGGTCGTAGTTGTAGTGGTCGTAGTTGTAGTGGTCGTAGTTGTAGTGGTCGTAGTTGTAGTGGTCGTAGGATGGCGGCAAGGCCAAAAACGATTCCTCTTCCGAAAGATCTTTCGTATCTTCCGTGACATACGGCTTGTCAAGATATATGAAAATATAAGTACATGAGGAAACGCATTAACATCAAAATCCTATATATGACTCAGGGCCGAACGGCCCCCCCCCTCCCCCCCCCTGTGGTCTGGTCTGTGGTGGCGCGCCCGCGCGCTTTTCCGCGCGGATTTTTCGCGGATTCTAGTGGTGGAAGGCCTCAAAACTTGGCGCCTTCCTCCCCTTGGGCCTCTCAGCGTGTTCCCAAGGGCCACGGCCGCAGGCAAGCCGATGACCAAGGGCCCGGAGGGTTCAAGCGGCACGGCTCAGGGGGTCCAGCCCTTCGCCTTTTGCCGTCTTCGGAGGCCTTCCGCTGCCGGTGCACTGCTGCCATCTAACCCCCCAAGTCTGTAGCTAGGGCACATGCAAACGAGAAGGAGGCAGCGAGCCCCTTGGCCCCCCTTGAGGCCTTCCACCTACGTCGGAGGCCCCTGCGGGACAGCCAAGCAGCTGGGAGGAAGCGGAGGCGGCCCCACTTGCGGCCCTCTTGAGGCCTTCCACCTCCGTCCGAGGCCTCTAGGGGACCCCAAGCACCTGGAAGGGGACAGGGGGGGCGGGGGGGCCTTTTGAGGCCTTCCCCCCCCGGCAGAGGCCTCAAAAAGGGGTCCAGGGCGCCCGCCCCCCCCGCTAGGGGGGGGTCGTCGCCCCGCGCCCTGGAACATATATAGATAATCGTTCCGACAATACATACGATAAACAACATGGGAAATAGCCCTCGATGGTAGATACGACAGAATAAGACGCATAGGCTGCAGGGTGGAATAAATAACCCTTGATAGGGGATACGATAGAATACGACGCATACGCGTAGGTAGTTTAAGGGAGTAAGTCTTACTCAGATAAGAAGACGCCCATGCTTTTTCTTCGGTTTACTGAGCAAAACGAGGGAAAGCATAGGATAGGACAGGATAGGATAGGGATGCGCGCCTTGAGTCCGCAGTCACGCAAGGATGGCCGCTAGGGTTACAACCTTTAGGTTAAGTCAGGGCATAACAACTTTTTCTCCTCTGATTATGGCCAATAGCTGTTGCCCCTTCGCTTCTAGTTGCTGTTTCCTCCAAGCATGTTAGAAAGGTTGGGAGCCAGTACTGATCGCTTGGCTGATCGCTGATCCTTATCCCATGTGTGTGTCCCTGTCGCAGTTCCTACCAGACCACCTAAGATTTTTTTTTTTGCGTTAGGACTATATGCCACCTCCCTCTCAAAAATCAGTTAATTAACATGTTCAAGACTAAGATCCTATTGAGACAAGGATCTCCTGGTCATCTCAGGAGGATTTTCCTCCACCAGAGCGAAGAACGGATTGCCTTAAGGATGTGCTCTGAAATAGTGATTAGATTGCCTTAAGCACATGCCCTAGTTGTACTGTCATTAAATATAGTGATTACATTGCCTTGAGCATGTAGTCTCGTGCCTCTAAAATAGTGATTAAGGTTGCCTCGAAAATAGTGATTAAGGCTGCCTCGAAAATAGTGACTAAGGTAGTACTGAATCTCTAAAATAGTGATTAGACTGCCTTAAGCATGTGTTCTGGCTTCAAATGCGCCGAACCTTTTGACCGCATCCAAAATCTTCGTCCCTTCCGCGCGTAACTTTTTCACGCTGGCTTGTACATTAGAAAGGGTAAGATGAAGCAGAACCTATGCCATCCTAAGAAAAAGAAGTATTCTCCCCTTCAAGAAGTGCGTATAGAACTCCTTCGCCCTTACAGAAATCCTCCGGGCAGGATTTCTATAGTCATTTTTTTTGTAACGGCATTTGCAATGAGGCAAAGTATCTAAAAACTCTAAACAATAAGTAAAAGTAGTCATAATGATCTCAGATAATTGCAGGCGTTTTCTTTTTGGTAGCGCCTTCCGCTTCGGCTTGGATTTTTCATCTGGTCAGAGGAATATATATTGCGATGGAGTCGATTCTTATCCCTCAGTATTCAACTAAACAGCTACCTGCGAAACTCAAAGAGGACCACAAGGAGAACAAGAACCTACTTACTACTACATTGTAGGTAAAAGTGAGTACCTTCAAAATCTTCATCGTCCGAAAAGAAAAAGTCATCCTCGTCCTCAAAGTCATCATCATCCTCTTCCAGTTCCTCCTCCACTGCGCTTTCATATTAGAAGAAACACTATTGTGGCTCGTGTTACACGATTCTTCACAACACCGAGAACTGTTGTTGTTTAGGGCTACGGTTCTAATAAGCAATCATGCTAGATGCAACAATTCACTGAGTAGAAGAGTCATCGTGGTTGGTGAGTAGAAAGAAACAACACCATAACTGTTGTGGTTTAGGGCTCTGATGGAGAATGGATTTCGGACTGACACTAGTACTGGAGAATGGTATTAATACTTATAGGAGGAACTCAGCACGGTCGTGTTGGGCGGAAAAGATATCAAAAGCATCTATCATACTATTAAATCTCTCTAACCTATCATACTATTTCTTGTATGATAGATCAAAAACCTATCTAATCTATTCCTTGTGTCAGGATCAAAAAAATCATTTACAACATGTAGTTCTTCGTGTTATTCAGTTTCTTGTGTCTTCTGGTAGCATAAGATGAGACCTCAATTTCCGAAGATAATTCCTCCGAAAAGTCCCAATTCTCACTATCGTCGTCGGAGTAGTCCTCACTGAAGATCTCGTCGTCCGAGATACTGAGACTCGCTTCTTATTAGAGGAGAGAGAACAAATTTAGAACAACATTCTACATAGTCTGTGATACTGATAACTATAACTATATCAACAACAACTACACAAGAACATATTATTAGAACAACTAAATACCAGCTAGTACGGGAGAAATTTAGATAGATCAGCAGCCTAAGAAGCAATGGGCTCGCCATCCGAGCCGCCCGCCTGCTCCTTGGTGCCGGTGCCGTCCTTGTTATTAGAGCCATGTAGTATATTTGAGCGAAAATTGTTCTCGTTTTTGAAGTAAATCCTGTACTCGACCTATTTCCTCAAGAAAAGTGCACACTCCTTCCTCACTCCTACTACTTTCTGGAATGAAGAAGAAAAAGTAATACAAGTCACGAGAAAATGTGCGGAAAGTAGTAGAACGACATGTGCACTTTTCGCGACTTGTGTTACTTTTTCTTCTTCACTCCTACTACTTATTCGAAAAACTGAAATAAGCAAGTAACTACTGAAAATAAGGGAGATACTGATGAGAAGGAAGATGAGTAGCCTTGACGTTAAGCTACCTCCCTTATTTCAGTCAGTAACTCGCTTATTTTGAGTTTTCGAGTACTGCGAAAGACTCACGTCTAATGTAGAAAATGCTAACAACTCTCATCCATTCGTTCTCACAAATAGTTCTGTGTAGACTCCACGGCGACGTGGGCCTTGTTTTTTACAAGTTTAATCAACGCAAAAAAGCAACAGAAAAGCAGCTAGTACAACTAGTTTTTTAGAAAGTAGTAAGTTCTACTTTTTCCGAAAAATAACAAAAATTGAGTAAACCCTTAACTCCCTCCTCCTTCGAACCAGGCTTGGACGCTGGAACAAGCTTCGGCGCAATCCACCGCTCACGATCAGAATCCTCCCAGGCACTTCTTACTGTCAGATCTACGCCGCTTCCGAAGAGTTAGAAAAAGTCGTACCAGTTGTAGTAGAAAAAGTACTAGCACTAGCACTAGCTAGTAACTGGAAGGTTCTTCTAGGACGTAAAAGGAAGGCTATAATTTGTGTAATTCTTGCCTATTTCTGTAATTCTTGCCGCATGGTTGTTCCTAAGACTAGAGCACGTTAGAAGACAAGAACAGTTCTAGAAATGTTAGGACTTCTTCAAATCTCATCAAACAAGTCTGTAGGACCATCAAACAGAGTCGACAACAATGTCTACTGCTAGGACCATTAAACACGTCTCTTGTACTTGTTACCAAGGGAGGTACTAGAAATGTTCAAGAAAAATCAAACACGTCTCTTGTTGCGAGTGAGATTCGATAACACTGGCTACTGCTAGTCTGTTGCCCCTAAGAGTAGAGCAGGTTGTCGACTTTCACTTGCCTCTTTATCTGGGCCTGTGTTGCCTGCTTTGGCTCTTTATGCGAGCTTTGCATCTCGAGAACGGACACACGCGAATTAGAGGAGAAGGAGGAGGAAAGGAGGACGCCACTGGTGGTCGTAGGACGAGTAGTAGTAGGAAGGAGTAGTATAGGTAGACCTATTCGAAGGGTCCGTTCAGCAAGAGGGGAGGGAGAAAGGGTCTGTCAAACGCCAGAAATGAGTGTAGGAACAGGCAAGAAGAAGAAGAAAGTCGTTTCTTATTCGGGCATAGGAATTTCAATACTTTTTTGTCACGCTATCGCGATCTTCAGTACTATAGCTCATAACATCTGCCGCGACTTCCACACATGCTTCCTCATCATTAAGATCGAAGGTGGTCATCTCAGAGGAGGGCTGAGCAGCATCTTGTCTTGCAGCATCGTCCGCCAGCTTTGCAGCCGTGCCTCCAACATTAGAGAGTGAGCCATTGAGTTCATCTAACGCGGCTCATTTAAGCGAACAGACCTACGCCTAAACTGTCCAGCCTTCGCCGACAACATCTTCAATGTAAAATCAATTTGTGATGATAAGCCGAGTGCGGTGCTGGTTCAGTCCTTTAGGCGTTGGCCCCTTCACTCATCATGAGCTTGAGCAAGTGGGTTCATCTGAATCTAATCTGTGAGCTCGAGTCCCTATCTTGGTCTCGGTTTCTTATCTGTCGTGGTGCCCTGTAGGATAATTCCCTTATAAGTATCTTCTTGTACCTTTATCCTTGTACCTTGTCTCTAAGATGATCTTCGGTGAGTACCTTGTCTCTAAGAAACAGACACTAAATATTGACCATAAGAAAGACGGTTGACTGTGGTGCTGATCTTTTACTTCGTTCTCGAACCTTCTCAACGACAAGACGGCCAGCACATTTCTCTTTGTCCCCTCCTGATAAGCAAGCACCTGCAGAAATTAGCGCTTTACGACTGACTCATTCTCCGGCCCATTCTCCGATTGTCTTGCCAAGTACTTCTATACCACGACAAGTCCTTCGACAAGAAAAGAACATGAATAAATATTAAGAATCAATAGAGATACTTGCTAGATGTGAGACAAAAGAGCAACAACTCATAATAGACTATTTTCGTCGACTGCTACAGCTTGCCCCGGCACCTCTTTCAGAGATAAGATTAGAGCTACCGCACTCGCATCCTTCGGAGCATCTTCCTTGGTCTCTTTTTCTTCACAACTAGAAAAAAATCCAGGGACCGACGCTGGTGACGAGGATGCTTCAGCGGTGGCCTTAATAAGAGACTACTCGTGTCTTCAGTCGACGCGGTCTCTTGGTTCTTATTCCTCGTCCCCTCATGCGTGACCGCGTCCACCACCAATTTGGATGATCTGCTCCCCTGTTCGTTGCCAGTATTCAAAGGCGACCGCGGCGCAAAACTGGAATGAGAAATGTCCAATGGATCCTGAGACGTTTTATGTAATACTTGCACTTGCTGCTGAAGAATCATAAGTTGTGGTGGAGCCCTAAGTGAGTAAAAACAAACTAGCATCGATCTCAGATCTCCTAAAATATAATCAAAAGCTGTATACTTTTTCTGCAATGCAGCTTGGTGCTGAACCAAAAGGAAACCGGAGAGGGCTGCGAAGAGAGCGACAGCCGGCAATACCAAAATGCAGATTAGAACCCGTATTAGATGAAGATGATGGTGGGCGTACCTCGTCTAGGGGTAGGGCGTTAGAACCCGTATTAGATGCCGATGATGATGGTTGTACCTCGTCTGGAGGTCCGAGGGATAGGGTAGGAAGTTATTCCCCGTCCATAGGAACAAGTTCTTGTACCTAGTCTAGACTTGGTAGAGACAGCGCGTACAACAAGATAGTTCCTCGCCATAAGAAGACTCCTGATATAACGTCACAACAGCCTCTCCGTGGTTTCGCGACACCGCTCCCTTTCTTCAGCACCATCTGCTCAGACGAGTCTAGTCCTTAGAGCTGTTATAAATTTAATATTTCTCAGGTACTTATCTTTTTATAGTCTCAACATCCAGCATGTGACGATTTGAATCTATTCGGCGAGCTGCCTAAGATTTCCCAGACGAGTTCTACCCGATAATCTAGCCTGTTGTTGGATTGTTAGTGGTTTATCGATATATTCAAAATATTTCTCAGGTATGCTCAAATCAAATCTACTCAGGTAGCAACAGGTGCAGGTCCTTAACGTCTCAACGCGACGCCTTGTTCGAGGGACGACGATGTCTCTGACGCACGTGATGTACGTGACGCAGATGATACGACTCCTGAGATGGACGAATCGGCTGAGGAAGCTGAATCCGATGCATTCTTGCTTGCAGATGAAGCGCCTGTGGTTAGAGCAGGTGCACATCTAGTTGTGGGTTAGGGTTTAGGGTCGGAATAGTTTGATCATGTAGTCCTGCAAGTTCAGGGAGAAGCGTGGCAGGATTAGTTTGATTGAGTATCTTCTTCTGATATCATCATGGTCGCCTTGGTCTCACTCATTCTACTTTGTTGTAAACACATCTATACCCACATTTCTTAAGGGAGAATTTGCCTTCGCCGTTTCTGATTTTTTCGATCCTCTTTTTTTCTTTGTGGGTGGTGTCTTTCTATGCCCTACACCCCCCACCATGCTTGTCCCGCCATCCTGCTTATTCCCATCTTGATCACTGCGTTAGAGAGATCCTAACAACGAAAACAATAACAGCCTCTGCTCGAATCCAGTGGGGCGAGACTCAACCAGCTCGACATACCAATTGATTGATTGATTGATTGATTAATGTGCGTGGCAAGCGGTCTGTTTAATTCAGAAGGTTTATACAGACTATGTTAATACAGATGATACACGCCTACAATCTTTCTTATAGGTCTGCACTTGTGTGCGGTTTTGGGCTAGCGCTCAAGGCCGACAGAATTTCGACGCTCGTGCATATATTTTTCTAGCTTACAGTGCTCCCCTTAAACCTCTGAGTGAGCTCTTGAAGGTGTTCATCATCTGCCAACCTCTCATTATGTTACTGGCCTTTTTTTCTCATCATCATCTGCCAACCTCTCATTATATTATTGCACTGGATAAGCCTACTAATGTGATCAAGGTGAAAACTAGCCTCTCATTATATTACTGCCCTTGTATTTGCAACCATAAAAATCATCCTGGAGGACGCCACCTCCGAGAAGTGGCGCAGAACCCTCGTCCTCGGTAAGGCCACCGAACTCTCCACCAGGATTTCCTCCACCAGGACTTTCAGACACCGAGTCCTTCCATTTCTTCCCCCTCCTCCGCGTCCTCTTCTTGGGTGATGCTATTCGAGTACTTCCGATTAGAGTTGTTGTACCTCGCTCTAGAGATGATTTGATCCACCTATGTTGTATTCTTGTACTGCTTTAATCCTAGTGAAGATGCTATTTGAGTACTTCGGATGAGAAAACTCGGCTCGTTTGTATGTATGTATGTGTGTATGTGTGTATGTGTGTATGTGTGTATGTGTGTATGTGTGTATGTGTGTATGTGTGTATGTGTGTATGTGTGTATGTGTGTATGTGTGTATGTGTGTATGTGTGTATGTGTGTATGTGTGTATGTGTGTATGTGTGTATGTGTGTATGTGTGTGTGTGTATGTATGTATGTATGTGCCTAACTAGAGGCTTTGCATTTGATATCGTTATAGATGCAATAAATTAAAACTGTACTTGTGAGTTTCTAAAGTTCAGTAAAAGGGTCAAGGACTTAGGACTAGAGGCTCTCCTTTGCTTTGGTGATGCTATGGATTTCGAGTACTACGACTTAGGATCTTTTCACTAGGAGAGGTCTCCGAACAATATGCCAGTCTCTTAACATTATGGAGCGCTTTCGGGAGCGCTTTCGGGAGCTTCTTACTTCGGGAGCTTCTTAGAATACCGAAAGCGAACAGCAGTCAGTCGACGAACGTTTCCGTTTCATTTTGTTGAGAAGGTACAGATACTAGTATAACTTCTGCATGTACAGGAACATCTACGATGATACCGTTCTTGAGAAAAATACAGAAGAACGTGCTTGCGAAAAAGTCTTGGGTTCAGCAGCTTGACTGTCAATTATAGATCTCTCTCTCTCCTCGCTCACCAACTGCTTTGGGCCGCTTCCTCTCCCTGCACCAGGACCAAAAGCAGTATTCTCTCGGTTAATCTCTCTATCATTTGACATCTCGAATCTTCTACCACTAGCGAGACACAGCGGTAATAAACACAGTGGTGCTAAACACAGTGGTGCTGCACACAGTGGTGCTAGACACAGTGGTGCTACACACAGTGGTAGTTCCTTCACAGTGGTAGTTCCTTCACAGTGGTAGTTCCTTCACAGTGGTAGTTCCTTCACAGTGGTAGTTCCTTCACAGTGGTACTGCAAAGTAGCTTTAGCTTGTATTTCTGTGTCCTGTGTGTGATATACAATTTTTATGAGCTCTCGTGAGTACGTGGATGCTGTAGGGCTAGCTTTTTGTTGGTTTTCGGCATGACTGAGCTTTGACATTAAGTATGAAGTTGCGCCTTTACCATCTGTCACTAGGGACTACTTGAAAGGCAAAATAATCTGTCTACTTGAAATTTAATTTTTTGTTGAGATGTTCTGCATTTACTGAATCCACATCTAGATGGTCGAAAGACTGAAATAATGATCATACTAACTGATCATTATTATGAGAAGGATTGAATTTTTTGTCTGTCCAAATCCACATCTAGAAGATGGTCGAGAGTTCTGCATTTACTTGGTATTTAGTCGTTGTCAAGAGAATCTTTGTATTCATATATAGTGCTGTAGTACACTAGTAAGTACTTTGAGGATTGTGAGTGCATACTTTCTTGGAAACTTTGAGGATTTTTGTGAGTGCAGATCTATGAGTCGTGCCTGTATGTCGATGTTGCCTAGTATACTTATAATGTGTACTTACGTGGTACTATGCGCCTAGTGCTGGTTGTATGCGTGTATGTCAATGTCTACTGACGTACTATAATGTGCCTAACGTGAGGTGTTCTTTGGTTATCTGTTCAACGTCGAAGGTAAGAACGACGATTAAGTATATGCTTTGTGAGAGTTACTTCACTGTCTAGTTTTCACAGTTGATCATCACGAGTAAGTACGAGATGTTGATGTTTCTATTCGATGCAAATTTTTGAGTGTGTTTCTACTCTCATAATTGCTGCAATCTTAGGGAGAAGTAGTTTGCACTCATCTCACGTAGACATTGACCGCCCACTGCGTTGCAAGTCTGTAGGATGCCCTCCGTACAAGGTCTCTAGGATGCCTGTAGACGAGCAGACCTCCATGTCTCCAAGTCCGGGGGCGACGAATCCCTGGGACATTCGCCTCTAAAATTCGTGCGACAACAAGGACATACTTCAAATCCATAGGATAGGATGTGCTAGGAGACTTGCTCCACCTTCCACGTCATTCATTCGGAGGGCCTCCACGAGAAATGTACGGAGTTGCGGGCTCGCGGCTGCAGTCACTGCACCACCACGTCCTGAGGCTACTATGTTTTGCTGTAGAAATTCAGTGTATCCTCAGGCGTCCACAACGATCGTAAGAGGATTTCACCCTAAGATTTCTCCCAGATCTTCGACGAAGCCCATCCCGTCCGCAAAATTCTCCGCCAACTTGCCGACCACTACTCTTGCGAGAAACGAAGACGCTGCAGTCCCAGGCCCACCTTCTGCCACTATGAATTTTTTGGATGGAGGGACTAATCTAGAACATAGGAGTTAATGCATGAGTGAGTGAATACACCCACTCCATGGGTAAATAAAGACCACTAAACTACTACTTCCGTTCGATAAGCAGGAATTATTCGAATAACAAACAAGAGTCAAAAAATTATCATAAATATACTATCTAGATATTAGTTTAGGATATGTGTAGACTACTACTTTATGTAGAATTCATTATGATATAGGAACCTGGAGGTCAGTCAAAAGGGAGAGATGTTAATTACAAGTGGAAGTGGGGTCAGCATGATCACAATGCTGGAAGTGCTCATCACGGGGAATACGCTTCTATGACTATTGGCAATATGAGACCTTCTATGACTATTTATTATGACCAGGTGGTTATCACCAGAAAGAGACAGGTAGTAAAGAAGTGCATATTTTTCTGTGCATGTATGTCTCTCGTCTAACCAAGGACATTTAGTAAAGGATTAACGTAAAAGAGCAGTAAAGGATTAACGTAAAAGAGCAGTAAAGGATTAACGTAAAAGAGCAGTAAAGGATTAACGTAAAAGAGCAGCAAAGGAGAAACCAAAACTATCAACCAAAGGAGTTATCATATACTAGATGTGGTGGAGCACCTGACTAGAAATAAAAAAATCAAAAACCAGAAAAGGAAAAAGAAAATCATTGTACTAGCCATAACTGGTGCTGGCTCCTCCGGACCTTTCTTTGATTGCGAGAACATCTGGCGTTAGAGATCTAGAAAAAAACACTGTTCCATTATGATGTGGCACTACCTCATTTCAGTCGTCAGCAAGGAATATTCTTCTACCCAAACAACGAGTGCCATTCTGTTGTTCTCAAAGTCTCGTTCTTTACCAGATCTTTGACCACTCTTAACCGAAGATGCTGAAAAGCGAGGGGCCCTTGGCTCCCTCTCCGTAGGTAGTGGTGGTAAGATGCGCGCTGCATGCTTTTCCCAGATTAGAAACTTCTGTCATTCCATTCCATGAAGCCTCACACCGGCTGGCATGCCAGCGCCTAGACTACGTGTTACCACGCCAGGTCTGCGGTATCTCTACTAACTATGTGCTAGGACCATAGCATCAGGAGCCTAATAAATGATAGAAAGCGCAACTGCCGATAGAAAGATCAATTGAAGACAAGCTCTCTACAAATTAATTGTTCACAACAAAACTCTTCGTCCGAAGTTCTTCTCATCTTCAACACTAACACTACTCAGCTGTTGTAAGTGCTATTAGCACGCACTCGGGCTAGGTTAGGTTATGGATCCTGCCCATCGATTTCCGCCGGCACCTACTCGACTTCGAGGATGATGGGTAACCTAAGTTATCAATGGCTATAAGTTATTAATTCGAATTCATTTTGATAGTATTAAACTCAGCCATAAGTAACTCCGGCCATGGAATGCCTTTTATTTGTTTGTCTACTAGAGTCTTTCCTGGCACCATCAAGTTCACGACGAACCACACGGAGGCCATGATGACGCTGCATCCTAAAATTAGAAGAAGTTCGGTCTGAGTTCTAATGGTACTTCTGAGAGGTAAGAACAGGACCTGCATTGCCATAATTGGGCCTAAAAGAAGTACAGGTTAGCCACTAGAAGGGCGCAGGCTAAGGGCACCAGTAGAGGCTTCATTATGCTCTCTCTGAGTCCCACTTTCTGAGTTCTGATGGTACTTCTAAGAAGAGGTAGCTAGGGATGCTTTTCTATTTTCTTTCTACTTCCAACGCGCCGCTCAGTCATTATTAATAGAGAGTGTGGCGGAGCTCCAGCGCCCGTCCCCACGAGCGTCTGTCATACGCGGGGCCCTAAGCGTCCAGATGGTGAGGACAGTGGCGAGGTATATTATATACCCACAACGCTGCCCAGCGCGGTAGCCGTGCTCAGCTGACTGACACGCTCGCGGGCAGACAGGCCAGCGGGCGCGGCATGCGGGCCGCGACGGAAGCCACGCCACACCTAAAGGGCTAGCATAAAAAGACGCCCACGCCCACACGGGCATGGTGAAGGTGGCGCGAAAGCTTGCACGCTTGGCTGCGGCGCTCCCTGTGGTCCGAAGCAGTGGCACGGCCCTCGCGCTACTAGCATCCGACCGAGGGAGACAGACCGAGAGACCAAGAAGAAAAAGCCGCGCACGCATACCGCCAGGGCGGCCGTCTGCTTTGGGGTCGTCTCATGCACTTCTGCCCGCCAGCAGACTAGCAGGCGGGACGGGGCGTCTCTCTGCCTGCTTGCCTCGCCTCTGCGCGTGCGTGTTCGCGCACGGCGCCACGCTCGGGCACTGAGCGCGCGCCGCCGGGCTCTGCGCCTGATCGCGCGGACAACACGGGGGGGCATGCTCGGCCGCGCTCTCTCTCACCACGCGAGCCGCACCAAGCAGCGAGAAGACTGAGGCCCGAAGGCAAGGGGGACAGAGGCAGGAGGCCCCGCAGCGCATGGCAGCGGCTCCTTCTGTTCTGTGCGTTGCGTCTTCGCGCGCGCCTCTCTCTTCTTTTTGGCGGTGCTCGTCCTCCCGCTACCCAACTAAGGACGGCGGCCTCAAATGAGTTCTGTTCTAATTACGTTCTTTCTAGTTCCAAACTATGCTCTACTTTCTACTTCATGATAAGCAGGTAGAAGAATTCACCTTGTAAGATGTTGTCCCAAAGGTGTAGCCCTACTTTTTCTTGAATGTGAGGAGAATATCGCCAATATTAGAAGACGCACTAGTTGTGCTTCTTAAATAATGTGACACTAAAACTATTATAACATCAATATCAAAAACAGCGGCCTTAAGAGTAGACTGAAAGGTGACAGCAAAAACTGGGAAGTCCATTTCTGTTCGTCTATTCTGCTTCTCTTCGACATGTAAAGACGGCCACTGTTTTTCAGTTCTTGTCGCTGCTGTCCAGTCAGCGTCAGATATGTGAAGAAGGCATCCTTAGAACTTCAAGTCATCCTTTTCTTCTCTAAGAATGAAAGTCAGCAAGAGTGCAAGTGCTCATGAGTGCAATACGAAAATATAAAAATGGTTAGGTAGAAGTTAGGTGTGAACCCTACTAGGATCACTAGTAGACGTACAACGAAAGAAACGAGCCTTAATATCTATTTTCAGAATCAGGAACAGAAAAGCGATGTGCGGCACCAAGGAATCTGGCTTTGCGGCCATCATGGTTTCTACACCTGAGAAGGAGCGAGAGGGAGAGATGGATATCTGAGGGTGGGTTTTTCTTACATTAGAGTGGGGTCGGTTGTATTTTTGTAACTTTGTAGTTAGAGGTAACACAGAAATATACATATAGTTACTTAGTAAAAGCACGTAGCATAAGTTTCTTATAGAAAAGGATAGGATAAGACAGGACTTAAGGTGCCACAGTTTTTTGACCTGAACTAAATCCAACACTTCTGACGAAGCCTGTTCTTTGTTCACCTGAAGGCTGAATGTGTGTAGAGGACTTGAAGCAACACCTACTACGCACACATCAAAGAAAATAAAAGACAAATACCAGTTGCTATATGAGCCCACGTAAGCAGAGCACCTGGCACGATGATCATCACCACATAGAATGCCGCGTACATGTAAAAATTAGAGTTTTTTACCACTATGACCCACTCAGATTCAGATTCAGAAGATGTTGCCAAAAGTACTCAAATAGGAAGTAAGACGAGGGAGCGAATGGGTGAGTGAGTGAGTGAGTGGGCGAGTGAGTGAGTGAGTGAGTGAGTGAGTGAGTGAGTGAGTGAGTGAGTGAATGAATGTACCCACTCCAGGGGTATACAAGACCACTACACTACGAGCAAAAGCTATCAAGACAAGCAGGGCCTATCTCAGTAGCAGCTGCGTCTCCCGCACTCTCCCTGGAATATTTTTCTAATGCTATTCGAAAAACTGAAATGAGCGACCGAGAACTGAAGTGAAGATCTAATGTGGAAACTACTAACCATTTTCGCACTATTCTTGAATTTCTTTCCCCTTCGACTCGAGCTGACTAGATTAGGTGCCATAAGAGAAACCGCAAGAAAGACGAACTCGTTTGTCAGGATGTAATAGAGGCTCTCTGTCTTCTTCGGATCGCCACCCTGATTTGTGAAAGGATAATTTCCAGTGAAGCCCTAACTAGAAAAAGGAGAAAATCAATCAGGTCTTCACTTGTCTATCGGCTGGGTGGTGATAATTTTGGCGACGGCGCACATGGGTAATGATAATTCTGGCGACGGGTTCAGGGAATGGGATGTAAAAAATCAAAAAAAATCAATATTCCCGCCGTGCTACTAATCTATTTGATATATTGGCGCCACTAATGACGATACGAACCTACTCGGCGATCTGCCTAAGATTCCCCTTTGATATATTAGCATAACTAATAGCAGAAGACTGTGTGGGAGTAGTACCCTAGGCCTGACATCAAGAGCTACATTATGCAAGCTGTACGAGTAGTACCTTAATTTTTATAACATGTTGTAAGTCTAGCTGTACTAGAGATAGTACCTTAAATCTCACATCCGCAACAACTCCAACTCCCATTCTGGCCTGTTTTATGGGTACTTTTCCCGAGATAAAAAACATCCAAAAGGCAAGCCGCATTGGTTCAGCCATGTGCCACAGGGCACTTGCCGTATGCAGTGTGTATGAAAGAGAGGAAGAGAGAAGATTGTAACTCTGTAGTTAGTAGCACACAGACACAAATATAGGTTTGATACTTAGTAATAGTACGTAGCCCAAGTCTTCTATAGGATGGGGTAAGATAGGATAGGACAGGATATGATAGGAAGTTTTGCGATTACGGTTGTTCTGCTAATAGGTTCCTCTTGGCTACTGATAGGGTATGAGGAAAGAGAGAGAAAAAAAAAGAAGGATTAGGGTAGTCGGTAACCGAAAGACTTTGGATGCTACAACTAGCAAGACAGAGAAGGTCAAAGCGGGTTTCTTTCGAAGAGTAGGATAGGATAGGACTCGGCTCGCCTACGGAGAGGCGAGCACTCCCGACTATGAACTCTATAGGCTTCGTTGGCTAACTTACTTTTTGGTAGAAAAGGTACGCTGTTGCGCACCTAGAAGTATGACATGGTATTGGAACGATCTTGATCCGTGTGTTGAGTAAAAATTGTCCTTCTCATAAGATTACCGCGATATTAATGAGAGTGCTGCCCCTCGCGTAGGCCCACTCATCGCATACTTTCTGGAAGGCTGTGTGATTAGAGCTAGCCCTGTCGAACCAAACCAGCCCATATTTTAGGGGTTCGAATAAGCCAGACCATATGTAGTTTATGAGCAGGGTTTCCACATTAGGACTTCTGGAAGCTTGAACCTTCACTACTCTAGATGAATCATCTTCTGCCTATTCCTTCTACTACTTCTAGCTGAATCATCTTGCTGCCCTGATGATCTAAATCAATTCTGACAGAGTCGCTTTCTAGGATAGAATAAGATAGGATATGTGACAGGATAGGGTTCACCTACGAAGAAACAGCCGAAAAAGTTGGAGTCAATTAGCAGACAGGCTGGCAAAATGTCAGCAGGATTCTTTCTGGATTTTTCTACCCGCTAATCGAGTTTCCTTAGGGTCTCTTGTTTGGTAGAGCCGTAAACTAGCCTTAACTACCAAAATATTAGGTAGACAAGCAAAGATAATCTCGATTATATCATGGCCTTAAGCTTCGCACCCTCACTGCTAAACACCCGCGCGTCATTCGGGTCTGGCTGGCGGGAGAATTCTGGAGCCGTTAACAGAAACCTAGTGATGTATGTCAGTCACGAAACATCTAAGGATCTGTTGAAGTTGACTCGAGGAAAACAATGTAAGCTACTATAGTCCTTGGAAACGTCAACTCTGGTGACACATACTCACCACCACCCCGTCTGAGGATAGTTATTATACCTTTGCAGTGCAGCTATGTCTACCTCATAATATTTTTATTGTCAGAAAAAATCTGCTGACAACTCTATCAAAATAGGGGTAGGGGTAGGGATAGGGGTAGTGGCAGTGATAACAGTAGTCGGAGTAGTCGGAGTAGCAGGGGTAGCAGGAGTAGTCGGAGTAGTAGACCCAGTCCCGGGGTACGTCTGAAGTTTGCACAGGGGGGAAGGGGGGCGTTTGCATTGTAGAAGCCGAGGAGGACAACCCAAAACCTTTCTATTCCATGAAAATGAGAGTCAGTGAGAGAGAGCCTACAACTCATAGCTGTGAGAGAGTACTCTTTCCATTCCTGTTTTCCCGCTGTTTTCTCCTCCTCGTCTGATAATATCCCAAGCTCCTTGAGTCGCTTCGCCGAGAATAGTTCGTCTTCTTAGATAGGATCACTATGTATCCGAGTAAGCCTTCCTAGATAGTCAAAAACATTCCGCATGAGATGAAACAATCCCGAACACAGGACAGAGATGCGGCACTATATCTATAGGATATTAAAGCGTAGCTCCTCAGCTGTCCTTGATCCTATCATGTGGCAACTGGGGATTATCATGCCAGAAGAGGTCCGAGTAAAAAAAAAACATAATGATCTTCACACTGTACTTCTGCTACCATGCCGACTAAAAGAACCCAGGTTCTCCTTCCTGATCAATATTCCGAAGAAATAAATGCGGGCACACTGTGAGATGAAGGGGCTATAGTAGCAACTTATACTAAATATGTGTTTAGTACGCTAGAGGCACTATTGATGACGCTCGTCGGTTCGCATTGGACCTACGACATGTAGCCACCAATTATCAAAAATCAAGATTGCCTTAACCCATTTCATCTTTTAAATCGACGACCCGAGGCCCAACAAAAACGGAGCGGAAAGTGGACAGCAATAGCATTTGCGCGGAAGGTTAGAGCGGGTGTCCGGATCTCGAGAAAGAAGCCATAAGCCTAATGATAACGCGAAGCAGGATTGGTTCACTCAATGACAAAAACTCCACTAGCGATGTAGTGTTTCGAAGAGTGCAGTGTTTCAAAGTAGAAGTACTTCCTGAGTTGTCTTTAATAGGGCATAATTTGTCTGCAAGAACAAAAGGAAGCAATACAGTCATCCGGGAGATCTTAGACAACTTCTCTTGAAGTAGGGCTGAAGCAATAAATAGTAAATAAAAGTTTTTCCCCAGAAAATTTAAGAGTAGTATTAGTATTTTCCTTTGCCAGCACTTGAACTAGGAAGCAAGAAATTTCATAAATGTAAGTTCCCCAGACAAGGCCGAAAGCGATGCAAGGTCGCGCCCACATCCCGCCGCCTCCAGATTAGACGAGAAATCCACCTTCAGAGGTCTAAGTTAAATAAGAGTTGAGAAGTTTTAAGTTGTCCTAGTTGTCCTTTTACATGTCCTCGGGCCAGTAGTGGTCCAATGCAGCATCTACGCGTGCCAGAGAAGAGACGCCCATTTTTGATAGTCAGAAAATACCCTTGTTAACCTTAGACAGTCAAAAACCTATAATTCCGCAGATAATCTTCAGGGAATCAACTTTATTGTTCCCTATTAATTGATGTGGTAGAGCGCCACCCTTTCCCTATTAAGGTTGTGGTAGAGCGCCACCCTTTCCCTATTAAGGTTGTGGTAGAGCGCCACCCTTTCCCTATTAAGGTTGTGGTAGAGCGCCACCCTTTCCCTATTAAGGTTGTGGTAGAGCGCCACCCTTTCCCTATTAAGGTTGTGGTAGAGGCCCAACCTCTTCCAGGTAGTAGTAGTGCGCAGTGTTGTAATAGTGGTAGAGGCCCAACCTCTTCCAGGTAGTAGTAGCGCGTAGTGGTACGTCTGGGTAGATTCTTTAAAGCCTTAACCGGAACTTCCACTCGGTGCTTCGATTTCGGCTAGTGCGTACATCGACTCCGTAAAAAAAAGTGAAATGATTAGAAGACGATATTGGGACTTAGGAAGGCCTGCTTATCTGATTCATCTGTTCTGTGTAGCACTAGGATAGGAGCCACTAGACACTTCTTCTTGGAAGAAAACGCCAAAGAGATAGGATAGGAGTGGACTCGCCCCCCACAGGGTGACCTGTACCGTCAGAGCGAATATGTGTAGCCGCAGGAGAAGGACTGCCAGTTGATTAATCAACTCACCCCGGGCACAGGAGTGGATCCCCCTAAAGTGGATCCACCGAAGTGGTAATAAGAGGCCGCTAGTTACTTCTTCTTAGTAGTAGTAGTATTAGAGGTAGCCACTAGGATAGGGGCCACTGACTAGTTACTTCTGCTTAGCAGTAGTAGAAATGAGTCTTCTCTACTACTGCTAAGAAATGAGTAATGCCACTTTCTTACACATAGAACTAAGCTATGTGTAAGGAAGTGGCATTACTCATTTTGTGTACTCATTATGTGTAAGGGCATAACTGATGTGTAGCTGGCATCGAACGTAGTGCCTCGAGTCGCTGAGGGGCTGCTTTTGTGCTAATGTGATGCTGCAATTGCTTCCACACTGTCACTTGCTGCTCCGCGTCGGCGTAAATCTTAGGACCCCAGGGGTCCCACGGCTCTGCCCAGGAGTCTTAGAGTGTGTGTCTTGTTCTTCACGACGGTTGAGTGTCTGTGTTGTTGGTTAGTTTTGGTATGGGTTGGTTATTCAAATAGGGTTAGTCCTGTTCCTTTTGTCCTGCTCTAGATAGAAATTATCTTTTTAGTACTCTCTCTTAGATGAAGAAAGTAAGAATTAGATTCTAAACTATTCTTAAGGATCATCCCATCCTGCATCCCAAGGGCTCTGCTGGCCGCCCCATCCTGCATCCCACTGCTCGCCCCCCTTGCCTCCCTTTCAAGATTAGGGAACTCTACACAGGTGGAAAGACGAACATTTACTTCTAGACAGTGACGCAGGAGTGACAACAATACTTCTAGAAAATTTAAATGAGACACATCACCAGACACTCTACGAGACGCAGCGACGCAGGAGGAGCCCATGCGGAGATGGTAGTCATGATGTTGTACTTGTACAAGAGTTTGACATACATACTTGTTAATAAATAAGGAGACCCGCCTTTCTTGCCATGTTGCCATAAGAAGAACCGCCTTTCTTGCCATTTTTAGAGAGGAGCGACGGGGCCCATCACAGTGACGACACTTTCCGTTTAATGCTGTAGAAGGAAAGAAGCCACAAAAAAAGCGACTTTCGGAGGCTCCGCAAGTAGGAGTCACAGTTCTCCTAATCAAAAAGGTGGCACTACTTAATTATGAAAGAAAACATCAAAGGAAAGTAAAGACAATAGATGTGATTCTGTTGCAAAATGCTTTATAGATAATAGGTCGTCAAGAGAACTCTGATCACCTGTGTGCCATAACGAAGCCACCGACATCGAAGCCGTTGCCCCCGCCTTTGTCTTTACCGTAGCCCTGCTCTTTGCCGTAGCCCTGGTCTTTGCCGTACCCCTGCTCTTTGCCGTAGCCCTGGTCTTTGCCGTACCCCTGGTCTTTGCCGTAGCCCTGGTCCTTGCCGTAGCCCTGGTCTTTGCCGTAGCCCTGGTCTTTGCCGTACCCCTGGTCTTTGCCGTAGCCCTGGTCCTTGCCGTAGCCCTGGTCTTTGCCGTAGCCCGGGTCTTTGCCGTAGCCCGGGTCTTTGCCGTAGCCCTGGTCCTTGCCGTAGCCCTGGTCTTTGCCGTAACCCTTGTCACCGCCAAAGCCCTTGTCTTTGCCGGAGCCCTTGTCCCCGCCAAAGCTCTTGTCCTTGCCGTAGCCCTTGTCCCCGCCTAAGCCCCCCTTATCTCCGCCGAAGCCGCCCTTGCTTCCCCCGAAGCCCCCCTTATCTCCGCCAAAGCCACCCTTATCTCCGCCGAAGCCACCCTTGCTTCCCCCGAAGCCGCTCTTATCTCCGCCGAAGCCACCCTTATCTCCGCCGAAGCCACCCTTATCTCCGCCGAAGCCGCCCTTGCTTCCCCCGAAGCCCCCCTTATCTCCGCCGAAGCTGCCCTTGCTTCCCCCGAATCCCCCCTTATCTCCGCCGAAGCCGCCCTTGCTTCCCCCGAAGCCCCCCTTATCCCCGCCGCCCATACTTTTGCCGAAGCCCCCCTTGTCTCCGCCGCCCATACTTTTGCCGAAGCCGCCCTTGTCTCCGCCGCCCATACTTTTGCCGCCACCACCTCCAAATCCGCCACCTTTACCAAAGTCTTGAAAGAAGAAAGTTAGAGGTTGCACCAGGAGCATTACATCCTTCAAAACTGAAATCTACGAATAAGTATGTAGCCTGACCTTCACGGCTACCCTCTTCCCCTTACAGACGTAAGTAGACCCTTAAGCGGAGCCGCGATGGTCTGATAGATGCGAAAAACATTATCTATATCACCCTTGTAACTACAACGCCTTAAGACAAAGGAGCCAGGGGATCCAGGGGATGACGCTTCCTCGATTTCCGACCCTTCTTTAGAGCTGAAAAGAATTCGTTTCTTATCATTCGTATTCGATAAGCTGAAGTAGCCGAGTGGCCTAGATAATGATCTGCTCAAGTACTCGGTTAATATTGTGTGAATCATACTCGCTTATTTCAAGACTGCGCGCAGTTCCTTTCTATAAAATCCCATATGTAGAGAGTTCCGAGAACCATAACCCTTCGAACAATTATACCCTTCGAGCAAAGAAATGAAACATACGAGGAAAGATGAAGCAACTTCTTCTGCTTAGGTCATCGCCCCTAACTTCGGCTCGTCGATACAGGTCTTCTACAACTCTTCGTCTTCGCTTGTCCCGACTATACTTCCTCCAGGCAGAAGCTGTTGCATGTTCGGAACGTTCTTCTTGGGGAGCTCGGCTATAGCTTCTTGCACGGTGGAGGTGATTGCGATGGTGAAACCCATGCCTGCGTTTCCTTCCTGACCCGCGAGTAGCCGGCGTCTGCCCATATGCAGATCTGCTTCTTCTAGTGTGGTCTCCTTGTTCCCCGTACAAGTCTTCTCCACTGCTATTAGAACTCCTAGCCAAACCCCTTTTCCGGCTCATCAGAGATGAGGCCCATCTTCAGGCTCATCGATCTTGGTTCCCCCGTTTATTCCCTGATGAAAAACGGGAGGGCCAAGTACATGCTCAGAAAAATGCTCGGGAAGATGCTTGGGGTTTCTTGTAGCCTTAATACTAGGCGACCAATCTAGTCCTCTGCGTTCCCTCTTTTCTTCCCATTCGAGGAGGCGCGAAAAGGTAAATTGCTTAGTCTTGGACACCTTCCGGACAATGACGCCTCCCCTGTCCTCTTCTTAGGGGTTGAAAGTTGACCGCTCTAGCTTGCATATCTATGGCTCTCCTCCTTAAAGAAGCCACAGAGATGCTCGCTGAGATGTCAACTTCCAACGCATAATCTTCACTGCCGGACGTCAGAGAGGACAGGGAGTCTTCGTCTAGCTCCGACAAGAGTCGCTCGGCCGCTGACTTATCAAGGACATTGTCGTCATCCTCCTGAGCATCCTGCATAGCATTTTGCGCAGCGCCATTACCAGACTCCTGAGCCGCGGAAATTAGTGGAGACGAGACAGCGAACTACAAATAAAACTAAGTACCAGTAAGTAGGACTACACTAGAAGTACTTCTCTCCATCGATCCTTTTTTAGCAGAAAATGAACATCTACAACTTGTACTTTCTTCAAACATGACAACGAGGATCTAGTACGTCTACTTTCAGTCCGCCTCGTATTCACTGGTATAAATGATTTATGCGTTAGCGTTTGTCTATATTAGAGTAGCCACTATTACTATTTTGTATTTTCATGTGAGTGTAGTCCAAGTCAACAGCCATGAATAGGCTTGGCGTGTCAACAGTCTTCATGCACTGGATGGAGGGACTCACCCAGGAATTACGAGACAAAGAGGACCTAGTCATGCCTTGCGTGTCAGTCATAATGCAAGCAAAGCCCGTTGCAAAGCCTTGTCTTCATCTTCGTCCTCCGCCTCTACGCCTGCACCACTACCACGCGCTTGCTCATCCCCTTCAGCTGCTGGGTGCTCGTCCTCTGGCTGTTCACCGTAATAGAGAAACCGAAAAGCATTTGTCGCGCCCGTTCGTGTTCGCTTCGCACAAGAGGAAGCAGGTCCAGAATCATACTCATTGTCATTGCGTCCTCTCCGTTTCTTGCGCTTTAAAACAACCTCCCCGTCACTACTTCCCTCAATGGCATCTACGGGGTTATCGTGGTATCCCATGTCTCTTGCATTAGAAACAGGTTTCTTTGCTACAAGAAGGAAGAAAAGAAACAAGTACGTCTGATGAAACTACGACTAGTACTAGAACAGCAATAAGTAGTACATATAAATGATGAGATGAAATACAACGCTTACTTACTAACCCACCTGTACTGCGTACTTGAAGTTTAGTCTGTTAACACTCTGTACAACGATCCAATCTCGAAATGTCAACAACCGTTAATGACCCTGTAGACTTATGAAGTTTAGTGTGTCAATAACACTGTAGTACATGATTGGTCCAATTCCAATCCTTAACTTCATCTGTCAGTCTCGAAAACCGGAATTCGTCTTTGGGTTCAGCTGGTGTTGGCGGGAACATGCCTCTTCGCCATTTCCTTCTCCCTCTCGATGGTGAAATTGTTGGGCCATCTTGCTCCACCCCTAATTGCGGAGCGAAAACCAGTTGAGCCTCTGCAACATCTGGATAGTACATCCCGCGACCCCATTGGCCTCCCCCACCGCCACCACCCCAACCGTCGTCCCACCCACCACCACCACCCCACTGGCCTCCTCCACCGCCGCCCCACCCGTCGTCCCACCCACCTCCACCACCCCAACCGCCACCGCCGTAAGATTAGACCTCTACGGGATTCACCTTTTAACTGCATGATCCTTGACGAGTCTATTCATTCATTCATTTGAACCACGCCGCATTCAACACTGGGTCACTACAACACTTCTCATCAAAGCATCTTACTTGGACAACTACAGCACTCCCCATGAATGCAGCCTGCTTGAAGAGTAACACTCCCTATCAATGCAGCCTACTCGAAGAGTATACTTCAGGGGCATACTTCGTTTTCGCCCATACCTTTCAAGGATCGATGCAGAGTATTTCTTAGGAACGTAGCTTTTGAGTGTTTCTGAGGAACTACATGCTAAAGAAAGTAGTATTTCCGAGGAACAACATACTAATTGTTGAATTAGGAGTTAGTCGTTGTGTTTCTCGATACTGTTCGACTTCGAGCATGATCATGCAGTCAAAGATGAAGTGGTGAGAAGCTTCATAACCGTAGTAACCCCCGCGATCCTCTGGATACTCCACTACGTCCTCGTACACTTGGCCAGTTCCGATGATTATCTTAGAGAAGGAGAAAGCTTCAAAGTAGCTAAATTATCCATCCGTTAGGCTTAGGATTATGTTTCTAAATAAAAAATCCAACCCGTATTAAAACTATCAATCTGTAGTCTCTCCAGCTAGCAAGTATCTATCAATCAACATCCGTGCATCTTCATATCGAAAGAACAACCCTACTTATTCACTATGAACCTGTACCTATCTTTCCTAGAACCTGCTAAATAATTCAAATCAAATATGATCTCCAAAGTACCTCTAGAACAGTCTGATGTCTCTCCACAACCTGCTAAATACTCCAAGCGGAGTTCCCACAGTTCTACTTAAACTAAACGACCCTTAACTATAATGCACGGATCTCGAAAGGGGTCGCGCTCGTCCATTGCGAGATTGAGCGGCAGGACGGGGCCTCCGGGACCTCCAGAAGCATCCTTTTCCCCTTTTTAGAACTCGCTACAGAAGTCCACCTTTTGTTCCCTCATCTGCTTCCGTTTTAAGAAGAAATTCTTAAAAACAGCTGACAGACGCGGCAAAAGATGGATTAAGTGAGGCCTTAATCTTTCTCGTTCTTGCTGGCCCATTCCCCTACAGAATCTGTCGCAGACTTTTTCTTAGGTTGGACTACCTCCACCATTAGAGAAGCTCAAAACATGCATCAAACCGATTCGTTTCCCTTGCCTACATTTCGCTCAAGAATCCTAAGAAGGAAATTAATAGGGAGAAATGGTTATTGTAGAAATATTGAGACGCGTAGGACTAGGATTATTAGTCACGCTACGTGTAGTTCAGTCTTACAAAAAAGAGACAGCCCGATTTAGTCGACATGTGTGAAATGTTTCGCGTGTTGGGATAAAACCTAGGATATGAGGGAAAGTTAACCGGTTACTTTTCTTTATGTGCTATAAGTTTTGAGCCTTAATTCCTCCACCGATGTTGTATGTCGGACAACAATAGGCGCCCCGCGAGCTCCACCCTCGGAGGGATAGCCCCTTTGGCTTGGTTGACGACGCGGAGGCTCCTCCTCCTCCGCAAACGAATCCCCACGCCACACACTTCCTCCACATATATTAGAGCACTATCTACAATTCAGTTGAGGAAGTATAGTTGTAGTTCCACATACTTATATCTATAGGTGCATAAATCAGTAGAGCACTACAAAACTATCAAGTAGCAGATAAAGACACTGTAGAAGTGAATCTGTAGTCTGGTACTTCGAATTAGAATTCTTGCAAATTGTTTGCAATCTTCCAAGTAGAATTCTTGCAGCACTTCGAAAAAGCATCTATTTCTATTTTACGTGTGCTGGCCCCCCAGAATGAACCACGTAGCAACTACAAGGAAACATCAACAGGCCATAACCTCCGACGATTGCTCCGACGATGACACTCTCTTTTTCTTGCTTTTCTTGTCGTGACGGCTGGAATGCTTCTCCTTCTTACTCTTCTTGCCTTAGCGCTCATAAAAATTATTTTTCGAGGAGGAGACTTATATTAACTGAGACCATATAAGTTTAATACTTTGTTCTGAAGAAGAACGGACGAGATAACGAATATTATCATGAGTTATCATATTTAAGGTTTAGGCAGGAGGAAGCAAACCCAACATCATGGAGAAGTGAGTACTCTTGCTCTACCTTTTGCTTCTATTATTATCCTGGAGGAATAGGATATGAAGGCAAAACTAACTAGGCGCTTCTATTATTATCCTGGAGGAATAGGATATGAAGGCAAAACTAACTAGGCGCTTCGATAATAATAGTATCTATTATTATCCTGGGGGAATAAAGCAAATAACTACCATGAGCCTTAATTATCGTCTTTCTTGGAAGATTTGCTTTGCTTCTTTTTGTCACTTTTCTTCGGCGGCGGCTCTTCTTTCTTCTTGCTACTACTTCGGCCCCACGTACGCCTCCCCTGACTTTGATTCAGCATCGACTGAAATATACCCCGACTTAGAGGTAGAGGCATTCTACCTATACTAGATACAACATCAAATAGCAATTTCTACCATCTTCAGACGAGGTACTATAATACTGTCTACTCCATCTTCTTATAGATGATAAAACAAATAAATATTTCTCTGTACGACCATCAATCACCTGATAGATTGTCATGTCGTGTGTAATTAGCTACTCGAAAAACTGAAATAAGCAAGTAGTAACTACTGAAAATAAGGGAGATACTGATGAGAAGGAAGACGAGTAGCCTTGATGTTAAGCTACCTTCCTTATTTCAGTCAGTAACTCGCTTATTTTGAGTTTTCGAGTACTCAAGAACCAGTTAAAAACAAAGAAGATTGATGATTCTCATCATCAAAAAGTAAAAGAGGGATCCACTTGTATTAAATAGGACTACCTAAATAGAGAAAGAATAGTCATCCAGCCGCAACAATTCTCCTTCGGCAACGGGCTGGCGTCCAAAGGCCTCTCCTTCAGCAATAGGTGGAACAATCACTTCACCTATCCTTAGAGTCAGTGGTCTTTTGTAAAAATGGACAAAACTAGTACGACCTCTAAAAATAGACAAAACTACAACATCCACATGGTAGATGACAAATTTAAACTTCTAGAAATGTAGTTCACAGCATGAGAGGACAAATAACCTGGAGAAATTTGACAGCACATAACTCCGGTTGTAGTGACGGGCTCTCACCTTCAGGCTGCGGCACTCTGGCAAATCGTGCGGGATGCTCATTTTGATGAAGCGCTGCACCTTGTTCATCAAACGCGGCCACACCTTGTTCATCAAACGCACCTTGTTCAGCTTCTTCGGTCAGGGTTAGAGGAATGCGTGCTGTAGTCCCTGTTGCCATCGTTCACGATGTTGGCTGTAGAGACAGTAAACACAGGGTCTGACAGTATTTCAAAGATAGAAGCTGCGTGTGTGCTGGGACGTCGCCTGCCTTAATAGTACTACTTACTCGTCCACTACTTCCACCACTTACAGTTACAGCACCTACCTGAGACAAGAACCACATCAGGTGATAATTTCTGGATCGAACTATGTCATGCGTGCGCCTCTGTTATGATCCTTCGTGATCTATCACCGTTTTTTTTTTTTTTTAAGTAACCGTAGGGACCAAATGGCAGCCATCTACGAGGACGACTCCCATATTAGCCCAGCTGGGAAATACAGATCGAGACCAGGCCCAAAGGGATACCCCGATGAGCATACAGTAACGTACTAAACCGTGAAATACTCAATCTGATGATGATGATTGTACCTATTCTTGAGGTGTTGGGCTACTTCTAGGGCAACATCTTCAAAACCTTAACTCGCTTGCGTCGGAGCCCGTTCTCGGAGAAGAAGAAGAGGCTTTACTTCTAGAGGAGGAAGATTTGCTACTAGAACTTTTACCAGCACTAGAACTGCTTTTACCAGGACTACTCGAAGAAGAAGCAGCTTTAGAGTGGTCTTTCATCGTCCTAGTACTTGTTCCTCTTTTACTGCTAGTAGCAGTTCTTTCGCTCCTGTGTCTTAGAAGAGGTCACGACTTTCGCAAGAATTCATCTTCTCGTTACGACGTAACGTTAGCTAGATTCTTCTCAATCTCAAGCAGAGGGACTATACCCTACTTGACTTCTTCCAAATTATAACTACAGTTTGAATCTTGCGAGAAGCAGATTGAGAAAGCTTATTTTCTTGTAGAGATGAATTCCAACTGATGTCGTGAGCAGTAGATCCCTTAATTGTCGAGGACGTCTTGCTTCGCCTTCTTCGCGAGGACCTCCTACAACTATTGCTTCGCCTTCTCCTCCCCTAGCACGAGCACCTTGTCCTCGTATAAAGTTCGAGAAACTGTCTACATTTTCATGTTGATCTCCTTCGAAAGTATGCTCCTCTCCTTCGAGAGTATACTCCTTCGATATTTCCCTCGATAATGATATGCCTTGGAATGCCTGTCCTTGAAGGTGTTCCATATTATGGTGGAGTGATTGAGCCGTTTCACCTTCGGCTCCATCTTCTTCATCGTTAGGAGGATCTGCGTCACCACTAGTAGTTGGGTGTTGTGATCCCAGGAGCGTTGACGATTCATCCGCATCAAGAATGCCACCTTCTTCTACTAGTTGCACCTCTTCGTCTACTCCTGCGGGAGTATCATCGTCAGGCACAATCAACGGCCGCGAAGACATCTTTGTAATCTCTTCTAAATGCGAATCTTTTCGTTCAGGTTATGACGCGAGGAAGTCTATTCGTTCAGGTTATGATGCGAATCTATTCGTTCAGGCTCATTTTATGATGAAGGCGGATGTTGATGCGACCTCGAGGACGACATCATCCTATTCGTAACAAGATGAGACTATAGTCTTCTGCTGTTCACCATGCCTCCTAGACGTCTACTTTAAACAATCATACTACGAAGTTTGTGTAGCACTTTGATAAGAGCCAATGAAGTCTGCTAATCTCTGTGCCATTTATACTGCTACATGTGTCGAGAAGCCAATCAGCATTTTTTTCTCGTTGTGAAGGTTCTCACCAATCAGGAAGACAAAGGAGCTAAGCCAATCAAATTGAGTCGATGTTGTCGAGGAGGCGACTGTACCAAAGTCAGGGATCGACGGCGGTTAGGTTAGGTTAGGTTAGGTTAGGTTAGGTTAGGGGAATCGAGGCGATGTTGCGGCAAGTGGGTCGACTGCATACCGACGACGCGAAGATGAGCGACTGCGATGATGATACTACAGATACACCTCTACAGATTCCACAGCCTCGTACACTGATAAACCGATGATAGCTGCATCTGAATAACATAATTTCTACGTTTTTCTACGTTGCAATGCTGAAGAGACCGATACAGAAAGAGTTCTTAGGACTTTCGGAACGTTTTTCTACGAAAGGAGTTCATAGGACATTTGTTCTTCTAGCGAGCTTTCGGAACGTGTGAACTAATCACCCTATCTGCATTCTCGTGTTTTCCTTTCTCTCTTCTTCCGTGTCAACTAATCACCTACATCTAGATACTTCCTGCTTTCTTCTTGGCCTCACTACTACTTATGTTGCAATGCTCGCTAGAAGAACAAATGTCCTATGAACAGAAAGAGTTCATAGGACATTTGTTCTTCTAGCGAGCTTTCGGAACGGTGCAATTTTCACTTGGGGGTTTTTTAATTCAGTTCAGTGGGCGACTGCGGCTGCCCCTCAAGCTGAAGAGACCGATACAGAAAGAGTTCATAGTTCATAGGGTGTCGAACGAGTCAAGATGCCGGTGCAACGCCTTCAAAAGCGTCTATCAATCAATCAAGTAGCGCGAGCTTTCGGAACGTGTAGTTCTGCGAGCTTTCGGGACGTATGATTTTTTGGGTGCAATTTTCACTTGGAGGTTTTTCATGTTCATCTTACATCTGTTCTTCCACGTTTTTCGGGTTCTTCTGCTTCATTGTGCATTTTTCTTTTAGGAGGCATAGATGGGCATACATAGTATGTAGGAGGTTGTACATGATGTGGTGTATACAGGAACGATAGCTTCTTTGGGTATAACGAACTCTCTAATTGGATTCTTGGAATTTTGATGAAAATTTATGTCTACGAAGAAGGAAGAGACGTCTGTAACTACAGGATATCATACCGCAAGTAACATTTTTGGACAATAAACTTTATGTTGCTTATTTGGACAGTGGTCCTACTTTCTTCAATTTTTTAGATATGTTGTAGGAAGTTTTAGTTCATCTATGTCTGTGTAAGTATGTATAAATACTACTTAGCTGGAGCATTGTAGCATGATAAATATGTAATAAGTGTGTGTTGCTTGTGTATTCTGTGTTGTTTGTATGTCTTCATCGTGGCTGTAGATATTCAACAAGTTCTGCAATTTTCGTGATTCAGAAAGTAAATTCAAGTATTTTTGTCTATGCAGTAGAATTATTACTGTTCATGTTAAATTCAAACAAATGCCCTAGTTGTAGAACTAGGTGTACTTCTTATTCTTCTGTTTTAATATGAATTCGATGATTTCTGCTGTGGAGGAAAGACCATAATTCTATTTTCTTAAGTCTGACCTAATGTACAACTACCGTAACTTTCTCTAAGAGCTTCTCTTTTCACGACTCCACCACCGTCTACCTGATCATGAATTGGCCTTGCCCAGAGCATTCTCTGCGTATCTCCACCCTAAGTCTTCTATGCTACTTAAATCTTCTAGGATCTTGGCCTAAGCTCTGATCTATGTCCAAAAATCTATCTCCTAAGAAAGACCTATCTCCATAAATCTATCTACACCTGATAAATGGACAAGGAGCTCCTTATTTCCGCCACGGCCACCGTTTGTTTCCCCCATTGGCTTTTTTCAGAGCATTCGCCGCCTCCTTGTCCGTTGCGACATACATGCTGAACAAATCGCTGAAACCCCACTTGTTTGCGTAGATGTCTCGGTGCGTTCTTCGAGAGCAGATCTCACCGGAGGTTAGAGAGGGAGAGAGAATGAGATTATTGAGATACTCTTTATCTCGCCCATATTCAAACTACACCAACATCTTCCTCCCTCATCTCCCTATCTCTCTCTCTCTAGATGTTTATGTAGTTTGATGAGGGAGGAAGGTGTTGCCGAAGGTCAGCAGTCAGTGGTCACTGATGCTGAACGGAAGAGCCCACCTTCAAAGCTCTCCGATCTCAGTGGCTAACCCCAATGACCAATGAAAGTTGAGCCTTAATGTTGGCTACTATTGAATCTCTTAAATATGCAGGACGAGGGAGATATGGTGTCTGATATAGTTTCTCCTTGGAAGGGTCTTCCCGCCTTTGCCGAGGAATACAGGTACAACAACAACAACAAACAAAGATGAAGTCTTTTCCCATAACAGATCGAATAGAATCCCGGTGCGTCGATGCAGGAGTTGCGGAAGCGTAACGTAGTAGAACCAATACAGGTAAAGGATGCCAATAACTAGGATTAGAAGAAGATAATACATCTTCATCTTTCTAGAGAGAAGAGCTAGAGGACCACTCTTTTCTCCAGTCTATGCTAAAAGAATGCCTCTCTAACTGCAAGTACCAATAAATGCGTCCGAAGGTGGTAGAGTCTCTAAGTACAAAAGTCTCTGTAAGTACAAATTTTTCTGTACCTACCTGTAGAATTATGTGTCTCTTCAGATTTTCAAATCAAGATAGATTATTGTCACCATTACGAAACAAAAAACTAAAAACCACTGCGCAGCAATTACGAACCCTATTCTCCCTGAAGGAAGTGAGTGCAGACATAGAAGCTGAGACAGCATTACGAAAAAAACATACAAAATGAAAAGCCAACCCTGTAGAAGGAAAGCTGCCATAAAATGACTGCGACACCGAAGAGCCACTTGCAGATTGAGACTTCGAAACGTCTGGCTGTTCTCGTCAGATAGAACTTCGACTTCTCGGCTTCCCGTCTACTCGCAGAGGGCACTCCACACAGGTAAATGAAATCATCGATTTCCAAGATCACGATGAAAAAAGCTGCGTTGAAGAACATTTCGGCTGCATTTCCGGATGTGTACCACTCTAATCCGGATGACAGTGTGATAATTGCTTCCATTAGAAGGCGCCATACTAATAGTTTGGGTATACTAATAGTTGGGGAATATGAGAGGACGGGACAATTGACAAGGTTCAAGGTTGCAGGTCCGCTCCTGAAGACTCCCGGCCAGGCCGCACGGGTTTTTCAAGTAAACTAAAGCGCATAGTTTGACGGGCATGCCCTTCCTCGATGATCTCGAAAAATTTGAAAAAACAACCCAAAAAAAACAAGCCAAATCGGAATGAATCCGTTTCTTAAGATGATGACTGGAGGTACCACGACAAAGAGCGAAAAACATATTCGGAACCAGTATGGCAATCCAAAGATCACGAATTGGTCCGAGACTTCATCCTTCTCTTCATCAACTTCGACACCTGGAGAGAATGTTATTAACATTTTGCTTGCTGAAGGCAAGTTTGGTTCCGGGGGAGAGAGAAAAGAAATGCTCAGTCACCATCAGGTAGATGTTGAGATCAGATGATCCTCAACTACGACCACTAACTTAGACATCAAACAAATTTGTACTCATGTACAATACAATACAATACAATACAATGCAATCCAATGCAATGCAATACAATACATTTTTTTTTTTTTGTATCGGGAGCGAGTTCCGATAAATCAAAACCTACCTGCGTATTTTGTGTACTAGAGGTAAAAAATACCAATGCCATGGGCAAAAGATTTGCATTCGTGAATGGGCTGACAGGAGAAGCAGAACCAGCTGACCACTCGCAACTTGTCAAATATCTCCCTCATGAGGGCAAGCACGTGGACTAGCGTGATTGGAATCAGGAGATACGGCTTTGAGGCAGACCAACTGCACACTTCGTCTAGCTCACTCTTGAATGAAGGAAGTTTCCCATTCGGCTTGAGGCGATTAGATGTATTCATCTTCTTGTTCTAAAATTACTTATATGGAAACATCAGCAAAAAGATACCACCAAACGAGAAAAGAATGCTCACAAAGTAGAAGATCATGGACAGCACTACTTGTATCTTTCATTCTACACGGGAACAAAAGTTGTATAAGGGTTGGTATCTTCCTCGAGAAAATATTTTGCTCAGAAAGTATAAGTGGACGGAGAAAATTAAACCAAAACATTATAATCAGGTAGTAGACCTTCCTTAGACAAAAAAAAGAGTTTACTTCTCTAGAACAACAGATGACAGTAGCACTTACACGTTTTCATTTCATCTAAATACAAATAGGGGTACTACTACCCTTTTATTCAACATGAAGTCCGTCGTGGCGTATTAAATATTAAAGTATCGGTCGTTGACCCCCTCCATAATCAAGGACTGGAATTTCGCTTGCCACAGGATACTTTCTGGGCCCGTGAAATCGTACTGGAGGTAGAAGATCAGCATAAACTGCAACACGTAGCTGGCGAACAACAAAGCAGTACTCCAAAGCGCTTTTATGTAGCACATTACATGACCCGTTCGTGGTCCCGCTACTGAGGCTACTCCACCGAATGCGTTCGGATTAGCGGAGAAGGGAGCGAGAGGGAGAGAAGGGCAGAAATGTAGTAGGATGGAGTGTAGTAGGAGACCAGGGTGTACTAGAATATTCAATTCTTCTGAAATCAAAGTGCTTTTTCACGATTAGCGAAGAAGTAGGATAGTACTTATAGGAGGTGATTCGCCGCACACAGTTTGACCTGTATCCTCGGGCGAATATGTGCAGCCACAGAGGGACTGCGTACCTACCAATCAAAAATTATTCTTTACCTTCAAAAATCTACAATCTCTTGCCTCATTATTTCATTGGACAATTGAAACTTGTTCAAGCCGTAAATATAGTATCCACCAGAACGCACGTCTGCAAATTGTCACCGGGATCAAAGTAGCAGCTAATCCGACTCAAAGCTGCTCTGCGGGTCTTCTGTCTTCGCACTTTCATCATCAGAGAAGGTTAGAAGAGGAGGAGGAGGAGGAGGAGGAGGAGGAGAAGGATGGAAATATCCATTTCCAAGGACAAGGGAGCCTAATGCTAATGGTAATGAAAGTATCTATTTCTGATGGACAGAAGGAGGATCAAATCACAAGTTTCCATAACAAAAGAAGCCATCAAAAATTTGTTGAATCATCATATTTCAGAACAAGAAGGAACTATTCTGTAAAAAAACAAAAAGGATGATTTTTTGTCCATCATCGCAGATGTCATCCATAATCAAAGTTATCTGCACCCAAGTCGATGTCCGTGCCGCCCAGAGACCCAAGAATGGAGTCTTTACCTGAGTGAGGTTGAGACTCAGATTTTTCAGAAGATTCAGAATAAACGACTAAGAGTCAGTGGATTACAACATAGAACAAGTAGATGAAACAAGACTATGACTATAGCTGCTTCTCGTTCAGATTTGATGATTCTTCGGCTATCCGAAAACGAGTAGTAGGTTACGAATAGAATACAAGAAGATAGCAATTCTTATAGTGCCAGCTTCATCTCCTTCAGTTCTTCTGATAATTCCTTCTACGATTCTTTCTTTTACTTCTGCATCAACTATGATGTATCAACACAAAAAATACCTTTCTCTCCTTCAGCTTTGATCCTAAGATTCTTCTTTCCCTTTTTTGCTTTTTTGGCCCTGTGATCTCCATTCCCACCTTCTTCTCCCTCTTCTACATGCGGCGCATGCCCTTCCCCCTCAGGTTGTGCTGCACCACTCCCTTCTCCATCATCATCGTCCGCGATATGAAGGAAAGAAGGTCGTAGTCTTCCTTCTTCTTGGGGGCTTGGTTTTTGATTGAAGGGAATATCATTTACCTAGCACGAGGTACTGTCTCAGGATTCGATTCGGATTGGACCTCTACTATGTGCTTTAAGCGTCTCGTGACAAAGACATGATTGTAGACATGACAAATCTACTCGGCAATCAATCTGCCTAAGACATACCCAAAATATGAGGACATACCTAACATTATCTTCCCATTCATAAATCAACAGCCCCAATCCATTGCCTACACTGTACAAAGCTGTAGGATCCACAAAACGTTCGCCAGTGGCCAGAATCCTAATGCTAGGATCCTGGGGTTCCTGCTCAGGCAAAGCCGCGACAAAGGCTTCATATGGATCAACATCTCTTCCATCATCTTCTACTTCTGGTGCTACTTCTGCGCTGTCTCCTTGCTATGAAGAAAGGATCATATAGGAGGTGTGTGTGGTGTGTGGTGTAGTTAAGGGAAATGGAAATTAAGGAGTCTAGGAAATTCCTAATTCTTGCTATGAAGAAAGGATCTATATAGTTCCAATCCAGCCTACTACGACACCAGAAGGACACAAAAACACTAAAATATTGTAAGACCCAAGAAGAACATAACTCCTGCAATCCAGCTTGCCAAACGTCATCGATGAGAGGGTCTTCTTCACCAGCCTCGACGCCGATCTGACTCACGGCACCGACATCCCTTGGCGCTAGCAACGCGCCTGTGTCCTCCGACATCTTGAATGATCTACGGACTTTTAAGAGGTTGTTGTTGTTTTATCTGCTCGCCGTCCTTCCACTAGTTGCTCCACTAGGTAGTTATTGTTCCTTCCATTCGTACTACGTAGTTAAGAAAGATCTTTACAAGCTTTCCCTTCTTTATAAGCCTTTCCTTCAGTCGTTTTTTGTTTCCTTGTGACGAGGAATATTGGTCTAGTAAGTATCTTTACTCAACAATAATTGAAAACAGTGGATTGTTCGGTTTCATTTCAAAGGTATCCTGGGTTTAGGAGATTAAAGAAAGAGGAAGGGGGAAGTTTCGGAGGTGGTTGGGTCGATTGTGTTCTCTCACTCACGACTTCCTACACTTAATACGGGAGCTCACGTAAGAAGAGAGTCTAGCCAGTCACCGAAGAAACATCGAAATGTGACAAGTGAAAGCCAGTCAACGAAGTGGTAATGATCCTGATAATATACGACTTCCAATGCCGATTCCTGAATGATCGAGACAGAAAGACACTTACTTGTCGATACGGACGTCATCTGATGCTCTCGTAGTTGTACTGTTAGAAACGGAACACTGACACTTCTACGTCGTGCAAGATGTTACTGGCGAGTCTCCTGATACGGATTTTGACTCAGTGTGTAGAACCTTCGACCACGACGATAACCAAAAATTATACGTATTGTTCGATGATACTCACATTTCGATATGACTCAGCAAGTCTATGTACATTTCAGTTTTTAAGGCCAATGAAAACAATATGCTCCTGTACAAATTGCCGACTTCTGGATTGATGTTAAACTTAAATGTCTGAATCAATCTACTTCAGCTTAGAGAATTTTACTTTCCCTTGTGTCTTCTCCAGCGCACTCTTCCACGCTCTTCGTGTTGCTTCTCCTGTCAGGACGTTCTTCTGCTGCTCTTGTCGCAGAGTTGATGTTCTTCCGGATGCTTTAGAAGTCGTTGTGGCATTCCTTTCAGGTCCTCCCCTAGCACTTCCGGTATTGTTCGGCATGGTAGTACTAGCAGTAGTACTCTTCCTTCTAGGCAGCATCCAATCGGCTCCGCAACCTATGGGGACGCGGAGACCTCTGAAACCAGCTTCCCATTCTGGTATCCCACGCCTAACCGGCTGACACTGGTGACCGCAGGATATCATCTTCTTTGATGGTACTAGGATTTGTGACGCTGTCTATGTAGTATCATGTTGTGTGTTATGTACTTATGTTATCCATGTGCTATGAGACCTATAATTGCCGTAGGCCTGAATTGTGAATGATGTTGAGAGCGTCTTCTAGTAATAAAGATGACTTGCTGCAACTACATATTTACAAACATCATGATTCTGTTCAACTAGCAGGCAAAACGGGGCGAAAAACGGGACACGAAGTGGGGATAATTACACGAGAGCCTTCTAGTTCCAATTCCAAAGGCTTCTAGGTAAGAAACGACCGATGGTAGACACCGATCGCTAGACAAGAGATGCGCTTTTACATCCGTTGGATGTGTGAGCGTCCGTATAAACCTGTCGCGCTTCGAATTCGAATATTGCTGCTATGACGATATTGATGCTCTCTGCACATCCAGTCGAATTTGTGAATCCTGCTTTACACAAAGGGGCCTCTAGCTCACGAGCACTTACACAAAGGTGCTCAACTTCCTCCGAAATCAAAAAAAGTGCATTTTCAAATAACTGGTGTCCGTCAACTTGTCGCATGCCAGAAAAGTAAAATTCCAAAAAACTCAAACGAAGCTCTGGCAAAGTTCTTTTTTCTATACAACCTGTCCATAAGCCAAGGTTTGGGACGAGGAGCCGACGGGCGCAATATTCGCACTAAGCAACACTTCGCTAGTGTCACTGAGTTGCAAAACTTGCATTTAAAAACTGGCATTCAACACACGAGAAACTTGCTTACTTCTAATACCGATGCATGAATGCAGGGTAAAATGATTGTGCATTATGATGGTAGTAATGAAGCGTCAAAATAAAAGACAACTCCAGTCACTGACCAACATTAAGCTCACTAGCATGCACTGCAAAAACTAAAAAATAAGGAAACCTCATATATGAAAATCAGATTGCAATGACTCACAGTAATTCGTAGTTGTACATTTCATTATTGTTCGCACATTTCATCATAAAAAGCACATACCAGCTCTGCACAATTAAAGTGAATACTTCTTACCTCCCACCCGTCACCAGCTCCTCTTCTTGCACGAGGACTAAAGAGAAACCACAGTACTAGGTTATTAATCTTGCACGACTAAAGAGAAACCACAGTACTAGGTTATTGTAACATGTACCTATAGTAGTAAGAAAGAAGAATCGATGAACGAGAGTACAACTTGTCACCTCATCAGGATCGCTTGTAATTCCCCATCTTCGAATTTGCGTAGAAATTGAGCCAAATTATAGCTCCCTCCAGCCACTCTGACTATTGGCTTGCCGTTCTGTGCTAGTATTTGGACTTGCCGTGTTCCGAATCGGTAGTTACCGGGAGAAAGCCGGTGAAATGGCAACAATGGGCCTTGGGGCTTGTGAAGCGTACTAGAATTAGGAGCATGCGTGCTAGAATTAGAACGATCAAGCCCTTGTTGATGTTGTATTCTCTTCTGTAGTCCTGATTCGTCTTTCGTCGAGGACCTCGAAGTCTTAGCGCTACTTCCTCGAATAGTTAGTGGTGTCACTGTCATCTTTGCAGAACGGCGAGAAGCAGAACCAGGCTCTCCTTTTTGATCCCCAATTACACGCAATGACGAACAACTAGCACTACTTCGAAGATTTTGATTCTTTTTAGAAGCAGACGTTGGTGTCCCAGATGTCGTGGGTGTCCTACAAGTGGGTGTTCTTGCAGTAACTCTGCTTTGACGCTGTCCGCGTCCTCGTAAAAATGGGCTTGGGCATCGCTGTGACGATGAAGATGGTGATGGTCTCGTCCCAACAGAACTGATACTATTCTTGATCTCCCCAACAGCTCCAGATTGCAACTTTTTCACTGTGTCTGCCAGCAGAACGTCCACTGCGTCACTTGCTACCACACTTTGGACTTGGATGTCGGAACTCAGGTCTCGGATTCTCTCCTTCAACCTTTCGCACTCTATTCCACGCTCAGCAACAAGCCTTTGCCCATCAATCACACGCCCTTCCACGTCGAATAAGGCGGTTTCATACCTGTTAGTAATTGGTGTGATTAGGCAGTAGAGGAGAGAATTAGTTGCTCGCTGGACCCTCATTGTTGTAAGTACTTAATTGTCAACTGAGTTTTTCATTTCCCTACTAGCAGATATAGTGGATGAGAGGTGACGTAGATGAGAAGTGAGATTCGAACAAATCGACAATAAAAGAATACTTCTCACTCGCTTCCCTTATTTCCTTCCTCACTACGCTAAGACTTTCTCTCAACCGCGCAGTCTCAAGCCTCGTCTGACCACTGACTCGTGGTCCTCGCTTACTAGCTTCCTTTAGCACAACCTCTACTTTTGCAGTCATCGCGTCGACCTGTTTTGTTAGGAATGTATTTTCCTGTTCTAGTTGTGAGTTTTTCGAGCATTGTTGCATCACGTCGGTGTCGCCTCCTCCTCCTCCGGCGTTGGTCTGAGGGGAAGGATTGCCGCTGTGGCAGTCGTTCTTGCTTTTACTAGTTGTTCCAGCTTCTCCACCTGGTCCACGCGGTCTAGAAGACGAAGAAGAAAAGCAATCTCCAAATGTCGTTAAATTTTCTTCCAACTTCGCCTTCAATCGAGCATTATCTGACTCTAACCGATGTAACAGATCTTTCACCGCATTCGCCCTTTCCCGATGCCTATCTGCCGTAGCTGACATCGCTTTTGCAATTGCTTCTGTTGCGAGTTTGTCGCGAAGTTCTCTGCTTAGAACAGCGTTGCGAGCCATTGCGTCCGCTAAAGCTCGGTTCAACTCGCTGCGTTCCTCTAGTTGCTCCCGATGTTCAAGGGCAACGCTGTTTTCGGAAACGGGCGCCTCATTTTCCTTGGTGTCGCCTAGCATCTGACTTTGGAAAGGACCCGTGACTTCACGCTTCCATGTTTCTTCGAGGTATTTTAGAGTGGTATGAATCAAGAATAGGAAAATTCATGACCGAGACCGTGCTCGTTGTTCTCGCCTAAACTCAAAAATAGAGCTAGGCCAAACTCTGTGTATCATCATGGTGTCCCATTTAGTACTCCTAGCCTAACTCTGTGTACCACAACCCTATGTGTACATTTGTGGCGGAGCCGACCTAACTAGAAAAAAGACAGACCAGAGGAAGATATAAAAGAGAAAAAGGTAACTATCAAAAAACGTCACCGCAAAGAACATAACTCCATCCTTTGTTTTTGTTCAGCCAGGTAGCCTTCGTGCACCTCTGCATACAGATTTCGCAGTTGTGTAGTCTCCACTGCGGTCTCTGTCGCTTCTGCCTGTACCTTCGCTAGCTTTCGCTCTGCATGGCGCAGTGACAGTCTGTTAGAGAAAGTAAAAAAAGCAGGTTTGTGTTGACGAAGACGAAGTAGAGCGAAGACGAAGTAGAGATGAAAATAAATCACGTTTGACTGAGACTCAAAAACTGCAAATACTTAGTACCAGCTGCAATCAGCATCTTCCTTAGTATTAACTCTGAAAAACATTATCTTGAAATTCTCTTCGCTTAACTCTAAGCATCTCGTGTCTATCGCGCAATGCTGTTTCTTCCTTCTCCGATCGAGGGGTTCGCAGTTGCAGTAACTGCGCACTCAATCGAGTAGATGCTTCCGCGATATTTTTCAACCTTTCCTCATGCTTGAGGTTCAATTTTTGAAGGCGTTGTTTTGCTCGCTTAAGCTCTTCAGCTTTGTGTGCGGTTGACGTTGTTGAGGGACCGGACGCCTGAAGAGAAGATGCAGATGGCTGATATTTGGTTTTAGGAAATCGATAGTGATAGCAATTATGGGTGTACGAAAAGGGAGAAGAGATCCAGATCCTCCTATAGTTACATAACAGTACCACACGAGGACCCAGCAAAAAAAATAAAGTACCACCTTCTGCACCCATTCTTTCCATGCACTCGCGTATTTCGAGAACCCCTTGAGCATGTCCACTCTCTTCCTTCGCGATTGAATTTCTTCCTCGCCACATGCTATGGCTAGTCCCCTCGCACCACAGTCACCATGCAGAGTCACAAGGTTTTCAATCAGCCTGCTTGTTGGTTGTACATGATCATCTTTGTTAGCCTTTATCGGTGAAGTTGTCCTGGAGGAGATGTTCGATAAGGTCCCGATCTCGTCACCAGATGCACCTGCTTTTGTTTAAAGGTCAGCAGTCATTGGTCACTGACTCTGAACGGGAGGGGCCCCACATCTCGCTACTTGTTGTCCCTCACTTTTCCCCTGTTCTCATCTCCAGGGGGCCCTGCTCTTCGAAGATTTCAGTGACCAACCTCTATGACCAATGAAAGTTAAGTCTTAATTTGTACTACCACTGCTGCTTGCGCCAAAAAGAATACTCCTCTGCATGTCTCCCCTATTCCGTTGTCGTAGCTCTTGTGCACGGTCGAGCAATGCTGGTGCTTTTTCAGAAAATGAACAACCAGCATGAAAACGCTGGAGTTTTCCATTCAAGATCTGATGTTTAGACTGCAACAAGCCTAGCATGCGCTGATACGGCTTCACTTTTTCCGCAAGCCGTGAATCTAAGGCTGAGTCTTCGACGAAGATTTTCTCAGCAGCACATCCGTTTTTGCGAAGTTCACCACTTGTTCTCGCACAACTCGTTCTACGATCTATATCTCGACGCAGTTGTTCGCTTTTCTGCTGTCGGCAATAAGGTACCAAAAACCTACGCACATACTCCAATGCCGTCTGTTCTTGCAGTGCTGCTCGTGTATGATTTTGCTTCTGTAGTTGAACTGGGGTAAGATGTTGACTGGCATCGTCCTTTTTCGGCCGGACTCGCAGCAGGACTAGTCGTAAGTCTTCTTGTTCCACACAAAGTTTAATAGGTTCTACGTTTTCCCGCTTCAAAGGTACCGTGATCGTCTCAAGTATGTAGTCTCCTTTGTCCATCGTATTCCCACCTTTTTCACCGCCATGGTCAGTGTTCTCCCATGTTCCTGTCGCTATCCACGAGGATACACTTGCTCCAGAAGTAGCATTGTCACCACCTACTCCTACGGCTGCTGGTGGACTAGAAGCTAGTATTAAACGAAAGTGGACCTCGGGATTTGTGGTGTAGTTGTCTTCTTCACGGAGGGAGAAAATGATTTCAGATTGGAAATCATAGGTCTCTCTGGAGGTTTTGGAGCACTGATTACTGGTTATCTCCAAACGAAGCCGGTGCCACTGGTGGCAAGGCACACCCTCAAGACCCACGACGCTGAGAGCCATTTTTTCGTACGTATACGTGTACAGTGCAGAGAGAAGTACTAGCTACTACATTCTTGTAGGAGCTGGTGTCGTTTCTATACTCAACCACGCCCTTCTATTTGCTTATTATACCAGCAGGCAAAACCAAACCTATCTTCAGACGAGAAGTCTTCCACACCAAGCGATCTTACGTACTATCACGCAGCACACTGGAACCTATTTTTCAACCTCGAATCGAATGGAAAAAATACTGAACACTCTATTTGGTTGTTCGCAAATTCCAACAACCACAGCCCACACACATGCGCGTGGATTCTCATACAGGATTTAGTCCAAAGAGAATGGCGCAGTAACGGTCTTTCAAGAACCATCAAGACGAAAGTCCCATGATTATGAAGTCCCATGATTAGTAGCGCCACTCTTCAGTCCAAGTGCAAATGAAAGCCCGTAAAGTCCCTTGTTGTGCCGAGCCAGAAAATATACGCTATGAGCAAGCCAATATGCGTGTACTGCGCCAATCCCGCTATGTGCAAGGCAGGACTTCTGCGTGAGAAATGAAAAGGGTCATTTCTGAAGTTGTGCTGCTAGGTCTACGTTGTATCATGAGTTATTACGAGTATAGCTGTAACTGTAGTTAGCCCCTGCTCCAGGCTTGAAAATATTAGAGGAGCAGCATGATGACCAGCCAGCAGAGTTGTGGAAGTAGGACCGACGTCTTGAACTACGTAATCTCTAATCCTACTACAACATCCAAGTCTTAAGCATAATCCTCCTCACCCGCTGGCCATTTGTCGCGTTTGGACAACAGTAGAGAATCAATCAGCATTCCTCCAGTTGTAATGCCTAGCGCTAGAAGATCAAGCATCAAAATCCTCCCCCGCACACGATCCACACGCGGGCGCACACGATCCACTGAATCAGCGGTGATCCATGTAGCTCTTGTGCAAGTTAGTACGTGCTCATCGTCGCCTATTCTTGTGGATGTGCAAGTTAACATGTGCTCATCGTCGCCTATTCTACTCGTCGAGGTTAATATGTTGTCATCGTTATTATTCTCATCGTTATCATTATCATCTTGATGAGTCTGATGTCCTAACGAGGACCCCTTTGCAGCGGCTGCTCCCTCCTGCGTCGGACATTTCTCATCTTCATCTTCTGGGTCGGATTTCCCTCCAACTATCGCAGGTACGATTGGAGATGGAATTGCTGGTGGCTGCTGAGATGGAATTGCTGGTGGCTCATGACCAAGGTCCAACTCGATCTTCGACGTTTGCAATGGAGATACACAGTCTGCTGCGCGTGGGTGCAGCGGAAAAGGAGGTGGCGCCTCTGCTACGCGTGCATATGAGAGAAAAGAAAGGTTTCAAAAAACAAGCACGAAAATAAGATATGTTGAGAGAAGATAAAAAGTTGAGAAACTGAGGAAACAGGGCACCGCAAAAGTCTACTCCTTCGTCAGTAATAGTATCAGTGGAGCACTCCTAACTAGGAAAAACAAAAACCGAAAAAAGAAAGGTCAGGCAAGAACTTATCTACTAAGTCTTTAGAATTGCGAGGTTCCTTACTTGCTTCTAGAAAGTCTTGTCGCTACTATTTTCGGACTCTTGTCGCTGCGATTTTCGGACTCTAGCTCCTTTCATACCGGTCCTAGCGCTACTATCTTCGGAATCGAGGTTCCTTACTTGCTTCTAGAAAGTCTTGAAACCTTTCATACCGGTCCTAGCGCTACTATCTTCGGACTCTGTTCCCAATCCGAGAAGATCACGTCTCTCTGGGGCGCAGGAATCAGATTCGAAAATCGGCTGTTCTTAGAAGAAGGGCCAGATACGTTCTTGACGAGTACATGACGAATTTCATTCATTCATTTACCTATCAAGAACAAATCATGGGCATCGAATGCGGTCTATCAAGAACAAATCATGGCCGCGGCAGACGGGGGGACCCGTATACTGAACAAACATGGACGAGGACCACTGTTACTTGCTAAGATTCCATCTTAACAACAACAGCTTGGGGTCGCGTCGAGAAGATTGTGGAGCCGATGGTGGAGACTGGGGGTCCTACAATTGCGTTAGCAACCAAATCAAATCGCGGACCCTCTAGTACTCTACCTTCCGTCGTAGTGGCCGCAGTCGTCTTTCTTAAAGCTCTGCTGTAATGGGCGGACAATCTTGATAGAGAAGCACCAGAAAACATTCACTACAGCGTATTTCGTCTTTAGTAGTGCCAGAGGACCAGAATATGTACTTCGACTTTCATTGACGAATCATGTACAAATAGACTAGAGGCTTATCTTAACTTGTCTGCCTCTGCGGACGAAGGAGGTGCGTCCATCACAGTGGCCTCAAACGCGATAGTCCTAGACAAAAACAGCATGACCAGCAAGTGCATCGGAAAAGACCCGAAGAAAACATGAGCGCCGACTGTTAGAGGACTCCTCAGAAACCACGTTAAAGAACGAGAATCTTAACCTTTTTCCCCAGGACCAGCTGTCGTTCTGTCTCCAGTAAAACGCAAACCTTTAATATTGATAGTAGAATCCCTTTTAGAGGACATAGATAATGCGTAAGTACGTTCTGCTCCTAATAAAACATGCAAAAGCCACTGTAGCGGATTTTCGTGCATGAAGAGGTATTGACCTTCCCTTTCTCGCATGTAATGTGAAGGCCATGGCCAAACGGCTAGCTGCCACAGTGCGACTCCGTTCACGATTAACGTCTGCGCAGTCAGATTAGAGTGAGGCTGTTACTAAACTCGGTATCTTGACAAGCTTGTCATAGCTACAAAATCGAAGGCAAGTAGGTACAAACAAGCTTTTCATAGCTACAAGTATAATTTATGTCGTTTTATTACATCAGTGTAGCACAAGGAGGAAAGTCGAAAAAGCTCAACTAGCCTTAACAAGACACACAAGCACTCGTAACTGTTCGTGTCTGAGTGGTCTTGCGACTCTTCTTCGCTCCTTTATTTAAAGCTCAGCATTCAATGGCCACTGATGCTGAACGGAAGAGACCCCCTTCAAAGCTCTCTCCTTTCCCTTCGTCTATTTCCCCTGTTGGTTCTCTCAAGAAGGGGTCGCTTCTTCGATCTCAGTGACTCCAATCTAAATGGTGACCATTGAAAGCTGAGCCTTAATTTATTGCCCCCGCACAAAGAAAAGTTGTTTTCTCCGTTGCTGTGGTCGAAGTCCTGCACCTGAACGCAGCCCAAAGATCAGGCAACAACCATTTCCGAAAAGAGACGAAAGCGCATGCCAGCTCCATCGCCAAAGGAATTGTCATCGCAGGACAACATGTCTGACTTGATTCGTCGTCTGACTTTAGCGGCCTCTGATCCTCATGTCTCTGTTGTTGTGGTCGTGTCATCATGGATGGTGCATGACATCCCTGCTGTCCTTGTCGTCCACGGACTAGCGCCTCTCTGCGCACCGGGATGTCATCCGAAACCGGTGAGACATCTGGACTTAGGATCTGCGCATGTGCCGCTTTACTTAGGATCATGGCTGGTTCTCTTTCTAGTGCGAGTAATGTTGTGATCTCTAGCAGTGCTTGATTCTACTAGCAGTCCGACGTATAGAAACCCAAATGGAAAAGGCTGAGGACATTCGTCCGACGGAATTAGTACGCCGTATAAGCCTTAAAATCAGCACAGTCTCCGCGGGAGCAGTCGCGTCAATTTAGAGTCTTCACCTGGAGCTTCGTTGGAACGCCGACCACGGCGAGGAGAATAATCTCAATTTCGTAAGCAAAGTGACTCAATTTTCATCAGCCTGATGATACTCGTTCGTGGAGCATCTTTTCATACGACAATAGAAGTACAACAAGCTGCCATAGTACAGTGGACAACGTCGTCCGACGCAGCTCTTACACAAGGTTTTAGTGATCACCAACCGCTGAAAAAATTCCAAGAGGAGTTCATTCACTCATTGACGAATCACGTCGTGACAACCTAAGCTGCCTAAAAATAGATTCAGATTTTTTCCACACACCGTTTTTACATACTGGGAAAAGCATAATGTCTTTCCACCCTAAAAAGGGGCTGCACCAAACTCGATGGACTGTGGCATTTCGGTCCCTCCCCAAAACTATTTGAGGCGCATAGCTTTAATCGCCACAGAAGTCGCTCTAGTTGCCGGCGATAGGAAACGGACAACGCTATCGCAGCTGGCAGCAACCCAAGTGTGACGCCCAAAGCCATCCAGGCACGTAGAAAATGTGTGCGGTTGAACATCATGCTGACGGAATATGAAAGAAGAATCAAGTAGAAGCTCTCCATGTTTTCGTGGTTCTCGTGTCTATCTTTGTAGAAATTCGCTTCGTGTTGAAGTAGAGGCCTTCGGTAATCTGAAGACGTCGGACGATGCAACTAATGTATAAAAATCACATATGCATAAAACTGGCGTCCCCACGACATCCGCATCTAGGCGTGCGACGAATTGGATGGTCAACACGAGGCAGAGGGACCAAGTCGCAATAAAGATCGCCGATCTGCGACCACAACGACGCACATCGACATTTCTAGGAGGTAACATCAGGTTTTTCATAGAGTGGGATGGAAGCTCTTGCAAGTGCTGCTTATTTCTAGATGTTCTCTGTCCAACATCACATCCTTCACTTGCCATTTCACAGAAGACACTTGAAGGACAAAAACTTCTTGAACCCTCTTTTGAACATGGAAGAGGGCTGATTAACATTAACTCGTAGACACTGTTTATGCTTTGTCACTGCTTCTGCTCTCAGAAACCGATAGAAAGTGTGGTCCTTCGCGATGCGTCTTTCGCAAGACAACTATTGCTCCCGCTCCGCATCCAGTACGGTGTATGAGTAGTTTGATCCGGACAGGAATTCTGGATTCCCAAGGTCATGATTGCATCATAGGTGTTGTCAGTGGATTGCATGATTCTTGCAAGGGGTTTTTTATGTTCATAAATCAAAATTGCATGATGACAAAGGGGCTACATATCTTCGCAAATTAGGGTTGCAAGAGGAGGTTTGTTTGTTTTTTCGTCAATAACGAGGCTTGCATGGTGATGATGGGTTTTGATGTTTGTGAATCGCGACTGCAATAGAGGGGTACTTTTACGACAGTTATCTTGATATTTTCATGACACTTATCTTGACATTTGCGTGATGAGTTGTAAGGCAGGACTTTTAATGTTCGTGTGTTCTTGTGATTGGATGATATAATTTGTCGTTGTTTAATGGAGAACAGGTTTGCAAGAGATAATTTTGATGTAAATAAGGAATATCAAGACTTTTGCATGTGGGGTACTCCACTGGTTGGCTTGGTCTTCAAAATTGTGATTGCATCAGAGATCGTAACCTTTATGACAGTCTTGAAAATTGTGATCGATTCTGTGAGAGTAGATAGTAACGCTTATTGTCTGCTTGTCTTCAAAATTGTAATCGTATCTTGATGTTTTTGGTGAATTGCGTGAGTTCCTACGTGCTGGTCATCTACGTGAGTTACAATCATATATCTAGACCCGTGAGCAAATATGTGAGTTCTTCATTGATTCAATCTTGACATTTTCCAACTAGATTACGTTCTTAACCGTGTTTAGTGTGAATAGTAAGTGCCGTGAAGTGTGGTTTTTAATCTGTCGTGACTGTGGGACTTAGGACATTGATCTTGATGCTCATGATGGAGTAGGGTCGAGCTACCTCTTCTAACGACTTCGAGATGAAGCCGTTTCTTGCTTCTAACGAATCTGCACATAGAAGATAGTCCTAATTTTCTACTCACGAGTATGGATAGCTCTACTTTTCTACTTACGAGTACGTACATCATTCATTTTGGATTGGAGTCTAGATCTACCGTAATCTTATCTTTCTTAGTGGAGTATGGGTCTACTCCGTAATAAAGTGCCTAATCATATTAGCAGGATAGGAAGAACACCTGGGTCTAACGCTAAGAGGATAAGACACGTTGATGACAAGAATGATGCAGATAAGAGACAGAGGTGGGACTACTGTTGATGATGGTGGTTGTGATAATGATGCACATAGGAGGACGAGGTGGAACTGCTGAACTACTTCATTTGTATCTAGTACTTGGAGAATTTGTATTATCGACCTCCTTGCTTTTGTAGGGTAAATAGCACATCATTCATTCTCTACAACAGTTGTGAGAAATGGTGTAGCCGTCTGCTTCTAGGAATTTATGTAGATGACTTTATCAACATGAGAATGCTTCGGTAGTTCAGCACTTGAATGATATAACTTCTACGAATCAATAAATCGCGTGAAAAAATTCTTATTAAAAAATCTAAATAACCCTGATACCAGCAAGATTACTTGGGAAGCCTGCGCCCTTCCTCACCAGTCAGACAGTACATCGCGATCCTCTGCTCATCCGTCTGACGTCCGTTGGCGTCCGTGATGTCCACGGGGAGTCTCGTACACGTGCCGGGCTCATCGTCGTAACCCCCCTTTGGGGTTCTCCAGGTATGCTGGCACTTCATCCCCTCGGCGAGCCATCTCCAACGGCCGCCATCCCCTTTATTCATCACCTCTGCCACTTCCCTGTTATAGCTGCTCTCCCACTCCAGACCACCCTGATCGGTGCTTGTGAGATACCCGAAGCCGGCGCTCTGCCACAGTTGGGGTCCATTCTTCGTACTTGATGGCCCTGGTTCACCGGTATGGAGCAGGAGCGCGAGACACAGTGAGCCCGCTGGCAGCGGATTGCCGGCGGCTTGGTTCAAGCGGACGCGATTATTGCTTGCATCTGACACTACAGCGTTGGAGAGGAATGTAATATCATTAGAACACACAAAGCCTACTGCCCACTCCCTATTTCACTGCTTTCAATGATCCACTGTAGAGCATTCGAAAGCGGGTAAAGTGGGCTAGCGCATGTAGTATCATCATAAAACCGGCCCCTTCCTGAATTTTGTCCGTTTTCGGCGGTGCCATCACCGACTTGTTGGCCTCCACCATCGCCAGTAGATGAGGTCCGGTTTCCTCCGGCAGGTTCTCTAGGCGGGTCATTAGCAGGGGGTGCGCCAGCAGCCGTTCCTCCTTTGTCTTCGGCACACTCCCGTCGCTCGCCGCTGGCGGATCCGCGCTTGCCGCTGAAGCGCCCGTGCCTACCGATGGTACAGGCATGTTCGCTGGCGCCGCAGCCACGACAGCCACCTCCTCTGGCGCCTGCTCCTTTTCACAGTACATCGCGATTTTAGGCTCTCCGTGTTGTCCGTCAGCCGTGATGTCCGCGATCGGCACCTTCTTGCAGAAGCCGCTGTAGTGGACGAGGGCACCTGAAGCCTCAGTCTCTGAGTGGATGCATGGCATCCCCTCCGCGAGCCATTGCCACTTCTCGCTCCCGCCGTTTTTTAGAGTTTACAATAAGAAAAACTTTTGATCCTGGAGCGCGGCTCCTTGTTTCATAGGTATACAGCCCCTAGTGATTAGGATGAAGAGACATGAACAAATGGCCTGCCAACCTATCAAGATGATGCATTATCGTGAGCCCTAAGTTTTGCACTGATTGCTTCACCTCATCAGGACAGTTATTCGGATCCGCAGCCCACTGGAGGCTCTTGTCAGCATCGCTCTTCGTCAGGTAGTGCCCGTGGCTTTCCCAATATTTGGTCACAGGGGTCGTGTTTGGGCCTTGTTTTTCGGTGTCCTGAGACGGAAAAGCAATGCACATTGCTCCCAGCGGCAGTCGCGACCTTGGCTTCAAGCTCAGCTCCGTCGCCTTTTCCGTGTTCAGCACTACTGCGTTCGACAGGTTCTTGTTAGAGTGTTCATAACAGAGAGGCACCGCAAACTAGTCATGAAACCAATGACAAAATTTTACTTGTGAAAAAAAAAGTATTGTCTACAAGATAATCGCTATAGACCGGCTGGCGGTGTGCTAGTATGATGAGAAAGCATAAAGGCATCGACATCCCCTTTGGGATCCATTTTCGGCTCAGCCATCATGGAGTTTGTTTTCGTCACCAGTTGAGCAGGCGGCGTCGATCCGGGAAGCTCCGGTAAGGTCTCCACATTGATGTGGCTGCTCAGCAAGCCTTCCTCGGCCGTCGGATCCATTGCTGGCAGAGGCTTCGGCCCCTCCGTTTCTTCCGGCGTCTCAGTACTTTTCGCACAGTACATTGCGAGCTGACGTCCGTTCGTGGTATCCACCGGCACTCTCGCGCACACGCCGTGGCCCGTCTCCGAGTAGAAGCATGGCACGTCGTCCGCGAGCCAGACCCAGTCGCCCTCGCCGAAAATTAGAACAACATAGAGTGGAGATGATACAGATAAATGACCTTTGAAAATACAACATTGTCAGTAGGGACGATAAAGTCGAGGGAAAACTAACCGACTAGAAATGATCTGTGAAAGTACAACATAATCGTGTTGAGGCCTTAAAGTTTGCCATGCATTTTTGACCTCGTTTGGGCATGCATTCTCAGCCTCCTTCCACTCTAGATTTCCCGCTTCGTTTTTTGTGAGGTACCGCTGGCCTTGCCAGAGCCTCGTCGCATGAGCAGGTGGCCCCGTTCCGTTTGCCACTTCGCTGGCAGTCTTGGAAGCGACGCACAATTCCATAAGTGGCATCCGAGATCCCGGGTGCAACCCCAGGCTTCGCGCCTTTTGCGTATGCGAAACAACAGCGTTCGACAGGTGTGCGGTCTTGTTAGAAGAGTATTCCAAAAGGAGAAAGCCATATTACCTCAGAAGAAAGTGTTTCGATCAGAAACTATGCTAGAAACAGTCTCATCTGTGAAAAGATAAAGTAGAATCGTTGGAAAAACAATGGAAAGGAAACAAGATGGAGTTTCAATTTCCACATATTATTTGACTTATAAAAAAGAAGAGATAATATCTCATGCACTTATCAGAAGTTCTAAATCTGTTCCCGGGGTGTCGTTCATTAAAATTTAGCACTCGCATACCTAGTACCTAAGGTAAAGGTGCTGGATTGATTTACAAATATCTAATATGAGCTTCAATATGATAGAAGATCATAGAGTGCTGGTTTTCTCCTGGCGGATCCATCGTTGTGTCGTGCAGTACGCCGCTTTTCTTGACCACTACCTTGGATCCGGACAGCATCGGTACCTCATCATCCAACTTATCGTATTCAAGGGTCGCGCCCAGCAACTTCTGCTCCTCCTCCGGGTTCATCTCCGGCAGAAGTGTCGACGTCGCTGCGGCCTCAGCCGGTGTTCCACGCTCGACATTCATATGTAGACCATCACTCTGACCCGCCGCTTCCGCCCCCTGTCCTCCAGTCGTCGACGCTGGACCACTCGCTTGGGAATCCGGAGACGATTCACCATCCGACGAATCTTCTTGCGGTTCGTCCGGTGTTGCATGAGCACGAGCCAGTGGACGACTCTCACTGGAAGCCTTTGTTGCCAGATCTTCAGTAGTACTTGCATTGTCATCGGCTTCTACACCACACAAGCCCAAAGCGCAATCGAGAATTAGAGTGCTTGTTGTGGCGTGAAGAGGACGAGTGAAGAATGGTTGTGAAGAGGAAGAGTGAAAATGTCTACTGTAATCATGAGGGCTGCTGCTTATCGTGAGTAGTATAGTGAAAATGTCTACTGTAATCATGAGGGCTGCTGCTCATCGTGAGTAGTATAATTTCAGTTAGTCCTGCTCTCGTACATTCTCATATAGAACAACATGCGTTCATGGTTAGTACTTAAAAATTTCATGAATGGTGGCCTACAAAGTATTCATCATCATACTCAATCTAAAAAGATGTGGCCATAAAATTCGGGGGTCAGTCAGGTGCAGAAACGAGGCTTTCTGAGAAGCACCAGGTGCCTCGTGATGAGACGCTGCGTCACCGTCAAAATGCACTTCTTTTCCATGGACGTCGCTCTTTTAGAAGAGAAAGGGGTGGAAAGACTTCTTCTAGTTCTACTACAACTTCTATGTTAAAAATAATTGGAATCGAATCTGGCGACAATTTTTCAGAAGCTAGAATCAATTTTGATAAGTGAACAGGCCAACGCCTAAACCACTAAGCCAATATCAAATTTTTCAATCATCAAGACATAAACATATCGGCTTCGTTTTTTTTGCGCACACGTAGCATCACCAGCGCCAGAGGGAGATGTGCACTCCGAAGGATCTTGTGGCCACGGATCTCGTAGTTCATCTTGTGTTCTTCCGGATGGTTCGATTGCGTTCGCGTTGGTCGTTCCCAATGGTTCGATTGAGTTCGCATTAGCCTCCACGCGCTTATTTGTGTCACGACATACAGCGAAATAAAAACAGGCGAATAAGGCCGAAAGCGAAATGAAGAATGGCAAACCACGAAAGGAGCACTGGGTGTACGACCGCCATTTCTTGCTCGTCCTGGAGTGGAGAAATTCGAAAAAAAGGCTTTCAAAAAAATCAAAAAACTGGCGCTGCTGTTTGAAATTATCAAGCTTCATCGTGAAACTCATCAGAAGCTCTAAGAAAATCAAACAAAAATTACCCACTCATTCCACAACGCGTCAACGGAGATTCCGTACTTGCCGACATCGGCGACCCGCCTTTTGCGCAACGCGGCAACGGAGATTCCGCACTTGCCGACATTCTTAGATCCTTGGTTTGAGAAACTAAAGGAAAAAGATTCCTAGAGTGGGAAACTACAGCAAAAAGATTCCTAGAGGGAGAAACTACAGGAAAAAGATTCCTAGAGGGAGAAACTAAGAGCAGAAGATCCTTAGACTACGCATCTCAGAAACTTCCGAAAATTAATTGATCACCCCAGCGGCAGAAGAAGACTACTCTTAGATGGATGATAGGAAATCCAAAATTTTTATGCTGGGAATGAGCTACCTTCTCCCATGCAGCAGATAGTAAACAATCACGGCGAAAAATTATAGCGATTAACATATTACTACGGCTTCCCCATTATAATTCCTTTGTTTAAGCTGTTTGATTGGAAAGGCATTAGAAACGGAGGAAGAGGTAGACGGAGAGGTAGGGGGATAGAGGTAGATGGAGAGGTAGGGAGATAGAGGTAGATGAAGAGGTAGGGAAATAGAGGTAGATGAAGAGGTAGGGACATAGAGGTAGATGGAGAGGTAGGGGGATAGAGGTAGATGGAGAGGTAGAGAAGTAAGTCTGTTTTTTCGGACCGACGGTAACCATCTTTGCACAACTACCGATGTTTTTCGCAACAGAGAGCAACCACGCTGAAGACCGCTTCACACCACCGATGTTTTCCGCAATGTAGACAGAGACGAGTTCTTATCGCAGCCTCTTCTGGAAATGTATGTGTCAGCTTCTTCTGGACATGTATGTGTTAAGAGTACTTTTTGTGCCGTGTTGGATATGAAATGGTCTTACTGGTGCGGTGCCGTTTCTTGCAGATCAAGTACACCGATTGGCTTTCGCGCTCCTGGTCTACTTTAATGACCTCCGGAGCGTCGCAAGCTTCGCGACACGTGGCGAGGGCACTCTGATGCGGCGCAGGCTGGTCACCGCCGAGCCCTCGCCAAGACAGCAGTGCCGGCCCTTCTTCCTTTCGGCCTGCACTGACGCCGCGCCTTCCTTGCGGCTGCCGTCTCCCTCAAAAGCCCAGGCGTACCTTGGGACGCGCGTCGAGAACCTAAACCCTTAACAGGAGTCAGCGGCAGCAGCTTCCAATGTGAGTTCGTGACGGTCCCGCCACAAACTGACAGCGGCAACTGTTGCCAATGTCAAAAAGCGCGGCCAAAATCTTGACCATTGTAGGACAGCCCCAGAAGCTTGATTTTTTTACTCGTTTTCTTTTAGCGAATTACAGAAGAAGCTTACCCCGCAGCAAGGAAGCTTTTGGCCCTTGTCGTCTCTGTTGTATGAGGCAGACACTTGGCCAAATTGAAAAGGTTTGACTTGCGCGAGCTTTTCTGTGTGCGTTGTAAATTCTTCAAAGTTTCAAAGCTTGCAAATTTATGAGAAGAGCTGGCAGGCCTTGCCCCTGTTTGTCTGTATCGGTGAGGCCGCGTTCCGTTCCCACTGATAGAGAGCTCAGCCACGTGGATGAGCTTGCGCCCCGGTTAGATAAACCCAATAACTTGGCGGGGTCTCACCTCTATCATGAGAACGCGCTGACCGGGAAACTGTCTCCGGCTGGTCTCAGCTCTATCATGAGAACGCGCTGACCGGGAAACTGTCTCCGGCTGGTCTCAGCTCTATCATGAGAACGCGCTGACCGGGAAACTGTCTCCGGCTGGTCTCAGCTCTATCATGGGAACGCGCTGGCCGGCGAACTGTTTCCGGCTAGGCTCAGCTCTATCATGCGAACGCGCTGGCCGGAGGACTGTTTCCGGCTAGGCTCAGCTCTATCATGCGAACGCGCTGGCCGGAGGACTCTTTGCTTTTCGGCTGGTCTCGGCTCTATCGTAAGAGCCTGGCGGCCTTGAAGCAGGCGCATCCATCGGGAAAACCAGAAGAGCCCGGAAGAAGATAAGAAAGACCCAGGCGACCTTTTGATGCCGATCGCCCGGGGGCGGAGGTCGGAAGATTGTCACAGATGTGGCAGCCGTAGGGCCGTCGCCGGTCTGTCTTATCTCTATCAGGGGAACCTGCTGACCGGGGATCCGTCTCCGGCCGTTCTGTTGTTTTTTATCTTTGTGAAGAGGGGCCCCTGTTGGTACCGGCGTGGGCAAGTGCCATCCTCTTGGGCGGGCTGGGAACTTTACGAAGCCGGCAAAGGAATGACTGCAGCGGCCCCCGGGCCGTTGCTCTCAGCTGGCGCAGGCTCTATCAGACCGCAGCGGCAAACGCGGTGGCAGCAGCGGAAGCGCGGTCGCGGCGTGCTTTGCGGTAGCGCCATCGTGGGGCGCTTTATGCTGGCGCGATCGCCGCGCGCACTGCGGCAGCCACAGCAGCGCCGTCAGATCTCCAACCGGCCGCCCCGGGCTGCTTTGCGTGTGCTCCTGGTCTGTGCTCGAGCTCCGCGCCGTTGTGCCAAAGACGGGCAACAAAACCGGAGGCAGCTGCGGGGCGCGGGGCGAGGGAGCTCCGCGCGCATCATTGCGCCCTCGCCAACTAATGGCACCGGGCCACTGTCATTGGCCGGCCCCTTCACGCGATCGCCTACAGGGGTCGCGGAGCGCCGCGCCAGCTATAAAGCCCCCGCCAACTTAAGGACGAGGCCGCCTTGTATAGGGTCCCGCGGGAAACTAATGCAGAGAAAACGCTGGCGGCCCCGCTTAAGTCTGAAGCTGTCAGGTTTTAAAAAAGTCAGGGACCCTTAAAACCTAAAAGTTTCAGACTCGTGAGAAGAGCCGGCACCATCAGGGACGCCCTCCTGCCTATCGGGGCCACCCGTTCCCTTTTCCTTCTGCAAGCCCGACGCTATTACTATTAGGGTTCAAAAGCCGGCGCTTTTGACGGCCAAGGACATTGCGAGCACACAGCCACCAACTCCCTCCAGGGTCCCGGCTCTCTCGCTGCAGGTGTCTGATAGAAGCGAGAGAGCCGCGACCCCGTTGGAAACTAATGGGGGGAATGGCTTACCACTTTCTTCCACTAGTTTCCGGCAACACCCTATAGAGGGCGATCTAAACCAAACCCCCGGCCAACTGATAGCAGCGGCCCGCGCCGCTGCGGCCATTCCTCTGCGGCGTCATGTTCAAAAGCCGCCCCAGCGTCACCCAAAAGACCCCGACAAAAAAGCTACCCCAATCGAAACCGACACCCGCACGGAGTGGGAAACTGTTGGGGGACAGAATTCAGGCAAGCCGAAACCGCTAAGGAACTCGCAAAACGGCCGGCAGCTTTTTGCGTTTTGTCTTTGCTTTTTTGCGGCTTCGCCGCGTGTCTCGCTTCTTGGCGGGTTTGCTCCTTCAGTGTTCAAAAGCCGAAACCGATAAGGACGCAGGCGAAGCCGATAGCGGCACCCCGAAGAACCTCACTGCCTTAGAATTTTTGGGAGTGTTTCCCCACTCACCACAGTAGGAGCACAGGCCAAAAGCGCGCGAGCCTCCGGGGATACTATGCGCCCCGCCATCGCGTCGCCTTGTCGCGGTGCGCAGGTGCGTCGTCACTTTGCTCCGTTTGAACACCAGCGCGGCGAGTGAACAGGCGGAAAGACTCGACAGCCGAAGCGACTGGCCCGGCCGAACAGATGGCCGAAAAGTCAAAGCAGGCGGAGCGTCAGAACAAGCAGAACCACCGGACAGGCGGATCGGCTGAGCGGGCCGAATGAATGGACAGGCCGCGCGGCTTGACAGATGGGCAGAACGACTGAACAGGCAGGACGACTGAACAGGCGGAACGGCTGAACAGGCTGAACGGCTGAGCAGACAGAACGACCGAACACACAAGACAGGCAGAGCGAACGAACAGGAGCGCGGGAATGACTGAACAGACAAGACAGCCGAACAAGGAGAACGGCGCAGCAGACAGAACGACCAGCGGAACAGACAGAGCGACAGAACAGACGACCGAGCAGGCACAATGACAGAACAGACAGAAAGACCGAACAGCCAGACAGGACGGCGGAAAAGGCAGAACGACTGGACAAGCAAGACGACAGAACACAGAGAACGGCGGCCCAGACAAGACGACGGCCGAACAGGTGGAGCGACTCAGTAGAAAGGACGGGGGAACGCCCTCGGGCCGTTGGGCGGTGCATGAGCATGCTTCAGCCGCTCGCATCACAGAGGACACAAATGGAGCGAAGAAGGGAGGCAGACGAAGGCGAAAGCCGTGGCAGCTCTTCAGAGGGCCCAGCAGACCTCGCGAAACTCTTAAGCGAAACCGTTGCGGGACAGTGGTGCCTCTGAGCCATTTTCGATATTTTGCCGCTTTTCTTCACAGTTTGGCACGCCAGTCCCGATGTCGCGGGGCCAGTTCGTCTCTCTCCTTTTCCCATTTCCTCATCGGTTTCGCCTCCGTCTTTCCGGGCTCTGTTCAGATGCTTCCGCCATTCCCTTATCGGTTTCGCCGCTCGCTCGGCGTGCCCGTCTCCTCTGCAATCCCTCCGGCCACCGATACCAACCGAATGAGACGACAGGCGACACCATCAGACACGGGCTCGCCCTCCTTTTTAAGAGTCTGGAACACCATTAACGGGAAAGGCTCAACCTGTGCGCCTGTAGCTCTCAGAAGTGCGCCCGGTAAAGGTAGCACACGCACACGAAGAAAGCGAAGGAGGTAACTGCAATCGCGAACGTCTTCCGGGAAGGCCGCAGAAGCTTGGCAAGACGCCCTGTCTGGCGTATCGTCCGGCGGCCTTCGGCCGCCAGGGACGATGGGGCATGGGCTAGTCCTTCAGTTGCGCGGCCGTCCGTCTGGAGCATTCCCCCGCCCCCCTTGTGCCCCGCGCCCCCCGCCCCCCTTGTACAGGGTTACGCGGTTGAGCACAGTCCGGGGGCGCACTCTTCGGCGCAGTTTCGCTGTATGGGTCCACAGTCGCGCAAACGCTTAACCCTGTACAAGGGGGGCGGGGGGCGAGATGGTCACGCGCTGCCCCCTCGTCCCTGGCGGCCGTAGGCCGCCAGAGGGACGATGCGCCACGCTGCGCTGGTGGGCGCGCGGTGTGCGCCGCATAATCCAGCGCGAACAGCCCTGCAAGGCAGCCCTCTGCCCCCTCGTCCCTGGCGGCCGTAGGCCGCCAGAGGGACGATGCGCCACGCTGCGCTGGTGGGCGCGCGGTGTGCGCCGCATAATCCAGCGCGAACAGCCCTGCAAGGCAGCCCTCTGCCCCCTCGTCCCTGGCGGCCGTAGGCCGCCAGAGGGACGACGCGCCACGGTGCAGAGATTAGGCACACGACAGGAGCACACGAGGGGAGCACACGAGAAGACGTCGAACACAAGAGCAGCCAAGCCAGAAGAACGCAGAACGACCAAACTGAAACACAGACGAGCCAGGTCAGGGGGCCACAAGCCGACCGGCGCAAAATAACCTGACGGCGGCGACCTCTCTCGCGTATCTCGCGAAATGAAAGAAGTGGAAACAGATGGAGGCGCGTTAATTAAACGAGAAGGCTCCGGGACTTCTTTCAGGTATTTCCTTTCTTTTAATGAGAAGCGCGCCCATATATGCTCGCCCAGATAGCACCACGGAGAGAACTTATCGCGGAAAACGATGAGCGTGCTCGTTCCCTCTTATGGAGTTTGATTCCCACACCATATGAACTGGGTGCGCACTCTTTCGCCTGATTTTAAAATGCCCACCCCTGGAA